GTCCATGAAGAGGGAGAGATGCAGCAGGCCATAGAGGATTGCAAAGCCCAGGGTGGTGATCTGCAACTGACGCAGGCCCTCGTTGGTTTCTACGCGCGGGATGAGTGGTCGTGGAACGAAGTTGGCGAGGATCTGGGCGATCATGGCTGAAGAGGAATGGGAGGGATGAGAATGAAGAAGGAGAAGAAAAAGCGATGGCAAAGAAAAAGCGATGGCAAGGAGAGAGATGCCGTTGAGAAAAACGGCACATTGATCGAAACCTTAATAAAGAGGCGAGGCAGAAGGGTCTAGAGTTCATTCATTGGCGCGACTGAAGAAGGAACGCTGCCGGTGCTCTTTATTCCTCTTCATTGGACCATCAAAAGCACAACCCTATCTCATTGGACACGCTCCTCCCACCCAGTCGAAAAGTCCCAGGCCCCGGCCTGCTCGTCCCAGTCGAGGAGGATGGTGCCGATAATGTGCTCCTGCTCCAGGTCGCCATATACATGTGGGAAGATCCTGCTGGCATCTGGCGGGTGCTCTCCTCGCGCAGCCTCCCACTTGACCTGGGGTGCAATTCCTGCGAAGCGGATCTTGAGGATCAGCAGGTCGCTGAACTTGCTCCGGGGAAAGAATCTGTTGGCAGTGCCTGGGACCTGTGCCGACGTCGAGAGGTGGTAGAAGCCATCGGCCTTGTCCAGCGCAGAGAGCGGTAGCACCTTATCTGAGGGGTCGAAGGACGCTGCAGGCGAGACTAGCTTGTAGACGAACTCTGGTGCGACAGAGGGGGCGAGTGGTTGAGCCATAGTTGGTGTGGGTCCTCAGTGTGTATGGGAGTGGAGATGGGGAAAGGTGATGGAGGAGGCACACTCAGTGGTGAGAGTCTATTGTCCATTGGACGCGTACGTCGCTGTCTGCGGAGCGGAGTTCGCTTTGTGCGTCGTCGTCTTTTTTTTTGGTGGCCAACGCGCAAAGAGTTCTAATCAACCGTTGATCAACCCAATCATCCCCCAGCACCAATGCACAACATCACGCTCGCCTCGCGTGAATACGAGTTCAACGACACTTCTATCACGCCTTTGGAGATCGACGAAGACCCCTCTGGACTATTGTAAGCCATGTGTATCGCTGGAGAAGAATCATATAAACGCTCGTTTGTTAATAACCTCTTGCTCCGTTGCTCTACTCACGTATTTCAGGCGAGGAGGCGTTGGATCAACAATCTGGGATGCAGCGATTGTGCTTGCCAAATATTTTGAGCGCCTGGACCTTACTTCTTTCACTTCCACAACAACGCCGGCAGAGTCTCGCATTATCAATGTCCTCGAGCTTGGATCAGGAACGGGGATCGTCGGTCTGGCAGTCGCAAGGATGCTAAGCGCAAAGGGACTAAAGGCCAAGGTCGTGCTAACAGACAAAGACAATGTTGTGCCTTTGCTACAGCGGAACGTTGCGAAGAATGCCTCCCCTGGAATTCATATCGATACCCAAGTCTTGGACTGGGAGGCCATCAGTGGGATCAATGCGGACGCCACCAATACACCGGCAGCAGATGGATCATCAGCATCGCAGGCAACAGGAGCGACTGAAGTGTCGTCGTCAACCGAAAGAATGACATCTGTAAGAACGCACACTGACCTAGCAGATATTAATTGGGATTTGGTCATTCTCAGTGATTGCATCTGGGTTCCTAAATTGTACGGACCGCTCATCAGCACCATCAACACTATCATCCAGCCCGGAAGCAGTACAAAGCTGGTTGTTGCGTTCGAAAAGCGTAATTTCTCTGAGGAGATGGAATTCTTTGCCTTGCTCGGCAAGTCCTTTCGTTTCCGGGACATCAAGCCAGAGGAGCAGGATACCAACTATCAGAGCGAAGATATCTATCTCTTCGTATGCCAACGTCGGACAGAATAAATTTGGCAGAGTTTCACAGCTTGCGGAAAACGAAGCAGGCGCTTTAGATGTTTATTTGCCATGCGTGCTGCTACTTCTTCCGCTCAGAATTGAGCCATTCAAAATAATTACAACGGTATTCTGGCTTCTGTCCGATCGCATCGCCTTCTGGACCAACGGGCCTTAAAAGTATGCAAAGATCGTGTAAAGAATAGAAAAATCGAAAAAGATCAGTTTCGGAACAACCTCACCGTAACACAACTCTAGGTCGAGGTGACTTACATGGAACACGAAAAGAACCGCCGGCCTTTGTTTGGTCCTTTCTTGCTGACCGTGTGTTCTGTACAAGGAACGCCATGAAATCGACATTTTGGAACTGCCTTTGGCTGGAATAAACTCTGCCACTTTGATGTTGTTGACTCTCCGTTTGTTGAGAATGGCATCACATCCTGCGATCCTGGGATCCAGTCTGCAAAGTCGTTTGGCGAGAATGTCGACGAGGATCCAGCAGTAGAATCCAAAGATAAAAGCGACATATCCTGCGACGACTCCTGCGGTTGTGATAGCGTTGATGAGACGTTTGACGGTGACTGAGAGCCGGTCGTGGTGTCCTGGTTCAGCGACTGACTATCAGTTTCTGTATCTCTAGCAACGGATTTGCTTGTTGCTGGTACATCGTTCGATTTTTTAGACGAACTTGAAAAGAACGAGAGTACCGACTGCTGCCCAGATGGTTTCGAGTTGATGGATTTTTTCAATGTCGGTTTATCTTGGATTGAGCGTCCAGTGCCTACTTTTGTCGGTGCTTTGCTGGCACTCCTGGGTATATTTTTAGACGAGTCGCTCAAGCTATTTGCTGTCGATGTCATAGCTATGGTCGAGGTAGACGACGTCTTTGATAATGCCGAACTACTCTCAGAGTTGAAAAATATCTTCTTCCTTGGTGCTGGATCGCCCATGTAGTCAAGTGAAAGCGGTCGTTTAATATCGGCTGCTGCCTGTGATGGCGACGAAGGCATTGATTGACTCGTTGTTGCAATCATCGATACCGGTGAGCTGGCAGGTATCTGAGAAGGTTTCTTGAAAAACGCAGATAACTTTTGCTGCTTTCCTGAAAACTCGTCAAAGAACCTTGCTGCAAGGGCATGGCCGGTCGTGCCTCCGAATGAGTCCAAAACGTCTTGCAGCCTTTGCGTCTTTTGCCAATACTGCTCCTGTTCCTCCCAAGGTTTTTCCATAGCGAGTTCCGTAAACATTTCCGCCACAACTGGACAATGATCCGAACCAACAACGTGGGGCTTTCGGTCGCATGACTTGAACCATGGTAATAATCCGTCCGTAACAAGAATGTAGTCCAAGCGCGTCCCGTAATTCGAGGGCCTAGTAGGACAAGACACTGTTAGTCAGCTACATGCAACCTCACGCAATTAAACCTCTCTGGCTCGATAAAGACTTGGGATATGGATGAATTCCGTCTGTGCTACCTTGCGTTGATCTTAGTGTTCCAGCATGTGAACGCGCCTGGCTCATCCTTGTGGAACACACGAAACAGATCTGTCATGGGTCCGTTCGGCGCCAGGAAGCTGTTGAACCATCGTCTGGGTGGCGTGTTTGTGAAATCGTCCTCTCCTGCCTCCTTCCTCCACTTTGCCGGGTCGCAATGATCCAGTTCCGTTGGCACGACATTCATATCGCCCATTACGATGACCTCTCGTCCTTCTTTGATCAACTCCTGCACACGCGCCTCCAGCAGATGATAATAATCCATTTTGAATGGTAGTCGCGTTTCGTCCGTTTCGTTCGGACAGTAGAGATTGAACAGGACAAAGAACCCAAAGTCGAGGATGAGACCGCGACCTTCATTGTCCAGCTCCTGGAACCTGGTGAGTGCAATTGTGCTGTCTCCCTCTAATGATGGGTATCCTCCGACTCTTTTCTTTGCCGAGCCGTTGTCGTCCAATGCACTATCTGGCAATGGTCTGTTCAGCAAGGAGCCATTTTTTTGAGATGTAGATAATGCTTCCGGTAAGGCAATGTTCCCTGAGAGTACTCCTGATATGCCTTCTTCTACCGCCAACAGTTTGATGTGGTCCTTGATGTAAATGGCGACTCCCGAGTAGCCCGACTTTGTTCGATGAAAGGACCAGTAGGATTCGTAGCCAGGGACCAACGCCAGATCTGTATCGAGTTTAGAACGTGTAATCTTTGTTTCCTGCAAACATATCACATCGGCATCGAGATAGTCGAGAATCTCCTATGGCGTATGAGAACAATGCAAGGCAGAACGATATCCGGTCAGCCACGCAACTATGTAGATACGTTATACAATAGTGTTGATTCCAGAAAAAAACGCGCTTTACCCTATAGTTCTTGTGCAAGTCATCGCAGTAGGGATGGTACTGGATTAGGGCGCGGATCCCGTTGACGTTCCAGGTCATGAACTTCATGCCTCGAGTGATGCGTGATGTGGGGATGGAAAGGGAGGCTGCCACAGGGCTCTTTTAAAGTTGGTGGCGCTTGTCAGTGACTTGATTTGTTACGCTGTTTTCTTTTCTTTTTTTTTTTTTGCCATGGACAAGGCAGCTTTCTCCATTCACAGCGTCAACATATACAACACCATGTCGTCAAAACTATCAGCGAAGGCTAGCGCCAAAGTTAAGAAGGTATAGATATAATCGATCCGGCCGGTTCGTCTCAAATGACATTAGTTTAATATCAAGACTATGTTTGACACTCAAGAGCAACCCCTCAATTGTAGGCTGCCGGGCAGGATAAAGGAAAGAAGGGCTTGGGCCATGATGATCTACTTATGCAAGAAATTATTGCTATGGGAGGCTCAAAGCAGGACCTGGAGCTCTTGCAGGGCATCGACTCGGATTCAGAGATCGAAGAAGTCGACGATAACCAGAAACAAATCAAGCAGAAGTCGAAAAAGTCGTCAAAGCTGGAAACGGATGTGGAGGTAAGACTTTACTACAGCTCTCTATATCCATCGCCTGGGCCATTCGCGGCGCGGAACTTATTAACATCGCATTCGCTTCGTGTTTCGAATTTTAACAGCCCGAACTCAAGAACGAGCTGACCAGTTTCATGAAGTCACTTTTCGGATCTGCCAAGATGAATCACGGAAAGATAGATCTTGCTGTAGAGGAAGAGGAGGATGAGGAAGAGCTGGAGGAAGAACCGGAGGGTGAATCGGAGGGTGATCACGATAGTTCAGAAGGCGAATGGGAGACAGAAGAAGAGGAAGAAGAAGAGGACGCACAGAGAGATGGAGCCGCGGACGACTCTGGAGATGACAGCATGGATGACTTACCTCAGGAACTGAAGGATATTCATGCCCAATTGGGAAGCCGGAAACGGAAATCTGAATCAGCTACCGCCTCAACATCGTCCACGACCACGAAACCAGCCAAAAAGATCAAAACTGGAGTGGTACCAGCACACACGCCAGCAAAGAAGACAGAGGCACCAAAGCATTCAGCTGGCCCGGATAAGGCAACGAAGGGAGCTCCCAAGGACGTCCAGAAACAGATCTCGGCGACCCTTGGCAAACCAGCACAAAAACCAGTGGCCAAAAAGACTGGCGCCGTGAAAGCAGCACCAGCATCTACAAAGCCCAAGAGCAAAAACGAATCTGCAAAGGCAACGCCCGGATCTTTAAAGAAACCTGCCGTGACATGGAAGCTAGGAGACGGCTGGAGTAAAGGATTCGAGGACATGCTGGATGATGGCGATACTGGCAAGGGCACCAAAAATACCCAGAAGAATAAGAAGCATGCACTCAGCAAAGCACGGAAAGGTGCCAGAAAGTAACAACTACATCGCTAGCTCCTCATCATTAAGTGTTAATAAACTGTTGCATCTTTCATAGTTTTTTGTTATTATTATTACAGTGTTATTATTCTAATGGGATTACAAGGTGACGATCGCGCTACATCCATGGCATGGGGTAGCTCCTGGCCTTCAATCCTTTCTACTGCATATTCAATCGTCTCTATAATCACCGAGATGAAGTCGAGCGGATGGATTTTGCGACTGCCTGTGACGACCTTATGATCCATATTGCTGCCGAAGGCAAGGTACCACATTGTTTCTGTGGGGTCTGGAGAGCAGGTTTTCGTGTCGAGCGCTATGTGGGTTATTCTGGGCTGCGATATCGGTTATACGAACAAGCAAAATTGAAGCCAAAAAGACAGCGATATGAAGGGAGAAACAAATACTACGGCGAAACATGAAGAGAATATGTTGCGAGGAAAATGGCGCTTTTGTGCAGGAAGGAAACGATAGTGCCGACTAGTTTTTTTTAAAAAATTGCTCAAAGATGTCTTTCTTGGACACACAAGACGCGCATTTTGGGGCTTGAGAGTTGACGACCTGCCCTCAGTTTGATTGTCCCTGCTATCTGAGAAGCCTAGAGCTGCTGGCAACAAAGATCTAGAGAGGGAAAAAGAGGGGAGAAGAAAGCAAGTGGTCCCTGTGAAAGGGTGATGTAGACAGCAACAATAACTGGGAGAAATAAGGAGGGGTAGTCTTTGTTCATGAGCGAGGGGGTAGCTCACGTTCTTCAGTCTACAGCTTTACACGCAAAAAAAAACCCGGCATGTGAAATGAAAACTGGAAGAGAGATGTACGCGTCTCTGCCCGTACTATGGGTTCAAGAGGACTATGGGGTCATCGCTGAGTGGGTTATCCTTCATTTATAGCGGTTTAGATGAAGGATGGGTACATCAGGTACGAGGCATCGCAGCCAAAGAATCAAATCACCAAACACAAAACGCGTTTAAGTTGAACGCCAAAACCTTAGAAGACGTCTTGACAGAAAAAAAAAAATAGTATTATTATTAAAGATGAGGCAGAGGGGACATAAGTAACAGTAATGAGCTCACTAGATGAAGAATAAAAGACGTTACAAAACATGATGAACGCCGATTATTATTATTTCTACAAAAGGTTGGGCGAGTCCAGCCCGCCCATAATGCCGACATACATCTGTAGAGCACGCAGAATGTACGACGGGTCCGTATCAACAGCCCTTCCTAACGACTCGAACACATCCACAAAGTACCCCGCCTTGGCCATATACAGCTGCGAGAAGCAGTTCTCAATCCGAGTAATGTAGTTCTCAGCAATCCGTAAGAGATCCGCCTGGTCCGCATTGTCCTTGATTGGCAACGATAGCAGTGTAAGAGTCTGATCCGTAGCACGACCTTGTTGCGCTGTTGTACCCGAAGCAAGTCTCTCCAGACGCAAACATATCATCTGCAAGGCTCGAACAGATGATGGGTCCAAATCCATTTTACTCTCGACAAGTTGCTAATGAGCCAAAAAAAAAAGTTAGTACATGCCTTTAAGTCGGTAGGAAATAGATGTGTCCGAACATGTATGAAAGCCCTGGTAGCTTACCGTTTCCAGAACAGAAGTGCCAGACATAGCCTTGGAAGGGTTGATCGCGAGGCGACCAGCCAACGCACGCGAGTAGATCAAATGCAAGTTCTCCGGCGTTTCCAATCCCTTCAGCTTCTTCTCGCCAAGATCGATCACTCCAAAGCCCATCCTCTTCAGATCGCGCACATGTTCCGCTTGCGGTGAGTGCGAATACTCTATCTCTGGATCCATGAGAAAGTGCTGCAGTACGTTGATCACATCGCTGCTGACACAGATCTCACCTCCGTCGGCACTGTCGCAGATACGAGCCGCACGGTTGACCATTGGACCATAGTAATCCATTCGTCGCGTCACCGCATCCCTGTCACTGACAGGCCGACCCCAATGGATACCCATCCGAACAGAGAGACCACGGTACACGCATTGTTCAGGAGCAGAGTCATCAAAGATAGCTCTGCACTCGGTGGAATTAAGGATATCCTGAGGCCAATCCGCTTCGACCAAAAGCTCCTGTACTCTGAAGCACCAGAGCATGGCGGCAGGAACGCTCGAGAATGAAGCCATCAACGCATCTCCTTCCTTCTTGACCTCATAACCTCCGATAGACAGAAGCTGTCGTCTCATGACGTTGAAGTGTTCCTTGATCGCAATGGCCATGGCACCAGGGATGCTCTCCCACAGCTTGGTCGAGTTTTTGATATCTGTGAATATCATCGCCACATCGCCTTGAGGAGGTTCAATCTCAGGTTTCAGGTATTTGAGCTGAGATGATGAAAATGAATGAGAAAGTGGAGTGAGAATATGTTACAAGAAAACAGAATATGCGCTTCAGAAACAAGCATTCAGTAAAGGCCCGAACTTACAGTATTGATAGGTCCTTCAGGTGCCTTGGGTCTTTTGTAGTTCTGCTGATGATACTCATAGACGTCTGAGGGCTCCTTCTTCTGGAACAGATCTCCAACTCCGATCAGCATGACAACCATATGATCCTTGGCGCCGTACGAGATCGCAATGTCTCTCAATTTTTGCGAGGCATACATCAAGTCGCCATAATCCCTCTTGGCTGCTTTGGCGATATCGACCGCCGTTGCATACGACATCACATCCCAGAAAGCACTTGACGCCATGATAAGGAAGTCATCGTCTTCAGACAATGTCGTCGTCTCAATGTACGGATTTGAGTTGACAACAGGAACTAAGTGATACTGCCCAAAAGATCGTGAAATGTCGAGCTCATCATTCAAAAGACCTGTCGCGCCCACAAAACCGCCCGAACTCTTGATTCTCGATGCTTCGGTGGGGTTCCATGGGATGTGCTTCTCAGAGATGACCTGGTACGTGTCCGATTTCTTGACCAAAATCGCGATGGCATCTCCGACGTTGGCACTATAGAGCGTCACGCCCTTGATGTAAGCTACCAATGCCGATGCCCCGCCTTTGCCATCGTTGTCCTGCCCCAAATGCCAGAGTTCGCGGTCGAGACCCAAAAATGTCCTCCGCAGGGCACTTGCAGTAGTATCGGTATCCCCCAGCTTTTCGAGCTCGATCTTTAGACAAGATCCAAACCGATCCTTGAGGTGATTGATCATATTGGAGCTTGACCGGTACTGATCATTTCGTCCGTCAAAAAGTCCGAACAAACTCTCGTCTTCCTTTGTCTGGAATTTTGGATGGACCAGGTCCCAGATGCATAAATTGTCCGATTCGCCCAGAGTGTCTGCCATGCCATAGGACATATTGTGCAGAGTCGACATCGATGTTCTGACACGTCTGTCAACAGAGTTTTCCGGAACGTTGTCGGTTATGGTCACGTCCATGAGCCCCAGAATGCGCAGGTGGGTGAGATTTCCAAACTCTGAAAGGTTGCCGCGCTTTGATGCTGCAGTCGGTACGTTCTCTGTATTCTGGCGCTTGATCTGCAGTCGTTTGTTGCCAGACATGTTGAGGTACTTGAGTTCCAGATTCCAGTTCCTATAAGTAGATCGAATAAATGGTAATGTCAATAAGCTTTGAGTAATATAGCAAATTTAGTCGCATTATCCACTACGCAAGTATAAACAACTTACCAGTTCCAATCATATGGCCAGTTGGAAATGTTATACTTCAGCATGTTGCAGCCAACATCCAGCACCCCAAGTCTGTTGATCTTGCCCAGTTCCGCAGGAAGTGTTGTCAGCTTGTTGCCGTTCACATGCAAGACCCGTAGGTTTCGAAGTCGCTCAATGTCTTCGGCAGGCAAACTAGTCAACTGGTTGCCGCTCAAATGCAATTCCAAGATCTGGCCAGGGTTGGGAATCTTGCCTCGAGGAATTTCCGCAATGTAATTGTGACTAAGGTTCAGAATCTGAAGATTTATGAACTGCGAGAGCGGATAAAGTACTTCGTCCGGAAGTCGATTGTCACCAAGGCAAAGAGTGATCAAAGAAGACGCTAGCGGCGGCGCATAAGGTGCCCTTCCAGAGGGCGTGCTCACAAGTGGCACAGGTGGTGCCGGCAAGGGCTTTGATCGCGAGGATGATGGTGAAGGCATTGCTGTCATAACTGTCGAAGGCGTCGCGGTAGCTATGGTCGAGGATGACGATGCGAACGCGCTATCCATGTCTATTAGAGTAACAGTGGAGGACGAAGCGGAGAGAGCTCCAGCATTCATAGTTGGGAGAGCGAGGAATTTTGGAGGGTCCGGGAATGTCTCCAAAAGATTGGACGATGCATTTAGCATGGTGAGCGAACATTTCCAGATCGCAACAGGCAACTCGCCGAGGCTGTTGCTATGTAGATCCAGTTCCGCTAGAGATTCCAGCTGACCAATCTCCTCGGGCAAACTCGAGAGCAAGTTGTTTGAGATCGAGAGTGTCTTTAGTCGCTTCAGAGATCCAATGGTTAAGGGTATTGAGCTGATGCTGTTGTTATCCAGCTTGAGAATTTCAAGGCTTCGCAGATGTTCGAAAAACGTCGATGCCAGATTCGACAGCCTGTTGGAAGACATGTCCAGGAACGTCAAGGTGTCTCCTGTGCCGCGAATGCTGGCGTTCGTCATGTTGCATTTCAGAAACGATGCCTTGACGAGAGCTTTGAAAGAATTGTTGAAAACGACGTTGGCGTTGTAGTCGACGAGGAGTTCCTGCAGAGATGGAAGGTCATTCAATGCATCCAAATTCAAGATCTCGTTCTGTCGAATATCCAGTTTCCTGAGCCGTGTCAGATCCGAAAGAGTCTTTGGCAGCTGCGGCCCAATCCGATTTCCAAAGAGCAACAAAATCCGGAGCCGTGAAAGGCGTCCAATCTCCCCCGGTATTTCTGTGAGGTTGTTGAAACTCATATCGAGCTCCTCCAGTGTCAAGATTTGAAAGAGGACAGCTGGCACTGCTGAGAAATTATTGCTAGAGAGACTCAGGATTCGAAGGTATTCGAACGATTGAAAATAGGCTGGTATCGAGTCCAGGCGATTGTTTTGCAAAAAGATGGTCACGAGCTGTCGCGCCTCCTCCAACCGTGCCTTTTCCAAAGTCTTAATCCTGTTTCCCCGAAGATCCAGTACCTGAAGATAGGTGATCGATCGAACATTGCTTGGGACTCTGTCCAAATCGTTGTACGCCATGCGGAGCTCGCGTAGGACACTACAGTTTTGGACGAAATCTAGTGGTAAATCCATCCTTTGGTTGTGAGAGATGTTCAGTCGTACGATGTCCTTTGCTCTCGAGTACAAAAAGATGGGGATCGTCGGCAAGCATTTCCGCTCCAAGTTCACATCTGCGTAGTTGGTGCTGTCAGGAAAGTCCGCCTCCTGAGAGTAACATGGAGAAATGGAAACAGATAGATGTTAGAATTTCATACCACAGGTCCAAGCGCCGCAACCAATACCATGTCACTTTAGATACTCACAGTGGTCAGTGGTGCGCCGTTCTCTGCAAAAGTGAACCGACAAATGAAGCTGTTATCCTTGCCGGACAATTCCTCCAGCTTATCCTGATCCGTGTAGCCAAATTGCAGCAACAGTTTCCGAAGAATATTGAGGGGTCTTTCATGAGAACTCAAAGGACGAACTAAATTGACCGCGATATCGTTTATATACTATGCGTTAGGCTGATCCCAATTGTGGCAATAAAATACCAGAAACAAAAGCACTCCAAACGTATTCTCGAGCTTACTGATTTTGTTCCGTTGTATGTAAAGGTGGTATTTTGACGTGTCCGGCTTGAAGATCTTCTTGCCCAATATGGTGCTCAGTTCACTTGCGGTGATGTTGAAGACGCAGTTTACTGTTGTGTAGGTCGTATCAGGTCTGAAAATTCTGATAACTGACAGCTTTTTCTTGCCATAATCCCAATTCTCATAGTCGCTCTCATCCAGATCTTCCATTGTGGGATCCTCTGATGCCAAGGAAAGCGAGCGCGGAATTCCTGCTACGGGGATCGTGGGCGGCTGGACTCCCCAGCTCTCAGGCGCAAGCCAAGTCTCTGCGCCCACTGCTGGCGAAAGTGGTAATAAATGGTTGTATTTGGAGTCTCCCTTTATGCCTGACATATCGTTGAGATCGACTACTTACGGAGGACACCATCACAGTAACAGACAGAAATAAAATCGTCATAAGCTTTCACGTTCATATAAAAAGAATGCATTGGAGAATAAGTGCTGCTTTGTTCTTACCGACAAACCCCTGGAAGATGGCGTCCTGCTAGAGAGTGGTCAAGAAAAAGGGCGAAAAGTAGTGAAATTGAGTATGAAGTGTGCTATTTAATAGTTATAGTAGCTTGCAAAAAGCAGGAAATGCCTTATAGGCTGTGAAGCCTTTGAAAATACATACGCCTGAGATATCTCTTTTCGATCCTTTCTTCGACCTCTGGGTGGGGTCGCCTCCGTCAAAGGCGTATCGCTTTTCAAATCCGCCGTAATGTGAACTGGTGTCTTGGTCTGAAATAAGCGCCATAGAAAATGCATGCAAGGCGGACGTGAGTGGTGGCGGAAACGAGTCGTCTCTTGATAATTTGCGCGATTCTGCATGCCGGACAGTTATCCAACAACGGCGTTAATGCGCAATGGATTCAGGCCTTTTGAATAAAGACCAGAAGATCCCGAAAAAAAAAATCATAATACTTACTTTCATTATGAGTCTGCTGGAAGTAATGCTGCTGTTGTTGTTGCTGCTGCTGCTGTTGTTGTTGCTGTTGTTGTTGCTGCTGTTGTGAGCTGGAGGAGCTATGATGATGGAGCGCTTTCTTCTTGAGTCGACTAAAGAGCGTCCGCTTTGACTCCTTGGCAGGGCTCGCGATTGGCGCCTGGAATTCAAGTTCCTGTGCTGGGCGAGCCTTTCCGTACATCTCGCTAAAATCACTCGACTTTGTCCTCCTGTGCTGAGCCTCCATCACATTCTTGATCGACTCTGTCCGCTGGTGGGAACGGATGTGAATAGGCGGGGTCGTGGGAAAGAGATGCCTTTGGCTGCCAGTACTAGCCTGCTGTTGCTGTTGTTGGTTTAGCTGATGTTGTTGCTGATACTGCTGCTGCTCTGACGTACGATCGGGTGATGATGACCTTGAATAGGACTCACTGGACCGCCGCCTGTCCGTATCTAAGTCCAATGGGTGTTTCTGGCCATTACTGGTAGTGCTGTTGAGTCCACCGCCATTGTGAGGTATACCATTATTGCTATAGCCGACTGAGCTGATGACGATGCTGCCATTATTGGATACAAAGGACCCAACAGACCCTGACGCAGCCACCGATCGATAGTTGCTGATGCCGTTGTTGCTGTGGCCAGAGAAGGATGTATTTCGCGTATGGCTGTTGCTGTTAAATGGTTCCTGCAAGTCAGGCGATGGTGGTCTGGACGAGTTTGATCGAAAGAACGATAGCGATAGCAGGCCGCTGGACTCATTACCGTCTTTGTTCTTTCGCCGGGCAGCAGAGGGTGTGTGGGACCCTGCTTCGAGATGCGCCCTGCTGCTATGTGCCCATGGACGCTCACTCACGTCTTGATGACTGTAGGGTGATTTGACCTTTCCGTTGTTGTTGCTTCCAATGCTGTTGATACTTACCTGGTCGCTGTTCGAGCGACCATTTTGGTGTGAAAAGTATCCAGAACCTGCAGAAGGCCTCCTCTCCGCGGCTGTGGAGCCAGGGCTGGATTCAGCATAAACTAGATCTGAGGGTCTAGATGTGGTGGAGGCGGTTGAACCCTTGCGATCGCCGTTAGTATTAGGTTGAGAAGGGGCCATGATTCTAGTACGAAGATGCTAGGGAATGCGGTGCTCGTGTTCTCCTGCTGGGTGCGAGAGTGAGAGAAGAGACTGAAACGCAAGGGCTGTCCAGGAAGGGAAGAAGGAAGGTTGAGAGAAATAGGTGACGACGGCAGGAAGCGAGGATGGATTAGATGCAGAGGATGAAGAAGAAGAAGAAGGGCGTGAGGTGAGGAGGGGTGCGTGTGAGGAGAGAGGTGGGGGCGGGGCGCGGCGGAGGGAGAGAAAGGGCGAGGGGCGACAGCAGCAAAGGGAGGGCTGATGAAAAGAAAAGAGAGGTTGCAATGTGATGCGACAGATGCGAGAGAATGCAAGGAGAGGAGAAGAGATGGGGAAGAATAGACGTGAAGAGAGGGGAGGGTGGAACAAAGGAGCGATGGAGCTGAATGATGAAGATGGGGTTGATGGATGAGTTGATGAATGGATGGTGGATGCGATGAAGTGCGATGATGCTTAAAGGTATGATGAGAGCTTGTTTAAGATCGCTTTGCGCACTTCGTTTCCAATCTCGATATAGATATTCTGCAGATAACCTTGTTTGTTCGACCATGGCCCAACCTTGATAGCATCTGTAGCAAAGGGCGTTGTGGAGTAGACTATAGCAAGTTTATATCGTTTGTATCGCTCTCTTCCCTCTTTCGTTTTCTGCACTTCTAGTCTGCTCCCCCAAGGACCCTTTGTCCCTGGACGGCAGTATATTTATGCTAGAAATGCTGCTTGTTTAGTGCACAGCCCTACATTGCGCACTGGCGCCCATTCTGCAAATGCAATCAAGCACATTGTCCTGTGCGAGTACGTGACCAAGCAGCTGGCATGCATACAAACAACACTTGCCTCGCACGTTTATTTTAAGGAAATGGAAGGAACAAAGGCCCTATGGTATGCGCGACTTGAACAACGTGTACCGGTCGATCGTGTCCAGTCCATGTACCGCTCGTTTATCTCCTCCAAGCACATATGCATCCCCTCCTCCATGCCCTCCTCGACCATCAAGCATACCCGACACGGCCGCACTCGCTGCCTTCTCCTCCAGTACCGCATTCGACTCGCGCATCGTCCTGTCTGCCTGTCGCTCGACTTCCTCTCGTGACTCCATCGTCAAGTATCGATGGTGTGCAAACCCAAGCAAGTTGATCCCAATTAGCAACTTCAATGCTACAAGGCACGCATACGTTGCCAAGCATGCCAAACCAATGACCGCATATTCCATCACTCGACGGCCGAGTTCCTGTGAGATACCGGCTCGATGGGCCCACGTCACCACCATATGACCCAACACAACGGAGCTCTGGCTAAGCACTGCCGACGCAAACCTGAAGAGCGAAACAAAGATCTCGGCAACTCCTGACAATGCTGCGGACGGTCCAGAGGAAAAATCAACCAGAGGCATGATCCACTCAAAAGAAATCTTTTCAAAGGACACCGCTGCAGCGGGCATAGTCTCCGCTACGACAACAAGCGTGCGTCCAGTGTCATTAGGATGGTTCGACAGGACCATTTGTAGCGTCTGTATAGTTACGCAGATAACAAGGCAAGCCAACGGCAGTGCTGCGAGACCGATACGGCGCGACACCATGGGCGACTGATCCACAAACATCTGTTGTTGCTACAATGGTGAACGAGAAAAGAACAGATGTTTAGCACAATTGCCATGAAATCTCCTTGCAGATAAGGCTCGTATCCAGTGTACTTGCGTTATTACGACCGGCAAGACGAGCAGGGCTGCCAAAGACCAGATCTCTGCTCAAAATATCAACAAATCGACCGTACACACTCGGGCGGATCTGGTTGAACTTTGTGATAAATGCATGCTTCAACCAATCGACAAGAGTCTCGCATCCCAAGACCAAGAAGCACGGCGTCAGTAGGCGCGCAACAGCTGTCATCGAGGAAAAGAGCGGCACGAATGACTGAGGATACACAGAAAAAGGCGAAGGTGGAGAGGCTGAGAGTTCCACGAGATTGCGAATGGTGATGATGGCGACAAACACAGACAGCTGAAACCGCTCGACAATATCTAGAATAATAATAGTGAGTTGGTTTCCTGCAGCCCAGCATCGTACAATGAAATCATCCAGAGAAGACATCTTACCGCTGCAACTCAGCTGAAAGAGGTTTTCCTTCTCAAACTTCTTGAACACACTGCCTTTGATCTCAACAAACTGGTTGCTGATCAGTAACGTCAGCAAGGCGTTGGAATAAGAGTTGACAGCTACGTTCAAAGTGACCATCTGGAAGAAGAGGACCATGGTATGCGCCACTATAGTCAGAAGGATTCAATGTAAATCAGTTTGAGTAAACACGCGAATTGAACTTGAAAATCCATATTATTGCAAAGAGGTATACAGGTGCCCATACAGATATAGAAAATAGCCAGGATGACAAATGTGATAGGGCGTGCATGCCGCGACGCTGTCAAGCTGGCTTTGGGGGGATGGCTGCCCAACGTCGACTTGGAGAACAGCGAGTCCAGAATATCCTGACCGAATGAACAGCAAAGGCGATCAAAGATCTATCATGAAGGCAATATGAAGGACATAGCTCTTTAGAGTGTGTTCGCATGCGAAGATCATGGTCCTCTTATTTCAGCGCCCCGGCAAGACATACCTCCAGGCAGTTGAAGATAGCGTAGAGTTTCATCGCATTTTGTCCGCGTATGAAATGATACGTCCTCGAGGCGTCGACAGACTGCAGTATCGTGCACGCTATGACAACTAATGTGACTTTAATGAGGTCGCATTTTTGTGACGATTTGAGACGACTGAGAAAAAGGAACCGCGTCAGTGTCCCCGGAGTGATTCATTGCTGCCCTCCACAGACCACCCATCCCTAACGAGTGATAACGAGACGGCAACTTACGTCCTTTCAGCTCCTTTGGCGAACCATGTACGTGAAAAGATATAGCGGAAAAGTGCAGCTGTTGCCAGGAAGAACCGTGCGGGAAGGATAGTGAAGGTGTAGAGAAACGAATCCAGGCACACAAAGTAGCCGAAGACAAGCATCTAAACACACCAACTGAACGTTAGCGATCGTAAAAATGGAGTCACCAGTGCATGCTTCGAACATATCGACTCGGCATTCAGACACCATACCTTTTCAAAGGCGATAGGTACACTAAGAAAGTTGGCTACCCGCTCTCTCTTCAGTTCCTGAGTTGTTTCAAAGTCCGCGGCCGTCAGCTCCTCCTTGAGATAGTCCCATAGAGATACCGTTGGGTAGTTTGAGGGTGATATTGATCCAAGCAAGTTCTTTAGCTTGAGGTCATCAAGCATAACTGGGTGCAAAGCAACTGTGAGTCGAGATGCCGATATACGACTTTCCTTTTCGTGCACATGCTGAGGTAATCCATGAATGCCCTACATACCCTTTGAACTCTCTGGAGGTTGGACGGTTGATGTTGGCGCCTTTAATATTTGAGATAATTCATGTTCAAATACTTTGCTAGATCCACCTGTACTGGACACATTAGACGCGACGCTGTTGTACTTGATGTCCATGTTGCCTGCTGGTGGACTCTGCTGTCCACGCTCTTCGCTCCGCTGAAGTTTGATGAGCTGAATATCCAGGCTCTGTAAAAAGTCATTCTTCTTCGGTGTCGTCGCCCCTGTTGAACTCGTTGTATTCTTGTTAAGCACCTCAGATTCATTACTGAGTGGCGAATGTGGGTTTCTGTTCTCTTTGTGGTCCTGCCCTGAGCTGTGCTGGGAGTTCTCCATCAGTTGACTTGGTTTTGCTACCATGTTTTTAGACGAAAGGCTATTTGATTGTGCAATGGTCGTCTTTAAGTTGCTGTTACTGGTGACAAGGGTATTACTATTGGGATGGTTGACATTCGTATTCATATTCGTCTCGCTTAAGCCAGCCGTCCGAGTGTCCACTGCGGATTGTGAGGGTGATGAAGGTGTGCTTTTGAAGCCGGCTTTCCAAGAATTCCTCGATTTTTTCTTGCCATGCTTCTTGGCGGGGCCTGCAGGCTGCTGCCGGGCAGAAGATGGGGGTGCCGGTGTGGACATGTCGACGATGTTAGCTGGTTCAAAGAACGCCAAGTGCCATAACCTCAGTTTAGTACATGGATTTCCTGTCGTCATCTTCATGCCAACAGTCACCAGGGGTGCGTTGTTGGGTTTGTTTTTTGCCGCCAATTTTTGTTCTGGTGTCCTTCGCATCTTCAAAGTATTTCCTCAATTCGCACCGGCGTTGAAAGAGATGGCAAGGCTCGAGGGAACATCCAAGAGACGTAGGGACGAAGACGAGGATCATGGCCACGCTCAGAGCCAGGATGCAGTCGTCCCCCGTAGCAGGATCACTTCAACTCTTCACGGCGTACAGGATAAAACAGAGTCAGTCAATTGACGCACACAGCATACCCCCACTGTCACCTCAACGGACACGGCACTTATCCTTTTTTTTTTTTTTTTTTTCCCTTTTTTCTTCTTTTTGGGAACCCCACTTTCTAAATATTCATGCAGATACAAGAATGGCGCCATCTTGAAAGTCTCTATGAAGAGCTTTGTCACGTACGAGTACTGCTCTTTTACCCCTGGACCGAACCTGAACATGATCATTGGACCAAACGGCACAGGAAAGAGTACCATCGTTTGCGCTATAGCCCTCGGACTCGGCTGGAATACCAATGCAAGTTGAGCTAGTTATTATACTTGGCGCAAGGTGGCATTTTGCGTACTTCATTGGGCACTGTTAACTGACCGGCATCTGGAATTGCAACGCTTAGGTGTTGGGCAGAGCAAAGGATATCTCAGAATTCGTCAAACATGGCGCGGACAAAGGGTGGATCGAAATTGTACTTTGCAACAGATTTGGGTCCAATGTCGCGATCAAGCGCCATATCAACAAGAACAATAACACTAGCGTTTGGAAGATCAACGGTACGAGCAATATCTGACAGCCAAGCCGAATGTTTAACGGATATAGACAACACCGCAGCGGGATGTAGCTGACAGTCGCCTTTTATTCCCGCGCTCAATAGGCGAGAACAAAACGCAGAAAGATGTTATGAAAAAGGTTCAGTCATTCAACATCCAGGTCGACAATCTTTGGTATGGGCGAAATCTCGAAATACTTCAGACCGCGCACTGTTTGTGTCGAACGAACAGCTGAAGTTTGGAATTAATCTCTATTGCATTTTCGTAGCCAATTTCTTCCGCAGGATAGAGTCTCGGAATTTGCACAGGTTTGTATTCAGAATGATGTTTGAAGTCAGCAAACAAATCCCTGCCCGTATACTAAAATTACGTTTGCGTTCGTTGGATAGATGTCACCGCAAGAACTTCTCAAGGAGACTCAGCGTGCTGTTGGAGGAGAGGAGATGTTAACTGATCATCAGAGGCTTATCGGCTTGTGGAACGAACATAAAACGATTGCTGCTGTACGTATTGATTGAACCAATTAAAGCACAGGCAAATGAGCTGTTGGAGAACCTTTGTCTAACGTCAATATCCTGATCAAAATAGTCCATGAAAGGAGATCTCGAGTTTATCGAAACGAACATGAAACGCAACCAAGTGATAGAAAAGGATGTGCTTCGATTTCAGGCGCGCGAAGCTGTGTTGAAAAGGGTACTTATAATACATTTGTTTAGGAAAATAGGTGTGAGTGGGAGTCCTGCAAAACCTAACTCGATATGTCCTCTTCAACTCCTACTAGGTGCGCCTGCTCGAGATTTGGATTCTATATGCGAAATACGGTAAAGCCAAGGATGAATACAATGAGGTCAAAGAATCGAGGCGCGTCACGTTCGCTATGTATAAGCAGCTCCAAACTGAAGTAGAACCGCTGCAGTCTAAACTCAGGTATGAATGGGGCTTCTCATTGAAGGAGATTTAAAGTTCTGCAGACTTACCGTAGTATTAACTGCACATTGTCTATCGTAGCACGATGGAAGACAGGGAGAAGCGTTGCGACGATGAAAAGGCCGTTTTGGACAGACAGTACCAGAAATCTGTCCATGCTATGAAAACCGTGGGCGCAGCGATCGAGGCAGTAGTATGTTGCAGCGAATGGCCCTGAAAGTCATGATATCATGATTTTGATAATACGAGTATTCACCGTAACATGCTAATGCCAATGTAGGAGGGAACGGGAGAGGAGCTTCGAAAGGATATGGACCGACTTCATGCCAGAGCTCAGCAGAGACAGGCTGCAATTGCCAATATGAAGCGCAAGGTTGCGGCACAGCAAGAATTGGTCGATGGTGCACAGTCGGATGAGCACATCAACAAGGAAAAGGATGAGCTGCATGAGAAAGTGGTAAGTGTGCTGTAAGTGGATCATACCGGAGGCATATCTAACTCTGGAGATTAACAAAGGTATTGCTGTTGTATTTTCATTTCCAGATGGCCATACAAGAAGAAGTTCACGACATAAAGGACAAGATTGACGTCCTGCGCTCCCGCCAAGAAGATATCGTTCGTGAGGGCAATTCCATAAATTTCCGACTGACCGAGAAAAGAAAACGGTATGAACTCGACGATGCAGCGTGAATCTCTGAATGATGGAGTCGTCCTAGTTGCGTACGAGTATATCTAAGTGGACCCATTACATACAGGCTGGAGGCACTCGACGATATTAGAAACAGACGACTGCAGCAGCTAAGGAGCCAAGATAACGATGTGTATGAGGCTGTTCTCTGGCTACGCCAGAATCGCGAGATGTTTCAGAAGCATGTCTTTGAGCCCGTGTGCCTTGAACTCAATATCAAAAATATGAAGTTCGTCAACGCCATCGAGAATATTCTTCGCAACCATCTCAAGGTACACACAATGTTACGGCATAGGTACGTCTAAACATTCGATGTTATTGGCTCATGGACTCTGACAATATCGACATCTTTTTGGTAACTAGACGTTTGTATGCCAGACGAGAGGTGATTATGATATCTTCACGCGTGAGCTGCTGGATAAGAGGAGACTGAGGGTTAATGTGATCGCTCCCAGTCCAAAGGAGTTGGACCTGGACAATTACAGCCCACCTGTGCCACCAAACCAACTCAGTCGTTATGGATTTACTTGCTACATGCTGGATGCCATCGATGGACCACCCGCGCTCATGGCAACTATGTGTAGCAAAGGTGGAATACACATGATTCCTGTCGCCGACACCCCGAACCTGGATTTTCAAGCAATCCGCGAAAGTAGAAAATTCAAGCGCTATGCCAACTCTACAACTGTTTACAGCGTGACCTACTCAAAGCACACTGGGGAAGCTATGGACACAGCAACGCAACTTCGACCAGCCCAGATCTTTACGGCGTCTGTTGACCACGAGGAGCGCGCTCAGCTGATTAGGGAAGTGGATCAAATGCGGTCCACTTTGGAGCAGAACGAAGGAAAGGTTCGCAACATGAGTGGGGAAGAGAATGGACTTCGCCAAGCCTATCAGGAACTCCAAAGCAAGAAGAATTCTCTGAGTGACAGGAGGAAGGAGTTGGTAATGATGATCAAGCAAAAGGAGAAGAACAAGATCGAGCTTGAGAGGTTTAAAGAGGACTTGGAACGCAAGCTGCAGGAGCCCTCGACTGAGGAGGGAGTGGAAACGATCCGTCGCAATCTCCGCAAATTGGCGATGAAGCGTTGCAAGCTGACCATGGACTATCTTGAACACGCCAAGGAGAGCCAGCGACTCTTCTCCAAGCTCACTATTGCGACGTTGAACCGGTTGCAGGCGCATACGGCACTGCAGGCGACAAAAGCGGAATGCGACGCAAAGGCTCGTGAGCTGAAGGACATGGAGGACCAATACGCTGCGGGTAACGATTTCAATGGCTATCAATTGCAGCGAGATGTGAGCCACCATCAAAACTGGACGATCAGCGATGTTAATCCGTCGTCCTGTGTGCATTTTTTTTTTTTTTTTTTTAGTGAACGAGCAATATGATGAGGTAAAGGAACGCGCCAAGGTTTTGTTAGACAAGGCCAAGGAGGAGTACAATACATTGCGGCCAGAAGACGTTGCTGAGTTCCAGGAGGTTGGAAAGGGCATCCCTCTGGAAGAATTGGAAGAGATGCTTTCTGCCGAGAGTGCCAAAGCTGCTCTTCACTATACCCCAAACCAATCGGTGATCGATAAGTACGAGCAACGTCAGGGGGAGATCAAGAGTGCCCAAGAAAAAGTTGAAACAAAGGAAAGGAAGCTGTCCAAGGTCATGACGGATATCGAAGCTGTCCGTGGACCGTGGCACATAAAACTGATTTCACTGATTGCGAGGATTAGCAAGGGATTCTCAAAATCGTTTGAGAAGATTGGGTGTGCAGGAGAGGTCAAGCTTGGCGAGCACGAGGACTATGACAAATGGTGCATCGAAATCCTGGTCAAGTTCAGGTACGTTTGTTAACTGATGTGACACACGGATGGATACCTTGAAGTATTTCGCAGAAGACTAACCTCTTTACGTGAAAACAGGGATACCGAGAAACTTCAAAAGTTGACGGGACAACGCCAATCGGGAGGAGTAAGTTGCTATTGTGAAGTTGCACCTGCTGTTAAGCAACTGTCCGTCGAGAATATAGCCTTCGTTCTAATCCATGTTTTCTCGCCTGTAACTGAATGTATTTTAGGAGCGTTCTGTATCGACGATCATGTACTTGATGGCCCTCCAGGAGATGTCCAAAGTGTCATTTCGAGTCGTGGATGAAATTAATCAGGGCATGGATCCTGTAAGTTGAGTTACATCTATTCGACATTATTGCGATACCTGGATGGCTCCTCCTTTATTTACGTTGTGTCTTTTTATGCGCGATCCTTGTTTACAGCGCAATGAACGTCTGGTTCACTCACAACTGGTGGATAAGGCATGCCAGGATGACACAGCACAGTACTTCCTGATTACACCCAAGCTGTTGCCGAACCTGGAGTACCACGAACGCATGAAAGTTCTCTGCATCTACAATGGAGAATGGCTGGACGAAAATGTCCCGAAATGGGGGACCTATATTGAGAACCAGCAGCGGAGTCGAGTCCGTCAGATGTAGAGTCATCCTTATCTTTACTGTGTGCCTAGTAGCTGGTATGCCCTCGTTCTTATGGTGATATAAATATAAAAGCAAAAAAAAAAAAAACTGTTTCGACTTGAGCCTTCGCTTGGGTGCGAGACCGATGTCGTTTTATATGTGGTGGCACAGAACAATTTGCTTGAGTTGGTGGAGATGGAGCAGGACAGCAAGAAACAATCTTCTCCTTGGTTGGAGGAGAAAAAAAAAAGAGAAGGAAAAAATGGATACAAGAGATGACAAAAATAGCGTTGAACATCAACCTGTTTACCTGACTGTAACAGAGCATGTGTGTACCCGGAGTCAGGATATGGGAAGTCTAAGTGACAGTCTCCTGGAATGGTATGCATGGCATGCATGGCATGCATGCAAGCATAGCCTCTTGATGTATTTGTGTGTGTTGCTGTGTGTGTGGTGGAAATCTAGGCCGCCTCTTGGTTGGGACCCATTTTATTTGATTTGTGTGTTACCCCCCACCCCTTTCCGCGTTACAACCAAATTAAATAAATTTGATTTATGGCCCATACAAACAATGCACGGATGGAATCTGTATACAAATTCATAGTCTACTTCAGACACTAGACGCGATTGCGTTACAAACATGGATTCGTAAACAAGATTCTCTCTGGGAACTGTAAGAGGGCGAGACACGATCGTCTCCTGCATCCCCCGCCTGTGCTGTTTATTTACTTTCCCAGTCTTCTTCGCCTCTGCTCATGGTCAGTGGAATGTCGCTCTATTACCGTTTTGGAAATCAAAATGGACGGTTGCACAAACTCAACGCGTTTCATGAACATTTGTTTCTTACGCTCAGTTCCTTGTTCCTGAACCTGAACCTGAACCGCTTCCCACTTTTTTTTTTGTCATCCTTCTTTTTCTCCCGCTACCTCTTTTCTTTCTTTCCTTTCTTTCTTCTCTCTCGTAAACACTCTTATCTTCATCCCCATCCTCATCCCCATCCTCAATTGTGTTTTCATACCCACTTCTCCCTACCATTCCCAAGTCAACCTGACATTCTTTACTTATCGTGCACACCCATCTACACTCTTCATCTTCCTCTTCAGCAATCTCCACTCCTCCAACACAGCACCACTTCGACGTCCTCCCGCCTCTTTCTTTCTTCCTTCTCGCTCGTTTACGACCCCCTCTTTCTTCCTCACTTGCATGCAACGCCCTAATTCCTCTGCCATCTTCTTCCTCCGCCTATTCACACCATCCCTATCCTCGAGATAATCCCACCCTCCTCCACTCCTTATCACTATATCACCGCATCAGCAATAACAACATCCAACAGGAACAGACTGACTCCTCGCAGCAAGCTCGCCAAGCGAGCACCCAAAGAGTCAAACACAACAAAGCACACACGACAAAAAAAATAACTCTTGCATCTCCGGAATAATACTCCCCATGCCTGCTAAATCTAAAGTCCCGCCCACGACCACGACGCAAGCACATCCTGATCCACCTGCAGGAAACAGCTCCATAACGAAGGGTTTCCCAGAACAGAATAATGCCACATCCTACGCCTCAACCGTCATAGCCACTACAACAACGACGCTCGTGGCCCCCGCACCGACTCTTGTTTTCAACAACAGCGGCTCCTCACAAAATCTCGCCCCAACACTCGAAGCCCCATTCCCTATAGCCCTAGTAGCAGGAGGCGCCGGTGGAGGCCTCGTCTTGCTCCTGTCGATCCTGGTGCTCGTGCTCTGTATGAGGAAAGAGAAGCGACGACAGAAGCGGGCACAAGAGCAGTATCTCTTGCCGAGAGACGAGGAATACAATGGTGAAAATCGCAGCATCTATAATGAGAAGCGTGCGCTGCACGTGCGCACGCCTGGTACTAGCGTGAGCGATGAGCGCGGGCATAGCCGTCGTGGATATGGTAGCGAGAGGGAGTACGAGAAGGCGCTATCGGTCGCCGACACGGGGTATGGGAGTAATGGGAGTGAATGGGGAGATGGTCGAGTTGATGGTCGAGTCGATGCGGTTTCTGTTGCGAGATGGCAAGCGCAACAGGGGCAGATGCAGCGGGTGCAACAACCAATGCCTCCGCCGGGGGCTGCTCTGAGGCCGGACGGACGTGGATATCCGCGTGAACCTGTAAGACACGGTGGTCCGGGTGTGCGAGGAGGAGCTGGGATGGATATGGCAGAGAGTCCAATGCGTGAACGGCGAACACGTTCTCCAACAGGGTCTCTTCAGATGCATTACCACCACCAACGACAGCTTCAACAGCAGCGACAGCAACAGCAGCATGATCTTTCGTCACAGTCATCGCGGTCGTCTCGGTCGCAGCAGGATCCGGAGTATGAGAACCATAAATGTGAGATCTTTTCACACCCGCAACCGCAGCCCAAATCCCGAAACCAGCCTCCGTCTTCGGCACCAATGTCAGGCATTCCTCGGCCTATAGCAAGCACGGCTACCTCCACGAAAAGTCGCCCGACGACGCCTAATTCGAATTCTAAATCAATGTTGTCGCCTAGGCATCCTTACCAGGGACATTCCAGTCATGCAGCACTGGTGGCAGCAACACCGGTAGAGTTTATGCCCAAGGACTTACACGGTGCATCCTCATCGTCATTATCGTCGTCATCGGCTTCCGGGTCTGCTATAGGTCTTACGCCGTCGCAACGCCGGCTGCTACAGCAAAAACAACAGCAAGAAGAGAAAGAACCCACTCCGAAGCCGCATTTACCAAAGCTACGCAAGAACAGCATTGCACCTTCGATATTCTCCGCGACCTCGACCAAGTCCAAGTACCCCTGGAATGATACCGAGTCCGTTGGCGGGTACATTGACCTCATCCCCATCAATACTCCGCGGATATCACAGGCGACGTTGATGTTCCAGAACTATGTGTCGAAGGGGAAGCAGAGGAAGGTGGATGATGAGGATTATGACATTTATGACCAACTGAACGACGAAAATGGGGAACTGGATTATTATGGATCTGGTGAAGGAGGAGCAGGAGGAGCATTGACGAGGTCGGGGACGAGGAATACGGCGGTTTCCGGTGGACGGCCGAGCGGGAGTGCGGCGTCGAGGAAGGGGGGCGTGAGGAATGATGATGATGAGATCCAGTACCTGTAGACGATAAAATATCCCTTCGCGAATAATGTTCATAGCACACAAAATAAACCACGCGAACGATAAGACACGTATGAAATGACAACAGTACCTGAACTGGACGCGTCGATTACAAACTCGATGAAGACCTTGAGTTCTTTGCGGACAAAAAAAAACTTCGCCGAGACAGTTGAGCGAGTAAGCGAAGATTATTTATCGTACAGACTATGCAACCATGCGACCATGCAACCGTGCAGCAATGCTGTGCAGGGAAGAGGTTGGGGGCATCCTAGGGCGCAGTCGCAGCCGCAGCATGGGTCCAGAACACAGAAAAATGCGGGGCGAAGCAGGGATCGCCTTTGTCTATGTGAGAATTACGGCCAAGGAAGAGTTCGAATGGAAAATGAGTCCATCGATACCGCCTGTTCGTTCTTCCGCCCGTTGATGGGAGTCTATATTTAAAGCGTTTTCTAGCTGGGATTCGAGAAGATTGAGAGCACAGCCCAAGTGCTAGTTGTCTCCATTGTTGTTGTTGTTGTTGTTGTTGTTGTTATTGGTGTTGTCGCATGGATGTTCACTCGGGAGTAGATGCATATGTGGCAGAGTCGATGCTAAGGGGGAGAAGAGTCATCCGCAGGGGGATAGAGCGCATGGGATGGGGCATTGTTGCAGTCTTTTTTGCAGTGTGAGAACATAAAAAACTCCACTTTTCTTTTTTCTTTTCTTTCATCACTCATCGCTTGAAGGAATGAAAGAGCAAAACACATAGCCATATATCCAATTGAAACCAACTTCTCTTTCTCTTTCTCTCACTTTCTCCTTCTCTTTCACTTTCACTTCCAACAGACCAACTAACCAACCGACCATCCCCAGCAACAAGAGACAGGACATTCACCATGCAGCGATTTTTGAATGGCGGCCGCAACCACCCCCCTCCCAACATGAACAAGCCCTTGCCAGAGCCACTCGTCGACCCAGATGAGGGAAAGACCCCTATCGGTAAGAAAGAAACAGGATCCCGTTGCTGCATGCGTGCGTGCAAGAACAACAACAGCAATAGTAACAATAGAAACTATGTCCTGTTTGACTTACTCGGACCCCTCTTGCTCCTTCAACACTAAAGGCGAGCTCGTGATTGTTCCTATTCAAGGAAAGGACCTCCCTAACCGCGAGAGATTCGGCAAGCAAGACCCCTTCATCCTCTTCAAGCTCGGAAATGTCAGCAAGAGAAGCTCAACAGATATCCGCGGTGGACAGAGACCGCGGTGGAAGGACGATCAGGTACGCTACAAGGGCTGAATTTGTCCGAGCCGAGGAAGGAGTCAATTGATGCCCAACCTGGCCCATGTGCTGCTGTCTTTTTCCACGCCCTTCTTCCCATTTCCTTTCTGGTGTTGCCTCGTGCACACTGGAGGAGAGGGGAAGCCGCACGAGTGACAACAGGAGTAGCCAAAGACACTCTTTACCTGTCTTCGACCGCACTGCAAACCTGCAACGAGGTCGTATGTCTTTGATATTGCACCCCATTGTATCATTCAACCTGAACTACCAGGAGCAAACACAGGAGCGAAATACAGCCGGGACACATTAGATGGGATAGCAAGCAAGATATTAACACGCCGCTTTTTCTGCAACGTTTTACTGTAGATCAACATTTTCATGTATCAGAGCGACGCCAAGGATGCCACATCGCTTTATGTTACTTGTCTGGATGAAGATCCGCAGAAGAACGATCTGATCGGTGATTGTGTCATCAACCTTGCCAAGGTCCTGGAGCAAGGAGAACACGATGGTACGATTGACTAAGCGCACTGGGCTGTCCTTTTTTTTCATGCACAAAAAGGATGGGGGTGTTATCTATAACTGAATCACTCATGGTCGCCATGAATGCTCGCTTCTTGTGCTGCTTCGTGAATAGACTGGTTCGAGCTATCGTTCAAGGGAAGGGAGGCAGGCGAACTCATGCTTCAGCTGACATATTACTCCCATGTAAGTCCATCCACTCGCCCCCACGAGCGTCGTTCTTTACCTTTCCCCTTTTTCCGAGGAGAAAAAACAATAAAACGTGAGCTGGACGTTTCATTAACTGCTTGTCTGTTTTGCACACGCCCGTGCAACGTGTCATTCCTCGTGCGCAGGACCCGAAGCACCCGACCAACAAGATGAACCGCCCTCCGCCTGCAACACCCACGAATGGTGCGCCTGCACGTCGGCCTATCCATCCAGTCAAGGAGTCAAAGAAGGCGGACGAAAAGCCAGTAGAGGACGAGCATGTGGATGAGGGGCCCGTATACAAGCCCCCTGTGGTCTCTGAGCCCCCAACCCCCCAGGTGCCCATGGTGCCTGCAGCAGCATATCCATACGGCACTTTGCCGACAGGAGCAGGACGTCCAGTGTCACCCTCAGCTCAGGGCCACTATGTGAGCCATCCTACGCCCCACGTGCCACCAGCGGTCCCATATGGACACCCTGCAGCAGCCAATCCCTATGGAGCCAACCCTGCTGCCTACCCCGGATATCCCACTGCGGGTGGAGCTCCTGCGTATCCTGACCCTGCTCTCGGAGCGGATCCCAGCAAACGCGTTTCGTTCCCAGGACAGCCAGTACAGGCGGGTGGGTTTTTGCCCACAGTATATCCACCCCATTCCCCTGGATTCCCGCCTCAGGCGCCAGGCCAGGCACCAGTAGCAGGAGCATATTCGCCTGCATTTCCACCGCACTCTCCAGGCTTCCCACCAAACGGGCCATATCCGCCTGTCTCGAATGCCAACGTGAACTCACCTTACCCGCCCGCTCAGCTGTTGCCGAATAACCAGGGCATGCCCAACAACGGACCACCAGCAGGATATCCGTTTGCGGCCCCCGGCGGTGTTTACCCCCCCAACAGCAACAGCAGCAACAACAGCAATGGTAGCAATGGCAGCGGGCCAGGTTTCCCAGGACAGCAGCAAGGATTCAGTCAGGGCGGACCTGGTTTCCCCACGGGACCTGGAAATAACAGCTTCCCTGGAGCCTTCCCCGGAAACAACAATAACAACAGCGGCAATAACCATCCATATAACAATAATGGTGGCAACATGGACAGCCATAGCAATGGCAATCTGAACAACATGAACAACAACGGCGGTTTCAACAACGGCGGCAACAACTTTAACAATAACAGCAACTTCAACAACGGCGGCAATAACAACAACAACAGCTTCAACAACGGAGGCAGCAACTTTAACAACAACAATAACGGTGGCAATAACTTCAACAGTTTCAACAACAACGGCAACAACTTTAACAACAACTCGAACAACTTCAACAACAACGGCAATAATTTCAACAATAATAACAGCAATGGAGGCAATTTTAGTAACAACAACAACTTCAACAACAACGGCGGCAACAGCTTCAATAATAACAATAACAACAATAGCGGGTTCGGCAACAACAACAACAACGGCGGCGGTTATTCCAGTGCAACGTTCACAAAGCCGAACACGATCTCGCCGACGCCAATACCTGCTGCGATTGTAAAGCAGCCAACGGTCATGTTCAGACCAGATGAGTTTTAGGCAGCCATTGGGACCTGTTTGCTGGACAAGGGTCAAGAAGTCCTGCTATTGAGCACCATCCAAAATATTCAACCAATTTTAAATAGCACCAATAAAAATAAAAAATAAAAAAAAAGTTTTTTCTAGCGTCGAACGCAGTGTAAGCCACGCCTTTTTTTTGGTATTCAACTTGGTGGCGTTTCTGAGCAATGAGAGGGGAGCAACACGCGAAGCGGGCAAATGTTGACAGCGGCGTAGGACCCGTGCTTGGCCAGCCAGCCTCTGGTCGCCCGCCTGTGATTCATCCCGGCTCACCGATCTTCAAGCCAAGGCGATAAGAAACGGCCTTCTCCGCACTTTTTTGATTTCCTTTTCTGGATTAACATGCTACGTCGGTGGTTCAATCAACCTTGCTTGCCTTCTGCCGCAACAGAAGGTTTTCAATCTCGGACTGAGAAAGAAAAAAAATGTTCAAGTCCAGACTGGGCGATATCTGGGGTAAAGAGGAGCAACTCCTTGCCTCACCGATCCATGAGCGTTCTGGGGCATCCCACAGAGACGCATGAGAAACGGGGAACAGCGCCCAGTGGGTGGTCGGATTTCCTACGGGGATGTTTATGCTTATCCTGTATTGTGTGAAAAAAAAAATGAAGGGACTGAATAAAAGGGACTTGAGAGATCTCCTCGTCCAATCCTAGTTCAATCTCATTCCCCTTTCTCTCACTTTCTCTCATTCCTCCTCCTTCACCACTCCGCTCCTCCTCGTCCTCCTCCTCCCTTCCTCCGTCCCCCCTCCATACCAATTCATATATAAGAAGCCATGTTGGTACTTCCCGGAACACAGGCCCTGTCGCCTTTCAAGGCCCATGCCCTTCTGCAGCAGGTCCAGGCAGCTGTTCCCTCGGTCCAGACCGTCTCCACACGCGCTGTCCACTTTGTACAGCCCAAGGCAGAACTGGACCAGACCACCCTAGTCGAGTTCTTGACCAACTACGCTACGCCCGAGAGAAAGATCCTCGATACCATGTTTTCTTCACCATCTTCTACTCATCTTGAGGTAACTAATGCCTTGCCTATCGATCGTCAATCGCATGCTGCGATGACCCTTTGCAGATGAACGTAATAGAGCAAGTGGATCAGTTAAAGCGCCGATATGGACCTGACAACCTCTCTTTTTTTCCCCGCTCTTTGTATGCGTGCGAACAATTTTTATATTTTCATTCATTCTCGGCAGGATGATCAAGAGCTAGTCAAGCTGATCTCTCAGCACGACAATACAGGCGCGACGAGCACAGAGGAAGGGTTCAACTTTTTCATTGTCCTCCCCCGTGCGGGTACGATCTCCCCATGGTCGTCCAAGGCGACGAACATTGCGCAGATGTGCAATCTGGACCGTCATGTGCAGCGTGTCGAGCGTGGTCAGGCATATCTGATCAGGACAAAGGATGGAAAGTCATTGACCGAGGCAGAGTTCAAGGCCATCGCTGCACTCGTACACGATCGTATGACCCAGGATGTTTTGAACGTCATCCCAGATGAAAGGGTTGTTTTCAAGGTAAGGAAACCACAGAAAACAGTGGTAGTTGATCTGATCAAGGTAGACCAATTGTGGACCAGAGAAGGGCAGGCACAGGATTGAAGAGCGATGGAGGATTATCGATAACCCAGCAGGGTCGTGATCCTTCTCTCCGTTTTGCACATGTTCCCTTCGCTTCAATATATTCGCCAAAAAGGACAGCTTACCCCCTCCAAGGATGACTCGGGATCCCTCAGCGCTTGAAAAACAAAGAAAAAATTGTTTACCTTGCACTGCCGAAGACAAGCAAGTCACGAAACGATCCATCGAGTTTTCATCCAGCTAAACCACTCTCCCCGCCTTTCTATATTATGAATGACAATCGGTACTTTAATAGCAAGGAACGCCCGCTCCCTTGAAGACCGTCCAATTGATGGGCAGTGATGAGGAGCGCAACCCGCGTGAGGCCCGCGAGCGATTAATCACTGCGAACAAGGAACTGGGACTGGCCCTGGCCGAGGACGAGATCGATTACCTGGTCGCAGCCTTCATTGGCAGCAGCAAGCTGAGCTCCGATAGCTGTCTGGCCCGCAACCCCACGGATGTGGAGCTCTTTATGTTTGCTCAGGTCAACTCGGAGCACTGTCGCCACAAGATCTTTGGAGCTGACTGGACAATCGATGGCGAAAAGAAGCCCCACTCGCTCTTTGGCATGATCAAGAACACGCATCAGCTTCACCCCCAGCATACCCTCTCGGCTTATTCCGATAACGCGGCTGTCCTCCAGGGACCCAAGGGAACCCGGTTCGCGCCCCTGGCCGAGGACAAGTATGCCTATAACTTCTTTGAGGAAGAGGTCCACACCGTCGTCAAGGTCGAGACTCATAACCATCCTACTGCAGTTTCACCCTTCCCCGGAGCGGCCACTGGATCAGGAGGAGAAATCCGTGATGAGGGAGCCACGGGTGTGGGATCGAAGCCCAAGGCTGGATTGACAGGATTCACCGTCTCGAACTTGTTGATCCCTGGACACATTCAGCCCTGGGAGACCGATTACGGAAAGCCTTCGCATGTGGCCTCGGCGTTGGATATCATGATTCAAGGACCCCTTGGAGGAGCCGCCTTCAACAACGAATTCGGTCGTCCCGCCATCACTGGATACTTCCGTACGTTCCTCGAGGCCGTCCCCAGCGTTAGCGGCAAAGACGAGATCCGTGGATTCCACAAGCCCATTATGCTCGCAGGAGGCCTCGGAACCATTCGTCCCCAGCATGTCCACAAGAACAAGATCCAACCCGGAGCTCATCTGGTAGTCCTCGGTGGCCCTTGTATGTTGATTGGCTTGGGAGGTGGTGCAGCCAGTTCGATGACCTCGGGCGAGTCCTCGGCCGCGTTGGATTTCGCATCCGTTCAGCGTGAGAACCCAGAGATGCAGCGTCGGTGCCAGCAAGTCATTGATACCTGCACGGCGCTTGGTGAGAAGAACCTGATCCAGTCGATTCACGATGTCGGCGCTGGAGGACTCTGCAATGCCTTACCTGAAATTGTGCACGACTGCAACCTGGGAGCCGCGATCGAGCTCCGTAATATTAACAACGACGACCCCAGCATGTCACCCATGGAGATCTGGTGCAACGAGTCGCAAGAGCGTTATGTCCTCGCTATCGGACCCGAGAACATTGAGCAGTTCAAGGCGATCTGTGAGCGCGAGCGCTGTCCTTATGCGTTGGCTGGTATTGCCACCGCGGAGGAGAAATTGGTGTTGACGGACAGTCTCCTGGGTACCACACCTATTGACCTGCCCATGTCGACCCTCTTTGGCAAGCCCCCCAAGATGTCGCGTGCGACCTCGACGATCGTGCCCCCTCGTGAGGCCTTTGATACGTCCTTGAGGGCCTACTTGCCTTCGATCACGGAGGCCGGGGCCCTCGCGACGGACGCTGTCCACCGCGTATTGCGTCTTCCTGCTGTCGCCTCAAAGTCGTTCTTGATCACCATCGGAGACCGCACGATTACGGGATTGGTTGCTCGTGACCAGTTCGTTGGTCCCTGGCAGGTGCCTGTCGCCGATGTCGCTGTCACGGCTACTTCGCTCGGTGTCTCAGTCGGAGAGGCAATGGCCATGGGAGAGCGTCCTCCTATCGCTTTGATCTCGGCGGCTGCTTCGGCTCGTATGGCTGTTGGAGAGTGCATCACCAACATGGCTGCGGCTAACATTCCTTCGCTTGGCCAGATCCGTATGTCTGCGAACTGGATGGCAGCACCTGACCACGAGGGTGAGGGTGCTCGTTTGTATGAGGCTGTTCAGGCTATTGGTCTGGACTTGTGCCCGGCTTTGGGAGTCAGCATTCCTGTCGGCAAGGATTCAATGTCGATGAAGATGAAGTGGAAGCAGGATGGAGAGCAGTTGGAGGTCACGGCTCCGTTGGCCCTCAACATTACCGGATTCGGACCTGTGGCGGATATCCACAAGACACTCACACCCGAGTTGATCACGGATGTGGAGGAGAGCACCGTGTTGGTGTTGATCGATCTTGCGAACGGAAAGGAGCGTTTGGGAGGTTCGGCCCTGGCACAGGTTTATAAGCAGATCGGAAGTGAGGCGCCCGATGTCGAGAGCGCTGAGGTCCTCAAGGCGTTCTTCCAGGCAATTCAGGCGGTTCGTGAGCACGGCGACCTTGTCCTGGCGTACCATGATCGTTCGGATGGTGGTCTGTTTGCGACGGTTGTGGAGATGTGCTTTGCTGGACACGTTGGTGCCAAAGTCGAGCTCTCCTCGATCACTTCGGATGCCATTGCTGGATTGTTCAACGAAGAGTTGGGAGCTGTGATCCAGGTGCGCCAGTCACAGGTTGAGCAACTCAAGGCTGTCTTTGCCGAGCACAACTTCCCGATCGAGTCCCTGAAGACGATTGGTACGGTTAACGCCAAGGGCGATGACTCGTTCATGGTGTCACACCAGGGACGTGTTGTTCTGGACATGAACCGTGTGGAACTGCAGCGGATCTGGACTGAGACCTCGTACCATATGCAAACGATCCGTGACAACTATGAATGCGCGCAGCAGGAATTCGATGGTTTGCTTGATGCTCAGGACCCGGGTCTGTCGTACCAGTTGACATTCGACCCTGCGGAGGAGATCTTGTCGAGCACAGAACTGGCTATTGAGAAGGAGAACCGTCCGAAGGTTGCGATCTTGCGCGAGCAAGGAGTCAACGGTCAGATCGAGATGGCATATGCATTCCATGCTGCGGGTTTCACGGCCGTGGATGTGCACATGTCTGATATCTTGAGCGGCAAGGTGACGCTGAAGGATTTCAAGGGTATTGCAGCCTGTGGTGGGTTCTCGTATGGAGATGTGTTGGGTGCCGGATCTGGATGGGCCAAATCGATCCTTCTGCACGAACATTCGCGGAACGAGTTCTATGATTTCTTGACGGTCCGCAAGGATACGTTTGCGTTGGGCGTGTGCAACGGATGTCAGTTCCTGTCCCAGATGCGTGAGCTGATCCCTGGTGCTGAGCATTGGCCATACTTTAAGCGAAACCAGAGCGAGCAGTTCGAAGCACGCTTCAGTATGGTCGAACTCGAGGATAACTCCTCTACCTCTGCCGCGACCGTTCCCTCAGTCTTCTTTGACGGCATGCGCGGATCCAAGTTCCCAATTGCGGTTGCGCACGGTGAGGGCCGAGCGGAATTTGTGAAGTCGGATGATTTGGAGAAGTTGCAAGTTGCGGGATTGATTGCGGCGTCGTTTGTGGATAACTATGGAAAGAAAACGGAGCAGTACCCGTTGAACCCGAATGGATCGCCATTGGGTGTTACGGCGGTGCAGACGCCAAATGGCAGAGTGTTGGCGATGATGCCGCATCCGGAGAGAGTGACGAGTCGGGAGGCAAACTCGTGGTACCCGCGTGTGGAGGGTGCACAATGGGGGGAGAACGGGCCCTGGATGAGGATGTTTAAGAACGCACGCAAGTGGGTTAGCACTCATTAAGAAGGAACGAAGAGGTTATTTCATTTTTTTCATTTGCATTTTCTTTTTTGGAAAGTAGATCATTCTTTCTACATTATTCGGTTTTCATTTCTGGGAAAATAAACTATCAAGCATACCAGGCATTCAAGGGTATACATGAAGATTATGGTGTAATGAAGAGTAAAGGTTGAAGAACTGCTCAAATTAAAGAAGCGAGTACAGAGTGAAAAGCAGTTTAGAGTTTTTCTTAAAAAATTAAATAAATATGTCACAGCAGAGAATCTTCAGGCGCATACATTGAGCATGCACAGCAACAACAACAACAATATGCACAGCAACAACAGCATGCACAGAGTGTCTTCCATACGATCAAACTTGTATATATCCTTTTTTTCTTTTCCTTCCTAAAAAAATGCGTTCAAACATAGATCGCTCGTTCACATGCATCCTAGTGGCATGGTGCTTCAATGGTGCTTCAATTTTGAGTGCATTTTTGCATTTACTTTTTTTTTCTTTTTTTCATCTTTTCATCCCCTGAAACAACTCAGGGGTCTCCAGCAGGGGCTGAGCTGGAGGTTTAACGAAGAGGCGGGAATCAATCTTGGGAAAAGAACAAAAAAAAATCTTCCCGGCGGCGAGAGAGAGACAGAGACAGAGAGGAAAAGAGAGAGAGAGAAAAATGCGCTCAAATCGAGGGACCATGGACACACCCATGGTACCATGGAGCATAGAAATGAGAGGTTCAACTTTGAACGCATTTTGGGTAATGAGGACTTTTGCCTCCAAAAAAAAAAAAAAAAAAAATTCCACGCGTGCCCCCTCAATAAAAAAAAATTCAGGTACGAGTCGAAAAATAGAGTTTCCTGGTTGGGGGGGGGCATCCTTCCTCCGCGCACATGCACGCACACACACACTCTCTCTCTTTCTCCTTCTCTTTCGCTCTCTGCTCCTAGTCCTTTCTTCCTCCTCTCCTCCGCTTCTTTAATACTCCACGTCGTCTTTCTTTTTATTTTTATTTTTGTTTTTTATTTTTTAAGCCAAGCCGAAGGAGCAAAACACGAATAACTGGCAACCGAGGATTTTCTTCAGAGAATGAACGAAGCTTTGCCCTGATCTCAGTCCTGGTCATGCAGGATATATCTACCTTCGGTATCGCCAGTCAAATCTAGGACAGACACACTCCCCTTCCTCATCTTATTCTTTTTACTCCAATATGAGCAACATCACCCTTTATAATATAATAAAAACACATGTAAAAGGACATTGGATACTGGATTCTGAAAAGGTATTGCAGGATGCCAAAAAGACTCTCTGTATCTCCCTTGCTTCCTTGCTTTCTTGCTCCCTTGCTTCCTTGCTGCTTTTTATTGTCCGTAACACTATCTCTGAAAAACACCAATAACGATGCAACGATTTCTATTTCGAAAAAAAAAATCGTCTTCTTCCGTATGGTTGCTCTTTCACTTGTGCTTCTTCTTCAACAACAAAGATGATGATCCTGATGCTCCAATACTGGGCTTCGGCGGCAAGGGAATCGGCTTGTGCGGGAGTGGGATCGGTGTTCTTCCATGAGGTTTCGGCTTTGAAGACGAAGACGAAGCCGAAGCCGAAGCCGTCAATGGCGATGATGATGCTGGCATAGCTGTAGCTGCAGGTAGCACGGTTGGGGACGTTACGACAGGACTCTTCTCCTGTTTCGAACCCATTGTCGGTGCAGCCGATGTTGCGATAGCAGGCGTGGTCGTAGTAGTAGCGACAGTAGAGGTAATAGCAGCGGTGGTGATGGTGGCGGGGGTGGATGTAGCAGCGCTGGATACAGAAGCAGGGATCGTACATGGCGTCGAAAGACCAGATGTTGACGTGGTACCAACACCGACTCCACCTACTGTTGAAGAAGTGTTCCGAGAATGACTGTTGGGCTTCCTGTTCAGTGACAGCACTGCTGGTTTGGGTGGCAAGGGCACAATGTTCGGTCGGGGTGGAAGAGGCAGCGGTTGATGGCCCGTCCGCTTTGGATGTGATCCATGATGACCGGATGAGGATGATGAGGACGGATTCCTGTGGTCTACTGTTGCCTCCGAGTCCCGTTTGCGATGAGTATAATTGTTGCTGCCACTGTTTACAGCACTAGGAGTCGCAGGCGAGCTTTGCTGGGATACGGGTGCAGATGCAGAATGAGTCGAGGGTGGGCTTGATAGGGTCGTCGATGCAGCTGTTGGAGTCGCAGCTGGCGTAACGGGAGACTTGGGGGCAGTATCGGCTGCTAGCTCCTTGCTGTCCTCCCTGCTTGGCGTTGAGACCTTTATCGACTCGATTTTATCCTCGACCGCCTCTTTAGGCTCATCAAGTTTGGTCACTGAAGGCTCCTTGTTCTTGACAGCAGATGTCGCACTTGAAGGCGAACCAATGTCCATTTCAGAGTCAGCGCTAGCCTCCTTGTCCTTGACCTCATCCATCATAACCTCGTCCTCAATCATCTCAGAGCTCGCCTCTGGTTCTGGTTCTGGTTCTGGTTCTGGTTCTGGTTCTGATTCTATCACAGACTTGTCCTTTGATTCCTCTGTAGCTGGCGCCTTGTTGGAGTCCTCTTCTGCTGCAGGTTCCTCCATTATAGTGTCCATAGCTGGAGTTGCTGTTGGGTTTACTTTAGATGCTGCTTCAGCTCCCTCTGTCGACGCATTATTTTCCTGTGAAGACAGATCCTGTACCACAGTCACACCTTTTTCTTGACTCGAGTTCAAGTACTCCATTTCTTTGAGGGCTTTCTTCGCCAATTTCTTGGCTCGACTTCCTGATCGCTCTCCACCATCGCCATCTGATTCCGGACCTGAGCTTGAAGGTGGATCCGAAAGCGAAGAATTCGAATCCACACTGCGTCGCCTGTTCCTCTTCTTTGTTACCACCTTCCTTGACGAACCCTCAGTACTGAGATTGTTACCACTGCCTCCATTACTCTCGCTCGGCTTTCCTGAACTCTCTGAGAGGGACACTGCTTCCCCTGTCATGGGACTAGGTTCCTGAGGACTGGGTTCCTTTTTGATGACGGATCCTGGAATATTACCGCCGCCATTGGTGGCGATGTTATTAGTGCTGCTACTGTTGGTGGCTGTGTTGTTTGTGCTTGGAAGAGGATCCTTCTTTCTTGGTTGAGGTCGTGGTGGTAAGCTGAGGTCTAGATCTCGCCTAGTCGGTCGATCCTTTGGACGTTTCTCTGTCGATCTTGAAACGTTAAGGTCATCTCGCCTCAGAGGTAATGAAGTTGACTTTGAGAGGGAGGGTAGTAGTGAGTTAGAAGAGGACGTTGTAGAATTATGTTTAGAGTTGGTTTGAGTAGATCCTGCTTCCTCCTTAACATGGTTCGTCGAGCCAGCGACGTGGTTCCTTTTGAAGCTCTTGTGGTCCTTTTCCGTTTCCTTTTCCTGTTCTTCTTCCTTCCCTTTCTCTATTATTTGTTTATTGCAGTTATACACGGGTTAAATGATTATTTTGATCCACGACCTGTACTATCTCGCACAATGGTTGGTTGGCATGACAAACATACCTAGCGGCGGTACCTGTTCTCTGACAATGGTCATAAGAGTGTCCTCGATCTTGCTCATGTACTGCGTGGGCTGTAGCAGCGAGTCGACAAACTGTTGCACCTTCTTGTACTCGGATGACCTATCGTTAAGACCAAGCCGAAAGAGCCGAAAAATGTTAATCATTTATCCATGGCCCCCAATTGCTCCTATCCATGCATGCTGCCGCTCCAGAAAGATGTTTTCTCTTAAAAAAGAAAAAAGAAACCTACTTTGAAATGCGCTCGACCATGAGTTGATGAAACTCTGACTTTTCGCGCTGGAGCAGGCTCGGATCTTCATTGATACAGCTCTGTAAAATGTCGCCCAGCTGTGTCGTAAACTGCTTTCCAACGGACTAAAAGTCGGCGGAGAAGGAAAAGCAGGATACAGAAGTGTTAGAAAAACGCTTACACCCACTTCATTCAGCGCATTATCATACATAGCACTCCTTTGACATGATGCGGCTTTATTGAGGGGCACATACACTGCTCTGAAAATCGTTCAATAGGTTCTTGCGTGTGCTGTCAAAGTCGCCTCGCCGCTTGAACAGGAGAGCAAGTTCTTCTGGCGTCATGAGGGTGGTTGATGAATCAAGGCTGAGCAGTAAAATGATGAACAATAAAGCGGAAGCCTAACAAGTCAGACAAGGCCAGACAAGGCGGAGTTTGGGCAAAAAATGAGCGATGGAGAATGAGATGCTTCTGAAAACAAGAGGGAGGTGATGAAAATAACGTGATCAGATGAAAAGAAAAGCAATGTAATAAAAGGGCTGCAAAAGGATGTCGTCCAGCAAACGTATATAGTACAGAAAAAAATGAAAAGAATTACTTCGCAAGGAGTGGGCAAGACAGGAGAGGAGAGAGAGGGATGGAGGCAAAGAAGTGGTGCCGTACTGTTGCGAGGGGCCTTTTGTGATAAACAAACTTTTCGCGTGCGAGTCACATTCTGTTCCTATCCAAGTGATGGGTCCAACCAAGGCGATTATCATGCTGCAATGCAAAATTTATTTGAGCACTATGCCATTTTCAGGTCGCTGACCTCGCTTTTCTGCCTCAAACGCTTGCGCCGCATAGTCTGGCTCTTGGGCGGTCGGGTTTTTGCCGACAAAAGTAATAGAATTGAAGTACGCGTCAGACGGACCTTAGGGCTTTTTCCGCGTCCGTCTTTGATTGTGGACTTTACGTCGTTCTAGCCATAGAAATATAAGGACGGTTATGGAGGCAGAGGAAGAAGGTTGACTAGTGGTTAGACACTCAGTTGAATTGCGTATCCAACTGTAGGGTTGTAAAAGTTCATTCTGGACAAACAAGACCAAGTATCGGTGTGCTGTGATTGCTGGTGATAGAGCATCCTTTATCACAGCTCTTGACTGAAGAGCATTCGAATTCACTACGTAGAAATATGTCAACTAAAGATGATGTGCCAGCTTCATGTTGTAAAAAAAAAAGTAGACGTGTTACATCGCGTAAGCCATTTCTTGATTTCTTCAATAGTCTTCGCACATGTGCTGCTTGAGGAATTTGGTCGAGATAAAGCGGGATTTTGACCTGGATTAGTATAACCACGTGTGTCTTTCGTCCATGAACATAGCTGCATGCGAGCTATTTGTGCTGCATGCAGTGGCTGTAACAATGATATACCGGCCGCCTGATAATATTCTTCATTAAAGACCTTTTACTCTGAATGCCCTTGTTTTTTTTTCTCGGTTCCATACCATTCCCCTCTCTTACATGCGCGCTTTATCCTTCATCGAAGATATAGATTAAACCGTACTAGCACCACGTTCTGCCACTCCAAGGAGGCATGCATCAACGGAGCTACACTTATCCCAGGCGAAGAAGACCAGGCTGATGCTGAACTTGGTGCTGCGTATGAAAGCGAATAAATAGAGTATGGGAGTGAGCTGGAAGTGTAGGAGTGAGAAATGGGATGAATGATCCAGCCTGCCTTCAGTTTTGGGCGCAGGCACAATTTGAGTTGACCCAGGCGTTATTTGAGCAGAGTCAAAATGAGTTGACCTGAGGAGTTGCCCGGTCAACTCAGTTGTTTTCACCCATTAAATAGTACGTCAGATAAAAATACAAAGTTGTCCATTTGTCTACTATGGTAAGTGAGAAAGAAAGAGAAAGAGGCGGGAGACGCGAGCAAACGAAACCATGGAACCATTGGCGGTAGGTTCTACAGATGGTCGCCCTCAAGTATCAGTCATCTCTTGTCATGGCCGTTCACCGACTGGGATACCGATCCGGATATGATTTAAGACCCCACCTTTTGATTGGAATTGATAGCCTCCTTTACTTGGACCAGTAACGTCAGATATTCGTTGCATCGATGCCATGCTACACCCGCCACTGCGACCAGTTCCGGTAGGGTTTGACCCTCAATATGTTCAGCCAGAGACCGCACAATGGCTTCAATCAGTCAACAATGTAGCTAAATAGTCAAAGAGCGTTCGTTATTAGCCACGTTGTCCCAAGGTATTGTTTCCAGAAAATCTATTGTTTGCAAGTGTCCCATACCTCGTTGCGATATCGAAGTGGTAGCCGTTCAGCCATGCGTTTCATAATCAGTTTCCTCACCAGCTTTCGTACCGCTCCTCCAGCTCCGACTCTTGACGCGCCTGCATTGGAGCTGTTGGGTCTCGCAGGGATCCTGGGTACTGTGATACCTTTTCCCTTTGCTCCAAGACCTACTCCAGTAGTACCAGATCGTCTCTGTCGACTTGCGTCCCGTCTATTGTTCTCGTCGTCATGACTGTTGTAGAGATTAGAGAGTGGTGATTTTATACGCTCCGCTTCCAGTCTCTCTGCTTCAACCCTCTGTTACTCCTGTTCCTATTGCTGCTCCAAGCTCTGCTGGCTTCTTATCCATCCCAGTTTCCCCACTGCTGCTGAAGCATGACTACCTCCGCCTCTCGTTGCTCCATCCTTTCGAACGATCGCTTCGTAGGCGCCTAGTTTAAATTTACAATATACAGATGTCAATAATATTGCACCTCATCACTCTTCGTAGACACTCGCTTTGTCCAGCCCTTTATCTTTGTCCACTCCACGTCTTCCGCAATCATTTTAAGGCCGTACAGGAACACGCCAAATGATTCATTAAAGTACGCCAGGCCCGCATGGATATCCGCCACGGCAGCGAGCTTTTTCTCGAGTTGGTTCGCGGGAGCGAAAGCTGATCAACAGGATCCTCGAGTTGCTGGGAGATGGACTGGAATGGCGCCAGTGCTGAGTGCTGTTGTTCATGCTCCTCCTGTTGTCGCTGCTGGTAGGAGAAGTGGGACGTGCTTGAAGAAGGGCCTCGTGGGCTGTGATGTTGTGAACGCCGGAGAAGGTTGCCATCATGATCATGCCTTATTGAGTTGAACAGTATGTGGCCAGCATCAATTGCTGTTGTAGACGCGCCTCCGCGTTTGACAGAGCGCTTTAGAAGCAGGCCGGGTCCTATTCTCGACTTGCGGCGGTGTGGTGTATCTTGAACCATGGGTCGTATAGACGTGTATAATTCCTGAGCAATGCCTTGAATAAGGGTGAGGAGGAGACAGAGTGATGTATGCGTTTTTCACCTAATCTGCTCGCGCAAAAGACGCGCTGAAATTTGGGATTTTTGGGCTCAAATGCTGCATAGTAGACCGACACCATGGTGTAAAACTAATAACCAGTTTACCTTAGAAATCTGGGGTCTGCGAATTGTCTAGCGCATAGAATCTTACTGAGCGAGCAAATCAAGGACCTCGAGTTTATTTATAATTTGCCAGCCTTTATGCCTTTATGCCTTTATGCTAATAAAAAACCTGCTTGAGGAATACGACCTTTGAACCGCCTGGTGTGTGATTGGTCTTCGTGATTGAGGGGATGTCTCTTGATCTCTTGTTTTTTACATGGGCTGGATGGTTTAGTGCGGGCAGCTCTGAATCATTAAGGCCCTAGACACCGTAGTTAACTGGCGTGCTGGTGCCAAAAGGAAGACTTTGGGTAACCGAGCAGGCGATGCTGAATCGTTTGATGTGCCCTGCTTGAGGGAATATGCTAATCTGCATTCGCGAGATTACCTTTGCACATCATCCGTTGTCGACTTTAGCCTGATACTTCCAGTGTTCAAGATCAAAACTGGTTTCCTTTCTAGCTGGTAAGGACATATCGCTAGTTCGCGTTCGCGTTTTCGTCTGGGCTGAAGCGCGTTGCACTACACCACTCCATGCATAAGACGATCTAGGGTATTCAAGTTGGGCTTGCAAGAACCCGTCGAAATAGGTGGTCGTGCCGGCGTTGCCAAATAAAGTTGACTCCTTCACGTTGCCTTGGAGATCGCGGCAAAGAGATCGCGGTCCAAATCACTAGCACAACATGCAGATAGACGCGCCTTCGTCGCTTGTATGTCATTGCCACCATAAAGTCACTCAAATAGACTGTTTGAAGGAACAATTCTTTATTGCATTGTCTGTTATTCCTACAATTCCTATCGGCACCATCGGCTCAACTTGCTATCAGTCAACCTTGGTTGCAAAGGTTGTGCAGAGTACACCACGGGCAGGTTGCAAGTCATCGTACTCCGAAAAAAACCGCACAAAGCCCAAACAGACCAAGTGGATAAAAAAAAGGGTTCAGAAACATTCTCGGGAACTCTTTTGTTTTTGCGTGAAGAAAAGGCGAAGCTCCTTGGCCGAAGGCACGACCAGAGATGATGATAACCTGAGGGGAGTAGGGAAGTGGGGGAATTTGATGCTCCCGGTCTAAATGCACTACTAGGGTTAGTAAACCCTCTGGGGAGCGGGTATAATCCACAGGTTGAAAATCTGGGATGGGTTGCCGAGGGCACGCATGGATGGAGGGTTACAGCCCCAGAATCGAAGTCAAAACTCCTGGGACCTCTATATTTTTTATCTAGGGAACAGTGGAGAGGGAATAGTGGAGTAAGCTTGCTGACGAAAATGCGTGTGAAGGAGGGTTGCTGACGAGAGTGGGCCCAAGAGATGGGAGTGGGAAGGAGGAAGGTGGGAGTGCGGTGGAGGAGAATGGGACCGAGTAAAGGACGAAAGACGAGGTTGTGTCAGTGAAGAGAAGAGGTATGGGGTGGAGGGTGGAGAGTGGAAGGTGAAGAGCAAAGAAGAAAAACTTATATCATACGTACCTGGAAAGAAACTTGCCGTAAGAGCGCGTGGGGAAGAGTGTGGAGGAGGTGGAAGAGGTGAAGAGGGAACGCGTAAGAAAGAAAGAGAGGAAAGAAAGAGGTGGAACAAAATCGAGTTTAAAATATGCCGCGTGGTCGGTGGCTGAGTCAATAACGAGGGGTCTGCGAGGACTGGAGGACTCGTATGGCCGCTAGGGCCTAAGGGACGGACTATAGGGAACGAGACGGTAGTAACGGTAGTGAGGGTATGCCTGGGAGTGAGCGAATAACGCGCGCGGCTCATCAGAGAAAAAAGGAACCATCATTCAGCGCTGTTCACCATGAGCCCAACTTGCATCAACATTGTCTTTGCCAGTGATGGGTGTTACTTTTGCCAGTGATGAGTGTGTTTTTTGACAGCGAAGGTGCATGATGCCGGACATATTGCCACCAATTTCATGAAGGTTGTTGGAAGTCGCTGATATTCTGTTCGCGTGGTTTCTTAACAACCTTAAAAAAACAAACAGCGCACCAACCACACGCGACTCAGCCCAAGCGAGCACTGCCAATAAAGTTTGGAAAACATTAAACATTGACAGCATCAACATGCGTTTGCTATGCTGCATGGTTCATATTTACTGCAACAGAGAAGAGGCGGCAGATGCAGTGCCACCATTCTATGAAAGGACAAGAACGCTGTCTCTAATGCGAAATATACTAATATCGTCTCACCAGCGCGTGCAAGCGATTGCGATTCGATAAACCCGATTCCTCCTGGAGAGAACAAGAATAAACGATAAGAACACAGTGAACATGAGGTCCACAAAGAGACACCCACTGCAGAAGAAACTATTTCTTCTTTACCGCTATTGCCTTTGCCTGCAGCAATAGCAAAGAGATTTTCGTGCTGGTAGGGAGTGAGGAGGAAAGGAAACACTAAAATGGTTGGTGAGCCATTTCTAGGCGATAAAGGCGCACTTAGACGAAATAAAGCACTGCTTTAAACAGCTGAAGACCAGTAAACGAATATATTATGGACGAAAACAAATGAGCTGACCGGGCAACTCAGGCCAACTCATTTTGAACCTTAATGTCCACCCAAATGACGCCTGGGTCAACTCAAATTGTGCCTGCGCCCAAAACTGAAGGCAGGCTGGATCATTCATCCCATTTCTCACTCCTACACTTCCAGCTCACTCCCATACTCTATTTATTCGCTTTCATACGCAGCACCAAGTTCAGCATCAGCCTGGTCTTCTTCGCCTGGGATAAGTGTAGCTCCGTTGATGCATGCCTCCTTGAAGTGGCAGAACGTGGTGCTAGTACGGTTTAATCTATATCTTCGATGAAGGATAAAGCGCATGTCTCCTCTTTCAATCTCGCTGCTCAATGGCGTACGATCATCGCAGCCGAATGATATTTGTTGGATCCCTTTGCAAAGGGCTGTCTCAACTGCAGATAGTGCAACACTTCGCATGGCTGCATGAGGTGAGAGGTGCAGAGATCGAGTAGGGGGGAATGGCTGTTTGCGCCGTTTGTTTTGAGTGAACCTTTTATTTTTATTTTTATTTTTGTAACTGCCCCCGTCATTTGAGTGGATATTATTCTGGGTCAAAATGAGTTGACCTGAGTTGCCCGGCCAACTCAAATGTATACTCCCTTTTGTTTATTGCTCTATCATACACAGAATAGTTTCTTTATTACTTGCGTGCCTTGCCGCTTTCATTAAGATTATACCAATCTCAACGTTGTCAAAGCGGAGAGATGATTTCTCGACTCGGATCCAGTATGGCAGGAGGGTTACTTCCTATTTAGTTTCACATCTAGAGCACCAGATCAACATGAAATGGGTGCAATATAGTAAGCAACGGGAACAATTATCTGATGCGCCTGCTTCATTTTGTTGCTACAGCAGACTGTACTTCAGACGGTTAATTGCACTCTTTGCGAGATAGACAAGGAAAAGCCAGCTAGGATGGATCATACTTTGCTCAGGCAGGGAGCCTCGGCATTCCTGCCATTTGATATCCTGATATTCTAATGTTCTGATATTTAGATATTCCATTTATTGTTTTGATGTTCTGATATTCTGATATTCTGAGATTCATTTTTTTTTTCTTTTTTTTTTTTGGTTGAAAGAAGAGGAGGCAGTGAAACTCTCAGAATGTGCGACCGCCCTCATCATAGCCCTTAAAAAAAGAGCCAGACAAGATCATCAATAAGCAAACAGGAACGCCCCCAAGAGGAGGCAGACCCGTGCTTCGCTTCCCTTTACGGGCAGCGCACTTCAACTCATCGTCGAGAGTAAACTGTGTGTCTAAGTTGGAAAACGAAGACTAGAGATGTACTAGACAGAAATCCTGTAAGTACAGTCGATAAAGAAAAAATTACTTCACGGTTGGAAGGTTCTTTTATACCACAGAGGGGATCGGTGACTGTTACCTCGATGGAAAACAAGACTACTGGGATTGAAAACAAATGGGAGCCAGACCCAGCTGTAATTGAAAGTAAAAAATAACAATGTTGTTTAGACTGTTGCAAGATGGTGTAAGACTGTTTGTTCTGCTTGAAGTCCACCTTTTTTCTCAGCTCCTTCAACTCCTGCGAAAGTATGTGGCATTGCTACTAAATCTGCGCACAGACGCTCTGATCTGTCTCCCTGTCAGCCTGTCCGCCAAACGGTTCAGAAAATCAAAACAGAAAACAGCAGTCCATTTTTTTTTTTTTTTTTTTGTTGCTATTGTGAGCAGCTTCAGACTTGTACCTCGACCCAGTGCGTTGTTCCTGTCGTTTTGCCCGACCGTCTTTCATTCTCCACTCGCATCTCTCATTCCCTCTCATCCATAGAAATAGAAACTTACGCAAGTCGTCATGGGTCGAGCTAATAACAAGGCCAATACAAAGGGTGCAAAAGGACACAGGCAGGCGAGAGCTGCTGCCAACGCCAACGCCAATAGCAGTACGTCCCTTTCGCCTCATTATTCATCCGCAGTTATTGCTATAATCAAAGTCCATGCCTCATTCAGCAGTGTCTATGCCCTCAGACTTTCGTCCTAACTGTATGTACAACAATTTTTTTACTTTCCCCGCACTGTAGAGCTCAAAAAGGATCCTGGTGTGCCTAACCTCAACCCCCTTCGGGAGCAGATGCTCCTGAAGAAGCAGCGTATCGCTGAAGCTAAACAACTTCAAAAGGAGGCACGGGAGAACGCCATGAACAAGAACCGCAAGATTATATCCCGTTCTTCCATACTCTCCATCCAGGACATTGCTCATCAAGCCACTGCTAGGGGCCAGGATTTCGATGCCACTGCGGTCGAGGTTAAAGAGGACGACGGCGTTCGGGAGGTCGTTGATTCCGCAGCTGTCGGTGGCAAAGATAACTCTAGAAAGGCGTATTACCGAGAGTTCAGGAAGGTCCTTGAGAATGCAGATGTTATTCTGGAGGTGTTGGACGCTAGAGATCCATTGGGCTGCAGGACAAGACAGATTGAAAGATTGATCATGGATTCTGGCAAGGACAAGCGCATCATTCTTGTTCTCAACAAGATCGGTATGCCTTGCTCTAACATCTTAGCTCTTTAAAGCAATTGTTCGCTTGGTCACTTGTAACTCCTGTTAGACTAACGAGCCGTTAATGATTCTTGGATAGATTTGGCGCCGAAAGGGAACGTCGAAAGCTGGCTCAAATACCTTCGTAACGAATATCCCACCATTGCTTTCAAGGCATCAACTCAGAATCAGCGCACGAACCTCGGACAGAGCAACATCGGCACAGATTTGGCATCAGAGGACATGTTGACAAGCAGTGAGTGCTTGGGAGCAGACCAGCTTGTGAAGCTGCTCAAGAACTACTGCCGTAACGCCAACATCAAGACCGCTATTACTGTCGGCGTCATCGGATACCCCAATGTCGGAAAATCCTCGGTCATCAATTCTTTGAAGCGCTCCAAGGTCTGCGGAGTCGGCTCAACACCAGGATTCACCAAGGTCGCACAGGAGATCGCTTTAGACAAGAATATTAAATTGCTGGATTGTCCCGGCATTGTGTTCTCCAAGGGAGACAATGGTGAGACAGCGGCCGAGCTGTTGCTTCGAAACTGCGTCAAGGTCGAATTGCTGGAGGACCCCATTTCGCCTGTCGAGCTGATTGTGGGCAGGTGTCAAAAGGAGCAGCTGATGGAGATGTATGGAGTGCCGTTGTTTGAGGACGTTAACGACTTTTTGGTTCACTTGGCCCGCCAACGAGGAAAGCTCAAGAGGGGTGGTATTCCAGATATTTTTTCTGCAGCACGATCGATTCTGAACGACTGGAACTCTGGAAAGATTCCCTTCTATACGATCCCGCCTGTTACTCGCCACACTCCTGTTGCAGCGGCTTCAATGGTTGAAGGATGGAGCAAAGAATTCGATATAGATACGCAGGAAGATGTTCAGGTTTTGGCCAGCATGAAATCGACTGTGGATATGAAGTATGCTATGGCCATGGCAGCTCAAGAGCGCGAGGAGGACGAGGTGGACATGGCAGATGAAATCGAATATCTTGGAGATGATGACACTTTTGGCGATGATACGGCTATGGACGAGGACGATGGCATGGACGAGGACGATGGCATGGACGAGGAGAGTGGCGATCAGGAGGCGCCGGTTGTCCCACGGTCATCCAAGCCCATTATCAACTTCAAGCCCAAGGGTAAGAAGTTGGAGCCCAAGGTGAAGCCTCAGATGGCATTCACACCCGAGGAGGCCGAGCTGAATCCGAGGTTGAACCAGGATCGTAAGAAGTGGCTGAAGCAGCAGCAAAAGAAGGCTCGTAAGATGCAGGCAGCGATTGAGGCAGGCGAGGATTTGGATATGGACGACGATGACGAAGAGAATATGGGTCAGCAAAACTTTGGACAAGGGTCTCGATTCGACTTTGGCAGCTTTGGAGTACAGTTTGGTGGCGACGATGAGTGTAAGTGCTTTTATCCGTTAATTGTCAGTGGATTACTGTATGATATGAGAAAATCTGCCCAAACTGACACGTCTCTTACTAATGCGTGTTGAACATAGTGCCCGATGAGGATGAAGACCTGTAAAGTGCCAATTACCATGTTTCCTATCCACTTACTATTCTTTTTTTTACCATCGCATATCACCCATGTCCTCCTTCCCTTTTTATTATTTGATAACCCATTGCATCCCCATCTACTCCACAGCACATTGTAATAAAACCATTTCGCAAAGAATAGCGCGAACCATTTCATTTCAGGCATATGTAAGCGTTGTGCGCGGAAAGAGTCACGTTTCACACGCAAGTTTGAACGCGCGTCCTACTTTCGAGTAGTTAAGAACCCTGCCTGGAACCGTTTAATTCAAGCTCCAACCATCAACAACAGCAACTTACAGGACCATGAACACATTTGTGCCATCACCAGGTTTCGATGCCAGCCGTTTCAAAGGCACAATCCTCATCCTGCCCTCGGTGTCGATCGGAAATGTGCCCCAGCTGACAACAGATCTTCTCCTTGCGACTCTCAAGCTCGACCGTGTTGGCTGTATCGAGGACGAGAATGTCATTCCCGTCGTTGGGCCTGCCGATAAACCACACGAGGCAACTTCGCCATTATCAGCAACAGCAACAACTGCACCAGGGTCAGCAGCGTCAGGAGCAGGGCTTTCTTTGGCCGTTGAGGTCTTCCAATCCAAGGATGGCAAATGGACCCTGATCCAGCAGCGTTCGCCTACAGTTCGTCACCGGTCACACTTTTATGCAGACAACCTTGTTCAGTTCATCAAGGATGCAGAATTCGATCAAGTGGTGCTCTTGGCCTCGGCAGATGGAGCTCGTCGAGTGGATATTCAATTGAGGTCGAGTACACCTGTCCGATATATTTCCTCACCCGCAGTACCCAAGACCTTGCTGGAGACGATCCAAGGATTAGGACTAGAGCAGCTCGAGAATGTGGCCACGACAGAGGATGAAAGGCGAGAGGCATTGATCAGACGACAGGAACACTTCCTAACACACGACCCGTCCAGTGCAGCCGCAGTTTCTTCTACATCCGCATCTGCATTAACTGATCGAGTAGAAGGAATGCAACTGGACGAGTCCGCCACAGTGGGTCAACAGCAGCTAGAGAAAGTACCAAGGATACCCAATGGCGGGATCGCTCGTCGATTGCACTCTTTGTGTCAGGAACAAGGGATCGCCATCTTGACGATCGTCAAATTCGCGATGGAAGGAGATAATGCGCCGGATGCGATTTTCCTAGCCAATGTGTTAAATGCGATCTTCAAGATGCATGCCCCAACAGAGCAGCAGACCCTGCAGGGCGAAGGGTGGAAGGCCCCCAAGAGCTGGGACTCGCTTTACGGCAACACATTTCATCAAGACATGTACCAGTGATTCCATTCGAACTAAAAACGAAAACGCTGAGGAAAAATGGCAATAAAAAAAAATGGCAATAAAAAAGAAAAGTCGGCATGTTTAGGGACATGGTGTATGTCTAGGACTGAGAGAATGATTTATTGTACAGGGTGTTGTTTGATTTTGTGAAACGCTTCTGATGATGGTGCGACAAAGATCCAAGGAAATAAGGCGATTCAAGTTGAGCTATTTAATCTCTAGCCGATCCATCCCTACAATTGTGGATATATCAATGTATACGCTCGTTAGATCATCCATGCAATAGATGAGGGATCGAGCGGCAGCAATCGAATGAAAAAAGAAAAATTACCTTGGTCGGTACTTGATACCCTTTGATTCTAGATCGTCCTCAATATCCTCGGGCAAACGTCCTTGCACCTGAACTGCGTAGATGCCCTTTTCGAATTTATCTATTATGGACGCGACAAACAAAGGTACAGACAATTGATCAGTATCGTTGCAGCGCCATCCATGACTATTTGGTTCTCGCCTCGGTAACTGAAGTCCATTCTCACCGATGCGCTGCCACTTGGCGACCCAGCTCTCTGAAGGCTGCATCACAGCAATTGCACTTGAAGAGAGAGATGACGAAACAATTGAAAAGTGTGAGTCGAATGTGGTTGAGGAAAGAAGGTATCAGCATAACATCCTGTTTCCTATTGTTTCCATACCCATCGTAGTGCTGGCTGGTACAGTCCATGACCCTATCCATGTGCCCTCGCATCTCCAGCAGTGATTCGCAATTGTCGCATCCATTCTTGAAAAACTGTTCTTGCTTCTATAGGTGAGAGGATGGTACGAGTGTACGTGATAAGGGGTTAGTATTCGAGCAGGTGCTGAGCAGTTCGTGTTCTTTACCGAGCGAGGTATGATCCTTGCCTTGATAAGCGAGCAAAGTAGACAGGCTCTAAGTTGCTTCTTGTCCGTAGGAATGATGCCCGACATGTCGAATCGAATTAAATTGATATGGGATCGAGGAGATTAAGAAGAGAGTGAGATGAGACGAAATAAAAGTGCATTTGAACCCTTTAATGTTCACTCGCTTGTGGTTCGGCAAGGAATAAGGGAAGCCAAGCCACTGTTCCCATTTTCAGGACATGAATTTCGTTTTTGCACGTCGCTTCTCCATCCCTTCTCCCTCTCCCTTTACACATATACACACACTTCATTTCCTCTGTGCCACTTTACAGCTCTTTATCGCTGTTTCCCGCCTTTGCCTGCCTCCACACACTTCACTTTGTCAGGAACACAATAGCGCGCATTGACTTTTTGTTCTTGAACTAGCAGTCAGCACTCTCTCTCGCCAGCAGGGATCATCGCTACACAGACACCTCCTTTTCTCCACCGCAAAACATTGACGGCATCTCTATACGCCACCAAACTCCATATCATACCCTCTTCATGACCAACTCAACAGTATCAAGTCCCTTTCCCACCACAGTCGTTACAGGAGGCACTATCGGCTCAATAGTTGTTGGTTGCAAGCTCCAGGTCCTCCACGGTCAACCGCCCGAATACCGCAAGGCCGAGATTCTCTCCATACGTCCTACCGCAACTGCCGATGACCCTGCTCGCTCCGAATACTATGTGCACTACTCCGATTACAACAAACGTTTGGACGAATGGGTTGCACCAGAGAGACTCAATCTCCTGGGGGAGATTGAATACCCCAAGGTCAAGAAGCCAAAGACAGTCCTCGCAGGCGTCGGCAAGGAGACAGGCAAGGGATCCGAGCCAGGAACACCCAGCGGAAGAGTATCCAAGAACAATCGAAAAAGCAATCTCAGCAAGGCTGCAACAACAGGAAAGGGAGCTGAGACGGCGTCTACTCCAGGGGCATCAGGATCTAATAAGCGTAAGGCTGCTGCAATGGAAGAGGACAGCGCAAGTCAGGAACAAGGGACAGGGATGAATGGAACAACACCTACCATCCAGGTCCAAGGAGAGGAGGATGAGGATGAAGAGATGGCAAATGGTGAATCGGTTTCACAGGAACAGATCCTGGACGAGAACGGGGATGTGTTTTCAAAGGAGCAAGAGATCGAAAAACTGCGGACGTCAGGATCAATGACCCAGAATCCACATGAGGTCGCCCGTGTCAAGAATTTGAACATGATACAGATCGGCAAGCATGAAGTCGAGACGTGGTACTTTTCGCCCTATCCAGTGGAATACGCCTACCTGCCGACCCTTTATATCTGCGAATTCTGCCTCTCATACTTTCCAGCAGTCAAGCAGTTGTCGCGCCATCGACTCAAGTGTACGCTTCAGCATCCACCAGGCAATGAGATCTATCGCAAAGACGATATTTCGTTTTTCGAGATCGACGGGCGGAAACAAAAGGTTTACTGCCGGAACCTGTGCCTGTTGTCGAAACTGTTTTTGGATCACAAGACGCTCTACTATGACGTGGACCCGTTCTTATTCTACGTGATGACCCAGCGGGACGAGGACGGCGCCCATCTGATCGGATATTTTTCAAAGGAAAAGGAGTCGTCAGAGCAGTACAACGTCGCGTGTATCTTAACAATGCCACAGTATCAGAGAATGGGATTCGGGCGATTGCTGATTGCGTTCTCGTACGAGCTGTCGAAAGTCGAGAAACGGTTAGGATCGCCAGAGAAACCGCTTTCAGATCTGGGACTGTTGTCGTACCGTGCATTCTGGGCGGAGACGATTGTGAGCTTGTTAGTGGAGCAACAGAAGGCAGGGATTGAGTTGTCGATCGACGATATTGCGAACAGGACGGCATTCCAGCCCCAGGATGTGCTGCACACACTTCAGAACCTGAATGCGCTCAAGTATTATCATGGGCAGTATGTGATCGTGTTGAGCGACACGGTAATCAAGAATGCGGAAAGGGCGGCGAAGAAGAAGAGGCGGGAGGTGGATCCCAAGGCACTGGTCTGGAAGCCGATCCACTTTACGGCAACGCAGCTGCGGTTCTTGTAGCAAACGGTCCAATGAATGGATTCAGTCTGCAATAATAAAGTTAAGCTTCAAAACAAACAGTATATTTCCTATTGGGGTCCTAAAAATTTTTTGGATGGGGGAACTGTGCCAGTATCCCAAATTCGAAAGAAATACTTGGGGGATATTACTCTGGATTCCTCCTAGTGTAGTATTAGGATCCCAATACAATGCACTCACTTTTTTCTACTGTCTGTAGGTCTGTAGAATAAAAAAAAAAAAAAAAAAAAAAGGCTGGCTGCACCATCTCATCTCCATTCTCATGTCGCATGTTGCACGTCTTAATGGTCATAATGGCAAGCTTTTTTTATTCACTTTCTATCTCTCTACGTCAAGTGTTTTCACGTACCGGTTCATAGACATCGTTTGGAGCTGCTCTTCTACTGATTGTAGAGCTGCTTCAACCCTCAACTCCAATGTGGACCCAGGCATCCGCAAGGAGGTTTTCAACACCGAGCGGATCAGACGCCTCTTGTAGTAGAATTGCTTTGACCGCGTGTTAGCTTTCTGGTCGCTCCCCTTCCGCCACTTGGACTTGTAGTGCTTGTTGAGTTGCCAAAGTGATGGTTGCCCATTCAGTCCAAAGAACCACTCCTTCCATTGGTCTCGAAGAGGATCGTCGCGTCCAAGCATGATGTGGTCAGCAATAAAAGGTGGTTGATATCTAGGGTACGCCAGCGCTTCTTCCATTTGGTCCATTTGGTCCTCTATGTCATGCTCTTCAGGCTGTGGTTGATGCTCTGGCGGTTGAAGCGCCTGTTCCTGGTCCGGTAGATGCAAGGTGGCTTCCTGATGGATTTCCGATTGCTGTTCCTGCTCATCTTCTTGTTCCACCACCGCTTGCTCCTGCTCCGCCGCTGTTTCTTGTTCTTCACCCGGCAGTTGTCGTTCTACTTGAGAACGTTGAACACGAACATGCGGCTGGAGCGTATGCAATAGCTGATGTCCTTGGGGCTGAATTAGCTGTTGCGTTTTCTCTATAAGCTGGATGTACAGCTCTTGCGCTTGCGCTAGTTGCGGGCTGGGTCCCAGATTTCGGAGTAGCTGCAACCCCTGCATTTGATCCTGTTGAAGTTGTCGTAAGCCATTCAAGTTCTGTTGACTCTGTGGTTGACGCCCTTGATCTGCTCCCTGCTGCTCCCTCTGAGATAAATTGGTTATCGCTTGAGTGAGGCCAGATGATATGTCGAAGGCAAAGCTGACGAGAGCGCTGAATCGATCGTCGATTCGAGCCTTAATGGTGGAGGTAGCCTCCATGAGGTCTTCTCTCTGCTCGTTTCTTACAGCAGATGTGGTCTTGAGGAGCTCGTTGAGTACGCGGTTATTCTGCTCATCTCGCATGTGCAGCGAGCGGAATTCGTGGTTGATGGCTGGAGCGTTTGCGGCAAGGCTGTCCGATACCGGGGAGCGTGTAGTTTCTATGCTGTGAAGTAAGCGTTCCTGGAACCTCAAGAATAGAGTGCTGCCAAATAAACGATCTCTGAAGATGTGGTGCTCGCCGTAACGAAATTCGGAAGTTCGAAGATTGATGAGAACCGCAGCGTCTTGAAGAAGGACTTTGCGCAGATGTGTCAATAGAAGAAGGATGCGCAGCTTGGGGATGTCCTGGCTCAGAATTTTCATCCTGGTGTTGGAAGGCCGATCCTCGAATATATCGCGATCCATCATGATATTGGAAGTCCATACGAGCCAATCCTCGGAATCCGTGAAGTAGTGTTCGATAAATGGGAAGACTTGTCGCTGAAGGTCAATAGGCGGGATGAGAGTATTTCGCGCGAGCCATAGACGCTCCCCTGGCAATGTGCACCCGGCCATTTTCAGAGCCACCTGCGCAGAATGTCGGTCCAGATAATGTGTCGCCACGCGATCAACGCTCCAGTGTCCAGCTTGCGCAATTGAGGCGATGTCCGCCCCGGCCGCGAGAGCATGGCGCGCTCCAGAACCTCGATGCGCATGAGTGGGCTTGTTCGTTGGGTTGGCCGATTTATTCCACATTGTGGCGGCATGCCTGTACTGTGCACTGTGTGACAACTGCTTCAACGGATCCCCTCCTGCATATAGGATGAAGATCTCGCTCCAGGAGTGTTCGTTGAAATCCGGAGGGCTTCTTGGATGCTACAAAGGAAGAAATGAAAAGGCGATTGTTATGAGCGCGAAAAAAAAAAAAATTAAAAAAAATTAAAAAAAAAAATTAAAAAAAAAATTAAGGAAAAAAATTAAAAAAAAATAGAGGAATAGAGGAGAGAGATCATACCATCCACAGTTCATAGAGGTAGAGTACGAAGGCACCGACGGGGCAGACCTCAACATCCTTGCTTCGCACTATAACTCCTTTATTCTCCTTGCCCTCGCGGTTCGTTTTCCCTCGTAGCATCGAAAGAGAGATACCAACAACACTTTGTCCTCCAGAGTTTCCTTGATTGACGGTGTGAGTGGCGAGGTCAGCCAATGTAGCCATCCTCATGTTTTCACCGCGCATTACCATATAGTGGGACCATACAGCGTTAAGCCGAGTGCGGAGGCCAACGACATCGTGCTTCCTTCCACCGCCTAGATGCCGGTACTTGTGGGTCCAAGCTGTCTTCATCGTCTGCCTCAACACCTCCAAGTCGTTTCCCTCGTCAAAGGTCAGATCGGTCGAGACCATAGATTTCTTCAGCGCGGCCACTCTTAGCTGATACTTCTTCATGAGCGTCCGGACATGAGCGGAGCGTGGGTGGGGCTCGTTTTGCATGGCCTTGTTTGAGGAGTCGGATTTCTGGCTGACATAAAGATCGATGGCGGCCTTGATATACGCATCCACCGTTTCGTAGGAAGGCAGGGGCAGGTTTGGATCGTACGCCAGCCGTTGCTGAGATCGGACCTTTGGGTTGGCGCGTAAAGGTTCGATACCTTTCATAGGGTCTGGCTCCTCAGCAACATTCTCAGCCATATATCGCTGAAACTTCTTGCAGTAAACGTTGATATCTGGGTATCCTTTTCGACGGCACCACTCCTGGAGAGATAGAAGTCAAGCATTAGGTCAGGTTCATTAGGTTTTACGCGTGCTTGTTGCGAGTATAAGGTATTAGAGGCAGTGCGAACCTCACACTTACCACCCAATGCCGCTGGTATCGTTCGTACATTGATACGGTCGATTTGGTCAAAAGTGCCTGGCGTTCTTGCTGGATCATAAGGTCGATTTCTTGTTCTGCCAGCGTGTTCATCATCATTCCTAATCTCTGTCCTGAAACCTGTCCATCCGCAAGCTCCATTTCTACTCCTGCCTCGGCCAGAGAGTTCTCCACAGCTCGTCGACGTTGTTCTCGCAGACCCTCCTGGACCTGGGATATTGTTTGCCGGCTTCGCGTGCGGGACGACAGGCTGGTCACCAATGTAGAGGAGGACGCCTCGCTGGAACCGCTGGAAAGCAAGGCCGAGGGCCGAGGATACATCTCACGGTGAACAGATTTCTCTAGAGCTCTTGGTGACAGGTGTTGCTGGGTTGCATGTTGTTGAGAGAATTGCGGTTGCATGGAAGGGCCATGACCCATGTCGACAACCTCATCACAGGAGGGAGTAATGAGGCCTTCGAAAAGAGTCTCGGGTACCATCTCTTGCTCCACCTCTTCCAGCTCCTCCAGCTCCTCTCCTCTGTCGGAACCGCCGACGGACAACGCTGCTATGCAGACATGTAGGCGAAAGGAGAGCGAACCGTTGAGCGCCAGTCTGCCATGGACGTGCTCCGTCTAGACGAATGTCGCGTCGATTGTCATTGAAGATGAGCGTGCATTTACCATTAGGAATTGGGTTTTGGGAAGAAGAGCCAGCTCGGCTGCTGGGGCCGTGGGTATATGGGGTGTGTGGGTGCTCCATTGCTGTAGACTTTGTCGAGAATGATGGTGGATGGAGTGGGTGGAGTGTCTGAGTGTGCCTGAGTGCGACGCGTTTGTTCAGTAAACAACATCTGGGTCCTGGTTTCCCAATCCTTATAGTGGTCTCTATTGTAAAGCACTAGGATTCAATTCAATTCGCACTGATTTAATGTAAATTAGGATCTTTTTTTGCAAAATATCGTCACAGTACATGTACTTGATGGATCCATAGCTGAGAGCAGAAACCTGGCTCATCATTTCACGCAAGTCCCATGCCTCAATTGCTCGTTAAATGAAAGAACCACGCCTCCCTGTTAATATTGTTTATTAGCTCATATCCCAGAGACCACCCTCGTTAGAGACATGAGCTTATCTGCCTACTGGTGCTATGTATTCAAGAGGCGCTATACATGCAATGCAACGACGCATGTACCGAAGACGGTGAACAACCCTTTTTCCTTTCCGTAGCACTCATCCAGGCCGCGCACGCACTCATTCACAAGGTAGAAAGCGCAAATGGTATGGCCTCATCGCTCCATGTGGATGGGATGCTTCGATGATAGATAAGCAATCCCCATCCCATGTGAAGGCTGAGGCAATTCAAGTGCTATGCGGGTATCTGAAGGAGCGCGGCGGGGATCACGAGCGAGTGAGCAAGCAACGGGGCTCCTCTTGTTTCTTATCAATGGCACCTTAAGAATGGGCGAGGCAAGCTCGAATGCCAAAGATCAGGCAAACGGCCAGGAGCACTAACACCGGGAACAAAGCTACGAAGCTGATCGGGGATATGATCATACAATGCCACACACTTCGACCTCCGTGAGTGGCCGCGAATGTGGATGTTTCTTCTTGAACGACCGTGGAGGCGGGACTGATCTGCGGAGATGGTAAGCTGGCCGAATCGACATCCACAATTACTGGATTAGCCATGAGCAGAACCTCGGATTGTGCGCCGGTGAGGTTATCTGGCTGTGGGGGCTCCGGCTGAGGGGCTGGCTGTGGAAGAGGGCCGACATGATTCGGAGCCGTATTAGGGTATCGACGCATGGCAGAGTTCATGATGGAGCGGGTGCTGTGGGTATAGGAACGGGGTGTGGAGTAGGAAAATAAGATGCGAGATTATTACCCTAAATCGCTTTGTTTTTATAGGCAAGAAAAGAAGAAAGACTGCGCCCGAAATGCACTATTACATTAGTGATCCTGCGGAGGGAAAGGATAGAATCTTGCTTCGCCAGGATCGTGGTTCTAAAAATTCCTATGTGCCATGCGAAAAAAAAAAAAGATACACTCGGTCCCCCAAGAATAACAAACGATCATATTCACCAACATAAAATGAGTCTTTCTTCCAGGCCAAAAAAAAAAAAAAAAAAAAAAAAAAAAAAGGTGCTATTAAAGATAAACATTTAATTTTTTTATTGGGTGCTTTGCTCACTTAAAGAGTCGCCTCTTTATAGTCAACACATTCACTGTTGAGTCTTTGGCTGTCTCTCTTGAAGTTTGGACGCAATCTCCCTCTGCATTTCTTGTTGTCTCTTGATCTTCGCCAGCGACTCACTCGAACGCAGGTCATTGACGGTATCCTTCGTCTTTCCGAAATAAACGTCCTTCAGCAAGTGTCGCATCTTGATCTCCATTTCCTCAACCATGCGTCCAATGTTGGCGATGTGCATCGAAGGGTCATCAACCAGACTGTCTTGCTCGGCCTATGAAGAAAATCCGAGACGCAAGAACGCAAGGCATTCCAGCCGCATTGTCCAATTTGAGAACTGGGCCACTGGGTCATAACGTAGAGAACAAAAATGGGCATCTATTTTTGCCACAAAAATAAAATAAATTATAGACGAACCTGGCGCGTCATACTCCCACTCAGATTCATATGGCCGAGTTCCGGCTTGTTTGTAACCATGTACAACATCACGGTCGATGTCAGTTGGTAGTGTGCGTTGCGACCCTTCTCTTGAACATCAAAGACGTGAATTGAGTCCCACGCGCCCTTCATTCTGCGGTTACCATCGCCGACTATCGAAAATAAAAACAACAAAAAAAAAAAAAAAAGCGGACATCAGTGGTGAGATGATTCCTGCACAGACGTGATGGTGTGCACTGACGATCTCCCTTTAAAAGATCCGGATCTATTGCAGCTGAAAAGCACATCGAAAGGCGTACCTTTCTTGATCAGGACGACTCCAGCAAATCCAGGATCCAAGTCCCAAAAGTATACTGACGAGACACCCCCTTCAAAGTACAGTTCCCTGTAGGTATCAAAGGCGTCGTTGGCTGCCTGCTCCAGTCTGCGAAGCTTTGATGAGGGATACGTTGCTTCAGCCAAAGGCGGGGAGAACTCGTTCGACCATGGTGATCTACAAGCAAGCGTCGATAGAATGTTAAACGAGTTAATAACCAATGTCGGGTCAAGCGCCCATGGCATTACAGACAAAATATGCTACTAATGCACCTTTCGACGCACCACTGCCTACCTGTAAGAGTTACCGTCGCGGTTGTATTCGCACAAGAGGTATTCTTTGCCTGTCTTCGCACAGGTCTGGACCTTCAGCGGTTGGTCAACGGTGTTAAGCAAGTCTTCAGTCAAGTCAGGAAGGAGCGTGACAAGCGAGGCCAGGTTCTCCTCTGCATTTTGAGGAGGCAGGCGACGCATCAGGTCGAGCGCCAGGTTCACCTGAGGGTTGACTTCTTCATCCTGCATGTCCTGCGAAACGACAAGCAACATGTCAACGGTCTCTGTTAATGGTTGTCGTTGTCCTTGGTATGATGCAAGGCGGCAAGTGGGAATAGGTGTAGCACAGGGTGACTCGAGCATTCACTTTTCATGGAAGAGGCCCAGGAGAGCAAGTACGCATGCTTACCATGGTCGATGTGATGATGATGATGTGATTGATTCGATAAGATGTCGAGAAAAAAGTAGGAAAGATGCTGATGCCTGACTCTTGCCTATCCCCTGTTGCCCCTGAAAGCCGTCGCTTGGGACCCACAACACGTCACGACAAGGACAAAACCTCACCGTAATGACCTGCAACTCATCAAGATCCCAGAGCTCGTCAGCTTAATCGCCCCGACACCTCTCGCCGAGCGACCTAACCGTTTGTCTGCGTGTCAACCACAACTGATTGAGGCCACTTTACCGGGACTATCTGTGTCTTTGATTATGAATACGCGCTATGGACTTCCCCACAAGAGCACGACAGCGGCGGCGACACAAGGCTAGGTGGGAGCAGTGTCCACCAATATGCACATTTCATCAAGACCGCCACCATCGCCAATGCTTTCTCCTTGCAGTACCTGGGAGACAATTGCACCAGTTTGACACGTATCTCCAATATAAAAAGCGCGCGTGAGGCAGAACATGCCGCTTAGCGCTAGGGGATGTCAGCTTCCTACGCGACAATTGTCCATGTTTGAGTCAAGCTAATTAGTCAAGATCCAGAGATCAGAATGAACCTTTCGAAAGTTGCCAGGGACGTGGACAGGGTCGCAGCAGCTCTAGGACAGTTATCGGGCCTCGAAAACCTCACTGTTTCAGAACTACCGCAGCAGGACACACTAGAACTCTTGCTCGATCATTGTCTCAACATTCACACTTTAACATGGAGTCCAGAAAGGTCCTCCGCTGTCGTACAATGACTGCTGTGTTGTTCGGACCAAGAGACGTTTACTTACATTCGGTGCCTAGATACACAGGCGATTGCCTTGGACCCTTGTTACAAAGATGCCGGGTTACTCGAACGTTATGGATTCCCAATCGACGCAGGAGAAGACCTTTTTCTATAGTTAGTCACCACCATTTCTGCAGTTTGTCCCAAGATCCGGCGAGTTGACATTATTCAAAGACGTGAATATTATGCAAATCAGTCGAGCATGCTGGGCCGAACGCTGGCAGGCTTCCCTCAGCCTGTATCTTTGTGGTTGCAGCTGATCAGGGTTGACTTCTCGATGGGACATCATCTTTCGTGGATTGGGCTGATGGACAAGCCGGAAGAGTGTTATGCGCGAACCCGGATGTTCACTCAGCACACCCCATACCACCTAATCTTTGGGGTACTCGAGCTGTGTCCGAACTTGAGGATTTTTGATCTGACTGAGATCCCTACAGTTGATAGACACTTCTTGCAGCTCCATTGGGCGTGTCGGGAGTCTTTAACAGAGCTGGAACTGACCCATTGTCTGCCAGGATCACATTTACGACTCGGATGGGATGTCCAGGGCTGCACATGTCAGCAATATGGACGAGGGTAGTAGGAAAATACCCTCATCATTGGACAGCTTACATCGGCCTCAGCAAGAGCAGATGATGAATCAACTGGTCCAGTTGAAGAACCTTGTGGAGTTGACCATGGACCTTGAGGTCTTAAGAAGATTGGTTCCCATAGCAAATGAACGGTGCGGCAATAGCGCGGTTTGTAGAGGTAAAGGGGCCCAAAGCATTGAGTGTCAATGGTACATAATACTGAAATCAATGGGACACTGCATCTCAATACGTCTCTCTCTTTCTCTCTCTCTCTCTCTCTCTCTTCGGTGTATTAAGATGCATTAAAGCTCGGGGCAAATATTTTCTGCTTCTTGTATTTTTTTATTCTTTTTATTCTTTTTTTTTTCTCTTTTTTTTTTGTACTGTCATTGGATGGCATATGGTGCTGGCGATGAATTGGATATTATGCGGTATATACAAATTGTATGCAAACAGATATAACAGGAGCGAGTCAACTCATGCCTCGCCTCACTGCAAGTACTCTGCAAGGCGATCAACGACATACGACATTGTTGGCCTCCTTCTCGGATCTTTCCTCCACATGTCCTGAATAAGCGACAACAGCGACGTAGGATACTTTCTGAGCCTATCCAGGGGCGGCCTCACATCCTTGTCCCGCACGGCCTCATACAGTTGATGCTCGGTCAAGTTGTGATAAGGGTATCCGAGGTCAGCCCAGGAGAGGATCTCCCAAAAGATTAGTCCGCAGGCATAAACGTCGACCTTTTCGGTGTAGCGGGGGTTAGGTGTCCAGAACTCGGGTGCTTGCCAGTTGGGTGTTCCGCATTGGGTGTGCATCGAAGCGTTGGCACGAGGACGGATTCGGGCGAGACCAAAATCATTGATCTTGGCTCTGTCGTCAGACGAAATCTGTGGGTGGAAGTGAAGATATGGGGCCGAAACAATGCATGGTGAGCTATTGAATACTATATTCTGCATTACAAGGATGAGTTGCGAGGATAAAGAACGTACCAGAATGTTCATGGATTTCATGTCCTATTCAGAAGAGCGTCAGTATCGACGATAAGAATAAAGGTTAGATAATCTTTCAAGAAAATGAGCCATGCCTCGGCCTAAAATTCAAAAGCACTCACTCTGTGGATGATACTTGGTCGGCGTGTATGGAGATATGAGCAGGCCTATTTGGTGCAAAAAAGAGAATCGAATCGATATTCGTTAATGGAGCACAACTGGGATTAAGTCACGTTGGTATAGATCCGACTGTATTTTTCATCCTGTTGCTCATTTTGTGCTTCTTACCAAGGCGATATCATGCATGTACATGATCTATAATGCAATAAGGAGCACGTTAGCTTACTATTCGGTGTCAATAAACTCTTAGCGATTTAAAAGTAATGCAAAACCCCTCCCCCGGCTACTCACCATTCGGCCAAAGGTGGGTCTTCGAGCTTTGCGCATATAATCGTACAGGTCACCGTGCTCACAAAGCTCTGTAACAATGCAGAGGTGTCGAACGTTGGTGCAAACCCCGACAAAACGCACAATGTTTTCATGCCTCAGTTGCCTATCCAACAAAGGAGAAGACGACGTTAGAGCAACCAAAAAAAAAAAAAAAAAAAAAAAAAGCCTCCATTGCATCGACAACAGAAAAGGAACGGGGCAGGGACGAACTACTTACTTGAGCACATCGATCTCATGCTTCATCTCTTTGATATCCGTCTCTGTGAAGTTCTGGATCCTGAGTTGTCCAATAGCCACATCCTCCTACGATTTCGCCGTTCGAGACAAGGCAAGACACGCGTTACGACCTGCTCCTCGACACCCCTCTCCTTGTCTTCCATCGGCTGAACACCAGTTCACTTACGCCTTTGTATTTTCCGGCATAGCAATCCTTGAATCCTCCAGATCCTAGCTTCCGTCCTACTTGAATCTGATCATATGTGATTTCACCCTGGAAGTTGGCATCCATCAGTAGTGAGTTCAGATACACAGTGTTGATGGCTGCCTTCTTGGACACAACCGGTATCTCAGGACAATATAGCTGAGGTGTCGATGGGCCTGGTACTGGCTTTGCTTTTTGCTATCAAGATTCGAACGAAGTATCAGACAAACGAGCATGAAGCGGCAGAAACATGGGCGAGATGCTGCTCGTTTTGAAGACTTACCCAGTCCAGCAAGTACTTGATCAACTGCTTCTTTTCGCCCTCAGCAGGCAGGCCTAATGAAACCCATTAACGTTTAGTAAAGTAGACTACAAATCGCATACCAATTGATATCTGGGAGATGGTTCCCTACCTCGGTCCTGGCACATGACGACGATGTCAGCTTTGATACGAGCGTTCAAGGTTTCCTCGGTCTCGTTCTCGAGTCGCTCGTCCACATGTCGCTCGATCGTCTGGAAGCCCTTTCCCATGAACGTGGAATGAACAGGTGGAGTAATGAACTGCCAATCAAAATGTCCGTTTGCGTTTCTCAACATATTGTATGTGATGTGTTGTCCTGAAGTGTTGTTGTAATGTGAATTTGCGATCGTGGAGATCAGGGTTCTGTTATTGTTTAATGCGGGCCGCACAGCAAGTGGAAAATAAAGAAAAGATTATGAGAGAGTAGGGATGAAAAGGAAAGGTTGGAAGGAGGGTAGAAAGATGTGAGAAAAAAGAAACATGGACGCGACCTTCCAGCTTGCTCTTCTCAAGCATCTTTGGCGTGCTTTTTTTTTTTTTTTTTTTTTTTACCTGGAGAAAGATGAAAGAAGGGGTCAGGATGAATGAAGGCGCTGGAGGCGAGTGGAGAGTGAGGAGGAGAAAGAGAAGAGTTGCTCAGGATGATGGCAGAGGTACAAAACAAAGAATGATCGAAAAGGGTGAACGCGGTTCTTTTTATATATGTCTAGCCACGCGATGAAGTAAAGTGTTGCACACGACTAAGAATGCACTATCACTAGGCTGAAATGTAACACAGGAGGAAGCAGAGTTACCCTGGCTGAACACAAAAAAAAAATCCAGGGCCTTGTACCGCGTGGCCCAATTTACTTCTCAAACAAGTTGCACTGCATTCACAAACGAATAAACTGTCGCCCAGTCCCTCGATTGCATGAGTCAAGGAGCTGGCATGTCATGCGCAGGAATGGGTCAGTCCCTCGCTGTATGGCCATCGACTTTAGGATACAGGGCACTACATGCTCCTGTGCTAATGTGCGTGGACCATGCAATCTACCTTATCTACCCGTTGGCAAGAGTAATCATTTCCATGCATCATTCATCTTCATGTCAGTGTTCGCCTCATCCTTGGGCTTTTCACAGCTAGCCTGCCCTTTAGTCCCTCTTTTGTGTATCGTCTCCCCCTCCCCCTTCTACACGCCTTAGCATCAGGCCTCGTTGCATGTATACCCTGAACAACTGTTGGCATGTGCTGACCGCCCCTGGGCAAGACTCATCCACAGTCAGAGTCATCTCTGACACGAAGTGCTAGAATGATCTCTCCTTCTCTTGTTTTCACTCTTCTTCACGAGTACTTGACCTGGGTCACTTCCTTGCCCTCTAGTTCGCATGCTATGCCTGAACCGTGGTTCTCTAGTTTGTGACCACTTGATGGCCTATTACTCCACGGTTACCCATTATTATTATTTTAGGTTATGAAATTGATGTCATGATGCATGGAGCGCTCCTGTGCAATATAAAGAATGAGAAGGGACCTATTCCTGAACATATCAGTCATCTTGACAAATTCTCGCGTGTCCCACGTGGTGGCAAGGCCAATTTACGCGTCGGAGTACTACAAGACTTGGCCATATAGGCATGCCCCTCCTTCTGCTACAATACTCATACTATTTTTTTTTGTGCACCCTTACTAGAACAAAATCCTTCGCGATATTCAATAGTTAGTCTATGAACGATGATGATTTATTTGCAGAAACATAAAGAAAGAAGTGCGCAAGGAGAAACCAAGTAAAAAAGAAGACAGAGCAATGCAAACTACGTCCTTGTAGAAACATTGCCTTAGATTTTGTGCGGGACAGTGTGGAAGGGTGACCAGATACCACGGACGGATTCTGTAGTCGAAATAACGGGCTTCTTAAACACCTTCATCCTGTTTCCAGCTGACTCCTTCAGCAGCGCAACCTTGCCCGCGATGTCCGTTGGCTCCATGTTGCGTACGCAAACAACCTTGTCCTTTCCATTGACTATAGGAAATAATGAATAAAATAGCGTTAACGATTGTTTCTGAGCAATAATGCTGATTTTGCTCCTGCTAATCCAGACAAAAAAAGAATCCATGAAGGGCAAGCCACTTACGGTATAAGCCGCGGATGACGGGGTGTTTGGAGGGCCTTGGCGTGACAATGACTTCGACATGAGGGTGCTCTTTTGCAAATTGGATCAGATCCTTCTTGAGATAGTCACTATCGGTATGAAGGTGGGAGTTGTTGCAAATGATGAGAACGATACTCCGATGACAACAATAGTGCCGTGATAATCCTGGCGTCCCAGCGGTCTATAGTTCTTGGTTCTTATTGATTGAGCAACTTTCTGGCAGTAAATGTGTCCACAAATATTGTCCTGCGTTCCAGTGGTCTGTCAAGTCCGTTACAAGGACGAGAGCGCTGTAATGCCGAAATCTGACTAAGCATTCCTGTGCTCACGATGCTGCTAGCATATTGACGATCAATGTCGTTCCTGTACCAATTGCTCTGTCGTATTGCGCTGGTTCGATTTATTATGCTCTCCTGTGACCAATTACTGCTGTGCTGTATTTCCTATTCCCCTCACTTCAGCCATTCTGTTCCTGTTCCTGCTCCTGTTCCTGCTCTTGCTCCTGTTTAAGTGTCAAGTTTTTCTGCAAATCTCTGAGTACACACTCCAAATATCCTCATAATAACTCTGACGGTACATATTCCACGTCCCGAGAGTCCCGTAGCTCTCTCTTATATATGATCCGCTCCTGTAAGGGTTAGTGGCAGTAACTCCTGAGAAAAGAAGAGAGAAAAAAAAAAAAAAAAGGCTTCTGGTCTGTGCTGGCATACATCATTCCCCTTGAACTGCCGCTACGTTCGCAGTAGTGAAATACAAGACGACGGCATTGTGGGATGAATGCGCCGACGCCGTTCTTGAGGACAGGGTGAGCCATTGGTGCCGGCATGGTGTGTATGTATGGTATCGAGTTTGGGTGGAGGCTAATGGGCGAGCAGCTTGATCGGATCTGGTTTGTTGATCTCAAGGTCGGAGGAACGAAAATTATTTCGGTGACGCCATCTAAATATGCAAAAATTGCTCCGGTAACCCGCATATAGTCCAAGGTGCACCTTCTGTTTATAAGTCTTTTATGATGTAGTTGCCCATCGTGACACAGAGTTCCTTGAGCCTTGCATCGCGTTTTTTGGAAGCCTCTGCGACCTCCTCCTCATGCTTTCGCTTCCTCGCCGCCCGCTCCTTGGCTCGCTCTGCTTGTAGCAGCAACTGAACATTTGGAGGAACATATGCTGGCACAGGGAGGTCATTGTTGTCCATGGCATCTTGGCCGTCTTGACCGTCGCCGCCATCGTCCGAGTTATCTTGAGGACCTGTCATCTCTATGATATTCTTCAGCCAGAGGTTACACAGTCAGTGAATCTCAACTCCCCTTTGCTATGCCAGTCCACCAAGAGTATGGCGCCCTTAAAGGCCACAGACGATTCAGACAATGATAGTGAGAGTGAAGAGGACGAGATAAGATCGCAGGGACCATGTCACAGGACTGGACCCAGGCAACCCTAATAGGATTAGGCGTCGGTTGACGGAACCTTAGATACCAGTCTAACATGCCGACAAGCTCTTTGGCCGAGCCGTGCCGGTCCCGTAAAACGTATAGAAAGGCCCCTCGCTACCTGTTAATAAAGCACTCATTCTTATCCTGACTTCCTGACCTGAGTTACTGCTGCAGACCAGTAATTCGACCCCACACATCAAACCAAGGACCGCAGGAGCTCGAACATATTTGTAAGAGGTTGAGAAGACATAGAGGGAATGGGTTCGATTTGATCGAGCCGGTGGGCAGTCCGGTCAGGAAAATAGATAAACAATAGGGATGGAGAAGGCGTATAGTGGAAGGGCAGGAGAAAAGGGCAGCAATAAAGTTAGAGCTGGACATACAGAGGGTTGCAGACTCAGAGAAATTTTCAGAATGGACATTGGAAATGCAGCAAGAGAGGTTGGAAATGGATATGAGGATGAAGCGAATTCAGGAACAGATGATGATGGTGTTGGAACTAAAGAAGATGGCCCGGGACGCTGGTCTGTAAGCAGAGCAACCACAGTTGACAATTCTGATCGGCCGATGGAGCAGGAGACATCCATCCTAGTGTCGACAGAGTGATCTTCGTGTCCTGATGCACCAGAATTCCATCTGGTTCCCAGGGTATCTCACATGCGAGCACTCCTCGGCAGCGGATATCAGACAGTACCAGTAACGCCTTCTCTCGAGATCGCCTCCAGTCCGTGGCAACCAACGACTCGTTTGCAATCGCTCTGTTCAGCTCATCGCCGTATTCTGTATCAAGCCCTCTTGCCGGTTTTCATCACATTCATCCATCAATGAAAATTATGGTCTGGTGCTTATTCGCCGGCACGTATTAAACTGGATTTCAAATCGAATGCAATATCTCAGTCCCTCTTGCCAAGCTGATTCAGCTTAGAGACTTGAGTGGATGTATTGCAATTTATTCTCTTGGGTTGAACGATATTACTCTATTCTATTGGCCCTCCTCGCTAAAAAAAAAAAAAACAGAAAAAATCGACTTGGGCCAGAAACCGTGGAGAAAGAAGGCTAACGTTGAGCTTTAATGCTGTGGAAGGAAGGACCGTATCGCAAACACGAGGCCGTGCCTTGGGAGAGTGTAATTCTCTGAACCTCTCCAACACAATCATATTTGCTATAGCCAATAACTGTGATAGTTGGGCTGTACAGATTGTTCCCGACAGTGATAGACTTGGAACCCATTCCCTTGAGATTTTTACAGTTGCCAAGTTCGCCATTACACATGCCCGTTGAAGAATCGCCGCCGCAGCCATCTTCCTCATACACTTCGTAATGAAGATTGCAGAGAAGTGCTGTCATGTTTCCATCGTTAGGCTTAGTCACAACATTCAAGGGAGCATCGGCGGCAACGACATCCAGAGGAGCAACGGCGGCAACGGGATCCAGAGGCACAACGGCAGCAGCGGCAACGGCAATTAATCCCAAAAGAGTGGCAAGCTTGGATGGTCCGTACATTGTGTTGTCGAGGGGTTGTGTGTGAGTGTTTTGGAAGTGGGAGTGACTGATATTTATAATAACTGCTCCTACTATTTCCATAGGAACAACCTTAAAGTCCTCGCCACGACATGTATGCGCCAAATAAAGACGCGCAAAAATGTACAAGTGCATAGAAGGAGGTGCCTCAATCGGTGTCCTATTGATACTATGCACGCTTGCATGCATGGTCTCTCCAGTGATAGTAGTTCCCACAGGGCAGGGCTTAAGGTTGGCCCAAGAAAGTCCAATGCTAGTTCTCCCAGAACAGGGCTCTTTTAGTTCTCACGGGCCGATATTTTTATATATTTTTCGGTCGATGCCTTTCTAATTGTCCTGCCGCATATTCAGCCGAGTCCAATGTACATACATATTCGCCCCGTGAACGCCGTCGAGGTTGTTGATATTGATTCGTAACTCGGTGAGAGATTTCCAGCGTCTTTTGAGCCTTTCAAAACGTATACTCTATCTTGACTCGAGCCCCACTGAACTTTCTGCTGAACGCCTGTTAATTTCCTTAGAGGTTTCGTCTGAAGCCCGTTATGAGGGTAGGTACTGGGCCATATGCTGCATCCTCTCATGCACATTTTCCCAGCCCTGCTTTTACACAAGACAGTACTTATATGTGCCGAGGAACGCTTGATTGTTACCTCTCCATTGACATATAAGCATGACAAGGGCGCGGTGATATTAGCTTACAGCCCCTCAATGCACCGCTCATACTACTTTTTCACCAATACAACGGAGAGACCCAGAATCCTGGCAAGGGCATCATCCGAGCCATGGGACTCACTGTGGCCCAGCCGGTGTATGATCATGCAATAATGCCTCTCCCATGGACACCCTTCCGAGCATTTTTACAATCGACAACAACCCATCCATCAAGGAAGTGGCTATGTTCGGGAGAAAGTTTAATCATGGTTGCACAATGAATGTAAAAAATTGTGCTGTGGTAGAAATCTTGCCGGTATTCATTAAATTCTAGCTTTATTTTGTCAAAGATTAATATATCGAGTTTATTCTTCACCCACGATAACCAGGCCACATCTGCAGACGGGCACTCACGCCATGCAAATGCATCACATCCATCTGTCCACACCTACGACAGAACGTTGAACCCTTACCCGGTATCCCCAGATGTTCCCTCCATTTTTGTCGCAGCTCCGTCAACTTTAACTTCCGTCTCTCCTCCGCTTCCACTACATCCACGGCCCCCGATGAAAACGGCCACAGACAGGCGAACGACGAAGGCGTGGTCGAGTAATCCGCGGCCGCATCGCCTTTCTGCATCCCCCTCCACAATTTCTTGATCCAATCCTGTTCCACTGAGGTCGAGATACCTTCCTTGCCATCCCACCCGAGCGAGAACAGCATCCTGATACGTTTTTCCACGCCTTCAAAGAACTCGTCCGTTGGGGCCAGGTTGTCGTGGAGGTCGAATGTTGGTTGTGGTGAGGTCCAATACTGCAGCAGCTGCCGATTCGGCTCTATCGTGAAATATCCGTCCGTCACCTTGACATCGAGTCGATGCCAGCGTCCCTTGTCTCGGCTCGACTTTGCTATTGCGTCCGTCGCAGAACGTGCACACCCTGCTCGTCGCTGTATTTCTTCATGAATCTCCTGGATGGCGCCTAGAGACTCGAATTGGTCCACACCCACGGGCGAGTCCAGCGCAAAGTGAAACCTCGGCAAGAACACGTCTGTGGATGGAGTGACATCAGGCGTGCCTTCCTTGTTGCTTTGTCCATTTGCGTGCGAAATGCCCTCCCCATGACAGCCTCCGTGATAGCTGTGATCACGCTTTGGTCTACGATCACACGAAAGCGTCAGGAACAATACAAACCGGTTTTCCCAGCTCTTGACATCGTTCGTCTTTTTCTTGCTGATATCCCGGCTGAGGAACTCCGAATCCTGCAAGGGTCGGCCGGGCTCGAAACAGTACTGAACAGGTTCGCCCCAGATCGCAATGGGGTAGGCACGAACAAAAGGTTCGCCGACACGAAGACCGCCGTAGAACTCAAGTCGACTGCGTTCGATCTGCAGCGAGAGCGGAAGAAGATCTTGCCATGTGCGAAGAGTCTCAACACGTTTCTTGGCCCGTTTCGCAGGGACCAAGCTGATATCCGAGGTATTAGTGCTCCCTGTAAGACAGTCAGGCGAAGGCTCCGCAGAGACGATGATCAACCGCTTGGGAGCCGTACGCTTTGTCCAGACATTCGTTTTCGGGAGGCACAACCACCAGATGCATCCTTCTCTGCACCCTGCCTCCTCCTCCATGCCATTGCTTAGCTCGCTCGAGATCTCTGTAAGAGTCATGTCCGATAAATCATTATCTTTGCTCTGTGCTGTCGACTGAACTCTGCTGTCACTGCCAAGACCAGGCCCAGACGAATCCTCGATGAAATCCGGCTGGAGAAACCCGTTATCGAGCGGACACCATACACTGAAATCCTCGCCGTTCCATCGGTCGCCCCACTGGTTGCTGTTGTCGGCACAGTAATTCCACAGTGTGAAACTCAGCATGCTTGCATCCATGGCATCGAGCAACATCTTCATCGCAAATGACTGCTTTGGATATCCGTACCGGTTCTTGAAACTCGTTTTGTTGTGCATGTCAATAGGCAGACCCGTCTCGCCCATCAGGATGCCGTGGTCGCGACCCATAGCGAACTGGATATCAGACTGAATCCCATGTACTTGATCCTTCCATGCCTGTCCGACTCCACCCCAGCCGAACTTGAGCGCCCCGAGGACCGACCAGTAGATACCACGTTTGTAACCCAGATAATCAAGCGTGAAGGGAACAAAGTCGCGAGTAACATTTGTATACCCGTCATAGAAGTGAGGCGCGACCACAACATTGTCGCCCACGTCACCAACGGGGTCGAAAACTGGGTGTTGGCATGCATTCTCGTACAAATAGTCCGCCGTCTCCGCAGGTCCCTTGCCTTTCTCCTCGCCATCGCCGCCATCGCCACTCGCTGAAGCTGAAGCTGGAGGTATCGCAGGTACCGACTGCCGCATAATCGAGGCCGTGTGCTGGTTCTTGAACGCCTTGTGAGGTTGCCCACTAACTATTGCTCGGAACATATTCTTCAACTGATCTGTTGCGCCGCCGATCAAGACCTTCTGCAGACGAAACATGGGAGGCTCCTCGTTGATTGGTGGCTCCACAAAGATCGTAAACCTAGGATCTTGCTGTCGTAGCCGCAGCGAAAACGTGTTGACGAACGGCAGCCAAAAGTCCTGCTTCCATTCGACTTCTTTGCCGGGCTGAAATCCTGGCGGCACATACTGCCTGGTCGGTATGCGTTGAAAGTAGTTGGGTTTCAGCAATTTGCCCGTTTGTGGATCCCAGACCTTGTGCTCTGCCCAAAGACAGACTTCACTGTATCCCGCAGGCTTTGGCCAGCCAGTTTTGGCAAGGTTGGATTCTGCAAGCTCGAGTGGAGTAAGAGACTTAGGGCTAAATGATGCCAATGATTCTGCAGACTGCGGTGATATTACTAGTGGTGGCGGGGCTCTAGTGCTTGGTGCTGTTGATTCGCCTGCTGGATCACCAGTGATATTGAGATGCGAGACAACGTCGAAGGGTGAATTCTCTGGATGGTAGGCAGGTGAAGGGTAGGCCGGGGCTGAGGGCGGGTATAGGTGTTGCTCTCCAAACGCATTGTTGCTCTTGTACTGCCGATTTGCCCTCCAGAACGGTCTCTTCCACAAGTTGACCTTTCCTTCATTAACCTTGAGTGATCCCTTTCTCAGTGGACCAAGGCTACCTGTCTCCCAGACCTGACAGTTAACTGTCCTGCCCTGGGCAAGCTCCAATCCTTGGAATGGAGTTGGACATGCTCCAATCTGCAGATCCGCCAACTCCAACAATTCATTCAAATTTGGATGGTTCAAATATCCCGGTGAAGGCTCGTTCAGCGTGTCAAAACCCATAACCGTCCCTGAATCAATCAGTCCTGCGCCGAGACCATCTCTGACTGTCTTAGTATCATCATCGCGGATCTGTTGGGCCAAGTGTGAAAAGGCCTCTATGAAATGCCCCTGCAGGAAATGTTGGATGTTGACCCGTCCGCGCTCCACGAACTCTTGGTCAACTCTAGGGATCGGGGTCAAGTTCTGAACTGGAGAAGGTGCCTTAATGCCTCCAGAGACGCCTCGTCGATAGGCCTCATCCGAGACGACCGTCGAATGGATCTTGCGCAAATGCGACAGGACTGTAGTCGAAAGAGGGACCATGGCGTGGGGCGCAAAGATCTGGCCGGCGAAGAACAGTGTGTACATGGTGGCAGCTGCAACCTTGATACTGTTGGTGGCCCAAATCATCCTTGGGTAGTTTTCCTTGTTCTCATACGTCTATAATGAAGAAAATCAGTTAATTACATATGTCACAGGAATCGGTTCTTTAAGGCTCCTCCCGTGAAACTAGCAATCTTTAAGTAGCAACTCACATTTTGAACGACGGCCGCTCCGGTCGCGTCAAACTTTCTCATGTCGAGCCCTGCCAGTTCGAGGGTCCATCCAGGCCTAACAACATCATAAAATGACAAAATCACCGCTTGTGTTAAAAAGGGGGGAATGAATGGTCGTGTTGTTGGTCATGCGCAATGAACGTATGTTGTATCTGTAACAAACAAAAACGAATAATCAAAAAAGAGGGGATCCTACATTCCAGATCCTCCAGAGAATCGACTCCAGCAATCAACATGAGGGTCCAGGAAGCACTTCAGGCCGTACTTGCCTGCAATCTTAAGCAATTTTATCAGGTATGTGATATAATCCTCGTCGTAGATGCCTCTGTTAGATAAGATTTTCAAGGCATTTTCTGTTTAGTCGAGACCTTTCACTGCGTCAAAGAAAACTGAGCAATCAAGATAGCTGGCGACTCTAGCACACTTACGGTCCACTGTGCTCCAATGCTTCCCAGGGCACAAGGACTCGAAGGCATTGGCAGCCCCATCGAGCCAGCCTCTCAAAGTGCAACTCGGCCTCCGCCAATGTAAACGGTCGATTCACAAACGATACATTTCGATGGTCATAGAAATGTTCTTCCATATACGAGTAGATCACACCTGGGATTGCGCCTTTGTTCTTTGCCCTTGCCTCCTCTTGCTTTGTTTGTGGATTAGATGACGAAGATGCGGCGACCGATGCCGATAATGATGTTGACGGTGCCCTAGGTAGTGCCCCAAAGAACTCTGATGATGATGATGCTGAACCGCCTGCCGAAGCTAAAGCTGCTGCTGTTGCTGCTACGCCGACGTCTCCGTCTGCTGAGGCCTGACAAAATGGCATCTTGGTGCCGCCCGAGAGATTGATTCCATGCAGGATCACGACTCTGTTCTGTGGATCTAGGATCCATCCCTCCTTTGCCGCTACTCTCGTTGACTCCCAGGCATTGCCGTACTGCGATCGTGGTGTCAAATCAGGCATTACTTTCTTTGGATCGAAGGCTTATTTTTATATATAAAGTGTGAAGAGGACTGCAGCGAAAGGTGTAAGACCAGAAGAGATGAATGAGAGAGAGGCAAGAGGAGCAAGAGAAGAGCCGGAGATGGAGAATGAGAAGAATGCGAGGAATAATGTAAACGAAGAGCGAAAAATATACAAGTCTGATACATAGGATGAGTTGAATGTTTAAATAACAGGAACCTCAGAATTATGAATGGGATGCCTAGACTGCAAGCTTTGAAAGGGTAGACAAAAACCTTGTCCTCTTTTGTGCTCCTGTGATCGGAATATCTCCGTATAGAATTTAGTAAGTGAAAGTGCAGCTTGGATTAGAACTGAATTAGGGTTGCGCTGCTTAAAACGTGGGACTGAGGGAAGAATGTATCGCGCCTTGAGGATGTAGTAGAAGGAGGAAAAGGAGCGAATAAAAGAAGGCACTGCAGCTGGTGTAGAGGTGATTCCAGGTATAGATGGTCGTCTGAAGAGGCGAAATGTGCGCGATTGCCAGCTAGGCCCTTCCTTTTATATCAAAAGCGACGCGTGTAGTAACGCGTTATTGCCGAGGGCGGCTCAAAGATGATCCTCCTCCCTTGTTCATACTTTTGTGCGCATCTCCTTCAATACACTACAGTTTGCCGTTAACTTGAAGGTTGACATCTCTGTCGCCTTTAGTAACGGCATGGGTTTCTGTCTTCTGTTGGTCCTCGTCTTTTCGTGTGATCCTGAGCAGATGATCGCACTGAGCCACGCCGACATAGTCCATGTACGACCTCGTGGCTAGCTCCGTATGTCCCCTACGTGCCCCCCTTATTTTTCTCTAGGACAGATGAGCACATCCCCCTATTACTCGGCTCTCCCAATAGAAAAAGCCCATGCGTTTCGATGAGGACACTAAGGATCAGGCCACATTTTTTTGATTGCTGTGCAAGTCGAGTTTTCTCGCAAGGCTACCCATGAGACCTGCCTCCCCTTTTTGATATCTTGAATGGAACATCAAGAACATGAGCATGGCGATAGACTAACAATGGACACCACGAGTTGACAAGAGGCCCCAGATATCTTTAAAAGACCCTTCTGTTCCTGTTTCCGTGGTATTTTATATTTATATATATTTTCTATTTTCCTGTATTTGCGCCTTTCATTCTGGGCCTTATTGTTATATACATCGAAAAAAGTCAGAAACGAAAAGTGTCAAAGAAAACAGAGAAAATAGATCTGTGGGGTAGAGTCCTGTCTCCGTTTACTTGTCCAACTTGTTGGCGGCATAGAAGGTCTGGATGTCGGTGACGACCTTGCGGAGACCATTCAAATAAGCAGACAGATCCTGCTGAACAAGGCTCTGATCCGCTCCCAACTTGGTGTAAAAGACGTCGCGATATGGGCAGGCCTTCATGGCCATCTATTTGATGATATGATAAGAGCCAGGAGGGTTTCGTGAAGGAACGTGAGAAATATGAATGTGCTGTTCGTCAATCCTATCTAATTCGAAAATTAGTGGCTCCCGAGTACATACAGCAAAGACAGGGCGGACGAGCATGCCGTGGTACTGGCGGAGAGTGTTCTCGTAACCCTTGGTGAAAGATACAGAGAGCTCCTCGTTGGGATTGGCCTCGCTACGCTCCAGGGACTGGAGAGTGAAATCGAGACCACTATGATTGCAATTGCAAGTAGAACGAACCATTAATTCACTGTAATTGATGTTATTCGCACATATGACATTTTTAAGGGCCTTTCCGTTTCAACCTACCGAGTGAGCCACAAGAGTCCCTCGGTGGCAGTCTTCTTCTTCTCGGCAATCTCACCGTTGACCAAATTCTGGAGAGTTGAGTTGGCAGCAGGGTTCTGGAGGAAACGCTCGCGGATTTTCTATGAATAAAAATTTATTTCCCAGGACAACCAAATCATATCAGCCAAGGAATGCTCTCTTCAAAAAACCCTCCGCCGATGAGAAGATGACTGGTGGCAAAAGTCGGCATGAACGATGCACAGAGGTTTGTATCGCGCGAATCGCCACCAAATCCGTATTGTGGATTCCACGCCCTTTTTTTTTTTATGTGGATATCATGATTTTTACCTTGACGTTGCCATTCATGTCATTCTGGACAACCGAGAAAACAGAGCCGAAAAGATCTAGAGTGGAAGCAAACCGACGCAGTAATAGAGCAATTGTAGGGTAAGCAACGGTCGCAGAGGGATGCTGTGGGGTTCACGGCAGAGTTGGACGTGTCACTGGTTGAATTTTACCAAAGATCTTGATGAGACCCTCGGTGGCCTGAAGGAACTCTTCAGTGTTGATGCCCTGGTCGGTGATGGTGACATCGGCGTAGTTGCGGGGAGTGGTCTGGAAGTAGGTAGCCATGATGAGAATTGGACGATGAAGGAAGCGAGTGTGAGATGAAAGATGAGGCATGAGCTGGTTCCCTATTTATTGCACTTTGCCCCAGGCCAATTGAGCCAGCCATTAGACGTGACGTGTTCGCAGGGGTGCCATTTATCACGATCCATCGACACATGCGATCTGAGAGCGCTACGATCGACGCGTGAGCTGTGGGGTATCCAATTTCCGACGCAGCGGCAGCAGCCCTTCGACCGCTGGTACGACTTGGACGCATCTTGGCGTCGAGTTCGTGTGTAAAGCACCAGGTCGAAGCAGAGTGATGCGGTCGCGCGGTATTAGCGCAGCAGCTTTTTTTTTTATTGACGCCAGATCCCCCAGATGCGCAGGCGTACCAAATGCTGCTGGGGTATCAGCGCATCAGCAAAGTAGCAAGGTATTCGTGCATGTTCCTCGATCACATATACAAAAACCTTGTGGAGAAAGCACGTTCTTGTGGGAAAAAAACGAGTATAAAAGGTTGCCAAAAGTGTGTCCGCTCTTCATTGCATTTCTTCGCCCTCTCATTCGAACACAAAAAAATAAAAAGAACTCTCATCGCCATGAACAACGAGACTCAAGACATCGTCAAGCAACAAGGCAACTGCGCGCTCCTTCCCACTCATTTTTTTTTTTTTTATTTCTTTTTCGTTCCTTCTCTCTTGCTTCAGCTATCGAAATGAATATACTAACGCAACACATCCGTGACTTACTCCCCTTTGACAGACGGCTGGAACGAGCTCTGGAAGCGAGACATCCACCCCTGGGACAAGGAAACCCCCAGCCCCGCGCTGATTGAGGTCATCGAGCAAAAACCCATCTCGGCACAAATCCCCAAATCCGGCAATGCCCTCGTCCCCGGATGTGGACGCGGCGTCGACGTCTTCTACCTTGGCAATGAAAACCGCAAGGCCTACGGACTAGACATCAGCCCCATTGCTGTTCAACAGTGCAAGGATGTGAGTTCATATCTCATACCATTGAACGCTGCGCATACATTTGTATATCTTCATTGATCTACAATAATGCCAGTTTGATTCGACTGCGCAGAACATCAATTGCTGACACGGCCTCCGTTTTAATGAATACAATAGATCCGCACCAAGAAGGGCGTGTCCGAATCGCAGGCTGAGTTCATGGTCGGTGACTTTTTCAAGTTCGATATTCCCTCTGGAGGATTCCAACTCGTTTACGACTATACGTAAGAACTGTTGGCGCAATATGTCCAACGGAATGTACGAAGGTCTCGATTCGCCATCCTGACGCCATATACTGCTTCCTTTTATTTTTTGCTTCCTTGTAGCTTCTTCTGCGCTATCCAGCCTGAACTCAGACCTGCATGGGGCCGTCGCATGGCAGAGCTGATCCCCACGGACGGTGTTCTCATCACGTTGATGTACCCCCTTGGCAACCACGCCGATGGTCCTCCCTTCGCTGTCAGCGAAGCTGCCTACCACGAGCAATTGGATTCAAACTTTGCTTGTCTGCTCGTCGACAGCTGCTCCTCCTTCGATACACGTCAGGGCAAAGAGAAGATTGGTGTCTGGCGACGAAAGTAAATATACTTATGCCTGATTGACCGAGGACACAATAAAGAATCAATGGACGCCGATAGACGATTGAGCAATTGCCTTTTGTTCTTTTTATTATGTTTTATTATGGGTAGTAGCATGTTGGTGTTTTGCAATGCTTTCTGGAGAACATCCAGCCAGCTCTAAATGTGCTCCTTGTTTGATATACAGGCGAGGCGCTTCGCTTTCTTTCTTTCTTTTTCCTCACCCTCAATCGTCCGTGAACGAAGGCGGCGCGGGAACAGCTAAGCTCGTCTTCTTTTTCTTTGTTGGTGAACGTGTCGGCGAGACTTCCATCGCACCAGTTCTCTTCTTCTTCTTTGGCGTCGTTGGAATCTGTGGCATAGACGCTAAGCTGCCTGATCCAAGAATCGAGTCACTGCCGCCGGTCTTGTCCTTGGAGCTGGATGATGACGATGAAAACTTTTCACGGTCCTTGCTGCTGCCGCTGCTGCCATTCTTGTGGTGCCCAGTGCCACCGCTCCCAAGATTGCCACTACTGCCATTATTCGATAGCGATCCAGAGGCGCCACTGCCATCGCGATCCCCGCGATCACGGTCCCTGTCGCGTTCACGGTCGCGGTCGCGGTCTCGATCTCGGTCGCGCTCACGGTCTCGATCGCGGTCACTACGGTCGCGGTCCCGTTCTCCGCGATCTCGATCCCTATCCCGGTCTCGGTCGCTGCGATCTCTGTCACGATCACGGTCCCTGTCTCGTTCACGATCGCGGTCGCGGTCTCGATCCCTTTCCCTGTACGAGTCGCGATCACGATCCCGGTCTCGGTCACCACGGTCCCTATCGCGGTCACGGTCTCTATCTCGATCTCGATCCCGGTCCTTATCCCTGTCACTACGATCGCTGCGGTCTCGCTCGCGATCTCTGTCTCGGTCCCGGTCCCGGTCTCGTCCACTGCTGCTACCGATACCACTGCTACTGCTCTTTTCGCGCTCACGGTCACGATCGCCCCTGTCACGGTCCCGGTCTCGCTCCCTGTCTCGGTCTCGTTCACGATCTCGATCTCGATCACTGCGATCGCTGCGGTCCCGGTCATCACGATCGCGGTCTCTGTCCTTTTCCTTATCGCTGCTATCACGATCACGATCGACACGGTCCTTGTCCTTGTTGCTCTTGTCTCTGTCTTTGCTGCTCTTGTCTTTGTCTTTGCTGGCCTTGGACTTTGATTCCTTATGGCCACTGCTACTCTTGCTGCTCGAGTCCCGATCCTTGTCTTTTTCGCGTTCATAAAGACTGTCTCTATCAGACTTGTCCTTGTCTTTATTTCGTTCCTTGTCCTTTTCCCTCTCCTTGTCCTTTACCTTCTCCTTCTTGTCCTCCTTATCCTTATCTTTGTCCTTCTCTTTACCCTCCTTGCTGGATTTGGATTTGGATTTCGAAACAGATGCCACTGACAGTGGCAATGTCTTACCAGCGACTCCTGACTTTAAGGATGAGGAACTGGAGGAATAGTTACCTGGCAGTGTCTTGCCCGCAGTACCAGATTTTGGAGCATCGTCATGCCCGGACTTGGATTGAGACGGCACAGCCTTAGGAGGCAACATTCGAACCGTGTTTCCGCCACCGCTTTCCATGACTTCCTCCTCCATGTCGTCCGTGTCCGTCACATCGAGCGAACTCAAGATTGAGTTCGGAGGAGGGACAAACATGCCAGGCGTTCCTGCGGATGGTACAGGTACCCCTACACCCTTAGATGTCGCTTTGGGCTTCTTTGGCTTCTTGGGGGTCGCCGGAGGAAGAGCGATGTTGGGCGATGATCCGCTGGCAGTTTTAGACAGAGGGATCGTAGCTGGCGGCGGCATTGGATCTGGGGTTTCGCTTGGGGCAGACTTTGGCTCCACATCGCTGTCGTCTTCGTCTCCATCGGCTGGTCCTTCTGATGTTGCCTTCTTGTTCTAGAGGCAGTAATGAAACAAATAGAATTGAGTTTTTGCTATAGCTGCTATAGCTAATACTGTCACGCGGCAATGTGATGCTTACCTTCTTCGTGGGTTTGGCCAGCTTTTCTTTGATCTTGGACTCCTCCTTCATCTTCTTTTTCTCCAGCTTCTCCAATAACTTCTTATCCTTTGCGTCCTGCTTCTGCTTCTTCCGCTCCGCACGCTCAGCCTCCTGTGCGTCCTTTTCCTTTTTCCGCTTTCGCTTTTTTGCCTCCGCCAATGCACTCAGCTCGCCTGGCTTGCTTGCTCGCTTCTTCATCGAGCTTACAATCTTGCCAGTCGGTGGAACCTTGGGTCTCATAGCCACTCTCCTCGAAACAGGCATAAACTCGTCCTCCATGAGTGATCCTAAATCTTCCATTCGCTTCTGGAAGAATGAGTGCAATAGTCCAATGGATGCTGTCGGGTCTGTCAACGGCGCGAATGGCGGGGGTGGCAGATAAGGCAGCTCTGCTTTGGCAGGATCCTTGGCCTTTATTAAGCCAGACCCACCAGAACCAGGTCTGTTCGGGGCATCCTTGGGATTACCGTACCAGATCCGAGATGGGATTGTCAAGGAACCCAGACCAAGCTCGCGATCAATCCCCAATTCACGGAACCCAAAAAAGTCATCGCCGAGTTCATCCGTGCCAGCACCGCCTCCGCCGATAAAGTTGCCGCTCATAAATGCGTCGTCGTTCTCCTGGAACTCGAAATCCGCATCAGCGACTTCGGTCTCGTTGAGGCTGTTGATCGTTTCAGTATAGCTGGACTCCAGTTTTCGGTGAATATCATGCAACTTATTGCCGTACCGCTCGACATCTTCGCGGATATATCCCTCCAGCTCTCCCACACTGCCGACTCCGTTTTCGTACAGGGTATGCAAAAGAATTTCCTATGCAAAACAATAAAGGGAATTAGCTCGGCTAATGTGAATAGTCACACCAAGTGGACCATCAATCTGTCCATGCTTGCACTTTTGAGAGCTGCCTTTACCTCTGCTGTCATGCCCTTGTTGTACAGATCTGTGTATCCTCTCAGTGCTCTGCCAAGGTTCAGAAAGAAATCGACAGTGATATCAGTCATTACGGCCAGCGCAGATGCCTGAGCTCCTTGGAATCCTGCGTGAGCCAGGAGTTTTGATGCCACTCGAGAAAGCATCGCATGTCCCGTAGCACTATTCATAACTAGAGGCGGCAAGGGGCCCTCATGAGGCAGTATGGGCGTTGGTTCTGGTGCCTCCTCGAACTGGCTCATATCCTATAAACAATAACCAGGAGACACTCGGTTAATATGGTCTCCTGCACAAGGAGGGCAATAGTCTAACAGCATTTCATTTCGTGGATACTTACAGGGTTGGTTGCCCTGGCAGCAAAAATCTTTGCATATATATGTCGGATCTTGCGTAACTCCTCGATATTGCGCTCAATACCAGCCGTCAGTTGTCCTGGTGCCGCTAAGGCGGAGGGGTATAAGGATAACGAGGGCTGTTTCCCCTCATGCCTGTTCAGGGGCAGCAAAGCACCGAGGTCAGAACATGTTTAAACAGAAAGAACGAGGAACCTGCTCGAAAATCGAGTATCGCTTACATGGAGATCTGAGACTCGTCAAACAACTGGCGCGCCACCTCAGGATCGTCCAACCGCTCGTGACCATGTCCCGAGATCTCTGGTAATCCCGACCGGAGCGAGTACTCTGGAAGGAAGAGCCCACCCAGCTTTTTCTTCTTTTGCAGAATATCCTCCTTAGGTTTTGGTGGAGCGAACAAATCGCGGACATAGTCCTCCTCATTTTCCTCATCCTCCTCGCTGTCGCTGTCGCCATAAATATCTTCATACGGGTCCGACTCTTCGGCAGTGGCGGCCGCGGAGGAGCCATCTTTGTCAGCGTTGAACCCAAGTATCGTCTTCTTTTTCCTCCGCCTCCTACGGCTCATCGTATCAAAAACACTGTCGTGTGCTAGGTCGATATCTCTTGACTTCTTCATTTCCCAAGGTGATCTCTCGATTGCAAGCTGGTCCTCGAATGGTAAATGCTGTTGGTGTTCCCGCGTAGAGCAAATCTTGGCGCGCGCCTTCTTCGTCTTCTCCTTCCATTCCTCGAACAGGACGTCCCCTCGGTCAGCATACAGCTCTGCGGCAACGTCTCTCTCCTCCTGCTCCAGATCGATTTCGACGGGGACTGAGGCCCTCGACATGCCACGATACCGTGCTGGGGAGTTCACCGCCAGTCCGTTAGGTGTCCCGCTTCGGCCGAGACCTCCTGTCCTCTCTGTCGAGCTGCCAGGCAGGGGCATCTCTATTGAATCCATGGTCGAGGGTTCCCTGCTAGCCTCACGCGTCGGCGTGGAGTTGGCCATCGCATCCAGATCCATAGCTGTCTTGGGGGTTTCGGACCCGAATGGGACAGCAGTAGCGCCACGCTGAGGAGGAGGATGATCCTTGGCGTTCTTGGTTATATCGCCGTTCGTTTTGTGCACCGTTTTAGACGACGTTTGCTCCTTCCGTCCGAGTCCTTTTGCCGACTCATTGGGGCGGGTAACCTGATTCTCCGTATCCTCGTCGCTCTCTTCTGCTTCAGCCTCAACCTCAGCCCTATCGCGAATGACGACGTCCTGAACAGTCTCCAGTAGCTGCTGCGTTCTTTTCTTCATGGCGATGGCGTGTTTCCGGTAAACACTACTAGGGTCGGAGTTGTACAGTAGGCAATTTGAGTAGATAAGATAAAGGTCGTTGGCGAACTGGGTCTTACTCTGATATGCGAACGCCTTGAGTTTCTTGAGCACTGTTCCTAGATCCATTGGATGCTTGATGACCTGGAAATAGTCTGGTGCCTCGCGCTTGTTGACCTTGTTCAGGAAAGGCGTCGAGTGCTCCGTGTAATTGCGAAGCTCCATCAGGACGCGCTCGCAGCCCTCATAGAGCTCCTCCTGTCCGACCTTGTCCTCATTTGCCCACTTGGATCGATTGGGCCGAACATCCGACAACAAAGTCCTCAGCTCGCGATCGGTGAGACCTGTAGCCGCACGATTGGACTCGATCGCGCCGAGCAAGTATTTCATGCTGAGACTTCCAGCTCCGAGCTGCGTCAGCATATTGTCAGCAAGACCGCTTCCTGCCTGGCTCTCCTGCTCTTGTTGGATATTTTTGTCCGCCTCCTCCAACTGCTGCTGCTCGATCATCGCATCCATGTCATATTCCAGTGTATAGTATAGATGGTGAATAGGAAGTCTGAGTGGTGCCTCGTTTTCTTCTATAGTGTTCAAGAGAAAGCAAAGTAGAGTATTTGGTTAGTTCCCTCGGTCACATAGGTTAAATAACGACTACTTAACAGGCACATTAGTTAAATCGTGGTAGCTGCCGTAGTTACTAAGCGTACCTGACCCTGTGTCATGTTTGTCTTTGGGTTGCTCCAAGGCCGCGCTCGTGTTCGGCTCATTGGACTTTTCATTCTTCGGGTCCTGGTCCATGTCCTCATCGTAATCGTCATCCTCAGGAACCCTCCGACGGGACTTTATACCACCAGCTGTCTCGCTCGAACTGCTCATGTTATCGTCGGCTTTGCTATATTTCAAGACATCCTTTTTCTCTAGGTTCGAAATGTCGATTGTTGGATGACAGCATCCTCGGTGACCTGGATACAACTTGGGAAGCAGCTGCTCAAATACCATTACGCGTGAACGGAAGGCAGTGGTAGGGATAGATACTGGGATCGAATGGGATTCTGGGGATTCAATAGATAACTCGGTCGAGGACGCGTCAGATTTGGAAGCATCATTGGATGGCTGAGAAACTACGCTTATTCTTGGGGAAGGCGATCTGTCGTGATAATTAGGGGTATGATGAGAGCGTAGGTACCCGTTCGGAGTCGAAACTGGCGGTGTTAATATCTCTGATAAGCTCTGGGTTGGAAGTAGGTCTTCTTTGTTGATAGATGCTGATGCCAAATCCGAGAACTGGTCCTGATCGACAGCCTCCGTCTTGACAATGTCCGACACTCGGTCCCCGACGGCCTCCATGCTAGTGTCGCTCGCATCAGCTGCTTCTGTAGTTTCCATGTTGGGTATTGAGTCCGGCTGCACAGGTTCTGAAGGATAATCTTGAGGAGAGTAATCTTGCTTTTCGTGCTCTTGCGCCCGCTTGGTCTCCTCGAGAAACGACCCGAAATTGCTGTCAAGAGAGATAAAGCTCTGCCAGCTGTCGAGATTTGTAAGGGCGGTCTCGAAGATCGCGTGCTCCTCCTTTGTCAGGTAGAACCTCCAAAGCTTTCTCGCGTTCATCTCCTGAGCGACATTATACGTGAGTCGAATCTGGGCATTGGATGATGGGTCGTTCAAGATTTTGAGTAGCTGCTCCTTTTGGTGCGAAGATGTCGAGGATGATGCCACTGGCTCTGTATTCGAGTCCACCGAGTCAACTGCGTGTTCACCGTCGAAATTGGACACAGACATCGGTGAGGACGGTAGGGAAGCGGCGCTATATGGCTGATTCGACTCGCCCTCGGCAAAGGATTCGCTCGAAAATAAACTCATTGGACTCTTGCTGTAACTTGATGAGCGATGATCATTCGCCAACTAGGGACAAGTCCTCCAAGGAAAACACGACTAAGTGGTGTCAGATTCAATTCCTGGTCCGTCGCCTTGGCATTCAGCTTACTAGAATGGCGTTTGTCCTACCGGTGGTCAGGTATTTGAATGATGAGCAAACTTGGGTGTCCTGAGAAAAAGCAAACAAATTGTGCGTCCTAATCCAAAGTTGACTGACGCAGCACTGCAGGAGATGACAGGTGCTTCTCGGGAATAATGAATTGTTCTGGCCCCGGATGCTCGTTGTGATTTAATCCGCTGTAACCTCCTTTCCTGAAAACCGTAGGGTGTGGTGCTGGTGCAGGGGCGAAAAAAGGGTCTGCACAGAAAAGTGCATGCAAGGATGTGGTCGAAGTGGGCGAACAAGAGAAGCGGGCAGAATCACGTGTAGTGACATGACAGTACCGGCCTTCGCATTTATTGTGTCTTGAGGAAGGGCGCACAGCACCAGTTACTTTAGTACTCTATGCCGTAAAGAACTATCATTTTGCCGCGATAAGGACACACTCCTTTCGATACTGAAAGTCCCATTGGCCATAGCTGGGTCGCTACCGGTCCTCCTCTTTTCCTCTCTGCTGTAACAAGTTCGTCTTTTTCTTTTTTTCTTTTTTTCTTTTTGTTGTTAATGAAACGGGTCCTCGGCGGTCAGCGTTGATAGTCCTCGGCATCACGAGCAAGGCGGTTCCCGTACTAATAATACTCCATCAGCATCTATATATCTTTCAGACTAGCTTACACATGCAAAAACGCGTCTTTCATTCTCTGAGAGAGATATTTTTAATAACCTATTCTAATCTTCTTATAAGAATCTAAACACGTCGCTGCTCAATCGCTGCGATAACCGAAGAGTCTTCGACCTCAGCTTTGCTCTCACGGGCTTCGACCTTCTCGCTCTCAAGCACTGAGACACTGCTGCTATCTGTTGCAGCAACACCCTTCTCCTGATCCTCGGTCATCGTTTCAGGAACCACGCTGGAGAACTCGATAGGGTCACGGTTTGCAGCAAAGATCGCAGCTAGAACAGCACCGATCCCGCCGATCACACCAAAGGTATAGAATGCTGCGCGATATCCACCCATTAATGCTTCGGGAGTACCTCCAGTACCTTCGTGGGCCTGGGAAATGATGGTGGCAAAGGCCAATCCGATGGGTCCACCAAGCTGAATGGCGACATTGAATACGGCGCCAACAACGCCTTGGTCCTCATCATCCGCATCGGCGACGGCATTGACCTGACAGCACATCCACGTGGGCGAGAGCCCGATACAGTTCACGATCATGGCAGGGAACGCGAAGTGCCAATAGCTCATACCAGGGGTGATCTGGGCGAACAGGACGGACGAGACGATGATCAAGATCCAGCCGATCAACATGATGAACTTGGTTCTAATATATGGGAACAGTCTTGTCACTGTGTAGAGACCGATGACTAAGCCAACACCGTGGACGATGTAGCAGCACGCGGTAATCAGAGGCGAGTAGTGAAGGACGTTCTGGAAGGTCAGGGACGTGAAGAAGATCATGGTGTTGTATGTAGCGGTGACGCAGATGATGATAATCACGCTCGCTAACAAACGACGAGACCTCCAGATGCGAAAGGGCATAATTGGATAGTCAATGCGTCTCTCCCAGAAGACGAAAGCGAGCAGGAGTACGAGACCAACGATGAATGGAGGCAGTGTCTTGGCGGAACCCCAGCCTTCGGTGGTGGACTCGGAAAGATAGTAGACAATGGTGATGATTCCGGCCATAAAGAGGAAGACACCGGTATAGTCGATGCGACGGTCCGTCTCAGTCGTCTCATTGTTGGCCCTGGAGATGACAAAGTAGCCGACAATGGAGAGAGTAGCCGAGATGATCGCGGTGACGAAGAAGATCCAGTACCAACCGATAGTAGCATCAAAGATGCCTCCGAGGAGGACTCCGATCGTTTGGCCAATACAGCCTGCACCGCCAAATAAGGAGAGGGCAGTTGTGCGCTCAGGGCCAAGAGGATACGTTGTAGTCAGCAATGCCAGGGCAGATGGACTAACAAAGGAAGACATAAAGACATTAAATACCATTGGCGAGCTAAGGTAACAACAGCGAGATGAGATGAGTGGTCGCTGTGCAGAGACCAGGAGATTACTTACATAGTGAATCCAGCTCCAGCACCCTGTAAGGCGCGGGCAACGGACATGAAGATCGCATTTCTTGCGAATCCGCATACCAGGGACCAAATAGCGAACCATGATGTGCCCAAAAGGAAGATGCGACGGTGACCAAATAGGTCTCCCATACGGCCACCAACTAGAAGGAATGCCGCATACGTTAGGGCGTAACTACTTACTACCCTGTATATATTGGGAGAAAAAATATGTTCAAAAAATTAGCAGGAGATTACTAAGACAAAAAACAGGAATACAGGAACATTGCTTAGAAGCGGCGCGTTACCATTGTAGCTGAGTCGGTTCGTAGTGGACATCTCGGAGAATGGAGGGGAGAGCGATAGTGACAGAGGCAATATTGATGATATCTAACATCTGAACCATGCAGAGGAGGAAGAGCAACAGGCCTTTTGTCTGGTCCAATCGCTTATACCATGGCAGCGTTGGTTTTTCTGTGGTTTGTGTGTCTGTTTTAGAAGGAATGGTTTTACTGGAAATTGTGGACGCGTCGATGTCTGCCATTGTTTCTAGGCGCCTGTTTAGGTTGTAGGTTTGAAGTGCGAAGCGTCTCTCTTTGAAAAATAATAGGATATGCGTAGAACAAAGTGCAAATGCGAGTGAAAGAATGGAGAGAGGTTATGCAATGAAAGTGCGCTTTGAAATTTGTTTGCTGTTGTTATTACAGGTCGGAAGAGTCAAGAAGAACGAAGAAAGAGAGAACTGAAGTATAAGAATGGGGGGTTGTCTGTCATAGAAGCGTCTCTTTTTATATCTTTTCGAGGATCTGCGCTGCTGCTACCGTTACCATGGTTTAACTGCAGTTCAAATGCTCGTCATCAGATAGAGCTTGTCAGACCCGCGCAGCACCTTTTACTTCGTTGCCTAAAGGCATGAAGGGTACTTCAATAGGCCACCCTAGTCTGCGCAGATGGATGAAACGAATTGGCGAATGAATGCTGTCCATTAGGACACATCATTTGCTATTGTTATAGGCGCCTGTATGCAATTAGGTCAAAAATAAAGCCGAATGTACTGGAACTTAGGATGTCTTTGGTGAATAGGGAAGCGATACGCCAATCAATAGTCCTCTTACACCTCCCGTGCTACGTCGCACGCCATCTCTATTGCTATAGCCATCAACAGAACTGGAGACAGCACCCTCCATCTAGTACCCGGAGATGACAAGAATTTGTAACAAGGATAGAGATGACAAAAATTTGTAACAAGGACTATTTTTTGATTTCAAAGCTTCCCTTCGTTTGAGTTCGAAAAACGCTTATTTTTGAGTTGTCTACCCAAAAATGTCAAGTTCTGATAAGGGAACATCCTCTCTTTATTTAGACCGGCTTTCTGGCCTGTGAGAGTGTCCGGAAGACTATCATAAACTTCCATAGATTTTTCGCCATCGCTCATTTGCATAATACTACAAAACGCACGCCCCGACTCTTTCAGGAGCTGCGTAGCTCTTCCGAAGAAAATCAATACGAGCTGAATTCACTTAAACCAAGAGCTTCTCACCGAAAGAGGATGGTGCTCTCCGGGTTGGTAGGTTGACGTGCAAAATTTTTTCTAGCGCAGGACTTGAACTTGCATGGTACTCTCGTGAAAGACCAAGAATGTAGTGCATATGGCTGTCTATGGTACCACAGATCTGCGCTGGTTTTTTTTGCTCTGCGTGGGGCCCCACAGAGATTGGGTTTCCGCAGTACAAACTCAAAATCCTAAGTCGGACTACAATGTCCGTGTGCTTCAGGGCTCTTGTTCTTCGGAGTGCGCTTTTTTCGTTGGAAGACCTTCAAAGGATCGGAGGCATCCACTGCGCAGTGGAAAGGTTCCCGAGCGGAGTATGTATTTTTATGCACCTATTGAAATCCAGAGATAGCGCAGTGGGAGGACACCTTGTGTACATAACATCAATGCACGCTTCGACGCGTAGATTATACATTATGCTAACCCAATTCAAAATATGTGTACAGAACGGCATGGTAATTATGTATTTGGGGCATTTTTTGGTTGCTTGATGCTCATGTCAAACGATGCTGTGAAGAATCCTTTTCAATAGATGATGAAGGTTGACATGAGATTAAAGCATGATAGATCCAATGCGAATCCTTCTTCCAACGTACAGATTGGCTCCTCTCTCTCTTGAGATAGGCTAACGAGTCTATGAGTCTTTGATGAGATATTATAAAACGAGTGACAAAGAATGGAAGGACTGCGTAGTCGAGGGGACATTCGTAAGGAAAGTACGTGTTCTTCAGGGCCTTTTTGTTACCTCGGTATCATAACACGCTATAGTTGCACAAGCAGAATACTGTTGTCCCTGATATTACAAATGTATGTTATTCACCTTTCATTGCACTAGGAAGCATTACGTACACTTCGGCAAAATGACCTACAAAAGCCTTACCATGACTTCTCACATTCGTGCCGCATTTTTCAATAGTATACAGACATCTTCAAGCACGCTACCGAACTCGGACCAAAAAATTACGGATGCTATCGCTCCGTCCCTTACATTTCAACCATAAGCAGCATCATCTTGATAGATGCCATACCAGAGCTATTAACACATCAGGTAATTGTTAGAGGAGATACACCAAATATTATGAGTAGGTATAAGAAACGTTAAAGCAAACGTCTATTACAGTAGCGCTCAAACTGTTTCAATGCCTCGCTATATTCTCCACTTTCTTTCTTGTCTCGAGAACCTCTTGTTGAGTTTTTGATAGAGTCGGCACAATTGTAGCGTTGCCTCTGGTGAGCACGCTCACTGTTTGCAATATCACTAGTTTTCATTATTGCAGCGCAATCAACTTTGTTCTTAGAAATATCATTGAGGCAGCTTTGAGGGTGGGTGTAAAATTCCAGTAGAAAGGTGTTTTGAACGCCAGTTTCCTCTGACAAAACGAAGCAACCCCGTCTTATTTTTTTCTTCATGCTTGTATCATCCGTTTTCTCTTTCTGTATATGCTAAAGATGGAGTCGATTCATCAAGCTAGAGTCAAGAAAGCCATACGACTTATGTCGGTGAGTGTTTTTTACCCGAAAGACGACCCACGCCTCGCAATATCCCTACTACCGCCAGCTGAATCAATTCTGACAACAACAAAAATGGCCGACTCAAAAAGGTCTCGGTCGAAAATGTAGAGCATCTCAATGTCAATCTGAAACGAGAAATCCTCAAGGTCGCCGTTGAAGCCAAGGAAGTGCCTAACTAGCTGCTCCCGCGAGTTGTATCCACTTCGATAATCCGCTGGCGTTTCCGAGAAGCCAGCCAGATAACTAAAACGCTCGTGAAGTGGCCAGCTCTCGAAAGAAAACATAATACAAGGCGTATAATATTATGTCAACAACACTTCGTTCAGTCTCTATGACATTCTGGAGCACTGCGGCAATGACCCTTACTAATATATAAACTCTACCTAACTAGATATCAGCATTTGATCTAATAAAGTCATTGAGATGCGCCGTTGAGATCATAGCACATTTAACCTTTTGCACATACAATCACTAGGAAGTATAAGGAATAGAGCAGGGAGGATAGGGCAAGGGCTATATGGCAGATGAGTCTAGAATTAACAGTGGGTCTGGGATGATACTCCGAGCCGCCCACGAGTTGATCGGCTCAAAGCGCGGCGAGGTGTGGTCTTATATATTATAGAATAAGCCTGCTTACATCGCCATGATGGAGGAAGATATGGACCCGCAGCTATATACCAAGATTTCTCCAGGAGAATCTGCAGATGTTACTTGAAGAGTGGGGCATGACCAAGGACGAATTCGCCTTTCTATACGACAACGATTAAAAGCATATAGCAAAGGTCATCTTAGCGTATTTAAAGTCAATGAATATAACTAGAGGCGGAGGAAAGACTTCTTTACTGGCCGGCACAGTCGCCCGACCTTAACCCGACCGAGCACATGTGGTCGTACCTCAAGGCTCCGCTGGGAAAGCATCTTACTCCTCCAGGAAGCTACTAGGAGTTATGGGAACGAATATCCGTCGAATGGCGCAAGATCTCAGCTTGGTACTGCCGGGAGCTCATCAGGAGCATGCCGAAGAGGTTCAAGGCTCCTTAAGGGACGTAAGGCAGGCGTACAAAGTATCAGTCTAGCTCATATCCTCATATCCTCTGGAAACGCACAGCAAACAGATTTTTTGGAAGGCACCTCCAAAACTGCCCTAATGGTATTCCTTGGAGCAATAACGAAAGCCAGTAATACTATAAACAATGAGCGTGCTTGCCAGAGGCAATGCTAAGATCGTGTCAACTCTGGCAAAAACTCAACAAGGGGTTCTGGAGACAGGAAAAAAGTGCAAAATACTGAGGCAGTTTTACCCGGTACTATATGATCCTTTCTGTGTGCAAGGCGGAGCTTCGATTGATGGTTTCATATCCGAAGGCGAATGAATTAAATTGAAGGAGTGCGTCGGTCAAAGAGCAATAAAGAAACAGGCGCGGGTACTTGTGTTTGACAGGTTGTCACTCACGGTGCGTATTTGTCGGCGCTTCAAGGACAGTAAGGTACTCTTTTTTTTTTTTTTTTTTTTTCTTGACGTTGCATTGCGGGAATTTCATGTGGGTACTTGAACACATCCTCTAAACCGAACTCGGAAGTAGGGGGCTACAGCATCTTCATGCTTTCAACTCCACATTTGACGCTCTATATTATTTATTAATGATGTTTTAGATAAGGATCTGGATACAGACCGCTGGTTCCCTTCCTCCCGCACCGTTTGAGCCTGGGATCATAAACCATCGCTGCCTAACCTGGCGAGTCAAGGTTTTGCTGTTGTTGTTCCCCTCCACACTTTCTCAAAGTGGAAGTTGCGTGTGCGTCTTTCACATTAGATTTGTACACATGTATACATCTCGGTCGTAAAGACATGGCGTAAGACAGCAGAGAACGGACGTCTTTTTTTTTTTTTTTTTTTTTTTCAGGGGCCCCATGGATGGTGAGAGATTTCCGTTTGAGATCGGAAATGTGGAGGTCCAATCACAAACTTTCTGTCCACCTCAGAATAACAAAGAACGTACAACATACTTCACCTGTCTGCATACCATGGCAACTGTTCGCGTCACTTCTAAAAGCATTTTTGTGTGCAACCATGCAGAAACGAGATGGATGGAAGAGCAGTGCAGGGATCTGATAACGCGTGTGCCATCGCATTCTCTCTATTTGATGGCGTTTTTGAGCTTCCGACTATGGAATAGACAAAGTGGAAATACACAAATGTGCATTGGTTCCCAGGCAAATACAAAATGCAGAGTCCAGAAACTGGTGTCTCTCAAGCAAACAACATCGATTGTCTGAGTAAAAACCGAGAATGGACAAGAGGGAGAACAATGGAAAAAGATATTCCCTTGAACCACATGGACCTCGGATCTCGGATTTATTTTGTAGGCTGTCTCCGCATGGCATGGCTATTGTTTTGTAGCGTTTCTTGATAGCCCGAGAGCGATAATTACAGCGGTGACAATTTTTGAAGGGTCCTCGGGATTTGCTCGCGCTCATGCACTCATTAATGTTGAGTACGTTGGATGTATCAGAGCTGCATACACGGGTCTCGTAACTTTTTCCCGTTCTTGCGATGCAAGCGCTCCGAGCGCAAGATGTACATGGGCACTTTGGCTGTCTCGCATTGTACTTGCATGCTTCCTCGTCTGGTGGGACGGTTGGGAGTCTTGAAATCGAAAGAAGAACAGCCGTTGAGTCCGAGTATATTCTCATGCAGCAAAAACAGCAAAAACAGCCCGCAGACGGGCGGAGAAGCAGTCGATGACCGATCGATGGACCTGACTGACTGACTGACTGACTGACTGACTGTCTGACTGACGGCACCGGGCTCTCGTTCCGATTTTTCATGGAGAACCTTTTTCGTTTTTTGGCAACCGCATGCCGAGCTCAGTGGCTTTATCTGATTGAAGTTTTTTCTATTTTGGGTGGTCCTTTGCCGCCTCCCTCTCTTTCTCTCTCACACCCCTCTCGCTCTCTCGCACACTTCTCTCTCTCCCTCTCTCTTTCACCCCCACCTTGACGCCGAATACCACTTCGTCGCTCCTGCCCACGTCCTTTTTATAACTGTCTTGCCGCTGTCCTCCACTTTCCTCATCTACCGCAGCTTCCCTCTTTATATCTCAATAACCGGGTCCGACGCTCCATTCTCGGCCTTAGTTTCCATATCAAGCCGCTTCAAGACAACCCACCCATTACTTCATCCCCTCCTCCGCTTTCTTTCTCCGCTCCCGTCCTCCAATTGATCCCTCATTTTGCGCACTTTGCACTCTGCACGAAAGTCACCCTCATAATCAATCCTACCACCACCAATATCCATCCCAATGGCAACATCGACCCTCCGGCTGTTGCCAACAGCCAACGACGTGGCCCAACTGGATCCCGCCTCCCTCGCTTCCGTCCCCGGTGTCGCCTACGACCTCAAGCGCCTCAAGGTCTACTCTTCCTGTCTGCGCTGCAGAGCCAAAAAGGTCAAGTGTGACCGCAAGGAGCCTTGCTCTAGATGTGAGAAACACTCGGTCGAGTGCTCCTACCGAGAACTTGCCTCCGTCCAACTCGATATTCGTCAGTTCCAGCGCCATCTCAACAACCCAAAGATTCGTAAAGACGGTGCCGGCTTCATCACCTCGACTGCCACCCCCGTAATTACCTCTGCTTCCTCTCCTTCATCCACCCCAACTCCTGCCCTCTCGGCCACATCGCCCTCAGTCTCCTCAGCCCACAGCAACTGGAGCAATAGTGATTTTGGCAGTGTGTCCCCTTCATTGTCCTCCAGCCCCTCTGCTCGGAATCAATACAACTGCCCTCATCCAAGTATCTGTGGTTCGGGCGGGAATGAGACGACCTCCGAGAACAATGGCTCGCTGGAACGTGCTCAAGTATACAAAGTTCATCGCAGAAAACCATCATTCAAGCCCACCAAGGGCATCATACACGAGGGCAGCTCGGAAATCGACCGCACACACACGGAGATGCGGGAAATTAGTGAGCATGTGGACAGGGTCAAGCTCTTGGACTCCAACAACGACTCTGCTGTCGTCGACGACACCATGTCCTCAGATATGGAGGAAGATAATGCCAACCTTCCCATTTGGCACACGCAGGCTATGGGTAAGCATAAACAGACGGTCCACGAGCAGAATATGGCGGAGACCTTTGGCTTGGCGGCATATCTAAAGGCGAAGGAAATGGAGATCTCACAAGATCCGGGCCGTGCTGGCCAGACCATCGATTACGAGATGGAATTGGAACGTGCGCTCGCTCAACGGATGCCCAGCTCGTTCTCCCGACCAGATCGGTCCTACTCGCGCTCACTCAAGCACGCACACTTGGGCTATAACCCTGCCACACCCTATGCTCGTCCCTCGCATTGTCAGCTCTCGCCACCGCCCAACTCCAGCAGCAAGTACGCTCAACCTCCTCCCTCTGCTCAATGCTGCTGCCAGATTGCGGCTCTACAGGGCCAAGCATTGGGGTCATGTCCGTACTCGAACGTCAGTCACAGTGGATATGAGAAACCTTCGACAACAACGATCTCTGCCCCGACATCGTCTTCATTGCCCCCATCTTGGAATGTCGCTGTGGACAATGAAGAAGCACCTCGCATTGCATACTCGCCCTCCTATTCACCCAGATACAGTGCTGCCCCGGTCACATGTCAGACACCTCCTCAGGTCCAGACATCAGACTGGCAACCGTCGTCGACTGTGCCGCCTACGAGAACGTCACGTTCGTCCTCGTACTCGTCATCAATGAAGATGGATATTTCGTCGCCATGCACAGAGCTGCCCCCGATTCGCTTGCCAGGACCATCTGAACTCCAGGTCGGACGTGATGAGAATGAGCCAGTCCAGATTGAATGCAAGTACAACGAGCCCAACGTGGACGCCTGGGATATGATCGAGAAGCCGATCTCGAGAAAGGTTCCGTTGACGACGAAGCGTGGCAGATCAATCAAGATGGAAATGGGTTGGATCCTGTCCTAAGCCGTTGGCACGGAGAGAAAAGGGGACTGCATTAAATACCTGAGCCCTGCTTTTACATAGTCTGGATGGTCTGCATTCAACACATACACACACACACACACACACACACACATTCACACACACACACATACATATCAAGCAACACGCTCATTCAGACACACGCATCGCAGTAGAACGCGTATTGTATACTATATTATAATAAACATTCCCTAATACCCGCTTCAGGCACAACTGAGGATGACGACTTTTGGGGAAGCGAGGGGAGTGGAGTGAGTAGGTCGTGCAATCCGACAGAGATTTCTGGGGAGAAGAGGCTGACAGTGGCGGGAACGAACTTTATATATTTTTTCGTTTTTTTTGGGTTTGCGCCCAAGGAGGACACGAAAGTAGCGCAGTTTTCTGCAGATCACACTGACACGCTGGCATGTTGCCAGGGGGCAAGCCAATCATGCCCCTGGGTTCCTGGAGGAGTCGAGTCGAGTCAAAATAAAGATGCGAGATGGACAGGATGTGTTTGCTCTTCGCTGTTGATGTATGTACATTGTTTGCAGAATAAAAAAAAGAAACTGGTTGCAGGGCCATGAGAGGCGGGCGATCGCGTCATTTCTCGAGCTAAAGAGCAACCGAAAACAACATGGCATAGGCCAGGGACCCAGAAGGGAAGGAAAAGGGAAACGGAAAGGGCGAGCAAGGAGGAGGAGTGCCTCCCGTGATCCCAGTGTCCAGTGTCTTTAGTGAGGAACGACTTTTTGACTTGGTTTTTTACCAACTAGCGCTACACGGTGTGCACCCGCTGCATCCATCGACCACCGATGGCGCCACGCAGACGCGCACGAAAAGAGGGACGGAGAAATCCAGGCGCAAAAGCACGCACTTCTTCGTTTTTCACGCACACATCCTCGTCGCGTACTGGGGGCACACAGGGTCCCCTTCACGTTCGCGCCATTGTCTCCTTCCGTCTTCCGTATAAATAGGGCTCCCCCGCCTTTCCCTTTTCTCTTCCTCACCTCTGCCACCCACTCTCCCCCGCCTTCCTTCTTCCTTTCCCTACAACACACCCATCTTCTTTCTACCCATCATGGTTGACCGTAAGCCCAACTTCGAAACCCTCCAGGTCCATGCTGGCCAGGCCCCCGGTAAGGCATCTGTCCCAGCTATCTCATCGCCCCCGCTGTCCTTTTGCCAATATCCAGCCAGTCCTTAAACTAATATACCAATATCATTTCCGCCACTGCACATCCGACAGATTCAAGCACCAATGCCCGCGCTGTCCCCATCTACGCCTCCTCCTCCTTCGTATTCAACAGTTCTGAGCATGGCGCCAACCTCTTTGGTCTTAAGGAATTCGGAAACATTTACTCCAGGTAAAATTCTTGTGGCCTGTCTCAGTCGCCTGGATCTCAACGTTCCAATTTTCTGTTTCCTCCCTCGGCTGATCATCAACATCTATTATTATTTTACTTTAGAATCATGAACCCCACTAATGATGTCTTTGAGAAGCGCATCGCCGCTCTCGAGGGTGGTGCTGCCGCGGTCGCGACCTCCTCCGGTCAGGCTGCCCAGTTCCTCGCCATCTCTACCCTGGCCCAAGCTGGTGATAACATTATTGCCTCCTCCCATCTCTACGGTGGAACCTACAACCAGTTCAAGGTCTTCCTGCCCCGCTTTGGCATCAAGGTCAAGTTCGCGGACTCGGACGAGCCCGAAGCCATTGCCAAGCTGATTGATGAGCGCACCAAGGCCGTCTTCATCGAGTCCATCTCAAACCCCAAGTACATTGTTGCCGACATTGCCGGAATTGCAAAGGCCGCCCACGAACACGGTGTTCCCCTGATTGTCGACAACACCTTCGGTGCCGGTGGATATTTGATCCGTCCATTCGAGCATGGCGCTGATATCATTGTCCACTCTGCGACCAAGTGGATTGGAGGTCACGGCACGACTGTTGGAGGCGTGATCGTTGATAGTGGCAAGTTCAACTGGGGTAACGGACGTTTCCCAGATTTCACTGAACCCTCGGAGGGATACCATGGATTGAAGTACTGGGAGACCTTTGGAAATATCTCGTACGCAATCAAGACCCGTGTTGAGGGGCTGAGGGATCTGGGTGCTTCTGCTAATCCCTTTGCTAGCTTCTTGCTTTTGCAAGGTAAGGAGATGGAGAATGAATACTGACCGCCGTGGATCTGTACATCTGCGTATTCCCTTATGCTGTGAAACCCACTTCCTCATGCAAGAGTTTCTTTTCTTTTCTTTCTTTCACCAAACAGGATTGGAGACCCTTTCTCTTCGTGTGCAGCGCTCTGTCGACAATGCTCTCGCGTTGGCTCAACATCTCGAGAACCACCCCCACGTCGAATGGGTCTCGTACCCAGGTCTGGCCTCACATCCCTCGCACAACCACGCCAAGAAGGTCCTTAGCCACGGATTCGGAGCTGTCTTGTCCTTCGGCATCAAGGGAGGTCCTAAGGCTGGCGCTCTCTTTGTCGATAGCGTGAAGCTGGCATCGCACCTGGCCAACGTTGGAGATGCCAAGACCTTGGTTATCTCCCCTGCCTCGACCACTCACCAGCAGCTGACAGATGAGGAACAGCTCTCTGCCGGTGTCACCAAGGATCTTATCAGAGTCTCGGTCGGCATCGAGCACATTGACGATATCAAGGCCGACTTTGACCAGGCCATTGCCATCGTCGCCGCCAAGGCCTAAAAGAAAAAAAAAAAAAGAAAAAGAAAAAAAAAAAGGGAATATTGGAAGACGAGAGTCTTTCTTTCTTGTCCATTTGTAGATAGCAAAAATAAATAAACGCGTTCGCATATACCACCTCAACAACAATAGCAACAGAAAACTCTTCTCCACCACGAAGGGACAATCTATTTGACAACCCGGGTTGCCACTGCTATTTGGCAACCCCTATACTAACTCCATGTAAGGCCAACATTTTTTAAATGTCGATTATGCCAGTAGTCCTTATGGTACATGGCCCCGGCTCTTTAAGCTAGATCGTCATCTGTCTCTTAAAGGACTCCACAATGTAACTGATTTCCCATTTCGTCATCGCTGAGTCCGTCATCGATAAAACCCTGTTTTCCGTCATGAAGAAGGCTTCTCCCAAGGTCGCAAAAGGTTGCATGGGATGCCAGGTGGAGGAAGGAATGGTTCTCAACCTCTCGCCGCATTGTTTCGGCGAAAGATACGAGCCTTGTTTTACATGGGATTTGTGCAGGGGTTGCCAAATAAGAGTGGCAACCCGGGGTTGTCAAAAAAAAGCACAAGTCGGCCTGAGCAGGACTGAGCAGGACTAGACATAAAAAGGAAAAAAAGACAGTCGGTTGGAGAACCTGGGCATCGATCCCAGTGCCTCTCGCATGCTAAGCGAGCGCTCTACCATTTGAGCTAGATCCCCTTGGGCTGTTTTTAGCGGGTTCCTTAGAAAATATTTATAGTTAATATATTAATCATGCACTTATAGAATGACTACTTCATGCACTTATGAAATAAAGTTTATTTTTCTATATATGCACTTTGCTTGCATTTGAAGAAAGGACTGGTTTTTTTGAGCGCTAACAAAAAAAAAAAAAAAAAAAAAGTCAATTTTTTTTTTTATTAACATAAATCCGTCTTCTAAAAAAAAAAAGTCGCATAGTCGCTTCTAGCATTTATTATTATAATTGTCGTCTTACGCTATATAGTCCCATCTTCCGTTCTCTTCTTTTTTTTTTTCATGCATCCTTCTCTTATCTCTCAGAGAAATCGAGTTGTCTGGCATGTAAAAAAAATAATAATAATAATAATAATAATAATAATAATAGTAATAATAATAATGATGGTAATGATAATGAGAATGATAATAAAAAAAAAAAAAAGAGACGGTATCCCATTAGCCTCCCTCAGTATGCGGCGCTTTCAGGACACGATTTTACTTTCCAGCAAAGCCGAATCCCTTCTTCTTGGTCTTCTCTGGGGTGAGGGGACGGCCCTGCTCGATCCTCCTCTTCTTATCCTCGAGATCCAGACGTTGCTTCTCGAGCGCGTCCTTCATCTCCTTGTGCTTCGCATACAACTCAGCCTCGGATTGTGTCAATTTGGCCTCCTTCTCCTGGACCTTCTGCTGGAAGACATGCTTCATGTCCTGCTCCATCTTCACCAGCTTGGCCTCATGCAGCGCACGCTCCTCCTCCAACTTGGCCAACGGGTCGACCTCTCTGAACACAGTGTTGTCCTGCTGGTAACCCATTCCCAGGAGCTTCTCTGTGCGGTAGTTCTCGTAGTGGATGTCGTTCGTGAACTCCTTGAGCTCCTCCATATGGGTGCGGACCAACATCTGGCGCAACTTCACAAAGTCACAGTGATCCTCATTGTCGACCTCAATGACACCCCATGGGTACTTTCTGCCGCGGACTTGACGACCATCGGAGGTCTCGACCAGCTTGTCAGAGCCAACAATGGCAAACGGAATCTTGCTCTATTTAGACATTTAAAACAGAATGATAACGAGAGAAGAATGGGCATTAGGAATGGGTGACAGGCGGTTCGTCACCGTATTCAGCTGGATATTGCTGAATTGATGTCGCAACAAAGGACGAAAGACCGCTTTACCATAACATCCTTGGTCTCGTTGATGGTCTCAATATCATCGGAATCGTAATGCTGGGCGTGGTAGATCTTGATGTTGTGGTGGGCAATATCCAGGAGGATCTATAAGACCAAAAAGAAACAAGTTTTTTTTTGGTTAGGAGAATGGTGCGGTACGCTGATTGAATGAAAGCGCCAGGTTGCAACCAGAGCATACCCTCTCCTTGAAGGCAGTGATCTCCTCATTTGTCATGGTATCGCTCTTGGCAATGACAGGGATGAGGTTGACCTTCTTGTGGAGGCGCTTCATGAACTCAATGTCAAGAGCCTTGAGCGAGTGGCCGGTTGGGGCGATGAAGTACAAGCATGCATTGACACGCGTGTCAGTGATCTTGCTGCGGTTGACCCTGTTTTCCTGTTCCAGATATGCGTCGAATCTGCTCTCGATTGTCTCCAAAATGGGCTTCCAGCTAAAGTTGGCGCAGAATAACATAATGTTAGTGAACCTCTTCCTTTTCTTCTAGTAATAACGAGTTCAGAGTCTGCATAGATGTTAATTTGTACCTCTCTTCGTTGTTAATAAAGTCGCCAAAGCCAGGGGTATCAACGACATTCAGCTTCAGGCGGACACCGTTCTCCTCAATGTCAGTGCTCAAGACCTGGATGGCGACGGTCTTGGGGCTCTCCTCCGAAAGAGGAACGTGTTCCTTGGGAGGGTACAAAGGAGCATTGAACAGGGTGTTGACCAGAGTCGACTTGCCCAAGCCGGACTCACCTATTCAAAGCAATCGATAAACCAAGGACACGAAAATGATAAGTAAAATGGTCTGACAGCTTTCATAAAAGCCCTTTACAGCTGTACAGCTTCGTGTAAATAATCCTTGGTCCTGTAGTAATTCTAAAATGATGCTCCTTATCCTTTTCAGTGATCCCGGCGATCTTTAGTTTCTGTGGCATGTCCAGTTCTGGTTCCAACGTTCATGTGGTTTATTAATATTATCGGATTCCATATGTGTCGATCTTCCTGTTCCTGTTGTACATCCATTTCCAGTTGCAGAGTCCATGCACCCTCACTGGAACAGTTTATTAATACCGCTGGGTTACATGTGCGAGCCCACCTCCCGAGCAATTGGATCCTTGTAAAATAATAATAATAATAATTCGAGAGCAGAGGTGCCATCCTTAGCATGTTCCAAGTGTATTTTCAGCCTCAGTCGGGATAGGACTTACCAACAACCATAATAGTAAAGTTGAAGCCCTTCTTCACGGACTTGCGATGGACCTGGTTGGGGAGGTTGGCGAAACCGACATATCCCTGGAGCTTCTTGCGAAGAGCACCGTTCATAAATGGCTACATTGTCAGACAAAAAAAAAAAAAAAAAAAAGCGGTTAATACAAGAGGTGATGAAGTGTGAAATCCTCGCCCTCGTTGTCATCTACGCGGGAGCGTTGTAGCACTCTTCATCTGAATCGCCTCTGAAAGTAGCTGGCGAAATGAAGTCGCGTTGCAATAGACCAAACGTGGAGATCCTTATGTTCAGTCGTTCTCCTGAAAGTCGAGATGGCGTTTGTGTCTTGGGAGCAATTGATCCTTTTTTTCCATCCCATTCCTTCCTGAGAAACTCGAAGGGGTTGTTGAGGAGGTGACGAAAAGGAGTGGCAAGGACAAAGGGGGGAGCAGGACAACAGGAACTGGGACGTGTATTGCATATTGTGCGAATCAGACGAATAGGAAGGTGCATAGGTCGGTAGCTTGCCTTGGATGTGGGAGGGGACATTGGGAGTGCTATCGTTGTTGCGTAACACAGGCAAGGGTACGGTTAGTTCCTTGTCAATGGACCAGGTCTCAATATCAATGTTAACACCTGTCAAAAGTTGCGAGATGCATTTGATGATGGTGGGGATGCGACGACAGCTTTGCGATGAAAGACGCGAAACTGGCTGCAGAAGGTCGTCGAGCACGCGTTGCAGAAGAGAAAAAGAAAGAAAGGAGACATGTGGAGGTTACTTACGGACTTCGCTGGCCATTGTGTGCAGTTGATGATGAGTGTGATGTAGAGGGAGTGAGAAGGGTATTAGAGGCGGAAAGAAAGGATGGGGCTAAAGTATATTCGGATGAATGAAGAGGGCTGTGCTGTGCGAGCGAATGGATGGGAGCGATCAAAGTCGAGTTGAAAGAAAGGGATGGGATGAACGAGTGGAAGGTGTGGAATGGGGAAACAGGAACGGAAACAAGAAGTAAAAAAAAGAAAAAAGAAAAAAAAGACTTCCTTAATGCACCCGGACCCAGAAGGAGAGAGGGATCCCTCTTCCCGTTTTTTACATTTATACAGTGCTCTCTGTCTTTTTTTTGTTGATGTCTTGAGCCGAGAGCACTCATTGACAGACGCATATAAACCAAACCAGGAGGCACGCTCAATACATACACGCACTCACTCATTCGGGACGCCAGGAGCTAACACCATGTTGTCTTCAGGATAGACAGAAGAACCCAAAGGGCAAGGAGCCTCATACATGGCTTCAGTCATCCGTGGCCTCCTTTTAGCCATCTTGCGTGGGATAGAGGTCTGTCTGTGTTCATTAGACTATTATCTACCCTGTGCTGGACATCTCCCTGCTGGTGCTCACCACTAGATGCGTTTCCCTCCAAAAAAGAATCGCTCTTTCCCTGCCAGTCTACACGTTATAGACAACGAGGACCAAATGTCCGAGGCATTGCGAACCATAATTGACGTGATGCCAATCAGCTCTCCTTTTATACCATCCATGAAAGGAATGAATAAAATGAGCGAAGGAACAGAGATCATTGCCGTATCTATAATGTGGTTTATCAACCGTGTGCGTGAACCTCTACTGTGGCTATCGCATAGGATCCAATTCATGCCCATACTGTTTTAGCTGCTCCACATCCTCTACGTTCTTTCAGTCAATTTTCGTTAAAGTGCCTGGAGTGTTAGTAGGCGCCCGCGTGAGGTTGCTGAGACACGTCGCAGTAGAGCGGTGCGATAGAAAGACCATGCAGTATATTCTTTGAAACAAGGTGAAATGTAATAATTAAAGTTATCATAAAGAGTTACCAATGCGAAAGACGGCTAGCGGGTACTCATGAGTCTGCTCATAATAGCTTCAGCAAGAATGATCTATGTCTTTGAGGAGCGCATTGTGCATTGTGCAGTACCTGGCAAGTGAGCTATAACAGTTATTCGTATAACGAAGTGTGCCATAGGCGACAATGACATGCTTGAGTACCAAGGGTCTTTACGCCCAAGATCCAATTGAGGTAGTGACGCCCTAACATATCCAAAAAAAAAAAAGCCTACTCGGCACGTTCACCGGTGCCCAAGTGATTGGGTTCTGAGATACTGCATGCAAGTACTCAAAGTGTTCATGGTAGCCATGGGGAAATATAAAATGCGAGGATACGGTCAAATGTTTATGGAGCAGGAAACGAGCAGGCTACAGGTGGTTGAATAAAAAGTACAGACAAGGCCCGACTCAGTAGCATCAGGAGCACCCTTACTAAGTGCATTCCAGAGGCAGACATATAACCCTGGAAGACGATGTCGTTCATGTGGGCTTGTAGTATAGCATCAATTGAGTTTCAGGAACAATGAAAAGAGTGAAGTGTGGAAAAGGAAAGCTTAGAGGGGCATGTGCATCGTTTTTCATGATCACCATTATATCATTCACTCTAAAGGGTATAAAACCCCTCCTTTCTTCTCTTTTTATCCTTATTCCTCAATTCCTTAAACGTTCTCGCTTCAGCCCAGCCTTGCGCTCTTCACTACACACGGACGATACCACGACCTTCATCAAAATCACATATACACAACAAAGATGCTTCATACACCATCGCAAAAATCAAGGCTGGCCGAGTTTACAGAGCTCCTCAAGGATGATAATCGTGTCAAGGTCGCAGGCGTGGATCTGGACGGCATTCTCCGCGGCAAGGTCATGGTCAAGTCCAAGTTTTTGTCAGTCCTCGAGTCTGGCTTTGGGTTCTGCTCGGTTATCTTTGGCTGGGATATGCACGACAAGACATACCCCGAGGAACTGAGTGTCTCGAACGCCGCCAATGGTAAGGAATATCAAAATGCCCTGAGGACGTGCGAAATGAAGAACATTCCGTGAGCAAAGGAACTTAACATTTTTGGCACCACTAGGTTATAGAGACATCATTGCGGTTCCTGACCTGTCAACCTTTAGACGCATCCCTTGGGAAGGCAATATTCCATTCTTCCTGCTGTCGTTTTACGATCCTGCGACGAAACAGCCCCTGGCCGTTTGTCCCCGAGGATTTTTAAAACGAGTAACGGACGAGCTGGCATCCTTAGGCTGGGAGGCCATGTGTGGAGCAGAATTCGAGTTCTTCAATTTCAAAGGTATTATCCGGATCCACGGGGCAGTTTGACTTTGGGCGCTGTTATCCACGGATCGTTCAGGATTATTCAGGATCGCACAGGACACAGAATATATTGAGATGGGCGTGCGGGAGAGCGATGACGACAAAAGACGAGCCACCTTGTATTTGTGTTCGATATGACGGAGTGACTACTGCTATTTATTCATTCAAGTGTTGGACATTACCGGCTCTACTTTGAAGTTTTCCACTACTATTTCGATTGCTTCATATTAATCGAAAGTCTATGTCTTTGGGAAATTTCATTCTATAGAGTCACCAGAGACGCTTGCAGCAAAGGGACACACAAAACCAGAGGCATTGACGCCAGGCATGTTTGGATACTCGCTACTCCGGCCATCTCTAAATCAGGAGTATTTCTACAATGTCTTTGACGAGTGCAGGAACTTTGGTGTCAATATCGAGAGTTTTCATACCGAGACAGGTACATTAATACGATCCTTGACTATGGTGCCGTCCTTTCAGCTTTATCCCGATAGGGACTAGCCCGGAAACCTTGATGATGCCCAGTCTAACAAATGATGTACTTACCGTCCATGTCCTCAGGTCCCGGAGTATTTGAGGCGGCCCTGTCCTACGACAATGCAACCAACATGGCTGACATGGCTAATCTGTTCAAGCTATCGGTCAAGCAGCTGGGAATGAAGCAAGGAATTATGCCGACATTCATGGCAAAACCCTACGGCGACCAGCCCGGATGCTCTGGACACCTCCATTTTTCGCTGCGTGACATTGCCACTAAGACCAATCTGTTTGCAGCCGCACTGGACAGTAACGGTAATCCCGAGCAGGATCTAGCCAACGATGAGAACCGGCCTGAATGGGAGAAATCTGTTGAGGGCGTTAATCATATGAGCCAGATCATGAAGTGGTTTGTCGCAGGACTCTTGACAGGATTGCCCAGCATCATGGCCATTCTGGCCCCAAACATCAATTCGTACAAGCGGTTGGTGGAAAACTACTGGGCACCTGTGACAGTTTCTTGGGGCATCGAAAGCCGTATCTCTGCAATCCGTGTCATCGGCCCCCCACAGTGCGATCTTAAGAGCACACGGCTCGAGATGCGAGTCGGCGGTGCAGATATTAACCCTCACCTCGCGATTGGAGCATGCTTGGCCATGGGTCTTTACGGCATCAAGAACAAGTTGTCTATGCCTGTGGGACCAACGACCGCGGAGGCAGAGGTGAATATGGCTCATGGAGAGGGTAGTGCTAAGGTCAAGACTGAGCGTTTGCCAAAGTCCCTTAAGGACTCTGCAAACGCCATGCTCGAGCCGGGCTCGATTGCGAGACAAGTGTTGGGAGATGCGTTCGTGGACCATTACGCTGCTACGCGGTTGAATGAGTATCGGATCTGGGAGACTGCTGTTACCACCTGGGAAACCAAGCGTTACTTTGAGCTCGTTTAAGACAAGAAAGTTTAATAAAAAGCCCTTTGCAATCTACATCTGCCTATACAAGTGTGCCAAGAAAATCCTCCCAAGGACGTGTTTGGAGGCACGGTGTGATTTTTCTGTAGGATGGAGTGGTCTAGGATGTTACGCCATGTTAGCCATCGGTTACGGCTTAGGGATAGCGAAAGAGTTGAAGATGTCCTCAGGAAAGCTTGGAACAAAGAGATGATGAAGCAGCGTTATGACGGAGAGCAGCACATTGGGGGAATTGGAGGCTGGTGGTGCTTGGCAAGACAGCCCAACGCTTCGCGGATCCGTGGCCGATTGGAATTGGGTTTCTTGTCCTTTGCGTCATTGTGCAAAGAATGGTTTCTAGCAGATAACATTCGGTTATGTCTGGACTGGACCTTACGACAACAACATGACAAACCCATGAAGGTCCCAAACGAGCAGTATAGCCCAGCTGGTAAACCCAACCCATTGGCTGGAAAGTGGCCATCCACCTTCACCTTCCTTGATGTCCCCAGCAAGCATGTCATCTTGCATTAATGCATTTGGGGGTAAGTGCCACAGCCCAAGAAGACAACCTTGTTTCTTGCCGAACATCCTCAACAAAGAATCACAGGCAGTCGCCCCTGCACTCCTCCTCCTTTTTGCGGTATTGCAGGGCCGAATTCTGATTGGCGGACTCGCGAGGCTACACGAAGTAAGAGGGTCGGAAATCTCTCCGGAGAGTCCGCTATGTCACCGTTCTCTTGGGCTGTTTGTCTGCGACGCACTGAGGTTCTGTCCAATGAGCGTTCCCGAAACAGAAAAAAGGCCAAGAACCGATCTTCAGGGTGTCACGGACACTCGAAGAAAAAAAGAGGGTCTCAGGGACTGATCTTGCATTAATGCAATTAACTAAAAACCAGAAGAACCAACCCAAGCACGGCATGCAACAGCCCTGATTAGAACTAGCCATGCGAAGATAATGTGGTAAAGTCCATTATGCGAGTGAAATGCGCGCGCGTTTATCCGCGCTGCAAGAATGGACCTAGATCGCTGCAGACCCATCCTTTCCTTGCACTCCGCTGGGAACAGACGGCAGAGGAAGAGATGTGCTCCGCCTCCCCTCTACAAATCGTCCACAGCCTGACAAAGCTTGGGACCCGAGTGTGAACACTGGCGGTAAGGAGGTGATCTATTCCGTAGAGGGAATGTACGATCTTCTTAGCATGCACCTCATTGCAGGTCGGATCGTTATCAATGTGGAGTATCATTCCGTTGAATTATGATGGCATTTCTGGTAGCAAAACTGCGCCTTGGGGAGCAATCGGATGTGTATGGTTTAGGAGGGCCGATGATTTTATTCAGTAGGGACTCCTTGATGGCGCTCCAATTGCGTCAAGACGAGAACCCAAATGCCAGCAGGAATCCCCAGATGAAGGACCATAGAACACGCCATAAAATTATTGTGAGCGGAAATGTTTGCAGGAATAACATTGAGGTGTCCAGAAGACGACGGAATAGGCTAGAAAGACAACTGGGCTAAGTAAATAAACAGGAAAATCAGGGATAATGCAGCACTGCCGGCATGAAGACACCCATTATTCTCGTATTCTGTACGCAGTTGAATAGTCACTGGTGTGCAAATGAGTCCTGATGAGTCTTTGGAACCATAGCCCGCAAAAGGAAAAGATTCAAAAGCCCTACCGCAGCTGCAAGCAGAAAGCGGACGCATATAAAAGGAGGCCAACGATCGCACTCCTTCCCCCCGCAACAAAACACAACACCTATATTTTTTCTTTGTAGATTAGCCATTAGAAACGCACAAGAAAAGAACAGACTACGCCAACAACAGCACCGACGAGAAGAAATCTACATACATTGTACATTGTATACATTTACAATCCATCGACGTTTTTTGTGGCGAGATCGACATTGGACACTTCTATTTTTATTCTTTTTTGTATGCTATTTCCTTCCTCTTATTCACATCAAAAGCACCCGACACTTCCCAGAGCAACAATGTCCTCCGCTTAGATCCAGGACCCACATTCAGACTTACACAGGTAAAGAAAGAATCCGCTCAGTGGAGTGGTGACGCGTGATGTCAGGTAGTGTCGATTTGTGATTGAAGAGGTTGGCTGTAGCGCGAGGTTGCTTTGTGTTACTTCGCCCTGGAGCCGCAGCACTTTACAATGGAACAGTTGTAGTTTTTGAGTTTCTTGAGCAAAAAAAAAAAAAAGAAAAAAAAAAGACGTGCATCTTGCGCAACGGTGGCAACTGCTGAGTGCTTCTGCGTGCCTATGCACTGCACTGCACATACATTACAGCACATACATCGGCTGTGTGCGTGTAGCTGCCATGAGAAGCTATCGTCTTCAATGAACACAGATCGGAATCAGACTCTTTGGGCTCAGTGTTTCTTTTTCTTCCTCTTTTTCTATCTCCAAAAAGGGATCCTTTTCTGAGGGCTCTCATCCGAAATACCATATTTTTTTTAGCAATTGACTGCGTCGCATTTCACATTCCCCTGGGCTGTGCCGAAAGACCTATCCGCATCACATATAAAATGCGCTCATTTCCCATTTCTTCCTCTCTCCCTCCTCCTTACCCTCCCTCACCTCCCTTTCCTTCCTTCCTTCCATCCCCACTGTTTATCTTGCTCGTTGTTGTTGACCGTTGTTGTTCAGCCGCACACCTCTGCTTCTGTCACACTGCTGCAAAGTCATTCAATTGACTTTGTTCTTTCTTTTTAGTCTACTGCTATTGTTGTTGTGGCAGTAGACGGTCGGGACCTCTTAGTATCCTTGCTCCACTTCTGCATTTGCCCCTTACAAGAAAATCTCCATTTGCTGCCACATTCAACTGCAATTGTCTGTCGTAGTAGATACCAGTATTTTTTTTTGTCCGCGCGGTCTCATTGACAGTTGCTCGTCGAGTAGTGGTACTAGAGCCGATTTAAAAGAAAGATTAAAATAAGTCTTGGTGTGGTTGTTGTCTGCGACGTGTGGTGTGCTATCCTTGGTAGCAACGAGTGCGTTCTCTGGTTGTTGTTGGCCGAGAAATTCACACTGCCCATTTTCGTTAATCCTGCCTTCCGCATTTGGAACACCCTGCCTACCCCACGCCATTAAAAAAAAAAGCGCGAGCAATTGAAAAGCGAAGAGTAAGCACGGGCCTTTGCCACCATTTTTTTAATCTACTTTCGTAAAAAAATCCAGCCCTTAGCCCCACTGTTTTAACCATTTTTATTCTTCTTGTCAATACTCTAACGCGCCCTCTTCTTCTTCAATTGACTGCCAGATCCTTCTCAGCGATGGAGCCCACATCTCTCTTCATGGACGACTTCATGGCTGACGCGGCTGACTCGGATCTCGTTAAGGGATGCGATCTCTCATTTGCCCTACCCGGATACATCACCAATACAACCATGGTCGACTTTAATGCCGCCGAGCAAATCATGGCCAGGAACAGTTTTGCGTTCCCCAGCAATGATATCGCGGGAATGTCCTGGGACCTGCTTCCTTCCAAGTTGCAGCACCTAACAGGGGATTCAGTCACTGTATCCGCCATGGACTTTAACTCGGAGATGTCTCCTGCCATGAGCCTCTGCACCCCCACAGCCAACGGACTCAAGTCCCCATTTACATTCGATGCCCTCGGACTCGATGAAATCGGCAGCAGCCCCTCGGTTGAATGGAGATCGCCCATGGACGATGCTTTTGGAAGCCTGCAATCGCAAGAGAGCTTTGATTATGATTTCGCGGTGGATGTATCTCAGAACACCATTTGGCCATCACAAGCCGATTTCCAACTCTTCCCCGACAATGCACCATCGGTTAGCAGTCTCCAGCAGCTCTTAATGACCCCAGCGCCTTCCGAATCCGAGATCCCCATTTTCAAAGATTCCCCCTATGAGCTCGGCCTCGACTACTTTTCGCCTCTTGACTCTGCAGCCACTAGTCCAACCCTGAGCGACTGCACCGGTCTATCCAGGGAGTTTGGCGCGGCTTCTGCTTCATCAGCTAATCGTAATTCTGGTTACAATCCCGGAAAGAGACGTCGGCGTCGTCGAATCACCTCTGAGGAGCATGCCCGTGTGATTCCCGAGGAATGCAAGGATGATCCAGATGCTCGTGCTCGCTACATGTGCTCGGTCTGCGGCAAGACCTTTTCTCGGCCCTTCAACTTGCGCTCGCACAGGGCTACGCATGCCGGTGTCAAGCCCTTCACATGTGGTCATATTAACGATGAAGGAAAGTTCTGCGGTTGGTCATTTGCTCGTCGCCACGATCTGGAGCGCCATACGCGCAGCTGCCACTCTACCAAGAAGCAGTTCAAGTGCAGGACCTGCGGAACCGAGTGCGGAAGGAACGATGCCTTCAAGCGTCACCTACAAAGACATGCTGCTTGTGCGCTGGCAGCTTTGATGGAGGAGGAAGACCAGGAGATGGATCAGGCCGGTGCATGATCAATCCAAGGCACTATCTCAACGTGAATCCAACCTTTTCCCCTTCAGGGCCAATGTATATGGGCGTGTGCGCTTTCGTTTAGCGACTACCCACAACATACCAACAGCACCGTAACAAATTGATGACAGGACCAACAGAGACACCAGCAAACAGGAACAGCAACGACGGCAGCAAAAACAACAACAACAACAACAACAACGACGACAACAACAACAACAACAACAACAACAACAACAACAACAACAACGACAACAACAACAACAACAGTAAGAACAACAACCCCATTATATGAAATGGTTGATCAGGAACGGCGTCCAAAGAGAGAAAAAAGCAACAGGAACACAAATTATACAGGACCAAGAAAGAGAACGTGGTGATGATTTTTAGACATTCTTTTCCGTTCCCAACCCTCATCTATTTGCTGTTTTATTTTTTTCTCGCCAAGTACTCCCATATCACATAACCCTTTCCGTGCACACTTTTCAGAGCGATTCATCTTTGGTCGGGCGCAGATTTGGAAGGAAGGAACCTTTCTGTGCCATGGAGCATCCCCTCCTACTTTGAATCCTAGTGTTGAACGTACCCTTTTTTTTTTTTTTTTTTTTTTTTTCTTTCGCTAAGAGACGAATTGCAAAAAGCCATAAAACTCAGAATATCTTTACACTTTCCTGTCCGCGATGAAATGAATGCATATACCTCATAGAGAATATAGATAGCGGCATTCAGCTACAAGAAACGCTTCGAAATGACCTGCGATATTTAATCTCATTGAAACCTGCTAGAAGCCGTGAGAAAATGATAAGGAAGTCTTGGAAGCAATAGGCATTGATAGCTCGACTTTGGCACTTTGCACTGCTGTAAAAGAGCACGGACGACCATCTTGTGCACTGAGTGCGCATATCATTGGATGAGATGAGGGACGCATTGCATCCGGTGCTTGCGGGCTGTGCGGGCCCACCAGATCTCTGCAGTCACTTCTGGTTCTTTTGTGCTGAGTATGGCGCGTTTGTTCGCCCTTGGGCTGATTGCATCTTTCATTCCATTCCATCCTCCTTCTTGACAACAGACCGCAGCCAATGCAGAATATACCAGGACTCTCATTCTTTGACGGGCTCACTCGATCGCGCGCGCTGCAGAGCCGCACCTCATCCAATTCGGCATCCTCACCTCCAGAGACACCTCTGCAGGACGCAACTCCTTTCAGAAACGGCAAGGGCGCAGACATAGACACAGACACAGACACAGTATCACACCCGCTTGGCAAGGACGGCGACAGAGTCCAGGATGAATCCTCAGACACGTTTGATGACCCATTATCACTAGCTACCTCCAACAGCAACTCATCGGCCTCCACACTCCCCGCAGCTTCGTTTTCCAGACGTGCAGCTACTATCTCGTCCGGATCTTCGTCACCCATGCCCGGTTTGCCTGGCAGACGCGCCACCAGTTCCTCCACCATGGGTCGGTCTTCCATTCTGTCGCTAGACAACATTTTTTCAGCCCCGATTCTGAGCCGTCGAGCCAGCAGTATTACAGAGAGTGCGACTGCCTCGGGACGCGCGCGAAGTGCGTCAACAGCAAGCAAAGAGAATGAGGAACCAACAGCCAAGGACGTGTCATTGATGGCTCAAGGGACTCAGGCGTATGCAATGCTGAAACGGATCCAGGAGCATCCAATTGAACTCGCGGATATCATTCGACTTCTCGTTACCAAGAAGGTAAGGAGAGGACATTTCGATTACCCTGTATGATATTCTGGTCCAACCCACAACCCTGCTGATGACAGCTTTTTCTTAATTCTCTCAACGTATTACAGGCAATCTTAATTCTCCCAACATGTCCTATCTCGAAAGACGAATCGGGTCCAACAAGGGCGACCTATGAGGATCATGTCATCATTCCAGAGAGTACCCAGGGCGAATCGCTCTTCGTCACACTCAGTGGAATCCGTGGTGTATTAAAGCCGGCATCGTCTTCTGTCGCTATTCTGGGCATGGCGACAGGACAGGATTTCGGGACAATTGCATCGGATGCTTCTGGACTGACAAAACGCTCGTTTTTTGATAATGTCTCGAAATCAGAAGGGCCAGAAGGGTCTGGAGCAGTTGATGGCAGCAAGGAGTTGAAGTTGGTGAACTCGAGCAAGAGACCTGTCGTCATTTTTGTCGATTCTGTGGGGTCGATACATACGCTTTTGGTCGATAGTGTCATACCTAGTCCAGAAGGCGATGCTGTGCCCACACCGATCGTGCCCTTGGCAATAGGAATCGCAACAGTAAAAGACCGCTCTGCAGCGATGCGGACTCCAAGCGCGGCAAGTTCCGTACGCTCGATGAATATCTCAGACGACAAGGATGGAACGCCCTTACCCAAGCTACCAAGGATTGCCTCAGATCTACCGCTTGAATGGGATAGCACGGTCAAGGATCTGGAGAGGTACAGTAAAGTGTCTTTTGCCGTACCGTACACATGAGGCACCACACACCCACGTTTTCCAATTGGTTTCTAATAACTCAATTTCATTTCTGCATAGTTTCGTAGCGAAACTCAGAAAGAGTCCTCTGCCCAACGGTGACCGGTACGCCAATGACTTTCAGCGGAAGTATGACGATGTTCGCCACAGGTTCGAGGTCTACGGAAACGCATCGGGGTTGAAGCATCGCTGGAGCGACTTGGATTTCGACGAAGTGCAGCAATGGGTGGAGGCATGGCTTTGCAGGGAGATGTACAGTGTAATCTTCCCACGTTCAGCACACGGCATCAACAGCCAGGATTTCTTGCAGGATGAGCAGCTGCAAGCCAAAATCGCCGCGCTAAACTTCTTAGATCTGACGCTAGAGCACTTGGGCTTTGTGTTGGATCATCCAGAGGATGTGGAACACATTGCACAGGTCGTACGGGAAGGGGGTGTTGGTAAGAGGCCCTTTTTATTTATTTTTTGCTCCGCCTTATTGTTTTTGATATACTTCTTGAGCAACACGTACTCACATACTAGCTGTGTTGAATATCATAGAGATGCAAAAATTAGCGTCAGTCAAGTCACCATCGGACAAGATGAGCGTTATTTTGTCCTCCCACCGTGTAGTTGTCGGTGCGCAGACTTGAATGCGGGACAAAAAAAAAAAGAGTTTGATGCGAAGACCCATTTCTCAGGAACGCTCACACTTTCTTTCGAATCATCAACTATTTATTTTAGATGCACTCAACAGGGAGCCAGCTGTCCAAGTGCTTTTGGAAGAAAAAGAGGTAGCAGGAGAATCAGTAATCAACACTAAAAGACAAAGTGAAACATTCGCAAACAACGCAGCTGAGCCGAGTTCTTCGTCCGGAGCAATAACTGATGCAGCGCCAGCAGAGGAACGACTCAGCTTACAGAAGGTTCCTATGGACGAAGGGTACGATAGACCTTCATTACCTTCAATGGATGGTGACAAGGAGGAAGGTAGCGTTGCTGAAACTACTGAAGAGAGAGCTCTCGAAAGCAATGTCAGCGAGTCCAAGGATACAGTGCAAGAAGCGGATAGCGACGAGAAGAAATTGACAGCTACAGATGTCAGCCCAGCAGATGTGGCATTACCGTTGAGTCCAGTTCCCAACGAGGCAGCTATGCCGTCGATTACCGTGCCAGAGATATCAGCGACGCCGCCCGTAGCAGATGCAGCATCAGGAACTACTAGTGGGACAGCTGCGAGTCCATCTTCACAATCGGTATCGCCAAAGAAGCAGTACAGTGCAGACGTGCTGCTACCGCTATTGATCTTCAGCGTCGTGAAGAGCAATCCGCCCATGCTGATCTCGAATCTCAGGTAATGAAGCAAAAATCAGGTCTTTGACATTTGTGCCTTGTTAATTGCGACTATTTAACTTTACTCATCGTCCCCATCTGCCGATTTCTGCCCACAGATATATTCAGAGATTTAAAGTCCAAGATCATCTCACAGGGGAACTGGCATATTGTCTGACAAACATGGCAAGTGATCTGGAAGAGCAGTTCAGCAGCATCCCCAGTTGATATTGATATATGATCTAACAAAGCCTTTCTCTTTTTGTTTAATTTAGATGGCTGTGGTATCGTTCTTAGAGACACTAGATCCTCAGGCACTCGGACTTTCAAACGATATCAGGGTCGTGAGGTAAAGACAAGGCTCTGCAGCTGTTGCATCCGGCAGATGGTGGTTCGTTATCGAGGGACTAATTTGGTCATTTTCTATCATGTGGTACCAGTGATATGTCTGATATCCAGGCCACTCCAGGAAAGCCCCAGCCAGTGCCGCGCATCAACCTCCAGGATGGTATTGACCATACCAAAGCCCTCGGTCATAAAGTCAGTCAAGAAATTGTCGGGGCGGCCGAGGAGGGAATCAAGGTTATCTCGGACGTGGTGCAGGATGGATATTCAAAATTCTTTGGCCGCTTCCTTACCACAACAGACGGTACTTTGCCCTTTGGAAACAGCAAGGCCGGAGTCCTGAACCGCAGCACGAGAGCCATGTCTGCGGCCTCTTCCTTAGCAGCCACCGCAGCGGCATCTGCAGCGGCAGAGGAGGAGCGAAAGAGAAAGGCAAGCGAAGAGAAAAATCGGGGGCTAGTGGGGCTGGTGAGCCCTGCAGGCGTGACGAGCAACGTAACGGTACTGAGCGTCGATGGAACTGCTGGAGGAGCTGGTGTAGAAAAGACCAGCCCGCATGATAGCGCGATGGAGGCAGCCGCCAGAGTGAGTGGGGTGCAGCAAACATGTCTGGAAAGCAACCAATGTTGGTCATATGTATTAACCGTCCTGAACGTCTTTCTACAAACTGACGATCGTTAGGAGCGTGTCCTGGAGTATATGAGGAATTCAGAGGGACCGCAACTGCAGTTCATGGCCTGTACGGATTCGGGTGATCTTCGACTGAACGACATCAAGAGTAAGTTGAAATGCGGAAAGGATGTTAGTTTCTTAAAGCAGGACAAGTTTTAACCCTCCGCCTGTTTTGTTATGTTGTTTGGAAAATAGGTCTATTGGACGACTATCAGAGAATAGGCAAGATGCTGGAGGAGATTAAGCGACTCGCCTAGGCCATCAATAAAGGGAAAAGAGGCTCATTCAAGGTTATACGGCTGTGGTTACACAAAGATATTATTTGTGGTGCATGAGAAAACACGTAATGCGCGCGGCCCTTTTGTCCCGCACGATCAAAAATTTGATTGAAAAGTTCTTCGTATATCGCCCCAATTCTGGGTATTTTTGCAGAAAAAAAAGTTCTCAGAGAAGAACCTTCCCTCTGCTCCACGAAAGAACGGAGGAATCAATCAAGCAGGGTCGAAGCCGGTACGTCTTGATTTGCTCTGAACGTCATTATTCACAATAAATCTGCTAATAAGACTAAAGAAAAGCGCGTACATTATTTTGAATGTTATGAGACTCGCATAGACCTTCAACCCATAGTACTGGGATGCAGGTAAAGAAAAAAAAAGGGTGTGGTGACTATTGTGGTCGATGGAAGGACATTAACAGCGCGGTCTTTCAGTTCATACGATATATCGTCCACATTGAGGTGTTGCCACAAAGAGGGTTCCTGCACACTAATGCATCGGAATACTTGATCAAAACATCATTCTCTGCAGTGAAAATAGCGATAGGGACACTACAAACTAGTACAGTGAGCAGCAAAGCTATCCTCTTCAGCTTAGTCCCACGGAGCAGTAGCGACCCTCTTGCATCCGATACATCCTGCACGTCGTTCCGTGCAACCCTATGGCCCTCTTGCCTTCAAAGAGATATACAGCGCTTGGCGCCACCCCTTTCGCGCCAGTCTGGAGCAGCTCGGAAAGAAGGGCACGCCATGGCGCTGCTTTCTATATTTTTGGACCTATAACACACTGCGGCCAAAGGCAGCCTTGTGCATATAAAAGCGGCCGACACGGGCTGCCGGTCCTTCACTCCCCTCTTTTCATACATCCTCCGCATTTCGCTGAATTTTTACGCCCTGCAGAGCACACCCTGCACACTTCACATTCCATCCCATCATTCTTCATGACCGAAAAGAGCGATAGGACTCGAGAGATCGCTGAGGGTGTCATACAGTGTGAACGGCAGCTCAATGACTGGAGCGAGTGTGTCCGGAATGCATGCTACCACTCGGAGTCTAGCGATGAAGACACAGCAAACAAGGCAAAGGACATGAGTGAACCAGGATCCGAGCGCACCCTGTTGACGAGACTCGACACAGTGCAGTGCAGGATCGAGCATGTGGAGGAGGTCATGGGCATGTTCATGGCAGAGAAGCAGGCGATCCTTGACAGCGTTGACGGGCTGAGGACTATGCTACTCGAGGAGACGAGCCATGAACAAGGGCGGCGCGAGCGGCGGATCAGAGGCAGACCAGGGTCTCGCAGTGCACGATCCGACGAGCAGGAGCAGACGTGAATGTGGACGCTGGAATATGGCAGGATGTTTGGCTTCCACACAAGGATCGCAGCGCCAGTTTACACCATTCTCATGCAGGATAGCATAGCAAGACAATAAAAAACAAGGCTGATCCTGACCCAAGAACAGACTAGATGTAGATGAATGGAGTGTGGTGTGCAGTACTTCAGGCAGAGCGCGTGGTGGCTACTGCTGGTTCGGTCTAGGCATAATCATGTCCGTAGATGCCTGAAAGAACAAGCACTCATGAAACCGCAAAGTGAGTCCATTCGAGGAGGCTGTCCGCAAATAACGTCAATAGTAAGTCGGTGCAACACAGAGACACATGCAGCCTTTTTTCCGGTCATCGGCATGGCAATACCCAGTTGTGCCTGACAAGGCGCGACATTGCCTAACAGGGCCCGAGACCTACAAGCCCTTTGTCTTTCTTGTGACAAAAGAATCTTGCCCACTATGATCATCACCAAGACTGAAAGGAGCCAAGGTGCGACCAAGGCACAGAGCGCGGCCAAGGTACAAAAGCGCTACAAAGAACTAACCAAGCGGAAGTAAGCATGCTGAAGGAATACCGAAGGACAGGGTATCCAGTGCTGGACGCGTATAAGTATCTCTCGAGATCCCGCTGCAGATGGCTTCTCACCTTCTCTCACATACACACATACACACACACGTACATACACACACCTTCACCCAAGCACTCAGACTCACTCACTTTTCAACTACCTCACACACGTCCGCCATGTCTTCTAGACCCTCTTCTCCCCCAGTTGCCAAACAGATCGCACAGGCTTCTGAGAGCGTGGCCAACTATGAGGATCAGCTGGCAAAGATGCGCAAGTTCCTCAACAGCAGCTCCGAGCCGATCTGCGATCCCCAGTGGTTTGCAGGCATGCAAAAGAAGCTCAACTTCACGATCGAGCAAGGAGCGACGCTCACGGTCTTCAGGAAGCCGTCGGGAGATGCCACACTTGACGATCTTGTCGTTCTCGAACGCGAGTGTTTGAGGGTGCAGCGCCATGAAAACACGTTGCAAGTGATGGCTCTTATTGAGCGCACTCTTGCGAGCGAGAAACAGGTACTTGCCAGGCTGCAAGCCTTGTAAGTGGTCTGGTCCTGTTGCGCGAGCACATGTCTCAGTAGGATAGCACTGAAGGCCCCAGATGGTGCAACGGGAGTATCACTGCATCATGGGCGGCGCAGCAGCCGGAATATAGCAGCAGCATACGATATCAGTCATCATAGTAGCCATGATCCAGGAGGGAAAAAAGAAGCAATGACAGGCGCGATGGTTATTGCAAGAATGATAGAAGTACATGAATAAATTGCACGTTTTGCTCTAAACGCGCGTATTGATGCATGGCTGATAACGGAGAGGGGCGGATGTAGCTATGCTGCTCGAATGTGTCTCGTAACGTTCGCAGCTGCTGTTAGTGTTCCCTGAACCTTGACGAGTGTAATGGGGCCCTAGATGGCGGTGCCAACGGAAACGAGACAGACCGCTGGGCCGAACGATAACCGGGGATCATCAAGAGTGCAGGGTGGCAGATCTGGCTCTGAAGCAGGAAGGAATGGTTGCACGCCTTTTGCCAGCCGTGACCTACAATCTACGCTGAGATCTGGATAGGATCTTATACCAAGAAGGGCTTTTCATTTTATCTTATTTTATTTTATTCAAGTCCTACATGATGCAGCCTTTCGGAAGGAAAGACGGATCGCTCACGTACTTATGAATGAAGACCCGTATTCAAACATTTTTTTTTGTGTTTTTCAATATGAGTGTAACAACTACTCGTTCAACCGCCAAGGAACTCTTTCCTAACCTGTGCACCTACAAGTTAACTAAAGCTGGCGCTTCAGGCATGCTTCTTTTCACTACTTCTCTCGAGAACGCCGCTTTAGAAACTCAATACATCATTGATGCTTGCCTGTTCACAGTATGTTTTACAGCAAGAGAACTCCTTCCAATTTTCGTGGTCATCACCAAGGCGGTTAAGAGCAAAAAAAAAAAAAAAAAAAAAAAAGAAAAGAAAAGAAAAGCATTGCAAAGGATTAATCGAGCGAAACTGGAAGTGAGCGCATATAAATACCCCAGGCCCCACTTCTTCTATGTCTTCACCTTTTTGCTTCCTCACCTTATCGCCCTTTCGTTTCACACACAAGACTTATCGCGCACCAGTTTTTGAAAAAACACTCTTTTTCAAGGTCCAGCCACGCAATGGGTCCCGGAAAGGCCGCCGGACATACAGCGCTTGTCCGCACGCGCACGCTAAAATGTAAGGAAGAATTCCTCGATCGTGCAATAAATCCAGGAGCAGTTGCTAAACAGATTGCTCTGGTCTCTGCCCGTATAGAAGCATGCGAAAGGGAACTTCCCGCACTTGGGAGCGATCTCAACGGCAGCTCGTGGCCCCTGTGCGACCCTGTATGGTTTGCGGAAATGGAGCAACAGCTCGATTTCGCGATAGTGCAGGGATCGCTGTTCACTGTCGACGGAATGTCGACCTTTGATGTTCCGTCTGGCCATCTCGTTATCCTCGAACAAGAGATGTTGAGGAGAAAGCGCTACGACAGTGCCATGAAATGGATTACTATTGTTGTAAGCGCGTTGAACAAGGACAGGCAGTTGCTGGCTCAGTTGCTGGCTCAGTTGCGGGCCCAAAGTGAAGCTTGACCTTGACCTTGACCTCTCTTTTGTGATATAGCGCGAAGGGTCCCGAATGCAACAAGGCTAGTGAAGTAAAGCAATGGTTGTCTTTAAACATAGAATATAACATGAAGAGAAGTGATTTTCACAAAAAGGGTTACTAGTCTTTTTGCATTAATGGCGCGTGTGGTTATGCGGTTCATAGCAGCAAAGGCGAACTTCGCTCTGTTCGTCATCTGTGTCTCGTTTATTTTACGATAGTATACCGACTTGGATGAGTGTGGTGATTAATCATTATGTAGCGACAAAAACTGAAGCGTAAAGAGGCGTCGGATCAAATAACATATGTCTTTACTGAATGGCGCCAAGCAATTACTATGGCCGCAAGGCTGGAGGGAATGCCTAGACGCCTTTTCTCCCGATCTTTGTTTCCATGCTACCCTATGCCCTGAGCGTAGGATGACGGTAACAAGTCCATTCTAAACTTAGGAGATAGGCAATAGGTATTTTCTTTACAAGAGGCGAATTTTTACACTTTCCATGGGGACAGCGCTTATGACATTCAGTCGTGGACGAAACCGTATTGATGAGTTTGATTATTGGGCACTAGCAGCATCTTTACCGCTCCTTCTCTCGACATAATCACAGGCACATACAATACAACGCAGTCAAAGATTCGCTATTTACAGTTTACATCTAAAGCGAGTGCCCACATAGAACCTTGAGTGCGCATCGCCTAGTGTGAGCAACGCCTCGAAACCCGTAGCTCACGGAAAGCTGTCGTACTGAAGCACCCAGGGATATCAGTCCAATGGCTGTTGTCCCATATTTTCAACCTTTTTTTTTGAGGCCGAATAGTTTATTCTGAAAGTGAACGAGAATCCGGTCATGGATGTTTATCTCGAATAGACTGCGATACTTATGGAAGAGTTGAAAAATACCGCGACAGCCTGAAAGCCATGGACCGATGAAGATATGCTCCCGGAGGTGTTCCTTGAGCCCGAGAATGTACTAATAAAGCTGTAAAAGCACTCCACTCTCTCTTTGCGATAACCGTTGTGAAATATCACATATTGCTTTATGGTTTTAAAAAACGAGAATTAAGCATAGGCATCGATGGTTCACTACGCCGTAGTCCTTACGTGCGTAGGAAATAATAGTAATAATAAGAAAAAAATTGCGTATGTGGTATTGTGGAAATAAACAGAGGGAAGCTCGTAGCCTGATGATATCCACATTGGGGTTGGTAATCTTATCAACTCCCGCTGTTAAGCGGCTGGTTTGCCGCAATTATAACCGAAAGATTGGCTTGAGAATAGGATCAAGTATCAAAAGTGGTCGAGAACGGTTAGGACCTGAAAGTAAGGTGTGTACATTGCCATAGATTAAGTTAAGTGGTGGTCATTACCTTTCGGATTCTTACGCGTCTTCTCTCTCCCAACGTGCTGCAAGGCTGCGATGGCGATCTTTGAATGGCTTTCCTGAATTTATCTGCCATGATCATCTCCAAAATGCAGAGTATAAGCAATAAGCACAGCCTCTTGGGAGGAGCCATAGGCAAGGTTATTTTGTTATGGGCTGCCGTATGAACGACCACATGAGAAGGTGCCTTTTCTTCGTGTTGGAATAAGGAGGATTTCCACAAAAGAGCCACCAAATGAGGACAACATGTATAAAATGATGGACTCTGAAGCACCACTGGTCTCTCTACCACGCCCTTCCTCACAACACTCATAGTACTCATCACACTCCGCACATATAGGTGCATACACAGCAAGTCCATTTCACACATCAAATTTCATTTGCACCTTCAAGCATGGCCGCTCCAGACAACAGAACTCGCGAAGAGGTTACGAGAGAACTTCACCTCCGCCAGGACCGTTTCGCCAAGATCTACTGGTCAGTCGCCATGTACGATGATAGCGGCAGCATCCGACATGAAACGGATGATTCGATTAGCCTTCGCGGCGTGAACTTCGATGGCCCTGAAGATGCCGAGAGGATTATTCTTGAGAGGATTAACAATCGTCTACTCAGGGAGGACATTGCGCGCGAGAGAATCGAATGTTATCGAGAAGAGCTCAGGGAACTTTCGCAAAAAATGGCTAGGGATCTTGCGAGACTACGCGCGCTTGATCTGCTCGAGACCACCGCCTAGTACAACGGAAGAGAACGTCTTTCATCACATCCAAAGTGTTTGACGGCGCCTTGCGAAAGGTTTTTACCCATGGTAGACAAGAGATACAGTCCACTTAGTAGCGCAAACATTGCTGGATGATGAAAATCCATCTGCACCAAGCAAAAAAAGAAGCAATTCTCTGTCGCATATCCAGAAGTCCGTCTACATAAAGAATTCATGCTGTACAACTGATTAAAAATAACAGCGGAATGTATGCGGCATGCATATTGACTATGGCTATTGTGTTTGGCGCGATTGATGTCTGTGTATGGATAAAAGACGTGTGGTGATTTGCGTGGAAATAAAATACCGGGGATCGATATTCATATATTTATGAGCAGCGTCATCCACACCGGGGTTTACTGACAAAAAGATCTCTTCGAGCACTTCTGCGCTAAGGCTTTCTGCGTTCCTTTAGGGAACGATTGAAGCTCAGTGGCAAAAGGGAGTCAGACATACAAAACATACGGCTGGACACTAGGACGATGGTATAGCGCTTGGTATGACCTGTAGGCGAACCTTGCGACCTTTGTGTTGTTATAGATTCAATCGCGCATGTCTTGAAGATGATCCTAAAGGCAAATCGTATTCCTCCTGAAATCAAGAATAGCTACTCTAAGCCGAGCAAGCCGCTCATTGAAGATTATCTTCATAGATGAACATATAAATTCCCTAACTTCAGGTACTTACAGTCTCCATCTCGCAATCACCGCGTTCTCGCTCTATGTTCTTTCCGCTCATTGCGCGGAGGGTGATTTTTAGACTTTACTCATTCTACACAAAAATTGGTCGTTCACCGTACTCGAATGATCATGACTACTGAACAACTTCGCGCAGCCCTAACGCAGTGCGAAAGGCGCATCCAAGAGTGCGGCCAGAGGATGCAAAGACTTATGTCTATACCCCATATCCTATTCACCCGCCACATTCAAGGAGACAACCAGGAAAATCCCATACCGCTTAGACTTTTATGCGGCAGAACAGCGACGACGGAGTTGGCTATTTCAGAACATTGCGGGAGTTACGAACTATATGAGTCAGTATCGAGAGGAGAGCGCATCGATTCTGGCAGAGCTAAAGGATTTGATGGCTAACGTTCAGGCTATACGCAGTGGGAGGACGCATTATCCTAGTGTCAGACACCCTACTCTATTTAAGAACAAAAGAACACAAGTCGAAGGCCACAGCACTTGAAAGCGTTTTTTTTTACAAGCGATAGGCACCATGAGAAAAATTCTCGGCCTCGAATTCACTGCTTCAGTCCAAGTAAAGATGCATGTTCATTCTGGAATTCAAAAAGACGATGAAGGCTTTCATTCAATATCTTTCTTACCACCGTTGTATGCAAGAAATAAAAAAGCTTAGTGCCTACTGTGGTCCCGAGAATGGACAATGGTGGGGCATTATTAGATTTAGTCTGCGCTCCGTATAATCCAAAATCTCGCTCATCAACAAAGAGAATCAGTCCAAGCACTTTCACTCTGATATTCATGTCTAGAGGCGATAAACCGCTGCTGACGTTGACCTTAGCCCCGGCATTCACATCTATGCTGGACGTGCTTGCCTAGTAGATAGTCATCATGCGAAGATAGAAGTTAGAGCATGGAAAACATAGGAAGGCATGCGGAACCAAAAGCGACAAGTTCTTGCCATGGGTATTTGGGGCCAGCTTTCCGATGCTGGCTTCTACAATGCGACTGGTCCAAATCTGACTGATTTTTTTACACGTTTTCGTCTTTACCTCAATTTGAAAGCAAAACACTAGTAATAAAGTACCAGCAGCGATTCTGCAGGCAGGTACAGCGAGAAGTAGAGTTACCCTCTTCAGCTTAGTCCCACGGAGCAGTAGCGACCCTCTTGAATCCGATACATCCTGTACGTCGTTCCGTGCAACCCTATGGCCCTCTTGCCTTCAAAGAGATATACAACGCTTGGCGCCACCCCTTTCGCGCCAGTCTGGAGCAGCTCGGAAAGAAGGGCACGCCATGGCGCTGCTTTCTATATTTTTGGACCTATAACACACTGCGGCCAAAGGCAGCCTTGTGCATATAAAAGCGGCCGACACAGGCTGCCGGTCCTTCACTCCCCTCTTTTCATACATCCTCCGCATTTCGCTGAATTTTTACGCCCTGCAGAGCACACCCTGCACACTTCACATTCCATCCCATCATTCTTCATGACCGAAAAGAGCGATAGGACTCGAGAGATCGCTGAGGGTGTCATACAGTGTGAACGGCAGCTCAATGACTGGAGCGAGTGTGTCCGGAATGCATGCTACCACTCGGAGTCTAGCGATGAAGACACAGCAAACAAGGCAAAGGACATGAGTGAACCAGGATCCGAGCGCACCCTGTTGACGAGACTCGACACAGTGCAGTGCAGGATCGAGCATGTGGAGGAGGTCATGGGCATGTTCATGGCAGAGAAGCAGGCGATCCTTGACAGCGTTGACGGGCTGAGGACTATGCTGGTCGAGGAGACGAGCCACGAGCAAGGACGGCGCGAGCGGCGGGTCAGAGGTAGACCAGGGTCTCGCAGTGCACGATCCGACGAGCAGGAGCAGACGTGAATGTGGACGCTGGAATATGGCAGGATGTTTGGCTTCCACACAAGGATCGCAGCGCCAGTTTACACCATTCTCATGCAGGATAGCATAGCAAGACAATAAAAAACAAGGCTGATCCTGACCCAAGAACAGACTAGATGTAGATGAAAGGAGTGTGGTGTGCAGTACTTCAGGCAGAGCGCGTGGTGGCTACTGCTGGTTCGGTCTAGGCATAATCATGTCCGTAGATGCCTGAAAGAACAAGCACTCATGAAACCGCAAAGTGAGTCCATTCGAGGAGGCTGTCCGCAAATAACGTCAATAGTAAGTCGGTGCAACACAGAGACACATGCAGCCTTTTTTCCGGTCATCGGCATGGCAATACCCAGTTGTGCCTGACAAGGCGCGACATTGCCTAACAGGGCCCGAGACCTACAAGCCCTTTGTCTTTCTTGTGACAAAAGAATCTTGCCCACTATGATCATCACCAAGACTGAAAGGAGCCAAGGTGCGACCAAGGCACAGAGCGCGGCCAAGGTACAAAAGCGCTACAAAGAACTAACCAAGCGGAAGTAAGCATGCTGAAGGAATACCGAAGGACAGGGTATCCAGTGCTGGACGCGTATAAGTATCTCTCGAGATCCCGCTGCAGATGGCTTCTCACCTTCTCTCACATACACACATACACACACACGTACATACACACACCTTCACCCAAGCACTCAGACTCACTCACTTTTCAACTACCTCACACACGTCCGCCATGTCTTCTAGACCCTCTTCTCCCCCAGTTGCCAAACAGATCGCACAGGCTTCTGAGAGCGTGGCCAACTATGAGGATCAGCTGGCAAAGATGCGCAAGTTCCTCAACAGCAGCTCCGAGCCGATCTGCGATCCCCAGTGGTTTGCAGGCATGCAAAAGAAGCTCAACTTCACGATCGAGCAAGGAGCGACGCTCACGGTCTTCAGGAAGCCGTCGGGAGATGCCACACTTGACGATCTTGTCGTTCTCGAACGCGAGTGTTTGAGGGTGCAGCGCCATGAAAACACGTTGCAAGTGATGGCTCTTATTGAGCGCACTCTTGCGAGCGAGAAACAGGTACTTGCCAGGCTGCAAGCCTTGTAAGTGGTCTGGTCCTGTTGCGCGAGCACATGTCTCAGTAGGATAGCACTGAAGGCCCCAGATGGTGCAACGGGAGTATCACTGCATCATGGGCGGCGCAGCAGCCGGAATATAGCAGCAGCATACGATATCAGTCATCATAGTAGCCATGATCCAGGAGGGAAAAAAGAAGCAATGACAGGCGCGATGGTTATTGCAAGAATGATAGAAGTACATGAATAAATTGCACGTTTTGCTCTAAACGCGCGTATTGATGCATGGCTGATAACGGAGAGGGGCGGATGTAGCTATGCTGCTCGAATGTGTCTCGTAACGTTCGCAGCTGCTGTTAGTGTTCCCTGAACCTTGACGAGTGTAATGGGGCCCTAGATGGCGGTGCCAACGGAAACGAGACAGACCGCTGGGCCGAACGATAACCGGGGATCATCAAGAGTGCAGGGTGGCAGATCTGGCTCTGAAGCAGGAAGGAATGGTTGCACGCCTTTTGCCAGCCGTGACCTACAATCTACGCTGAGATCTGGATAGGATCTTATACCAAGAAGGGCTTTTCATTTTATTTTATTATATATATTTTACTCAAGTTCTGCATGACCAGCCTTACAAAAGGGAGTGGCGGCGTGGAAAATAAACAGCAATGAGGTTCTTTGTCCTGTGGTTCACTTTTTGCTGTGGTGTCCTGCGAGTATTTATAAAAGCTCTCTGCGCTCCTTATTGTCCTTATTTCCATCCTCCCCAAATTACTGTCAAACATTATTACTCCATCACTTAAATAAGCCCTATTGCTTTTATCTAGTCCGCTATGAAGCACGCACCTGAACACCAGGACCAATTGGCTCGCGAGATCGAAATCGTCACCGAGCGGATCTTTAGGTCTGAGAGATATCTTCCGATGTTCTTAGGTATGATTTCTGAAGAAGCGTGCGAAACTGTTGGTTTTGGCGCTCTTCAATGTCCTGACTGCAATCCGAACGCTGAAGTGCCCTTTTTGGAGTCGAATCTTCATCTGTTAGCTGTGGAGGCTTCTAAACAACGATGCCTGCTTCGAAGACAGATGATCCAGAGCATGAAAGAAACGTACGACTCAATGACGATGGAGCTTATACGAGATCGCTCGTTATTGGGTCAGCTCCAGCGACAGTTGCGAGCCATGATTGGAGCATGGGGAAAGTAGCCACTCATTATGTCAAAAAGAAGGGGATGTCTGAAAAGGATGTTAAGTAGAGCATGCTAGGAATAAAGTTTTTTTTTATTCAGCAACAGCATGCTACACTTTTTCATGACTGAATGCACTTGCCAGATCCGAACCATCAGCTTGTTAAAATAAGAAAAAAGAAATCGATGATTAACATATCCCACATTTTGTGGGCGCGTATCTTTGTGCGGGAAAAGTCTCCTGACTGAACAGTGTGTACTACAGAGGAACCACGGTTTCCCTGTGGAGCCTGAATTGTCAAATTAAAATGTGTGTATCTGGCTGTGGAAATACGAACCATTCCGTTCTTTGCTCTAGTGAACTAGTGAAAGAAGGTTTGTTCACCTCAATTACCACACGAAAAGAAAAATCATATGCGTGAGCTCTGAGGCCAAGGTGCTCCTATCAGAATTCCCAAGCCATTTACCAAAGGCTATTACCGCTGCACCTATCACGCCACTCGTGAATGGCAGTAAAAGGCGATACAACTACTAGGCAAGAAAGTAAAGAAACATGTATTAAACGTCGTGGTTTCGTTGGATGTTACTCGTCTCGTACTTTCCATGGACCTCTGCTTCCTTAGAGGCTTTACTTCAATAGGGCAGCAAATCAGTCAATTACGACTTCCCCGTCGCTCCTTCGTATCCTGCTCAAATTCGCAGATCCTTCACTGACGACAAAAAGCATTGTCATATTCGCCTTCGTTCAGAAATAACTCTCAAAGACGATGAAGGTATTGTGAAGACCAACACAGGCTCATGATAGGTGAAAAGCCCCTTCGTAGCTACACCGAGTGCAATCACTCATTTCTGGATTCTATCGACCTCAAATCGCAAAGTTCGCCATGATGCCCGGCATTTAGTAATCCGACCAGGATTCCACAAGGAGATGAATGTATATTAAAGGAATTCAGACAAAAATATCCAGGACCACTTTTGAACCTGTCGTCCCGGGGTGTTTGACCATGCCTCCAAAGGACGCCTAATGAAGCACCACAGAAAGGTGTGGTTTCCACATACCAGGCTCTAATAAATAAAGGGAAACAAAGAATTGAGAGCAGCAACCACTTCAATAAGGGTAGACGCACAGACCTTCCAATTCATATCTTTACGCGACAAATGCTAAGATTTTTTATACATAATCGAGGCATATCGAATGATGTCCTCAAGTATGATGCCACACTTTCACATAGAATCCGCAAATGACACACGTACGTGGAACTCATTCAATACAAACCCTTGAACAAAGCCTCAAAGTCGAAGCACTGCCCTGCAGAGTCCGTGTGATTCTCAATTACCTCCGTTCAAGTTAGTTTTCACACTTTATGCATTAAATAGACTTAATGTTGTTATTTTGCGATATCCCTTTGCATGAAACGGCATGTCTGGTTTACCATGGATAGTCTCTATTAACACGAGTGACAAGAGTACTCAAAAGGAACGGCATGGCGGCAACAAGATATCCCGAAAACGAATATATATATACAGTGGTACCGACACTGTAGTTGTCTCTTCCTTACCTTGCACGATTCTAGTTATTCTCTTGTTCACAGTCCAACCACAGACACGGCCATCATTCCTTTTCCAAACCGTGAGACTTGCGCATTTCATGTCCAACGAAAGAGGCCGAATAGGTCGTGAGATGGGTACACTCTCCAGCAACATTATCTTCTGCGAATTGCGTATCGAGAACCTGAGGAACTTGATCGAAGAGGCTCAGGATGATATCTGGGACTTTGATAAGTGCAACCGACTCGAACTTGAGATTGAGTACGCGATTAACCATGGCCGTATACTCACTATTGGCACGGGCATCCATAACCCTACTCCAGCGAATAAAAAATCAATGACTGTCGAGGACTACCGACGAGAGCGGGTCGAGTACGCAAAAATGTTAGTCGCGCAAGTCTCTCAGGTGTTGCTGCAGAAGAAAAGTATGTATGCTGAGCTAGAATCGTGTCTGAAGACCACGCAATAAATTGCATAAACGCGCTGAATGGATACCACCAAGTACCACAAGAAAGCATACCCAAAAAACATTTGTGCTCTGGAAGTAGTGTAGTTTATACTCCTCGTACCCGTACTTTGTCTACACAGCCTAATTTCTATCAGTTATGGATCTGTTTTTGTTACCGCCGCAGTCATTTATCATTCTACGTCGAATAATTATTGCCATCAGCAACCCTATTTCTGGGCCTTATCCAATCTGTTGACAGCTCATTGCTTTGTCTTCGAAAAAGCCTTTGCTTGGGAGCATGACATCCACTAGAGACCCAACAGATAATCGCAAGGATGAACGACAGTTGGAAGCCAGCAGTGTAAAACGATCGACGTGCAGTACTCTTCTGCTAGACATGATGGATGGGATCGTTACCACTGTCTGTGTTCGTGACTGAAGATTACCACACGAAGACTTATTCAATAGATTCTGGATAGACATCTTCGATACCGTCTATCCATTTGAGTCAGTGGCGGTAATCCGTCGTTTAGGCCACCTTCACTATTTTCGTCGACTAGCTCCATACCGACGTGGGATAATATGACAATCTGTGTACTATGTCGTTGTTCAATTTTCTTTATCAAGCGTTACAGAGAGGGTTCTCTTTCTTGTGCGGACAATGTCTAGAAAAGCGTGTGCATGAAGGAGCCGCAGAGCGGAGTTGAAGGTCAAAGGGCGTATAAATACCACAAGTATCTTGTCGTCCACGAAGCGCTTTCATTTCATCCTCCCACGCTCCTTCCACACCCATTCCACACTTCAAAACACCTAAATTTAGCCGACAATGTCCCCAGATGAGCAAATTGAGATCATGAATAAGATGAGAAATATCTCTTTTCGTATAGTCTTCTGCGAAAAGCGCATCCCGGAGCTCAGAAGGATGATCGCTGGTGAAGAGCCATCGGGAGATCGCGATGATTTCATTAACCAATTCGACTGCGAAATTTTGAATGAGATGACAGATGAAAAAGTGAACCTTGACGAGGCTGTTGAACCTGCTACATCTAGCTCCTGCAAGTCAGGCAAAGAGCTACTTGACCGGGTCTTGCGATCCCTCGACAAAGACAAGAAGACCTATACCAGGCTGCAAGGGAAGTTGAATGCCTTGAAGGAACGAACATAGTCAGCTCAAATAAAGACATTCTGCTGCTGAATATGTTTTTTATCTTTAATGCGAACAAAGCGTTTTATATAAGCTGAAAGCGTTGGATAGTATCTTCTACACATAGAACGCTTATGGCACATGCTAAAGTGTACATCCTCTCTAGAATTCGGCAAGAAGAAAAATGAGCGACACCATCCTTCCTTGTGTACGAATTCTATAGCATTGTCAATCATATTTTCTGACAAGGCTGGATAAGCGTGTGAATGCTGTTGTTGCTGCCGAACATCTACTTCCATGCTATTAACTGTAAAAGGCGTTTATCCTTTAAACATTACTTTACTCCGCAAGCCGGCATGTCGATTTCAGACAACAAAGATCAGCTTCTTGGATTTCATACTGGCGACTTATTTTTTTGCTGATGACCATAAAGGATAGAGTTCATTCTTGCGTGCAAACGGGTATTATGAAAGAGTAATGAGTAAAGGGGATGGACGCCTTGAAAGTGCAACAAAGCGGTTGTCGTAGACTCCTCAAACATATATAACCACCAACGACCTGCCATGGTTTCTCTGTCCTTTCCCCACACTCTTCTTCTACAGCTATTTCTACACTCACTGCAAACTCACAAGACCATTCCTCAACCACGCTCATTGTATCTATACCAGAATGCCCGCTCAATGCGAGCTTATGCAAAAAATCGCGCAGACCAAGCAGGGCTTGGCTTTTAAAAAGAAGCGTCTTCCAGTCCTTGAGCAGAAGATCAACAATGCCGAATCGGCTGACGAAAGCTTTTTGGCTGAGATTGCCTATGAAACCCGATTCAGAAGTTACAGGGATGTCGGACCTACGGACATCACTGCCATCCCTCCAGTGAGGACGGTCGGTCAGTCATCCCTTCATGCTTTAGCACTCGGCGAGGACATGAAACAGACTCGACTTGATGAAGCAAGAGATCTTATCGACCACATCCTCCGACTTATCATGGAGGATGAGGCGGAGCTCGTCTCTTTGGAGGCTCAGCTGGTCGCATTGACAGACTAAAAATCGCTTTTAGTATTGCGCATTGTTAGGCTGAATTACCGCCACCACATGAAGGCCAGGAAAAAAAAAACAAAAAGAAAAAAAAAAGGGCTCAATAAAATAGCACAGACACAAGACCCCATTGTATTTAGTTATCTCTCTTTGGATGCCATTGATCCATACGATATTTGTTTGATTCTCGATCCTTTCTTCCCATATATGGGCTCATTTTCTCATCCAAGGTTTGAACAATGGAGCACAGCCCCTTCGCGTCCATCCTTTTGTATCCGAGGGGCAAACACGTATAAGGGTGCAAAGATAAAATTGACCAGCTTGCAATAATAATAAAGCTCCACCTCCCTCCTTTACTTTCTCAACTACCACTCCCACAAATCCCTCACATTTACGCTTTTTTACACATCTCCGTAACAGATCCTCAATAAATGACTCGCAATTCGCACTACCTACATCCTCAAAAATCATCGCATTCTTCGCCCAGTATTTCTTCAAATACGCAGATCGAGCTCCAGCAGCAAACTGGTTGCGACAGCAGCGCCGGCAGCAATAACAGCACTAGCATTCTTCCATCGCTTCATGTTTCACACAGCCAGCCATTAGGTTTGAAACAGCCCATCCCTGCGAGATCCAGACGTTCGCTCAAGTCCTTGCTTACCATGATGCGGGGTGCAGAACGCAACTCCTCCCCAGTCACCCCGCACAGCAGCGACGGTGATTACCTCAGGAGCAACACAGAACCTGATCGTCAATGCGATACAACTAATCAGCCGGTGAGCAATCCAGAAACACCGTTGCTCAGAGCCATATCCTGTTCAGCGCCTCTAGTCAAGGCAAAATGGCAAATCAGATGGGCCAGATTACTAAGACGCCCGTCTTCTGCTTCTGATCTAATGTCAGGAGCAGTAAAAACAAAGGAGTTCCTCATCCACGACGGGCCTGGTGAAGATCTAAGTCTGGTTGCGACCGATGTTGAGAACGAAGAATGTGATAGAGCTACTTCTATTGCTTCAGCTATGCCCACAGCCGCCTTCGACACAGTGAAGTTCGATGAGCCCGTAACCAGCGCCAGTTATTCAACTGCCGATACGCAGTCAAGTCTTGGCCATCATGGGACACTTCATCACGACAATAGCGACCACCAATCAACTGAATATTCCGAGCATGCCAATCATGGTGACACGATCGATCCTGAAGGATTCGAAAGCAACTCGAATATCACTTTCAACAGCACAGATGACAACCACTGCCTGGATGCTGTGCCAGGTATTACTGCCCTTCGGAGGAACGGGAACAAACTCTTTGAGGCGCCAAGACATCCCAATAAGGAAGAAAAACCCCTCCTCAACAGCGGTAATTACAGCATTAAGGACAGCAGACAGTCAGTGTATCGTGTAGTTATTCCAACGCCCCGTCAAAACCAGAGGCGACAACAGCGATACGGCAAATACACTTATGCCAGACCGACTACACGGGTGTCGTTTATTCCGTGGAGCGAGAGAGGATATTGTATGGAGTATAGCAACCAAGACGTTCCTATTTCTTCAACCTTGATGGACGGACAACCTTATGCAGAGAATACGGATATGGTGCGAGCGTTTTCACCGAACGAGGTGCAGCAATTCGCGGGTGGAAGCAATGATGAGGGTGAGGAAGAGGACTGGGAGGATACCACAACCGATAATGACGAACAGGAACCCAAGATTCCTACAATCTCTCAGCACCACATTCACTCCAGAGGTGCGCGGCATCGAGCGACCGTGGCGACGTATTCCAGCTACTCAAGACGAAAGAACAATATCCAACGACCCAGTTTGCGGTCTGTGCCGAGGATTACGGAAAGTAGCTGCCGATTCGGTCCTCGGTGCCAAGCTGTAGTTCTTGCTAGGGCCCATGGTAAAACAAGCCTTGGCCCTGTCCCTCCAGTTCAATCCCATGCTCAATATGAACCACTATTATCGCCTCCACCCCAGTGTTCAGCAGATCATCCAATGCAGCCTGGAGTGCAAGATCTACCGCTTTGGTACGGCCCACGTCTGGATTTGCCGTCTCTCCGCGAGCTAGCGCAGGCCGCCAAATCGGAGCAAGCAACATCGAAGGCGAATAATACCGCTCTTTAGCAGGGCCTTGCCATTGACCATATCGGTAAACAGCATCATTTCACAAACGCAGGAGTCACCTCGATTGGCTAAAAGAGTTTGGGCCTGAAGAAGAGCCGTACAGGTCACGATCTTCAAGCCACGCTTTAGAAAGTTTCGACCGATTCTCTCTCGCCCACCAGGCAGTTCTTTTACGCTTCGATATCAAGAACGTATAGTACAATAAACTGTTATAATATGCCTGTCTATTGAATGCTTTCATTCATAATATGATTATTCAGAGACCAGACAGGGCACTTCCCATCTGCTTCTCCAATGCATCCTGCTGTTCCCTTCTCTTCTGCTCCTCCTCCACTGACCTGTTGCCCCATCCGCACGAGAATCCTGTCTCGGCCACCACATGAAGCACGCCCTTGCTCTTAACCAACTCCATCTCTTCGGGCGTCTTTGCCAAAACCATACCGGCAAAGCCCAATGAGTTGATGTTCAACGCAACGCCATTGACAGACTCCGAATGCTCCTGCTTCCGGGGCGCGATCAGCATAAATTCCGTAGTCAGGATCCAGTTGTAGGCCATTGATGAGGTCATGTTGGCAGCAATAGCGCTTTCGGTCTCCGAGAGCGATGTCTGTTCAGAATACTCGCGGATAGATATGAGCATGGCGTCCATGAGGGTTATATAGGCTTCCAGCAAAATGTCTTCCTGAGTCTTGTTCGTTTTGGATACGTCCGGGAGGAGGATAACGTGGTTGATGCAGTTGATTGGGACCGAGAATACATCGCCTAGTAGGAGATAAAATAGATGAGATGATGTCGAATCTTGTCTATAAGATCTAGGCGAACGCAGTGAAGAGCAGTAGTCTCGTACCTGGTCGGTTCTCCTTCTTTCCTGGCTGACGCTTAGAGAATTCACGCACTAGGGCCGCAATTGGCGAGGGTTTCTCCAGGGGTATGACTTGCATATGTTTGTGAGCCTGACTGGCACCGGCGCGCGATCCGCAATTGAAAAATGCCACAGCATCTTTACTGTTCCTGAGCGCCATCAGCGTGTTCCATACCGCCAGCAGGTCATCCGGAGTCAAGGGATTGGTCTGCGGTTGAAATTCTATTGTTCGTTGTTGGCACCCATGACGTACATATGGTACAGAAAATAAAGACGTAGTTAGCGATATGTGCAACCGACTTGGGCTCGACAAGGATGCATTGTATGGTACCTTTGGTGATGATCAAGAAGTGTCTGGGGACGATACAAAACTTGTTCAGCAACACCTTGTGCTCATCGCCGGCGTCCGCAACATAGAGCTTAGGGTCGTGGGGCATGAACGGATTGACGCTCGCGGCCTGCTTGATAACGGGCGTGGATGGTCGGTCGAATTTGGGTCGAGGGTCTGTCTCGATGGCAGTGATGACTCCTTGAGGCTTCTTTGCTAGAAGAGGCGCGTAAGTGAGCTGGCACTAGAGACAAAAGAGACGTTTGGGGATAAATAGTCGGCCAAAGCTATTTGCCATAGATCGATTGAGCAGCAAAGAGCGCGCCGGATATGTTATGAGCGCACGCGTACCTCGATACCATACTCGGTCTCCCTGGATAAGAATATTTCTGAGGCTGTGAAGATGAGGTGGCCGGACCTGAGGGCAGCATCATAGGTTGTCGACAACTTTGTGTCGAAGTCGTCTAGGGATGGAGCCATGGTGTAGTTGTGAAATGAATGAATTCGCAGGGAGCGTCGTGAGGAGGAAGAGGAGAAGCGGGCTGTGGGCTGCTCGTCGCGACTTCATTCTCCATGATATGCAACGTCACTTGTGCAGGGCCGGCAGGGAGGAGTTCTCCTAATTTTAGTTTCGTGCTCTCCTGCGGCTTCTATATTTCTCTCTAACTTTCCTCTCCAACCCATTCATCATCTCAACTCCATCAGCATCTTTATCATCTTCAGCATCAAACAGGTCAACTTCACCAACAAACATACAGCATGGCACACGGTAGCGCTTACAGCGCCATCGAAATCGACGACGACGAGGTAGGGCGAAGTACAGGATACCATCTCTCAACCTGGCCCTGGAGTGCTCGACCCAGGATCCTGCTCGGGGCTGGGAGCAACGAATTCGACTCCCGTCTCTTTGTATCGTGCACTAACTGCTGCACTTGCCCGTCCCTGTCGTGTAACTGATCGTCTTCAAACGTATAGCTGAATAATGCCACCGAGCTCCAATTTCAGAGTAAGCATCGAATGCCAAGATCACAGACTCTTCAACACACTACTGCTTAGGTTGCCTTCGACTCCAGAGGACCAGGAACATAAGAAGTCAATGGATATTTACCATAGCCAGGATCATGGAACCGTCATTGTCACTCTTCATACTCAACCATAATCTCGGGATGAACTCGCCACACACAAAACCCCAACGGCAAGGGGTGTATTTGGATAGATCATTCGGCAGATATGCCAGCAGCCTCGAATGAGCATATGGCACATCTTCAATTCGCAGATGAAGGGCCAATCAAACTATATTATTCAGGATTTTACAGATGGACAAGCTGGAAGGCCTATTGAGGCCCCCTTATTTCGCATTCCTCGATCCTTTCCTTCGAGTCTTTGACAGCTAAGTTTGCTTACTGGATGTCCTATTCTTGTCTTTGCAGATTTCTCTTCAACAGACACTCGTGCGCAACCCCCAACCGGAAATATCTCTTCGTCTTCGACAAGCACACCACAGCCACGACAGACAGGTAAGACTTGTCTCTGTACTTGTGCCTGAGCATACAATCGTAACGCAGGACGACATCTTGTGCTGACACGCATGTTTAATTATAATATTAGGATTCGGTTCTTCAGCCATCTTTGAACCAAATCGAGCCAATCAAGAGCAGAATGCGAACCAGCCAATCTGGTCGGTGGGGTATTATGCAAAGTTCTTTGACGTCGACACTGATCAGGTACAAAGTCACTCGGTACGACGTAAGAGTCGGTATGAAGGGAACGATCGGAGACTGATCCTTTTATTGCTCCTTTGAAATGGCGTTAGGTGATGGAACGATGCTTCGCAAGTGTGATTCCTAAGGACAACTTTCTTGAGGTGATGGGCGGTCGCCCTGATCTTTATGGTAAGACCCGCAAAGAATTGTGGACGATCGAGCGAAAAGGATCGACATGGTAACTAGAAAGGGGAACTTGGTTCTAATATGCCTCTCTCTCTCTCTCTCTCTCTTTTTCCTTTAGGACCCTTCTGGATCGCAACAACGGTGATTTTCGTGCTGTTTGTGACATCCTCGATCGTGGAATCGATCAACGCCTATATCAACAAGACAACGTATTCGTACGACATCTTTCAGATGACCTTCGCATTCGGCACTATCTATACCTATGCCTTTGTGGTCCCACTCATGGTTTGGGGAGCGACCAAATACTTTGGTTGTCAACCAGACTTGCTCGAAATGCTGGCCTTGTACGGATATGCGCTCACGATCTGGATCCCGGTCTCTATCCTCTCTGTGATCCCCATTGAGCTGGCTCGATGGATCCTGTTGGGTATCGGCGCGGGTCTGTCGGGCGTCTTCTTGATCAGGAACATGTATCCGGTTCTGTCGAGGGCCGAGGCTCAGATTGCAAAGATCATCTTGGTTCTTGTGATTATCTTCCATGGCGTGTTGGCACTGATCCTGAAGTACAGATTCTTTGCATACAACACCGGAGCCTCTGCACCATCACCTGATACGCCTCCTGCGGCATAGAGAAGAGGGTGGTTAGACATGTCATAAGGAGATGAATCTTGGTGTTCAATACTATCATTTCATGAAATAAAATACACGCATACAAAAAATGTTCGTCCTTGTCATGGACACGGTACTCTCGATACAGACGTGTTACCAAAATAACGCGGGAGTGGCCTGTTCATGTTACACAGCACGCCTTAGATTAGATTACAAACATTTTTTTTTTTTTTCAGTACGTCGCGCGGTTTGTTCAAGCAATGGCGGCAACAGTGCCCATAATGAAATCGTGAGCCATCCAATACACTACCATGCATCCATTCCTGTTACCAACAAAGAGTCTTAACTTCAAATAAAATGCATCATGTACAAATTGGACATATTTTTATTACGGAAAGTTAATGCTACTACACTAGATAAGGAAAAAGCACGTTGGCAAAAAGACCAAGTCAAGAGGGAAGGGGGTAACCACTCGCTCTAAAAATTACTTGCCCCAGGCAGTCTGGTTGCGGTGGAGATCGCAGTGGTGAGGGTGCTTCAGGCAGTACTTGGGAACCAAGACATGGGCAGCATGGCCACGGGCAACCATGCGCTCACGGTAATCAAAGATGCGGGCCGAGAGCTCGGTGATACGCTTGTAGCCCTCCTGGTTGCGGTTGCCAGACCAGAGAAGTTCAGAGAGGGCAGCAGCACGGGGCCAGACCTTGGACTCGACATTCAGCTCATCAGCCTGCTCAGACCACATGGCGGCCTCAGCGCCAATGACGTGCTTGGCCTCCTCCTCGGTCAAGCCCTTGGTGAAATCATAGCCGTAAAGGCGCTGCCAGGTCTTGTAGGGGCCACACCACGAAGCGCCAGAGCCAAGGTAGTTGAGACTGGTTGGGGAGTACTGCGAGGGATTCGCATCAAAGGCGTCCTGGATAGCCTTGGGCAGCTCTGGGGGCTCGTTGACGTTGTAGCGGGGATCGTTGGGGACCCAGCCACCGTTGCCGCAGTCGAGATAGAAAAAGTCGGCCGAGGAGACAACAACGTCGTAGCCTTTGGAGGTGAGGGCCTTAATGTTGTCGACACCATTGTTCCAGGACTGCATGATGATCGACTTGGGGACATTCTTGGCAGGCATGTCGGGCGAAAGAATAATGTCCTCCCACATCATCAGACGACGTCCGGGCTTGTCCATGAAAATAGGAAGCGCCTTGTCGAGATAGTACTGGGCGAAATCAGAATAGGTCGATCCAGGGCGCTGACGGAACCAGTCCATGGCCGAGGTCGAGTAGTTGTAGCAGTAGGTCTGGAGCTCGTCCGAGCCGACGTGGAAGATATTATCCGTGAAGAGCTTGGCAGTCTCAGAGTAGACGTCCTTGATCAGCTTGTAGGTGCCCTCGTAGGAGATATCGAGCTGACCGGGGTTGGGCTCGACAGCGGTATGATGGGTCCAACCATCATTGTCCCACCATGACTCGGAGCAAGTGATGGCCTTCTTGTCAACCTGGAGCCAGCCAGAGGCAGAGTGACCAGGCAGGTCGATCTCGGGAATGACACGGACTCCACGATCGCGACCGTATTTAACGAGAGCCTGGATATCCTTTTGAGTGTAGATCTCGCGAGGGGAGTAAGCATCCTTGGTCATCTGGGGATACTTCTTGATCTCCAGGGGCCAGGACTGAGAGTCGACGATGTGCCAGTGGAAGACGTTCAACTTTGCCCAGGCGAGTGCATCGATCTGTCGCATGAGGGACTTGAGAGGGAAAAAGTTGCGACCAGTATCGTACATAACTCCACGATGAGTATACTTGGGCTTGTCCTCAATGTGGACTGGCTCCTCGATGTGGAGACCGCGCTTGCCATCGTCGATGATGATCTGGGTGAGAGTGTTGAGTCCATGGAGAGCGCCCCAAATGGTCTTGGCCTTGATTTGACCCTTGCCATTGGCAGTGATGTCCAGGGTATAGGACTCGTCTACGTTCATCTGCAGGTCGGCCTTGAGGTCCTCGACTTGGACATTGAAGGTCCTAATCACATTTCTGTTGCCGTTGTTGCTGTTGGTGAAAAGAGTGGCTGAAAGGTCCTCTTCATTATCGTCGGCGCGCTTTTCGAAGATGGGATAGGGAGGGAACTCGGCGGCGGGTCGCTCCCAGGTCTGAGGGACCCAGCGCTCCTTCTTGATCAGGGCAGCAGTGCGGGCATAAGCCTTAGTGAGAATCTCGTGCTTGGTTCCAGTGATTTGGAAGCTGTTGTGGACCTTGACGGGGCCAGAGTTGGCCCAGGCGATGGAGACGGGGGCGGGCAAGGGGTTGACCTTGACCGCCTCGGAGGTGATGGCAACGGCCAAGAGGCCGATGGCGGCAGCGATGGAGATCTTCATGAGGGAAGCGGAGGAGCGGAGGGGAGGATGTGTGAGGTAGTTGGCTTGATGAGGGCTTGGCTAGTAGACAAAGTGGAAGGGAGGGGGTGGCCAGAGGTGGGGTTTTATATTCTATTGCAGGATGGAGAGGAGTGTCTTGTCGGGATGGATTGGATTGGATTGGGTCAGGGCACACATTCTCGATGTCAGTCCGCATGTGCTTTGTACGGACACGGAGACACTCGAGCCCAACTCTGTCCTTATTTCATACACCACAAGCGATCGATTACAAGCCAGGGATGGGAAAGCACACCCAGGTGTAAGGATCCCTCCCTCTCTATCGATAACCGACGGTGATGGATCTAAACGCCCACGTCCGTTGCCGCTGTAGTCCCCCCCGCTAGTACAGATCGCATCACCTCGCATTGCAATCCATTGCGATAGTCTAGTCTGTGTCTAAAGAAGGCCTGGGAAACGTAGGGCAGTAGACTAGTCCGGGCTGCACACCCCAAAACAGTGTAACACAGACGAAGTAACAGTTTCACCCTCATGTCGATCTATGCCATGTCACTCCGGCCAGGACGTCCAGGAAGATTGAATTCCCTGACATGCCTCGGCGTAACCAAACAAACAAACAAGCAGACGGATGGACGGACAGTCGGACAGACAGACGAGACGATCACTGATTTAATCCAGGGTGGGTCCGTGGAGATCTAAGATAAGATCTCTCCATCGCACCCCATTGGCGGAACCCTAAGCCTTAGACGATTGCAGGCACTGGGTTACCAAACCTTCAAGTCAGGTGGTGAATAACCTCTTACCCAGCACAGCGCACACAAGCATCCCTGGTTCCAGCGGAAATTCTGAACACAACTTGGACATTGTTAATGATGTAAATGACATCTTCTCTCTTCAAGAAGAGGAAAAGACCGCTTTATGAGTGCGCTGTAGTGACATTTTGGGTTGAAGCTAGTCCTGGTCCAAATCACCTAGGTAAAAAGAGAGCCATACCATAGCGGTCAGAGTAGGACACACCTACCAAGCACACATCAGAATCATTTCAGGGTTCGTCGCGGCTCGCCCTTCATTCAGTTGCTCATGTCATTACGCTTTATCGCACCGCTACTGATACTCTGGACAATACCATCCAGGAATATCAACAGAAAAACATGGGGTACCCGCTCTGTTTTTCTCTCCATCCTGTCAATGCTAAAAAGGCACACATGGCGTTGAACTGGCAGCCGATGGTAAAAAAAGCCAAAAGGGCCAGTTTGTGTATCGTGCGCGTTTTCCTGCATTTGCATTCCATGAATGAGCATGGGCTGACTAGAAAAAATTTAAGCTAGAAAAACATATTCCGGGTCGTGATGACATCGGTCTGCATTATATTGTGTTGGATGCTATTATTTTAGTCCGAGCTCATAAGTCGGTCCAAACCCTGCGACGAATAATCCAATGGGCCATCGGCATACCAGCATACAAATGTGTTCATACCCAGTTACATGTAGTCTAATGCAGCAGGAGAACAAAAGTAGGTGCTGGCACAAAGAAGTATCTAGAAAATTCATTGTTCACAGTTTTTTTTTTTTTTGTACAACGTGAGATCAAAAGATACTTTATCTTGGGCCCTCGCCTATGAGGGCCATGCTTGGGTTCAAGACGGAAGTATGAAAACGGGATATTCAAGACCAAGGATGTTCCTCTGAAGGCTGCTTGTCCTCTACGCCTACGGGCCTTTTTGTTACGCCTCGTGTTTGTGCCACCCTCCATCGCGTCTTACACCTGAAGCTAGGAACTGTAAAACCTAGTCATGGTCTTCAGTAGCAACTGACAGTTCTCATTCGAAGGAGTTTATTGGTAGTTTTTCTATCAAGGGTTCCTGGCCTTCCTCATGTTCGAAACTTTGTCTCGTGGCGAACTACTGGCCAAGGCTTCCTGAGCCAGTCCAATGGGTACATATATGGCCATGTTGGAGTACAACCTGTAATCCAAAGGTCCTCAAAGCTTTCTCTCAGCCTTCGACGCGTACAAGTTAATGATGCGCGTATCTATAGGAGATATGGGCTCGTTGGATGAGTTGGAGGTGTCACTAGGAGACGGTTAGACGCTTTCCTGTCTGGAGTACCATGTCGACCATCTCGATTGATAGGGGAATAGGGACAGAGTTGATAGTTTTTGCAGTTGTAGTTACAGCAATTGCTCCAACTACAGGGCCTCCCACGAGCACCCAACGAGAAATAACATTTGGGGGTTGCCTAAAGTGAGACCCAAGTCCCAGTTAAGGGCTGCAACCCCGATACCACAGCATCTTTACATCATCCCTGCTTCGGCCTTATCTTCCCAGGAATCACAAAACCATCGAACTTTCGGCACTCATTAGAAAACCAACAATGACCACCACGGCTCTCACCATGACATTCTTTGCCTCGGGTCGTTCCCTGGCCTCGTTGACGAGCAAGTCCGTGCTCTCGAAAGGCACTTGCATGCCTATTAGAGCCCCGAGTTTGAGTTCAGACATGACTGCCTTCACGTCGCGAAACTCGTCCTCGCCGTCGACGTGGACGTCGCGTCGCCTTTACAGCAATGGCATCAGCAACGACGGGCGCATGACCCACCCGCAACCAACCACTAGCTCCTCGGGCAACCCTCCTCCGCTGTCTTCGAAATCGACCCATACCGCTAAATCCCCTGCTATTAAGGCCGGTGAAGCTGCTAAGGAGCAGGCAGCAAAACAGGGAACAGGAGTAGGAGCAGGAGAGAGTGGAGAGATGACAATGGACTGGAATTCGTATTTCCTGCTCCGCAGGACCCGTCGTAACTATGAACGCCTCTTTATGGCGCCGTGTGCTTTGACCGGTTTGCTCGGAGCTGGATATTACTTCGCCCAGAAGGATTTTGATCCGACACCTATTTTCGGCATGGACCAGGTCGTCGTCTATTTTGCTGGCACGGCCGCGGCGGGTATCGCTGGATTGGCAGTTGGTCCTGTCGTTGGCAACATGGTGTTTAGGGCGATGCATTCCAGAGCCAGACCGCTTGTAGATAGGGTGAGTGCATCAATTGCAAGGCAGTACGAAGCAAGAAAAACAGAAAAGAACCCTTTCACTTTGCTCAGCATGATGTTCCGGCTAACGTGTATTCATGTTGTACACGGCCGCGTCTAGATGGATAAGGAATTCCACAAGCACATTGTCAAGAATCGAGCGGATCCAACGGCCAACTCGGTGCGCAATCCTGTACCGGATTACTACGGCGAGAAGATCAAGTCTGTGAGCGAGTATCGAAAATGGCTCAGGAAGCAGCGCGAGTACCGCCGCAAGGCCACATTCTTCGTGGGCGTTGATTAGACGAATAACCCTTTTCAGAACGTATGTATCCAAACCGTCGCATGGCGATCGTTGTGCAGAAGTATGACTCGGATAGGACAAAAAACAATACGAAGGACACATGCAGCGCCGTTTTGCTTGTTGCTTCGACACTCCACACTCAAAAGTTCAATAAATTTTCTTCCAGAATGCAATTCATGCTGGTTTATTGAAAACGCGTCTGTTTCATGCCGCAAAGTAATCCATACCTGGTGGGAACAGACTATCTTCATCGTCCTGCTGTGTAGATACGCGATCCATCGGCCCACTGTTATTGGTGCCTCTGTCAGCATCGCCGCTGTTTTCTGCCATCGAGCTGGAGGAGGAGGACGCCGCTATTGGCTTGAAAGGCAGGACCGACGTGGACCCGGTAGAAGCGGCGGAAGACCCCAGCGAGCGGACAACAATGTAAAGTGTCTGAGGATGTAGTACCAACCCGCTATAGTGGACCTGTAGCGTTGGCTTTCGGTCCATCTGGCTTGAAGGGACATCGGATTCGTTCACCTTTGCCCGTTTGCTCCTGTTATTTCGATTCGTCCCTTTCGGTGTCCTCCTTCCCTTGGATCCGCCATGACCCTCATAATCTTCGTCACCATGATCGTCTTGCTGATCCTCGTCTCCTTCATCGTCTCCTCTCTGGAAATCACTCACTCGCAGGCTGTCACTCTCGTCCTCCTCGCGAACAACAATACCATCGCCCACATCTCCAGATGCTATCGCGCCCTCCTCGCCCTCAAGGCGGGCCAAACCCATCTGTATCCTCTGACTGGTAGTCCCTTCCTCCTGCAGGATTTTCTCGTCCATCTGTTCCTTTTTGACCATCGAAAACCCCAACTTCTTGTCTGCAATGAGAACGGCACCTCCATGCTCAGAAGACGTGCTAGGTCGCATCCCAAATCGAATTACATATTGAGGTCGATCTGCCGCTTTCTCGCTGCCCTTGCCGGTGCCTCTTCGCCTTTTGCCTGTGGTGTTTCCCGAAGACGATGAGTGATCTGCATCCTGTCCGCTTCCTCCGAGGATCACACCTGCGTCCTCCAGCCCATCATCTAGGTCCTGATTCACGCCGCTGTAGGTTGTGGGGGCGATAGAACGCTTGGCAATGTGGCCTTGGTTGTAAAGCTCGACGCGACTGAGGAGGAGCGGTTTGAGGACTGAGAGGATCTCCTAGAGGATAACAGTATTTGTATAAACCAAATAATCAATCAGCAAAGCAGGTTTTCAATGTCCTGATTGCAACGGGGAACGAGAGAGCGAGCTACCTGGAACGTGTAATCGTTAAACCAATCGAGATCCTCTTTCGAAAGCAATAGGTTCAGTGGCAGTACACTGGTCTTGCTGATACGCAAATAACGAAAGTTGATGGTTGTAAACATTGTTGAGGCAAAAAGTGAGGGAGAAAACACAATGAGTGATGCATCTCTAAACGCCATGAAGAAGTTGGTCAATTACGCCACCAATTTACAGAACCTGAAGTTGGTTGGTGAACTTTATTTGTTGCAGTTCACTTTTATTGCGGCAGACTTGTAGCTGAGCTGGTACTTGCCAGACTTCACGACGGGAACCAGGGAGCTGATACCCTCGTCAGACTTAATCTAGCTGGGTTGCCAGCAAATGAAGAAACAAAAAAGCGTAAGGGCAGACAGCGGTATCTTTATTCTTTTGCACTGGCAACAAGCGGTTAATGGGAAATTGATCGACCATATTGCATGTGGCCAAATGTCCCTTGCCAATAAGCATCCAAATAAGAGCTTCAGTTAGTGATAGCACCTCCATCAGAGAACAATCATAATCGCAGTATGGATGACAGTGTGAGTCGTTGAGGTGTTTCGACGGCCTCGTACGAAGGATAGCATCTGCCATTTAAAATTTCCAGCGATCACCTTCCGTTAACCAATGTAAATGTACAGGTACCCTCCTGCTAGAGTGCTAAAGCGAGTGATTCATGACTGGCTTCATTCTGGAGTGTATTGTCTGTATCGTTGCGGACGAGGAAGCTGAGAAGCTGATAGATTTTTCTGGCAGTCACCGTCCCATGCGACTCCCCGAAAAATGTGAACTGCCATGGATTCTGCTCGCTTGGTCATCATTCTCTCTCGCTTCATAGCATACTCTCTCCTCCAATCCTCACTTCTTTATCCTCTCACTCGCAATTGCATTTCCACTCATGTCAGACAAGGAACTCCTTGCGCAAATCGCACAGGTCGCTAGTAAGTGGAATGTGCTGCCAGCCCATGGTAGAACCATGATGGGTGTCGAGACTTGCAATTAACATTGTTTTCATCTCAACGAACGGTGTAGGTGCGATCAACAAGCATATGAACTCCACACATCCGGCGGGACCCCCGGCATACGGCTCGGCAAGAGGTGGGTACGCTGCACGAGGACGTGGCCGCGGCAGAGGTGTCCCCATGCCGCCTATCAGACCATTCAATCGGACACTCACTTTGAACAATACCACAACGACGCCAGCCTTACCAGCACCAGGACTTCGATCGACACCGGCCCCAGTTCCAGCACCGATTGCGAAGCCTTCGGTACGGCCCCCTACACCATCTCGCCATCTCAGTTTGATCAACAACAAGACTACTCCAAGCCCAGGAACGACCTCCACAGCATCATCACCAAGGCTCCAATCTAGCTCGACCCTTGCAACAGCAACCACAGCGCCTGCGAAAATTCCAGTTACAGCACCGTCAACTGGCTCAGGGCAACAGTGGATTCAGTCGAAAACCAAGAACATGTCTCTGATGAACCCCGAATCGTACAAGAAGACTATGGCAGCAAAAGAAAAGTCCATTCGAACTTCCAAAGAAAGAAAGCTTCAGTTACTGAAAGCTCGGGCGCAGATGGCGAGCGATCGTCGCAAGGGCATAGTGACCGTGAACGGGAAGAAGTATAGCAAGAGCGCGGATGGACGCAAACTTGTCATGAGGGATTCTACCAAGGACAATATTGTTATCAACGGAGTCGCCTTCGAGATGGATCCAAGAGGCAATAAATTGGTCCGCAAGTCAGCATCAAACGGCGCTTCCTCGCCTTCAACGATGATATTAAAGCCAGCGTCGAATATTACATCAGGCTCAGCTCCAGGATCGACACCAAAGCAATTCTCTGTTGGCGGAGTCGTCTATGTGCGGACGACGAACGGGAATCTTGTGCGAGCGACGTTAGTTAAGGATCAGCTACTCAAAAAACGGTAAGTTAGCGACGCATTTTTGCTCTTGTGGATACGGATATGGCCCTCTTACAATATTTGTCAGGATAACATAACTTATGTTGAATTATCGTATGAATAGGGCGACACAAGAAGCGCTGAAAAAGAAAAAATCTGCCCCGAAGAAACCACGACCCTTTTGCAAGTTCTTTACTCGTTTCGGTAAGCTGTTGATTTCTGGGAAATGTAACTGCAAAGGACACTCAAACATTACGCGTATGTGATAACACGATGTTCGCATGCATCTTCCCCCCCCTATCTCAATGGTTTCTTTTTTATAGGGTTATGCAATATGGGACATGCATGTCCATTTATACATTCCAAGGCTCATCTCGCCATTTGCAGAAAGTTTCTACGTGGGATTTGTCCCGACACGGCCGCCACCTGCAAATTATCGCACACGCCTTCGCCCCACACGACTCCTGCTTGCCTACACTTCCAACGCGCAGCCTGTACGAAGGATGTTTGTTTGTATTCTCACATCAGGATCAATCCACAGGCACCGATCTGCAGGCCGTTTGCGACAGAAGGTTGGTGCGAGCTAGGAGCCAACTGTAAGAATCGTCATGTTTGGATCTGCCCTGACTTTGGTACCCCTGCTGGTTGCAAGAAGAAATGTGGACTTGCACATGTAGCCAATGGCGGGATCAGACCCAAGCGCAGTGTGGAAGAAATTGAAAAGGAATTGAAGGAGCGAAGAGAGGCAGGTGGCAGCGACAGCATGACTCTGAATAGGAAACGTGCCACGAACAGGTTTACTGGGCGTTACATGGAAGCTGTTCAGAGCCAGAATCAGGATCAAGATCAGAAACAGAAGCAGAAGAGCAGTTCAGAGACAATGCCGTTTGATGAAAATTTTGTTGCATTCGATTTCACTGACGATCAAGAGCAGGCAGCGATGATGGATGTGGAAGACGATGAAAATGAGGTGATGGGTGATTTTGAGGCTCAACAAGATATGGAGGTGGATGAAGAGGAGAATGAAGATGAGGATGTCAGTAGCGACGAAGTGGAAAGCGACGGAGTTGTTTCTGAGGATGAGGAACAGGAGCAGGAGGATGAGATGGACGAGGACGAGGATGAAGATGAAGATGAAGATGAGGACGAGGATGAGAACCTTGACGAAGAGCTCAGGAGCTATTATGAAGAGCAGGACAGAGACGATGATGATGACCATTAGAGATCATGGGGTGTTCTTGATACTATCGCTTTCGATCCAGCAATAGTTATTTGTACATTCATCAGCATCGGCATGCGTTTGCACAGCCTCTTTTTTTATCCGTTTATATGTAAACTAGATTAGTCCCCTCCCCTCTCCAAAAAAAAAAATAAAAAAAAAAATCAATAATAATAAAAAGATGAAAAATGAAAAGAAAGCAAAGAAAGCGTTGTTTTTTCCTGCGGCACGCGCGCAAGGTTGTTTAAGGCCAATCTAAAGCATAGCTGGCGCTTTTGCGGCTCATCAGCTCGTCTTGGACCGTTACGAGAGGTATGTAGCATCAAGGTCAGGTTACCAGCACCAAGTACAAATGGAAATACCGCGATCATCGGGCTACCTTGCTGTCGATAAGTGCTGTTCGCTTTACTGCCGCCGCTAGATGATAGATGTTCCCTGATGCTCGCAAATAGGCTTCGCGAACACGACACGTACCATAACTCAATCATGTCGCACTATCCCTTTCCTTTTCTACCGTTATGCAAGGCCAAGAATGAATTATGTGTTGTCAAACGATCAAGCTATAGAGCGTCTCATGGTCATCACGCGGTTTTTGAGGGCATATCATTGTCGAGGTATATAGGCCCGAGAGATCGAGCGAGATGGATTTTTGCTTTGGTATCTCTATGAGACCAGGAGCAGCATTTGCGCCACGTTATCCCGCCTACTTGATTTAATTTAAACCTTTAGCATGCGCATAAAAATTACGGTGAAGAGTGAAGGGAAGCAGCATTGGAAAAAAAAAAAAAAAAAAAAAAAAGAAGAAAGGCCGCTTTATCATTTCAAAGGTATGCCCGTGCCAAGCGCAATAGTTGAAGTATTTCCGACTTGTAGAAAAATGCGAAGGAAAGTGGGAGCGGGATGGGAACGGAGAGAGAGCATCATATACTATCCTTGGGATATATAGACTCGACTAATCGCGAAAGAGATATTCCGCATGAATAATATGTAGTGCACTGCCATAATACGGGTGAGGGAGGGGGAAGGGACCTGTACTCCGGCACAGAGCCGCTTCCCCTTGGCCCTGAATCGTAAATTGCCCAGGGATTGGTGACACGAGACTATGATGGTCCAAACGAGGAACGCGCTCAATAGACTTGCGGGGCGTTAGAATACAAATTGGGTAAACAAACGCAGCAATTGAGAGCAGAAATGGTGCCATTTCAGCCGACTCTTGTTGCAAAAGAGATCTTCATGGGTCCAGTATCATCCAACGTGAAGTAGAAATATAGGGTCAATGGAGGTTACGGGCAGTGTCCCGCTCTGGCGCTGTGTTGGGTGGGATCAGCACCCTTGTGCACCAGAAACACCATTCTTTATTCTCCAGTAACATTTTATTTTTATCGATACACACATCTGTCGACGTGAAATGGCGATAGAATTGTCAGCAAGGGAAACAAAGGGAGCATACAGATTTTGATCCAGTTCACTAGTTCTGCATGCTTGAATCCATGAGATATTAATTAAATGAACAAAAAGTGATCGAGGCACGACGACAACGATAACGACGAGGGTGATGGGCCATCAGCCGTTGGAGGAGGAATGTCTCTCGCTCGAATCCATCTTTCTATCCTCCATCTCATCCATGAACAACCACTGCGATTTGTTGACCCCGCTTTGATGACTATCGGTAGCACAGATATATCGTCTTGAGCCTCCTGGAGCCACATTCATTGTTGTGGTTCCAGAAGCTCTCTTATACCACATTGGGTCCTCCTGGTTCAGAAACGCGTCCGTCCACTCGGGGACTCGAGATTGTGTAATCACTTGGAGTTGGAGAAGGAAAAATGCTAAAGCGTCCCTTTTTTTTTTTTTGCTCTTCTGTGGATAGACACTCCAAAAGTAAGGGTTGTCATTAGAACATCTTGCTTTTTTCACATTGGACGCACCGAAAATTAAAATAACGAATGATGTTTTCCCGTCTCCTATTCGCTCGTACATGTCCTTTGGGTCCTGCTGGCAAATATTGCATGGAGTATCGGTCCGAGATAAGCCTGGACAGGGCAGGAGAAGTAAGGATCGAGCAGAGGCTCCTCTGAACCGGGTCAGGTTTGCGGTTTGGCGTTGGACAGTTGCACTATGCAAGGCGCATGCATATACTTCCCGTGTTCTTTCCGATCTATAAAAGAGAAATAAAATGAGTGAGCAACGTTATTGAAAGCGAAAGGGATAGTCATGTTTGAGCAACAATCGGTTTTTGCGGACATGCGGACATGCGGATATCTGTGTTCTTACTTCGATCAAGAATGAATGAACGTGCTAATCCAGGTGTCCATTTTAGATATGACACCATGTCGCTGCAAATATTGTGCCCATATGCGCTGGTGCGATGCCTTTTTGTTGCTATATCTGATCGATGCGCCGCATTAAAAAAGAAGAGAGCGATAGGAGATGGAGCACAAGAAATGGCGCGTTCTGACGGGGGGAGCCTAAGCGGTAGACCCAGGGTGCGTGTCGTCATGTACATAGTCATATAGTCCATGTATTCAGCTTCCGCTCCCTTCCTCGTCTCCTTTCTGATGTCAGCCATAGAAGGTGAACATGGGTCTTCCAGGGCATTGGAGGGCAGAACACAGCCGAGCACTACCGCAGATGTCCACGGTATAAAACGGACACAGATCCCCATCACCATCCATGGCTCGCCAATCCGCTCTTCTCTCCTCCTGCTGCCCGTACAGCTTCATTGGCTTCGTTCAATAATACAATAACGACCTTCCTCCGCTCCTTCCTTATTTCCTCCCATCTTTCCTTCCCCCCATCCTCAACCGCCCCTTCCCTTCGCGGATTTGCACTCACGTTCAACGCCCTTCACCTCCATCTTCAATACCTGCATTAACTTTAATCAAATCTACCCTCTATTCCCCCTTAAACGTTCACATCTCCCCCATCCTTCTTCTCCTTTCCTTCACGAACACATCCTCGCTACGTTTACATTTTCGACACATATAATCTCAACCGGACCGAAGGCATGAGTGCTTCACCCATCGCAACAAATATCGGGCTCGAAGAGGTCGTAGGCTCGCTCCTAACAGGCGCTTCCATGATCCTGACAATCCACTCACTCTCCCGCATGATCTTCTTGCGTCGGACAGGGTCCAAATACCACCTCTTCCCCGTCATCAATGTCGCACAGTTCATCAACCAGCTGTGCATCTTCTTCCTCATCACCACGGCCTTTAATACCATATCCTTCCGCTCTGCCCTCTGGCTAAACGTAATCAACAATTTCGCCTACTTTGTCACCAAACCGACCACTATGTATCTGGCCTACCTCAGGTGTTCAGCAGTCTATCCCAAATTCAAAAAATTCGCATGGCTCCACTACTTTCTGATCGTGTCCCGGGGGGTGGAGTTGTTTGGGATAGTGGTCATCAATATCATCCAAAACAATGATTGCGATGGGTCCGTCGCCAAGGGGACCAAGTGCGAGAACCTGGCTATCGCCTGGACGTTCCGAGATGCAGGAGCACCCATCTTTCGATTCTACTACATCCTCTGCGAGGGCATCTTTTACGTAACACTGTTCCGGACGCTCAAGGGAATGAGTCAGGGCAAGAATCTACAGCTAATTCAGTACCGTCGGTTGCAGACGACCCTGTTCACAGTGGACCTGGCACTGCTGATCTTCATGTCGATCTATCGGATCTTCGGCATTTTCGACAAGGACTTGCCGACTTATGTGTATTACGAGCTGTTATCGTCCACGCTGACCATCTTCAACCTGACCGAGTTTGGGCTGAACATCCGTATTTTATTCAACACGGTGACGGACGCCAAGAGCGCCTCCCAGAGCGGATCAGACAGTCCAAGTAAACTCGAGATGGGATCCATCCACCACTCTACCGAACAGAACCCAGTGGCGAGCACGACCTTGGCTAATGGGATCTCGGGTAATATGAACGTCCGAAGCGCCGAAAACAGTCCTCATTCTGCCACGAGATACAGCTCAACTTCGCCATTGACCTCCTTCGCTGCTGAGACCGGGTACAACAACGATTTTGATCCCTACTCGCGCACACAACCCTTTTCGACAGTGTCCTCCTCCTTCCACCGCCCGTCCTCTCCTCGAGTGACTAGACCTAGCAGCCCTCTCCATGGTGAGCACAACGACTATCTTCCCTACAACGCGTCAGCAGGGACAAGAGAGTCGGTCTCTCGCCAAGACAAGTACATTATCACACCAGCCAATTTCCAGCGCCAGGCCCAAAGTGGGTTTTATGAGGGGGTTACGAGCAACGCAGAAGCAGACGCAAGTCCAAGCGCGGACGAGAGAAGGAGCAGTGGTAATGGAGGTATTTCACGTCCAACACGCGCACTGGCGCCTCCAGAACGGTCGGCAGCGCGTCGTTAAATAGCATAACCTTAATTTTCAATACCATCCAGCATACACATGCATCTATGACCCGCATACAAATACATCCCTGTAAAACACGCCGCACTCAAAAGCAAGTGCACGATAATTGACAAACAGCCGATTGGTATCCCCTACATACATAGTCTATTGCATGAAAATGTGAGCGTTTATTTTGTACAATTATTATAACTGAATGAATGAGAGACAGAGCGCACGATCCAGCCGTTGCGTATGTTCCCTTTATCGAGCGTTTGAGCTCGATGTGGCGATATTCGATAGCTCACGGACCCTTTCCTGGGCTGCAGCAACCAGTTGCACCAATGGATCGAGTCCTTCAGTGTTCTGCTCGATCGACGACAGCCGGCTCCCAAGTCGCTTCGATATCTTGTTGATTTTCAGGTCCTTATCAGGCTGAGAAAGAGTAGTAATAGAACAGCATTGAGTCAATGGCATTGTTGCATTATGGTCTGGGGCATCGTCTTATTCATGCACAGGGAAAAAAAAAGAGAAGAAAAGAAGATATCTCTTACGTTGTATAACATATCGCGAGTATCGCTAGCAGAGAACACTTCGTCCCGCAAAGTTGGCATCATCGACATCAATCTCTGGTCTGCCACAGACAGGTGACTGAAATTGTTGTCGGCGGCACAAAGCGCTGCCATGGTGCTTGAGAGTGAATTGTCGCGCAATTGGGGGTGCAATTTGAACCGATGCAGGTGATTTGTCCAGCTGTCCAGTGCTCGCTTCTTTTCCTGAAAGTCTTTCAGTTCTTCTTCATCCTGTTCCGCAAGACTTGCAGGAGGTTATTCATTAAAAAAAAAAAAAAAAAAAAAAAAAGAAAAAGATGAGAGCTATGATCCCTCTCCGCAATGCTCAGATTCGAAATAAAAAAAGATGGTAGACATCGACTTACAGTTTCTCTTGCTCAAGACGAAGCTCCAAGTCCCTGATATGCTCAAGATCTGGTACGAGCATAGCCTCCAACTCTTTCTAAAAGCGGTCCGAAATACGGAAATGTTAGACGCAGTTGTCCTATATATCTCAAACCGTGGACGTGTTCGTTGCTTAGACAGAGTAGAGGCGATTTTTCGCTGTGGCCATACATTTCGATTCATGAGCTGGTGATAGTTGATGCGATCCCTCCTTGGTGGTGGTACATCCAGTTCACTTAGTCGGTCGTTCATCCTATCGTCTCACAAGAATTGAGAAATTTGTAAGTTGGACGACAAATGTAGAGCCGATGTTCCTCTGCAAAGTTGACGATGACCTACTTTTGCATTAGGCGATTCAAGGTGACCTGGACAGCAATCTTTCTCTTCTCTCCTCGAGCTCGTGAAATGGCGGCGCTATAGGGATTAAACCAAGTGATATCAGGTCAGTAACAGTTACCATTTTTGAGGTATTCAGGGAGCATAAGCAACTTACGGAAAGAGGTTCGAAATGACAGTTTGGACGTGGGTGCGGGTTTTAACATCAATCGGCTTCCACGTCCGTCTGACAGTTGCCTTGGAAACGACCCGCAGTGTTCGCTGCAAGCCCAATTGTCGATCATAGTCTTCAGGATCTGATTCAGCTCCCTGCTCCTCCTCCTCTTCTTCCTGCACTTCAGAACCATTGTCATCCTCGCTCTCTTCATCGGATAGGGCCCGTGTTTCCTGTTTCTTTAGTGAGATGTCTGATAAGGCTGATGAGACTGAGGCTCCTGCCTTGGATGTGGTTTTTGATGTTACTTTCTCGTTTAATTTTTTTCCTGCTGCTGGAGCGGATGCCTTTGCTTTTGCTGGCTTTGTGTTCTTGGAGGATGAAGGTCGAAGAGTCCTCTTTTTGGCGGGCTTCTTTGAGGAGGAGTCCTGTTTCTTGGCGCTTGCCTGTTCCAAAGAGGGGCCAAAGTAAGCGGCGTTCAACCATGACCTCGCAAAATAAAAGCTGAATGAGTCGACCGGCATACCATATTGTAGAGTTGTCGATGGCGGTGATGTCCTGCTGGCCTTAGTGATCAAATGCCGATGGCACAGGTGTTTTTTGTTTACGAAGAGTTGATCGTCGCGCTGGTGAAGGATAAGGAGACAACACGCCCAGCACGCGGTTGGACTACTGAGCACCTATCCTATTCTCAAAAGCCACTACGAAGCCCAGGTGCATTGCCCTCGAGCCTTGGTTTCAACGCAACACCGTGCTTTCTCCCTCCCTCCCCCCCCCCCCGCTGCCGCTCTCATCTGCATCCTTCCCTCACTCAAAACTTTCCTCATCTCTCTCCCTCTGAAACTTCTTTGCCATGGCGTCCAGCGAAAACATCATTTACAGAGCAGGCAAGTCGACCCATATCCTCATACTCCTCACTTTCACAGCTGCTGCCCTTGGACCAGGAACCTAGCGCTGTGACCGCAAAAATGCCGTTGCATTATCTTTAATGACTATTATTCTGCAGGGCAGTAACCGCCTCAGCTTGAATGACATGGTCGCGAAATAGGTGTGGACTTTGAGAGCCGGCCCATGGTGGTGATCTGTGCTTGCAACCTGCCGGATCCCAATGTCATCGATTATGACACGATTCTAAGGTGCGGGCTAAACTCCTGCAATTGTGATGATATATAGCACATGGCAGTCTATTAATGTCTCAATCTCTCCCTCTTTATATTTTTTCTTAAATAGCGTTGTTCTCGCTCAATTGGATCAGTTCGTTGAAAATGACTACACTGTCGTGATGTTTTCCGGAGGAGCATTATATCGTCCTGGATGGAAATGGCTTTTCAAGGCATACCGTAGTTTGAATAGAAGGTACCTCAGAGGTGAACATCACCTAACCGAGAAGATATGCATTCATTGCATTCATTTCAAGTTTTTATATATATATATATATATATTTTTACTGACACCAATCAATGTTCTGGTTTTCATAACTAGATACAAAAAGAATTTGAAGGCGCTGTACGTTGTTCATCCCTCAACTTGGCCAAGGCTCATCCTGGGAACTATGAACGCTGTTATCAGGTACTTTGGAAGAGTGTTGATAACCTACAGTCTGGATCCTTTCAGCGTGTGCCGTCACTAATCGATATCTTTGTACAACAGCCCCAAGTTTAGCGCTAAGGTTCATTTCATCGACAACCTCTCTCAACTGGCACGAGTTGTGCCTCTCAACCAAATCAATATTCCTGCAGCTGTCTACAAGTAAGAACATGTCAGCCCCCCCCCCCCTCTAAAGCGGTTTCAGACACAGTTGAACATTATGCACTCTGGACTGAACATTTGTTCTTTCCACCCTATACTCTAGGCACAACCTGAAGTTCGAGGATGCGATAACACTTCCAGAAGATCAGCAGGATAACGCCCACAGAGTCTTTGGTGCATCACTGGAGCGACTCATGGGACCCAACGGCGAAAAAGGACTTCCGAAAGTGATCCAGGACTGCATTGGCAACCTCATTGCGAATGGACTCTACGTCGAGGGACTTTTCCGGCGCAGCCCTAGCTCCGCCATGCTGAAGCAGGTCCGGGCCGCGTATGACCGCGGCAACCCCGTTGATCTCTCCGAATACGATGTCCACATTTCGGCTGTGCTGCTGAAGCTCTTCCTGAGAGAACTGCCTGAGCCCATTTTCCCAGTATCGGTCTATGCAAAGTTGCAGCAACAGAAGCGGGGAGAGCAGACGAAAACGGTTCTGGAATTCATCAGGACAGAGGTAATCTTGGAGGTCACGCATATCAATCTGGTGCTGATGATGGAGGTGTTTAGGCTACTCAAGATGGTGGCAGACAGGCACGAGTCGAACAAGATGACGGCGTACAACCTGGCGCTAGTCATGACCCCCAACATGGTGCGGCATGACGACGTGATGCAGGAGATTGCGCTATCGAGCGTTGCTGCACATCTGCAGAGAGAGTCGATCGTGGAAGGAGCCTTGACGCTCGGAACGGTGATCAAGGTCATGATCGAGCATTATGATGAAGTCTTTTGAACAAACGAGATAGGCATATGCACAAAGGAATCAATAGAAAGCCAGCAACATTGCATTTTTGATCCACATGCGACTCTGTTCATTGTCAAAAAATAAATCGTTTATTGCCGAATATATATATTATTACAAAAAATAGGTACACTTGGGTTTTTTAAACACTTTCTTCTTGGTTTCCAATTCCTGTTTTCTCCTTCCTTTTCTCTTCCCTCTCTCTAGTAATGGGTATAGTTTTGTCCGCAAGATCACACCTCCTGCCAGCGGATTAGATTGCACCCTCAAGCCAGAAAAGAAATAAAAAAAAAAAAAAGAGGCGCCATGGAAACTGCAGCACATATTTTCATGGTTAAATATATACGAGACGAAAGGGCGGTGTGTTTTGTGCGTTTCCCACCATTTCATCCTCCTCCTCTATCCACATCCATCATTTTATGGGGATATAAAATGTCGCTTTTTTTACTTGCGCGAAGCGACGGTCGAGCCGGGGAGACGAACTTCCTTGCCCTGGACAAAGATCTTCTCGTTGTTGCGGTCGTCACCGACGAACAGGTACTTCTCGAACTGTGTCTCGATGCAGTCGTGGTCAAAGACATCGACGGGCGAGTTCTCGACCGAGGTGTTGACAAGGATGGCGTCGAACTCCTTACCGACCTCGAAGTTTCCGATCGTGTCTTGGAGTTCCATCACGCGGGCACCTCCCATGGTGGCGAGGTAGAACAATTCAGCGACGACCAAGGTGGTCTCTGCATCCCTGGCAACGGAAACAGAGCGCGAAGCACGAAGGGCCTCGAGGATCGAGGGAGAGTAGCCACCGGCGACATCTGTGCCGAGTCCGACCTTGATATCCTTGTTGAGCATCTTGCGGACGTCGGCCAAACCAGACTTGAGGTTCAGGTTGGAGTTGGCGCAGTGCGAGATACCGGCGTTCTTCTCCTTCATCAGATCGAGCTCTTCATCCTTCATGTGGACACAGTGGGCCATGATGGTGCGGTCGTTCAAGAGGCCATGATCGGCATAGACGGAGGTGTAATTCACCGAGTTGGGGAACAGCGACATGGTGAAGCCGATCTCGTTCAGGTTCTCGCACAGATGGGATTGGATGGGAAGATCGTATTCCTTGGCCAGCTTGCCGAGCTCAGTGAGCAAGTCGGATGTGCAGGAGATGGCGAAACGAGGGGTGATGATGGGTGTGACCAAGGGCTTGTGGTCTAACTGGGCGTTGACGTCCTTGACATACTCGATGAAGGCACGGGTGTCCCGGACCGAGGACTCGGTAGTCTCGACCAAGAAATCGGGCGAGTTCTGGTTCATGTTGACCTTGCCGACGTAGGCGCGCTGACCCTGCTCCTGAATGATGCTGACGAGCTCCTTGCAGGCTTCAAGGTGGATGGTCGCAAACCAGCAGGCAGAGGTGGTGCCGTTGCGGAGCGAGCGGGCGACAGATTTGGTGTAGAGCTTGCGAGCATAGTCCTTATCTGCGAACTTGGACTCGCGTGGGAAGGTGTAGGTGTCGAGCCATTCGAGCAGAGGCAAATCATGTCCGTTTCCACAGAATGTGTACTGGGGAGCGTGCTATCAACGAAACAAATAAAGCCATTGCGGAAAGAATTAGTTAATGAATTGGAGACATGTTGCACAGCAAATGTGTCGATGATTAAGCTGCAACTGATTGTAGGGCAGAGAGGACTTACGATATGGGTGTCGACGAATCCGGGGATGATGAACTGATCCTCAGTCAAGTGGACGACCTAAAGGGTTCAAGTGGTGCGCAAGACGTATGAACAGGTTAGATGGCAGCACGTTAGTCAATAAATAGAACTGTGTGGATAAATTAGGGTTAAGAGTCTGTCCCTTTCTCCTGGGTCCTGGTAACACAGCGAGCTGGCATTGATCAAAGTCCTACCCGAGCACCTCCGAGGACGTCATAGATTCTGTCCCACAGGTCGGTGACCATCCTCAAGTGCTACTGGAGGCATTTATTGCCCCTGGGTACATAACTCGCCCATTCCAACCGAGCCTGGCTATGTGTGGCGGATGTGATCATAGTCGACAAGAGGAGGGTACTGCTGCAACTGATCGGGCCATACCTTCTCTCTATCCACGCCCTCAAGGGCAGCCTCGACCTTGTCCTGGGAGACGTCCTTGACCAGCTTAGCAATCTTGCCCTGGTTGTCAATAAAGAGTAGACCCTGCTTGATGTATTCGATTTCCTTGATGGAAAGGGAGTGAATGAGAGCGCCGTAGAAGACCTTGGCGATCGTGGAAGCGAATGTTTTCATGGTGAGAGAGGGGTGCTTGCAGTGTCGGCGGTGAGAGTGGAGAGAGCGAGTGTGCAAAAGAGCAAGGGGGCAGGGGCGAGTTGGAGTATGGAGGTGCCGCAAGGTGGGAGGGGAAAAGAGCAATGAGAAGAGAGAAGCGAATGAGGGACCTGAGGCCCTTTTATACGCATTCATTCCTCTCATTCGTGAAGAGTAAGAAAGAAGGTTATGGAGCTGTGTGGGTGTGGGCGTGGGTGCCGGAGCAATTGGAAAAAGGTACAGAAAACATGTGTCGAGATTGTGTGGCCAATGATTTGTGCTCCGCAATCAAAGGCCTAACGAAAATAAAGTAAAAAAAAAAAAAGTGGGTGTCCGCCCCATTGCTGTTGATGGACGTTCTCCGGACCAGTAAAGGTCCGATCCACTGTACGCCCTGACAGCCACCGACGAGTGGGACAGCCGGAAAAGAACGAGAGAGCGAAGGAGCGAAGGAGCGAAGGAAGGAACTTGCCGCCGTTCTTGCAGTCCTTCCTTCTGCGGGGGAACTTGACACCCACTTTTTTTTTCCTGTCCCTGGTTCATTTTAAGCCCAGGGTGACACAGCAGCTATCGCTGCGTCCATAGCATCCCCTTCCCCAGTTTCTTCCAAAGGTGGGGTTCAAGGTTCGAACCATTAGCTTTGAAAGGCTGCATATTGCTACCCCGCATTTGACCATTTCTATTCTTTAGACATCCATGAGAAAAGAGGGAGGGAAAAAGTGTACCCCCGGACCCCGCTTTTTTTTTTTTTTTTTTTTTTTTTATTGCTCCCTTCACTCTTCTCCTGAGATAACCCACAAAGAGCCATGTCATCGCCACATGGATAGTACCTATCCGCACTCCATCTACCCGTATGCCTCCTTGAAGAAGCATCAACACAATACACAATCGCTTTCCAACGTTGCCCGCCTTCTGTTGGCATAATTTGCTCTCCATCATGGATACTCCACGAGGGCGGACTGTGCCATGCTCCTTCTATACTCGTTTACTACCTTAATCCTATTGGATGTACTGGGTGATGAAGTTGGTGAAGGCTAGGTCGAAACGCGTTCATAGTTGGCCATAGAAATTATTTTTGCCACTATTTTTTTTTTGCCGCGCAATTGACAACAACAGTCCTCAATCTGAGTGAGGGCGTAGTTCCCAGGCACCTCTATCCCCTTAGTAGTCATTCCTGTGCTCACTTCTCGGACTCCACCAAAGCGTCATCGCCCTCCTTGTCCCGTCCTTACGGAGCCTCGGTTTCTTTCTCGACGTGCAATTTAGCAGACTAACCGCCGGCTTGTTTCCCCATCAACCAACAGCAACATTCACTGAAAGGAACACGCGAGACGCATGCTTAGCTTGTGTCAGGAACTTTCGGCATTCAACCTGCACAAATACCATGTTTCGACAATCTAATCCAAAGAAGCAGGTCGCCAAGATGCCCTCGCCCACCCCTGAATCCCAGGGAGGCTCGCTTTCGGCCTCTAATCAACCACTCCTCAGAGCTGTCATCAGCTACACAGGGTTGACGATCAAAGAAAGGGTAATAGAATCCGAAAACTGATCTCTTTAAACGCCTTCTACCGAGGCACTTTATTCTAATACTGACAGCTCCTTCGCGTTGGTCATGTGGTATCTTCTAGGAGGTCGTCAATAAGAAGGTTAGGGAAATGGGAGGGCAGGTGAATGTCGACCTGACTGAGGATATCACACACCTTATCGCGAGCAGGGTCGGATCTGACAAGTACAGGGTAGGTAGTGATTCAACGACCAGGTACCACCTTGACTGCTCGGAACCGGACGAAAAACTTTTGGCGCGCAACGACTCATAGTCTGGCTATTGTATTGGATGAGTCGCTAGGTGGCATTCGGACTTCGGATCCCAGTGCTAGAGCCAGGGTGGCTCGATTTCCTTTATAATCAGTGGTGCAAGGGACAGACTTCCGACCTTAAGCAGGTAAGTGCTGCGACTTTAGAGCGGGCTTAGACTGCATCGAATAAACTGGCTTATTTTGCGCATTATACTTGTCTTTGACGATAGGCCATAGAAGACTTTGCGATGGGACCATTAAAGGGGTGCAGCATATGTGTTACAGGACTCCCATTAGGTACTTCATACGGAAATCATTATATTTCGCCTTGTAGTTTGAAGAATTCTGCTCAAACCCATAATATCAACGTTGCTTTCCGCACTAGACCAACGACAGGCGATCCAGAGGGACACCATTCAATATGGAGGGAAATACACCAGCGATCTCCTGAAGAGCGTAACGACACACTTGATCTGCGGTCACCCCTCCGGCGAAAAATACACTTCTGCCTTACAATGGGGTGTCAAGTGCGTATCGCTACGCTGGCTTAAAGACACAATGGCGCGCCTCGGTAAGGACACGCGATCGGTCCCTGGGTTTGACTGAACGATGGGATTTGTCTGCATACTGATTATCTATTCTTCTTGCCAATTTTTAGAGCTTGTTGATGAAACCAAGTACGCCATTGTCGCCCAAGGTTTGAAAAAGAGCGCTTACAGGATTACCTTTTAGGCAATGTAGTCAAGTAGGGTCTTATCGTTACTCACGATACCATGTTTCATCCGCCACATTTAGACCAAGAAAAATCAGCCCAAGGTCAAGAAATGGGAGAGGTGCGAGAAGCAGCGGGCCATATCGACGAACGCAGCGAAGATCGCGCACTTGTTGTGCCAGATCAGATGTACTTGGAGGCATGCTACGTTTACCTCTGCCCCTCATTTTCGGCTGCGCAGGCAACTCAATACAAGAAAATGATTCGTATGGCTGGCGGTGTCCTTGTCACAGAGTACGATCCCATGGATGTTACCCACGTCGTAGTGCCGTCAAATAAGCTGGAACCAAGGCGAGTGTTGTTTGAGTGGCGTGAACGCAAATTGATTACGTTTTCGACAGACTAGCTAACTGTTAACAGATACTGTTGGCAATTATAGTACGATCGCGCTCTTCAGCCACGATGGCGACATACCCTATATCGTCAATCAGAACTGGCTGCTCCTTTCAGTTAGGGAAGGTAAAGCTCTCCCGGAGGCGAATCACATCGTGCCGTTTCCTACGCGAACAGAGGATGGTCTGCCAAAGCCAGTGCGGTTTGATGGAGCCAAAACCTGGACTACAGATCCTGCTTTGAATTCTCGGGATAACGATAGCAAGGCCGCCAGTAATACCAATACCAACATGGCGACGTTGCGATCAAAGTCTAGGGCACCTACGGAATCAGACACCATCGCACCCTCGACACCCAAGAAAGATCCTCAACGCAGCAGCGTAGGCTTTACAGAGTTCAGGAGCAAAGGAGAGGAGAATGGGACAAAGTCATCACCCGATCGTACGCCTGTCTCTTCCCCATCCAACAGGTCGCCTCAGGAAACTCGTAATGGGTTGCGCACGAGAACCGTATCCGGAATTTTGTCCGAGGCTCTAGACGTACTTTCAATGGACATGACAACGACACAGCTAATGGCAACACAGGAGAATTCGTTGGTTACGAGGGCCGACCTGATGAACCTGGATGAGGAGGAAGAGACGCCATCAAACATCTTTCTTGGACTTCACATCACATCGCATGGATGCAGCGAAAAGTGTACTCAATGGATTCGAGAAGAGACAGCGGCCTGCGGAGGGACGTATTTTGAGGACTCAGAGGATCCGCCCCCAGGAGCACATGTGAGGACGATTGTGCCGCTATCAATGTAAGAGCTATGAGCAGATTTTCTTTGCCAGTATGCTCTTCACGGATAGTCAAATCATCTGCAACTAGGGAACTAAAAAAGTCATCGCTACTTTGTTCCTGGGCTGGATAAATAGGTCGTTGGACAGGACCAAGGGTCTGAGAGGCATGGTGCTAACGACCTGTTGGTTTCAGAGATCGGTGGAAGAGGACAGGGTTGTATCAAGGCAAGATCACTTCCTGTACAAGCCGATGAAAACAGTTCCCATCCAAGGTATATAACACCTACGAGCCGCTGTTTCTCTGTGCGACCCCGATCCTTCAATATAATGGGCTAACATTTCCTTGGCTTGTATGCCATGTACGTCATATGATAGGTTTCCAGGACTTGATTATCTCCGTGACAAACTTTGAGGAGCTGGAATATGAACAGATCGGACGCGCGATCAAGCTTCTGGGGGCCACCTTCATGGACAAGCTGCGTGCAGGCAAGACTAACTTACTCATTTCAGACCATGCTAAAGGACCGAAATATGAGTATATGGCGAAGGAGCGGCAGCCTATCGTCAGGGTGGCGTGGCTACAAGCATGTATCGAGCAGGTGTGTTTTCCGACTTTCATTTCGTATTTGGATATAGCAGAGCAAAAACTAACCAGGGTTGGGCCTCAAAACAACAGGGACGACGACTACCTTTCGAGGGGTTCTTGTTGCAAAGTGACATTTATTCTGACAGGGAAAGCGAGCGCAGTGACAGCGGCTCTAGTCGCATGCATTCAGGGAATAGTAATCTCAGCAGCGAGACCACCCGCACAGATTCAAATGCTGACTTTAGCCAGTTGACGCCAGCACCGCCGCCAACACCCTCTGACACACCCTTACAGGGTCTCGCAATCTGTCTGCCTAGTCGAGTCATTGGAGATCATAGGGAGATGCAGGATATGATCGCCAAAATGGGAGCACGACTTTTCACGTCTTTCGACCTATCCTCAACGCACCTCATCCATAAGGGCAGAGCGACCCCCGACACGAAGCGGGATCTTCGTGCAGCCAAGAAAGAACACCGGTTTATTGTCTCCCCTACCTGGCTGTATAAGTGCTGGGAAACGGGTCTTCGAGTGGACGAACAGGAATACCCGGAAACGTTCGACGACAAGCATTTGACCCTCAATACTGTCACACATACACCCAAGGAACGGCCTGGATTGTCTGTGCTCCCGAAGCGTAGTTCGTCACCGTCATCTTTACGGGCGTCTTCGAGGTCTGGGTCAAGCGGCCGGAGAGGGACATCTGGCGCAGGATTCGGTCGGGCGGCAACCGCGGGATTCCAACCTCATCGACAAGGGGCAGGTCAGCCCAGTCCGACACAAACATTCCAGGGAACTGCTGCAGGTGTGACGAGCGGTCTGTATGGCGGCGACCATGTGTTATCCTCTATTAATATGTCTCCAACGGACACAACCTTGGACATGTCGATGTCGAGTATGATGGATATGCAGTCGTTGCAGTATAGGAACGGCGGTCTTTCTGACAGTGACGGAGTCTGGCAACCAGTCCCAGGCATCCCTGTTGTGCGGAATTCCGGCCGAAAGCGAAGGAGGCCCCTGGTTGGGAGTGACTCCCAGGCAAACAACACCGATATGAACACATCTGCGATTTATGAGGTATGTCATTCATTTGATGATCAGCTTCCGCTGTAGTCACCAAAGGCTTTTTTTTATTCATCGTTATGTTTTTTTAAAAAAAAAAAAAAAAAAAATGGCGTTTTGTGTAATCATAGACGCCGCAAGAATCGAACGAGACTCAAGATGAATACAGCATTCCAGAAAACTATTTCGACAAACCTGCAGAGCGCTATGGAAAAGACGCCGTCATCTGGGTGGATACTGAGGGCAGAGAAAAGAAGAGGGCCTTGCTGGAATCACTCGGGTACAAGACATTCAGGCCGTCGCCTAAAGAAAACGCCGATGCGCGGCTTGAATCCGTTGCCCGAGGTGGGTCATGGTTTCGCGATGTGATATTCATATTGATATGTATTTGTTTGGCATTGGTAATAACACACTCTTTTTTGTACTACCGTAGACATGGATTCGCAGCGATGCCCAAGATATTACTTCTTACTGACGGGGATTTCGGTTGCGGACCGGACACAGTTTAAGAAGTCGATTCAGAATCTCGGGGGGGTTGTTCTGGAAGATATTAACGACGATCATGACGACTGGCAGCAGAAGTGCACGCACCTGATTACGAACGGCAACAACCCACCACGCACAGCCAAACTGGTGATTGCGAGGGCATGCAAGGCCATCATTGTCAACAAGGGATTCATCCTTGCATCGAGCGAGAAGGGCACGTTTGTGGACGAGACCCCGTTTAGGGTTAATATCTAGGCGTCTCTTCTATTTGTTTTCTTTTTTATTGTCGCTACGCCCATCTTTTTGCCTTTGCTTTTACTTTTTTTATTTGAAATGTACTGTAAGTGTACAGGATCGTTTTTTTGTTTTTTTTTTCCCTTGACGACCTTGTTGTATCAGTTGATTTACAATAGCCCATAATATTGAATGTTATAATAAACGCCCACGACCCAAACAAACCCTCCAAAGGAAAGCGGGAAGGAAATGGATCGAGAGGATCTGAGAAAGGAACGGAGTGTGCTTGCATTTTGTCAGCGCGTCTGAAATAATCAACTTTAACGGTTTCAGCCTCCACAGATCGAAAAATGCTCCGTGTCATACGGTCACACTTGGCATTAAAAAACAACGGCGACCTCGGAGGGCGGCGTTCTTCACGAACGCTCCGAAGTCCCTCCCACAAAACGCGGGACAAACTCATTCCCCAACCATGATTCGAATCGGACAGCACAGTAGCACCAGCAGGGTCAGCAGAATCCTTACCAGGACATCACTCCGACCCTCGACTGTCCATGCAAATGTCGTCCCTCGGTACATTTCAACCGCCCATGCCTCAAAGTCGAGCAGCACTCAGACACCCTCGGGCTCCTGGTTTCTGGGAGCAGGCGTGGTCTTTACAGGAGTGACCCTTATGATCCAGTCACCCTATCTCGGGATCAGTGATCGGGCCATCCGAAACGACTCCCCAAGCAGCAGCAGCGCCAGTGAGGGCGTGACCAAAAGCGTGGGTGCCAAATTGGCGGAGCTTGTCAAGAAGAAGCCCCCACCTATGAATCAGGACGAGATTGTGCTCGATAAGGACTTGACGGTGACGAGCTGGAAGCAGCTGGAGCAGACGGGACTGGTCACGGTGCCTGGTGTCATGCTCTGGGGATCGAACAAGTAATGTTTTTTTATTGGATCGGGGCGCGTGAAACGAGGATTGCAAAAAAAAGCGAATGTGAAGAAAACAGGAAGGATATTAATGTTTGGTTTTTTTTTTTTTTTTTTTTTTTTTTTTCGCTCGCATTAGGAACGGACTCGTCGATCCATCTGGAAAGAGTGCAGGGGTGATCATGATCCCGCAGAGACTCCAGTCCTTCCAGGGAAAGGCTCTCCGTGATCTCAAACTGGGAGACGACGTTGCCGGTATGGCTTTCTTTCACACCTCGGGAGGGTGCTCCTTTCTTTTTTTTATTTTTATTTTTTTTCTTTTCCTTTTTATTTCGTTTTATTTTCATGCTGCTTTATCTCATCTAACGCCCTTATTCTTCCTTTTTTTTAAAAAAAAAAAAAAAAAAAAAAAAAAGCTGCAGTGGACGAGGACGGAAATGTGTACCAATGGGGATCAGGGTTCAACAGCAGCGCGCATCAACCAGAGGTCACGCTCCGGAACCGCGATATCGCCCTCGTCACCCTCTGCGACACAAAGCTTTATGGACTCTCCCGGGACGGAGTGCACGTCTATGTGATGCCCAAAATCCGTCCCGCCACGGGACCGACCAAGGCTGCAATCGAGTATGAACCACCAAAGTCGAGTCTGTGGAGATATATTGGACTGGGTGGTAAGGCAGATGAGAAAACGGATCCGATGACACAGTTACCCATCCAGGAATTCCTGAACAAGAACGAAAAGTAAGGCTGCGCCGGAGGAACAATTTCTTGGGGAGGAAACCCTGATCCAGTTTACTGACGTACGGCACCGGTGCCATTTTTGCAACAAAAAAAAACCAACAATGTAGGATCATATCAATCGCGTCCGGAAAGAATCATGTGGTCATGGCCACTTCCGAGGGCCGAGTCTTGGGGTCCGAGGACGGTCTTTCGGTCTCGGTGATCGGAAACGCAGAATTCAGACAGAGCAAAGTACTGGAGGTCGCCTGTGGAGAGGTTCACTCGCTAGCACGCGACGACCAAGGTCGCTGCTGGGCCTGGGGTATCAATGGATTCGGACAGTTGGCACAGGGAGCGTACTCGCATGCGAATTTGAAGCTGCCCCAGCCAACTTTAGTCAAGGATATTGCAGGGACTGCAGGCGGCGTAGAATGTGTGAAGGTTGCTGCGGGAGGACAGACCAGCTATGTGGTAGTCAAGGAGGATGAGAAATACAAGGTCAAATCCGCGGGCATGGGACAGTGGGGACAGCTGGGCGATGGCACTGTAGGTTATCGCACTCATGTTGTTTTCTTTGCTGTGCCTTCCTTCCTATAGGTAAAGAGTCTCTGCTTAGAGATGGTGCTGACACAATTCTTGTTACTGCTTGATCTGTAATAGTACACACATATCCAGGGATCGCTGGTGACTATCACACCCCTGTCCGACCTTGCTGAATGTAGGTTATCTTCAGCACTTCTTCTTCTTTCCAGACTGAGAAGGATGGACTGAGAATGCTTTCGTTGTACTGACATGGTAGTCGTTACGTTGGATAGACAAAGAAGAGGAGAAGAAGATGATGCCGATTGGCATCCATGATCTGGCCATCGGAAGCACCCACGCGTTCGCAGTGCTTGACAATGCCAGTGCAGAATTTTCGGCTTTGCACAAGAGAGTGGTTACTCACGGCCGCGATGTCCTGTCATGGTAAAGACAAAGAAAAAATATCATTTCTGAGCCTTTCAAAGAACAATGCACTGCAATTCTCTTTTGGAGACAGTATGAAACTGACTTTATTAATCGTCGCTTCAGGGGTCAGAACACATACTATCAGCTGCTGACGGGTAAGAGGATCAACAGAACAGAGCCCAGCCATGCTTTGCCATTGGATTCTGAGATCCTGCAGCCCGCCGACAAGGCCATTGCGGCCATTGCTCAGGGTGGAAAGAAAGAACGCAAGGAGGGCACGGGATCCTTGAGTCCAACGAACCGGTTGCAGCTAATGCCAGCCCAACCTCGAGCTGACAAGAACGCTGGCGACTCTTCTGTGTCCCGGAAAGAGAAGGAGCAGAAAAAGAACGGATCCAAGGAAGGGAAGGTGGAGGCGGTGGAGCTGAAGATCGTTGCTGGGAACGGTGTTTCCGGCGTGTTTTGTAAATCGGCCGAGCAGGCCCATGCATAGTAGTTCTGTTTGCCTGTAATTTAAATAAAAGAAAAAAAGAAAAAGAAAAAGAAAAAATAAGGATGATTCAAATGCAAGACTGAAGAACTATATGCCTTGGGAACCCGCATTTGAAGATACCGGGAAGGACGTTGGTACCACATGCACACCGTTTACGGGAGACAGAACTTTGGAGACCAATCGTCTGTGCAGTCAAGACGCGTCCTAAAAACAGGATGGTGGAGCCATGGATGGGAATAGGAGAGGTCAGTCCTCCCCCCTTGCTTAACTCCTCGGCTCCTCTTTATTTTTATTTTTTTTTCTTCTTTTTCTATCCTTGACCATCAGAGGGAAAGAATCAGAAAGGAATATGGATCCAGGAGACCCTTCCATGTACTGGCTGGCTGCAGGCTAAAAAAGTGACCTGCCCAAAGGATTGCGCCGTCGCGTCTCCTGGCTCGCTATTTTTATGGAGCGCGCTGTTCAGGCTGCAATTCCAGACATCCGTATCTCCGACATCCATATCCAAGTCCATATCCGTCTCCATGGTCCCCCCCGCACCCTCTTTCGCGCTCGTTGGAAAAAAAAGGGAACATCCACGGGTCTGCTCCCCGCTTGGATCCTGCATCGATCAATGGACACATCCTCGACGTATCTTCTACAAATAGAGAACATCTTTCTTTCATTCTGGAATATCTTTTGATTGTCCTTTTCTTCATCATCCTCGTTCTACTTCCCTATTTCTTTCTCCCGCCCGTTATTATCATCGTTACTTTTTTTTTGCTTTTTGTCTTTTGCTAGCGTTGACCCCCACCGCCCACAATCCAGCTTCTGTATCCTCTCGAAACTTGACTCAGCTTTCCTACAAGTCCACTTTCCAGTACTCTGAGATACAGTCGAACAAGCGAAATAAAGAAAGATCTGCGATGCTCTTCCCACGGCGAAAACTCACATACTCCGCCCTGGGCACCCTGCTCCTCCTCTTCGCCACCTCTACCATCACCCATGCAGAAGCTACGATCCCCAGCACTGACCCCCATATCCTCCACCAAAGCACAGCGATACCCCGTCGCGAATATGTACATCCCACTCCAGCACATCTCCAAACCCGCGATCTCCTTGGGAACCTTCTTCCGATTGGGGCATCTGATCCATCCAAGACAGTCTCTCCTGCACCGCCACCCAACCTTGAACCTGTGCCTGTCCTTGCCCCTGCACCGGAATCGACTTTGTCCAAGGCCCCTGTTGCTCCCGCTGCCCCTTTGACTGGGCTTGATCAGACCCTGGCGCCGAGCGGTGGATCTGGAGGTGAGAATGGGGACACAAACGATAAGGGTGAGAAGAAGAAGGATGTACAAACAACATCGCCAGCGCTGGCGCCAGTACCCGTAGACCCGCCATCTGACGGTGAGGGGGAAGGTAGCGGTGGATCGACGACATCGCCATCGTCAGGCCAGGGCAAGAAGAAGCCTGCTGCAGAGTCTTCTTCATCATCGTCTTCTTCTTCTGTTGGATCCAGCCCTTCAGGAGGGGAGAAAGGTAGCAGCAACAATGGTCGTGACGGCAACCGCAGCGACGACGGCTCATCCACGGACGATTCTAACTCTAACCCCAACCCCTCCTCTTCCACATCATCCCACTCTAAAGGCTCCGCACTCACCTCTGCAGGCGAGCACGCTGGGAACAGCACAACCCCTGCGGTAACACGCGTTGCAAGTGACGGGAATATCGGTCTCTCCGGAGGTCTGATCGCCATGATCGTGCTGGTCCTGTTGGGGATCACAACGGCGGTTCTTTTTAGCTGTTACCGGATCCGGCAGTCGGATCGGAGGCGACGGAAGCGAGAGACGTGGGACGTGAATGTTTTGAAGGACTATATTGGAAGCGTGGAGTTTTCGCATTCAATCACGGCTCAGCCAGGAGGAAGAGGGGGTGGTGGTGGAGATGGTGGGTGTGAGTATGCGAAGAGAGGGAGTCTCAGAGAGAGCATCGCTGCAGAAAAGCAGAGCTTAACAGGAGGAGGAGGAGGTGGTGGAAGGATTTCGGAACGGATGGTCGAGAGTCCGTACATGGCGTATAGGCCAGTCGCGAGTGCTACGCCGATGGTTGCAATGGGTGGTAATGATGGGCGAGGGAGATAGATCCTTGACAGAAGAATATGTTTCTGTATCCTAGCAATAAAGATCTTGTGGACATATATATACACCTATCTATATATTGCTCTTGAGTCATAAAACGCGAGTAGATTACAAGAAGCTGGGCGCTCAAGTAACTTCACTTAGATAAAATGACTGCGCGATGGTTGTTACATATGGACGATGGCAGAAGGACAGAACACCGCTATGGGCGGCACTGCAACAGTCCTTCTCAGACTCCGATGCTGCTGCTGAGGCTGGTCCGGATACGATGGTGGTTGAGACCTGTCCGTGCCCGCGTCAGTGTCTGAATTTCAGTTTGTGTTAGGTAAAGAGCGTCTCGGAGCAGACGATTCGGCTTGCCCAGCTGGCGGCGATGACGGTATCCCCGACAGAACACTACCGCCACTGGACCTCCTCGCGTTCGGCTTCGTCCTTGGTGGCGACGGAGAAGGCCCTACAAGATCCGCGAACGAAGGCGGAGGTGGAGCGTGCGCAAATTCAAGATGCAGATCCTGGGTGGTATAGGCCGGTGGCGGCTGAGGGATAGTCTCCGTCGTCAAAAGAGACAGGGCTGAACCATTGGTGTTCGCGATGTCGTCCAACAAGAATCGCTGCGACCTCAGCCGCTGAGTCATGGGGTCCTCGACCAGGACCTCTGGGCCGGAGGGGGCGCCAAGGTTGTTGGTACGAGCCTTCCTCTTCCTGGCGTTTTCTCGGCGGATGAGGTGGATGAGGACAAGGATTTTGCCGAGGACGAGTAGCGAGAATAGGGCGATGATGGTGGTCTGTTCATCCATGGACGTCATTAAACAAGCGTGGGATAGATGCCTTTGCCGGCCTAGAGGGAAAAAGAAGAGGTGGTTGGCGAGAGAGAGAGAGGGGGGGAGGTGTGAGCTCATGGAGAGGAGTTTGAGCCGCCGGGAGACTTTAATGCATTTCCTGTAAGGATAAAAAGAAGAAAAGGAAGTGGCAAGGGGCGTGGGTTCAGACGTGGTTCAAGCGGGCTGTGATTGGACGCAGCTGGATTCTGAAGTAGGCGCGTGAGCTGTTTCTACGCGCACCCGCTGCGACTGGCTGCATGAGCGACAGCTAAGAGGAAGGGATAAACCCCATACCTCGTAGTGGCAATGACGATGACAGCGACAGCGATATATCCGGCAACCACACTGCTTACAACAGCAGCCACACCGACACTGACGGCGATAATGTTGACAGTGATGTCAACCTGCTGGATCATGGCATCGACATCCAGGTGGAAGAGCTCGAGGAACAGATGCGTTTCGAGCGCGATCAATGAGATAACCTGGCCGAGTAAGCTGTCATACCAGAGTGCGAATAACATGGACTGGGTGATCATGGACTGAGCTTGACAGAAAGAGACAGAGAGACATGCTACGCTGGTCGTCGTTTGTTGCCGCCAAAAAAAAAAGAGGCCCCCGAAACTGGGTAACTTCACGCAAAAAAAAGATTAGCGCGAACCTTATTGAATTTCGGATCGAGGTTCGAGTTTCGCAAGCTGTCTAATATCCCATACACTGGTGACCTCACGATTCCACCACGATGGCAGACCCGAATTTCTTCGACAGACACCGCTGGCGAACTCAAGGAACATCAGGGCCAGTTTGACATCTTTGTTAGATGACATGGCCTCGAAGCAGCTCAAGCTCCGGCGCGTCTTGATCCCACTTACGGACGACGATGAAGAGCTTTCCATCATGCTCGATACTTCGAATGAGAAGAGGAAGCGCGGCCTAGCAACTCGCCTTTCCAAGGTGTTTCCCACGGAGCCACCTAAGAAAACAATCCACATCATTGTGCAGCGACCACCTCCAGGTAAAGCATTCACACTCGCCTTGCATTAGTGCCTAGACTTTCCTACTGCGATGTTGACTCTTTCTCATCGTTTTTTGCGCTCTACCGTGTTGTGTACGTATTCCCGTAGGAGACGCGTTTCTGCGCACTGACCACCATCATGGCCATTTCCTACGGGCAGTACGGGCAGTAATTGATCCCCCATGCATATACCGCATATAAAGACGCGAGTGAGACATGTACGGCCATCGTACTACACAATTCCGGATCCTAGTCTACCGCCATTCACAACAGACCGAACACCCACCACCCTACGCATACACCTCAAGGCCACTCTTCTCGCCTTGACCGCCGCATCGATGGTCACCGCTGCAGACGTGGGGCGAGAAGGACTCCAAGCTCGTCATCACCGAGAACCGCGAAAGGACCCGCCTTCTCTACCCAACTATCCGTCTCTCCACCGAGCAGGGGAATGTTAACGATGGAGAGCGAGCTTGCCATCATCGACGAACCTTCGTTGATCTAAACTCCCAAGCCCTCGGAACAATCTAGGGTTCTCATTCTCGAGAGCCCCTTGATGCGCCACCCTTGGATGCCGAAGCATGCAGCCCTTCGCCAATCGAGCAGATATCGATGAGCTGGAGATCAGCGAGGTGGGCCATCAGAAGTATATAAATGTTTTTTTTTTTGGCTAACCCTACCTCTACCCCTATGGCCGATGCCCTATTTTCTAATAGCGATGTGCAGCCCTGGTGCAAGAACGCATGAAAGGCACCTGCTTTGCTAGACTTGTCCTCTGCCTCCCACATGGATCACTCAGATAAAAAAAAAAAAAGATAAAAAAAAGAAGGCCCTCATGAAAAATCTTCTGCAAAATCAAAAAATCGCTGTGTGCTGATGGATACATCCTCGGAATTGGTTCCACCGCACCTTGATATACACTTCAAGAACCTTGGGAACCTTGCATCCGTCCCTTATCAGACATGCTAAACATCAAAAAAAAAAAAAAAAAAAAAAAAGATCGCAACAGGCTTTGACGTCTTGACCTTTTGCAAACGCCTCCCCATCTGCATTGTCCGTACCTCCCATTTCGTATAAATACCTGCTCTTTTTTCGTTGGCAAAAGACTCTCAACAGCAAGCCTTTGAGCACACAGCGACAACCCACTCACTCTTATTCTCTTATTCTTACTCACAACCCCTCACATTCGAGCACACCATGCACCTCAAGACCTCCTGCTCTGTTGTCCTTATCGCCTCCTTCATGGCCCTGTCCACTCAGGCGGCGCCCCTGTCGACGGATCCCACCCAGGTCACCATGACTGTGGTCCCAACTATGCCTGGACAGTCTACTCAAGCTATGGCCCAAGTCTCCAATCCTACGGCCCCCTCTGATGTCAAGACTTCCGACCCCATGGCCTCCGCTGTTACTCCGGTCGACGCGGGCGAGAACTCCAAATGGGGATTCGGGGGTTGGGGTGGTTTGGGTGGCTGGGGATGCGACTGGTGGAGTCTCCCTTGGTGGTACAACCGCGGCTGGTGGTGTTAGACCATGACACATGGTGTCAAAGGACAGGAGGCGATTTTTTTTTGATCCATCCGCGCTTGCTAATGCCCAGCTTTAGTCGGACCGCGGTTGTTTCCCTTCAATCTGCACATTTCATATCTAGTTCAGAAAAAAAAAAGAGATCTCCTGAGCGAATAAAGCAGGAAACACATTTCAGACGCGTCAAGGTCTTCAAATGAGCGCGCGCGCACGAAAAATAAAAATGATATGCATAAAAATATTGCACAGCAATTGATCCAGCGTAACTGGTTGTCTGTCAAGATTCACTGTATTTCCTTGTATTTTTTTTTATTGAATGATGGTTGAATGGTATCCACGTAACACTGTCAGATCGACCGACTGCTCCCTCATCTTCCTGTCTCGTCACTGTTTTGTTGCTGGTCCTTTTCCCCCCCCGAAAACAGAAAAAAAAAAAAAAAAAAGAGCTCTCCTTCTTCCGGGCTAACCCTCTTCAAAGCTGCACAATACGGATGCCATCCTTGTTGACAATCTTGGCAACGAAATCCGGCATGTTCAAGATCATGCGCGATCTGAGCTCACCAATACACTTTTGCAGCAATTTGATGCCCTCCTCCTCCGTGATATCCTCGCGATGGTACCGGTCCAGCAGCGATAGACAGTAGTAGGCACCATAGCCGTGTGCGGCAAAGGGCACGTTTGCGAGCGACGCCAAATGGTCAAGCCAGTACAACGCAGGCTTGTTGGTCTTGACATCGTATCCCGCAATCAACAGGTTGACCGAATATGGTTTCTAAAGACAACAGAACGAGAAAAAAAAGATAAAAAACCACGTTTAGGAACAATAGCTTTCCGTTCTGGGCATGTATATATAACGATATATAACGCGAGATGCAAAGACAACACCCTAAGAAAAAAAAAAAAAAAAGGCGCGTTCACGTTTACCTTGCTACGCAAGCTGTCTGCCAACTCGCGTCTCGCGAACGAAGAGACCGCCCGAGGACTGAGCTCGATACCGTTTCGGATCCCGTACAGCTTGATGTTACGCTCGATATATTCTGAGAAATGGACACCATCGCCCGGCTCGCCCGAGAAGAGCATGAGGGTGTGTGAATTGAGTTCTCTGGACTTGTCCTCGCCAATCTTCATGAGGGTGATGGAGGCCACTGCCTTGGAGTCGTAGGCGGTGATGGTAAAGTCCTTGCCGGTGATGCCGAAGAGAGTATCCATGGTGAGTGCTTATGGGGTTCGTCAGAAGTGTTGATTCGCTGTCGCCTGTTTTCTCGGGTCTATGTGCCGCCTTGGTCGTCCTTGAGGTTGCTGCTATGGGAGGTGATGGGAGGTTGGGGTTCGTTTTCTTTTTTTTGAATGAAGAACAAAGGGGAATAGGGACTGTTACCAGCGGATAGGAAACGCGCACGCACGCGCGTATGTCCCCTCCGCCAGACAAGCGCAGAGTGGTTACGTAGGTTGAATCGCCCTTAAGCACATCGAGCCACGGAAAAAAAATGCGTTCAAGCAGAGGAACCACCACTTCATCCTCACGGGTCACTTTTCAGAGCTACTTGGGCCCCGGTATCCAATTCATTGGTTCTCTCCTGCCGTCATAGATCTGTGGGGGGTCAGAGACCATCGTGCATTCAGCACTAGACTATCCATGCTCAGCTGTGTATGCACGTTTGTATTCAGTCATGGCCACGAATTGGACTTTTGGGGCTTCGACTCTGAGAGCGAAGCAACAATCGTGGCGAGGACAATTGGGCTGCCGTTGGCTGAGCGTGGATATGGGAGTTTTGGACAAGTTCCAGCGTTCTGACTCTTGCGCGCTGTTGTCTTGGAACAACAGCCGGTTATCATCTTTCCTCGCCCTCAATACCACACCTTCCACACCTTCCCCTCCTTTTCTTCTACAACCCGCTCGTACCATCGTCCATTTTTATTATCCCAACAACGATCCTCGAGTGCAAAAAAAAACAACAGCTGTGAGCGCACCCAACAAAGCAACGCCAACATGGATACAGGCGCTGCCTTCTTCGTTGCCTTTATCGCACTTTTATGTTGCATCAGAGTCTACCTCAAACGACACTCCAAGCGCAACGTCGCAGGAGACCCCACCGCCAATGCCGTAATGCCAGTCCCGTCCTCAAGGACAAGGGCAAGGACACCGACACGGCCTTCTCCAGTGTTACGAGCAGAGACGAGGGCAAGGACAAGGACAAGGACAAGTCGTGCCAATCTTCTCTGGATAGTCAGTGCCAGAGCACCGAACCAAACCAGACAGGATTCGTTTGTAATCGCGACACTCGACCCCCCACCACGCTATGACGACCCATCAACGACGTCGCTGTCACCCGCGCCTGGTGCAGAGACAGGGTTGGAGGAAGTGATTGTGGTAGAGAATTCCCAGGTCGTGGAATCCACAGATGAACCACCGGGGTATGTACAATATGCACAGGATCCGTCGACAACTGTCCACACCAGCACATCAATCAACAATGAACCTCCAGAGGCTATCCAATCACTGCACTCTCGAGGACTACAACATTAACACGCCTCGAATACCACACTTCTCTTCATGAATCGATACCCATGTCTTCCTTACCCCTGTACCATATTGTAATATGATCTCCCAAATAAAAATGTACCGTCGACGTCCTTATCCACAAGGAGGTATTTCAGCCTGAGCAAAGCAAACCAGGGTAGGCGCCGGCTAGTCAAAAAGAAACTTTTTTTTCAATGCAAGACATACCAGAGACTAGTGACACATGCAGGATCCGGGGAACCTTGAGAAACAACCTTAAAGGCCGCAGCAAATGACGTACTCATACGAGAGGCGATTGATACGCCGCTGTATCTCGACGATACAACTATAGGGAGTACAGAACCCGGAGAATCTCTCGGTGGTCGATGGGCCCTGTCTCCCTAGTACCATACGGGGACAAACTCCTGTTCTTCTTTCCGAGTTTATATAGATTCTTTGCCATGGCTGCAAGGATTCGCTTTATGACGTACTTGAATGTCGGTACGAGTCGTGGACGCGTGTATTGAGCTGGTTGGTGCGGGTGGCAATGAGGGTACATGAGAAGGGATACATGGTGCCCCACGCCATTGGACTGTGCTCATTACGAAGATCGCCTCCACCTGAGACCTTTAGCATCATGCCCAGGTGGACTTTTTTTGGATAAAGAAGGAAAGGAACAACGTTGTGGAGGATTAGAGAAAGAAGGTTTGGGTCTATCCAATGCCGCCAAGTTCGTTTTGTAACCATCCGGCTATATAAATGGATGCTGTCTGCTGTCTGAGCCAGCTACTCCTGCGCTCCCTCTGTCGGCTGATCAACCACAGTCCTTAATTGACACCCTTGAACCCTTGAACCCCTGAACCCTTGAACCCTTGAACCCTTGAACCGTGCGCCGAATTCTTCTCGAACATCTCTCCTCAAGTTCCCAGAGTCACATTGCAGCACTACAAACAAGCAAACATCGCCTGGAAGATGACCGCCTTGGTGTTATCGATGCTTGGTGGCCTAGCCATCGTAATGGTCGTGGCATGGTGTCTCATCCGCATAAAGAAGTCTCCCAACTCCAGTTCAATCATCATCCCCGTCAACAACAGCGACAACAACAACAACAACAACAACAACAACAACACTTGCATGACCACACATACTACACCACGACTTTTTCAACCCAGGTACACCGTCGTCCATGCCATCTTTTTGGACTCTTCACAGTCTCGGTCACCAGCAGCAGACCGTCGTACCCAGAACAGGGGCGGTCCGCGCGTTGCTGATCAGGTTCGTACCCGTCAATCGCTTGCTGGGAGAAGCAATGAGTCCATGTCGAACCTGGACGACGACTTACCACCACCAATGTATAATCCACTATCGACAGACGCAACCGTACATCCTTCATCCGATGGTCATGACCTACCGACGGATTCGTGCATCTTGGATATTCCTCCTCCAACGTACTCTCCATCCCGGATAGCTACAACGCCGGCCTCACATGGAATTACCGAAACTCGTTCAGGAGCACTTCTATCGCCACTTCCTGTGCTAGACCCGTCGTTGTCTCCATCGGGACCATTGTCACCATTGCCACCGACGTATCCACAGGCGATAGCTCCTCCTCAGCCAGCTCAACTGACAGAGAATCCGTCTGTTATGATTGCTATTGGATCTGCCTAGATATTACACACATCCAACTATGACCGTTTACCATATTACCACATCGACATAATAATTAAACTACTACTCTTTAATCGCGCTTGGTGTCGCTTTGTCCAATTGTTTTGAGAGAGAGCAACAAGGAATTTTTTTTTTTCTTCCTTGGACGCTGATGTTCTGGTGCGCTTTGTTTCCGATGGCAGCAAAAGCGAAATCGAAAGGCAAAAGGCAAAAGGTGCATGTTGTCGACTCTGGACATCGTTGGATGGTGTGCACAATACCTCCTGGCCATTGCCTCTGCTCGTGGGTCACACAAAAAAACATCGAGTTATCTTTCCTTTACTGTTATTCTCCTATGCAACGTGCTTCGCCGAGTGGAGAACACACCTCTAATCCCCGCCAATTTTTTACATTACCGGGATTAATACTCATGGCTGCATGGGGACAGCTGCAGGCTCAGATCATTTACCAGACCACGTCCAGGTAACGGACAATCACGATGCGATCGTTGGTCTGGGTGTTCCTGTTCCTTTTGAGCGATTTATTCTGCACAAATCGACTGAAAAAAAATGCCTCGTTTTTTTGGAATTTCTTTTTTCTCGTCGCCCACACCGCGCGCGCCTTTACCCCACGCAAAACTCCTTCTTGCGCTGGTCTGGTATAAATAAGCGTCCGCGCTTAGGGCCGCAATCGAAGGAGTTCACCTCCCCCCTCTTCGGAAGCCCTTCCTTCCCTCCCTGTCCATCTCGTCCGCTACGTATAACGCGGGAGGGCAGCCATGCAATTCGACCTGCAGCCATTGTCCAAACACAACATCTCTACGCGAAAAGTTCACTGAATAACGCTATCCCACTACAATATTATAATATTTTTTTTGCAACAACAGCAGCAACAACAACAACGCGCTAAAAAGACCCTATTCCAGCAACAAGTTCCTTAAAACCTATTACCGCCACTCCACAAACCACAGCCACAAATATCCACGCCTCCTCCTACACCGGGAACATGGTAGCTCCCTGGATATTATTCCTGATCGTCGGTATACTCTTGCAGAGCCTCGGTCTGTTCTGCTACTACATGAGTGAACGCCAACGCAAGGCATTCACGGCCGCCACAGCGGCCTCTCCAGCCTTGGGTCTTATCCTCCCGATATCAGCCCCCACAGAGACCTTGCCTACCTACGCGGTCGTCATCGCCGTGCCGCCCCCACCGACCTACGTTGCCGCCGACCTGTCGACTCTTCCGCATCACCTCCAGGAACCATCCACATTGTCCTCGTCGTCATCGCCTTCGGTGGTGCCGTGCGATGGCACTGTAGCAACAGCAGCAGCAGCAGCAGCGGCAGCAGCAGCTACGACAGCTGTGGACGGGACACGAGAAGAACTAGGGGTGAACAATCCGACCGAGGCCTCAATGACACGGTCTCCTCCATCCTATTCGACCCTGATAATGTCTCCCTGACGCATTTGAAGGGGGTGGGCGACTTTTTTTGTAGAGTGCTGGTGGCGATAGAGCAAGCACTCCAAGTTGACGGTGAAGAATGTCGCCGCGTCCTGTGTTCTATATATATACCCGATGTGCGTTATTGCTGTTGTTGTAGTTGTTGTTAGTTGTTGTTAGTTGTTGTTAGTTGTTGTTAGTTGCTGTTAGTTGTTGTAGCTGTCGACCTTGTAGAAACCCGAAATGCTTCGTGTCCATCGTCAATAAAGGCTAAAAAAAAAAAAAAAAGAAGAGAGAAATGACGATCGTCGATTTTGACGACAAGTGCCGGGGGGGAGACAGGGAAGAGCACTGCCTCATTCACTCTCTCTCTCTCTCTCACTAAAAAAGAAAAAAGAGGGTTCCTCGTAACTACGGACTAGACCCCGCAGATTTGTTTACCATCCGCCTGCCGCGCGCGTCGATCCATATGCTTGGTTTCGCACATTCCCTTACAACCTTTGAGCGTATCCCGGGGTCAGTTTTTTGAACATTCATTCATATAAATACTCCCCCCTCTATCCCCCTTACCCCACTCCCGCCTCTCCATCAAATTACACAACAACAACAACAACTACAACTACAACGAAACAACAACAACAACTGCAGCAATGAGGGTTGACCAGGTGACCATCATAGTCTACGCCTCTTTCTTATCCGCCCTCGTTCTCCTATGCCTCCTCGCGATCCTCATCCCCTACTGCCGTGGGTACAGACTCAGGCAAAGAACCAAACGCGAAACAATCGCGCGAGCCAAGGTCGCCAAGATCGACAGGGCCGCCAAGGTTGATTCCACGATCCAACGCGCTAACGAATCCTTCAACCAAATCGGACGCCTCGTCTCAAAGATCGAAGTCATCCTCTCTGCCACTGTCAACCCCTCTGAGGCCAAATCCAATGGTCTAAACCCGACTTTAACAGCCGAGCAGCTGGGCCAAAGGATCCGGACAATCTTGATGAAATATGATCCGATCTGTCCGGTGGATACGACTGCGGCGGAGATAAAGACGAACGCCGAGGTAAAGAAAAAGACGGGGATGGACCAGAGACGGAATACGGCGTCAACGAGTGATACGGCCGTGGAGGGAAGTGTCTGTATTGACATCGACGGAGCAGATCCCTATGCTGAGAGGATCGGAGCACCGGTGTGGATTGAACTTGTCGATATGTTGGTCGCGTGCGATTTCGGACGCGATAGCGGCGCGGTGGAAGGTGTACATGGGGCCTGCAGCACTGGCGACGCTACTGCTGTTAAAGGTGATAGCAGTGGTGGCTCAGGAGGTGATAGCCACGGTGATGGAGGAGGTGGTGCTGGTTATGGTGCTGGAGCTGGTGTCGGAGGCGGTGTTAACTGTGGCGACGGAGGTGGTATCGGAGGTGGTGCTAGCTGCGGTGATGGAGGCGGTGGTTGTTGTGGTGACGGAGGTGATGGCGGCGACGGAGGTTGTCGACAGAGTTGGCGACTAGAGCCGATTCTTCATCGGGGGTTCTATTCCTAGAGATCCACTGTACATAAATCAACTCGAATATACAGGATAGGATGTCGTTCAAGACCGAACGCGTTTGTATATATCTATTCATGAGTTGTGTAAAAATAAAAATAAAAAGTCGAAGCCCCGACCCAATGCTGCCTGCCACAAGAGTTGAATCGACCCCCAGATCCATTTTTGGCTTTCCACCATCTGAAAGGCTACAAACATACACTTGTTTCTCGCGGTGCCCTTGTCAATGTCTTTTTTTTTTTTTTTAGTCAAGTTGTATGTTCAAACATTCCCCGGCAGTGCCGCCATTAGCCCATCGTTTGGGGATCCTCGACAGACACGCGCGCGGCCAGTTGCTTCTGTTCCTTAGCCTGCATCCATGCATCATGCAAGCAGCAATTGTAGTAGATCATAGTGTGAGCATGCAGCTCAGCCGACTTCCGCACAGGACTACAATGTGAACATTATTTTTTATTTATCTTAATGTTTGTTGGATTCATGTGTTCCTGGCTTATTTACAGTTTCGCCTTCACGTTGTGGACGGTATCGTCGTCCTTACCGGCCTCTCCGTCGTTACCATGGAGTCCCAGGTGCTTAATCATCTCCTCCAACTCATTCAGCACCGACGGGTCCTCAATCGTGGCCGGAACCACCAACTGCTTGTTCTCCAGACTCTTCCCCGCAATAATATCCCGGATCGTCCTCCTCAGAATCTTGCCGCTACGCGTCTTTGGCAATCGTCGAATGATATGCGTCTGGCTATAGTTCGCAATCGCTCCCAGGTTCTGTCGCACCATCTGTACAGTCTCCTTATTGATCTCCTCCTCGCTCTGCTTCACTCCAAACTTGAGCACGACCAAGCCCATCGGAACCTGGCCCTTGAGCTTGTCCGAGAGCGGGACGACACAGCATTCCGAGATCGCAGGATGTTCCGCCAGAATCTGCTCCACAGAACCCGTCGAGAGTCGATGTCCTGCCACCTGCATAATGTCGTCCGTTCGCGACATCACATGCACATAGCCATCCTCATCAATAATACCCGCATCACCTGTATCGTAGTATCCAGGGAATCGTGACAGATAACTCTTTTGGAACCCAGCATGGTTGTTCCAGAGCGTATGCAGGGCTGAGGGTGGCAGCGGCAATTTGACCACGATATTTCCAAACTTGGAAGGGCCCAGTTCCTCGAACTTGTATCCTGTTCCGGTCTCCTCTGGATCCGCTAGCACACGGATATCATAACCAGGCATCGCCATACCCGCGGCACCCTGTCGAATTGCGATAGGTGGGACCCTGGCTCCAGTGGCGTCGATCAGGCCCTGACAAGCGCCCGTCATGGGCGATCCGGACTCGGTAGTCCAGTAGTTATCCACAACGGGCTTGCCACCAATGACCTTTCGGAAATGTTCAATCGTACCCGTGTCCGATCGCTCGCCTGCCAGGTACAATCCTCTCAGATGGCTGAAATCGTACTTGCGACTGGATTCTGCATTAGGATCGACACGTCGGATCGCACGCAGGGCAGTCGGCGCTGTGTACCAGGTGCTGACCTTGTACTCCTCAAGGATCCTGAAGAACGCTCCCGCATCCGGTGTGCCCACGGGCTTGCCCTCGTAGAGCACAGTGGAACAGCCGAGTAACAATGGGCCGTAGCAGATGAAGCTGTGTCCGACCACCCAGCCAACATCGCTAGCGCAAAAAATCGTCTCCCCAGGAGCTGAGCCAAACAAAGTCTTCATGGTTGCCAACGTCTGTGTCGCATGTCCGCCATTGTCTCGAACAACACCCTATCCAAATGTTGTAGCGCAAGAGAAGATGTTCATAATGTCATTACTAGATAGTTCCCCTCCCCCACCGAATCGAAGCTGCATGAGTATAATTAGGATAATATGTTACCTTGGGCAGCCCAGTGGTACCACTGGTGTAGAGGATATACAAGGGATGCTGACTTTCAACCGGAACACAATGCTTGACCTGCTTTCCTGCAAGGCGAATCCGCTGCATTTCCTCATGCCAATCAAGATCCCCGCGGGAGTGGTCCAATGGCACACGTCCCACATCGCGCTGGAAGATGACCTTGTGCGTTGGTTTGTAGTTGCTCATCTCGATGGCCTTGTCCAACATTTCTATTGAAAAAAAAAAAAACAAAACAAAAAGACAGTTCGTTAGCCTCTTTGGATTCAGGACATACATACATCCATCATCATAGATGCATAGGCTGCGTAGCACACTAAAATATGAATGTTGAGGCGGGATGTACCTTTGTAGGGGATGACCTTGTTGACCTCGATACCGCAGGATCCCCCGATGATCAGGTCGGGCTTGCAGTCGTTGATGCGCTTTTGGATCTCCAACGGAGCAAATCCTCCAAAGACGACCTGTATGCCCAAAACAAATTCCCGAGATACATCGTTAATGTTTTGCAAAAACAAGAACATAATGATAGTAGACACAATAGTCTCCCTTCACACCCTCCACTTACGCTGTGGGTGACTCCTAGTCGGGCGCAGGCGAGCATCGAGAACAGTGCCTCTGGAACCATGGGCACTGTCAAAAGGCGGTGTTTGAATTAGAAATACAAAGCCAGGGCCCAATTGCGCGAGGTACACATAGGCGGACAGACCAGGACACGAAACGCGACATTGCGCGGGAGTCTGGACTTACTGTAGATGAGGACCGTGTCGCCCTTCTTGATGCCATGGGACGCAATGACCCCGGCAAGGGTCTGGACCTGATCCAAAAGCTCCATGTAGGTAATGGCTCGCTTTTCCTTGTTCAGGGGCGAGTCGTAGTAAATAGCGACCTGTTTCCCATGGCCAGAGAGGACATGGCGATCAACGGCATTGTAACATGTGTTGAGCTTGCCGTCCTTGAACCACGTATAGCTAACACCGGCGGCGGATCCAGGTGTCAGGACCTTGGAGTAGGGCGTGTCCCAATGGAGGAGCGAGGCGAATTCACCCCAGTACTTCTCAGGGTCCTTGAGTGACTCTTGCTGGACAATGACTTGGTGATGGTGTTCCATGTCGGATGATGCAATTGTTGTCGAGAGGGATGCGCGAGGAATGTAGCTGAAGCTGGAGGCGGAATAGCGCGGTCCTGTATTTCGAGAAAGAGGAGTAGAATGGAGAAGGCTGTTGGCGAGCGTGCGAACTGTCCGTTGGGGTTTACGTACTTGAAGGAGTGTTCTGCCGATAGTTGAATATCGCGAAATGGATGGCAAACAGGGCTGACCAACAGTTGAAGTTGAAGAAGAAAGGAAGGAAGAAGGAGAGGAAGAGGCAGGAGATAAATAAAACGAGGCGATGGAAGGTCCAGAAGAAAAAGGACTAGCCGACGTATGCCCACGGACGCCGCCTAGGCGTGATCTCGGATTAATGACTGTGGAGAAGGAGCTTTCGAGAGGATCTCTCGGGTGTGGGGTAAATCTTGTCGGCAACCTTGTCGGCAACCTTGTTAAAGTCATGTAGATCATTGGGGGTGGCCTTATCGTCCGGGGAAGTTCTTTCCCTGTTCCTCCTATTCCAGCAACACCCGCTGTTTTTGTCGTTAATGTTGTTGACCGATAGCGGGGGCGATGTCCGGAAGTGCCGTACATGGACAGTCCTCTGCTGTTGGTTGCAAGAGTGTTGACAACCCCTGCAGTTGAAGAAGCCCTTGAGGACAAAAAACGATGGCTGCACATGGACTGCATCCCTGTTTCAATTACTGCAGCTGTTTGTTGCACACAACCCGGGATAAAGACGAGACGAGATCGACGGATGGATGAAATGCTGTTGCGTACGAAAAAAAAAGAGAGAAGGGGAGGGTAAAGAGAAGGACGGGACGGATGACAAGAGAAAGGGAAAGAAGAAGAAGGAAGAGAAAAATGGAGGTGTTAGTGCGAGCATGCATCCTCCTTCAACGCCATCGTGTGCTCAGCGTGTCCAGTACGGATGCAGTTGCGGTGTGCAGGTCGAAAATGCGTTGGGAAAATACATGCAGATCCAAATGCACACATACGCCTTTGGAGTGGGGATAAGAGAGAAACGATGCGGGATGCGGACCGCAGCAGAGATAGGAAGCTCAAGCGAGCCCCCTTTTGAATGGGGATCAGACGGGCCCTCGTCCTCCCAATGACACAACGAGTGCGTGTGCACTCTCCACTCCCCAATCGTATTCGATTTGGGGCAGTCTAACCCATCCGCGTATCTATCCTTAAGCTCCAAGACAAGCAACTGGTTAACTGGTTGTTTTGTGGGGTTGGGATGTTGCTTTGTTTTTATTACTCACAAGATGAAAACCCTAACTCTGTTTGTATCGGATTGCGCCCATACCGAAGATTGTTCCTCAGTCGGATCCCAGGTCGCTCGTTCCTCAGATAGCTCTCCACAAACGCAGCCCGATCCCTGTCCGCATTCAGGTGTCCGTGCATCGTTTCCAGTTTAGGCCAACATCGCAGCATAAACTTGAACTCCCCCATCCCCAACCGGTGTGGCATCTGACAAAAATCAAACTCCCTCAACTCTGTCAACGGTGCCAGCTGCCCTAGTCCTCCTGCAAGACTCAAGTCCAAAACACTCTTGGCCGACCATCTCGTCGTCGATCCATTCCGACCAAGACTCAGCACACGCAACCGTCTCAAAGTCGCAATTTTGTTATAAATCGCATGCTGGGTCTCATTCGAGGACAAACACGATGGCCCTACAAAGACAACTCGAAGTTCCTCAAGACCATCGCACACCCATTGTGAATGCTCTATCACATCTAAGGCTCGTACTCGATCCATGCTCAGACTCTTCAGCGTCGTGCATGTGCCCATAATCCTGTCCACCATTTCCGAGGCTACCTCATGACAATCCATCAGATCGAGTACCTGGAGTTGGCTGCTGAGATAATCCAGTAGTACGGTCATGGAGGCCGGACCGAATTGAGTAGCGCGTGCTATCAATGTTTCCAGAGACGTAAGCTGTGCCAATGCCGTAGCCATGCTCAAATCACTGGAGACTCCATTCGAAATATTGAGACTCTTGAGCTCACGTCGCTCAACCTTCATAAGCGTGCCCATCATCTCCATGGGAAGGATATGGGCTTTCCGGATCCAAGTGATATGGTTTAAATGGGGGCATTGCATCATGAGCATCAGCTGATCCGAGAGAGGTATCGCACAGTCGATGAAGGAGATGGAGCGCATATTGTTGAACACCAATGTTGAGGGTGCAGCGCCAAACACGGCAGTCTGGTGCAGCTCGAGAGAAAATAATCGTTGACAATAAGTGAAGAACGAGTCCAATTGCTCGTCGCTTTTCAGACCAATGTAATCAAGGACCAGATGTTCCAGTTTCGAAAGATCCATGATCGCATCCAAAAGTTCATTGATGTGTCCTGGCATCAAACCGCAATTGTTGTTGTTGCTGCTACGAGTATAAGTCAGAGGCTGAGTGCGCCGTTCCGGTGTAAACTCGAGTCGAACCAGGACATCCTTGCAGAGTCGTAGAATCGGGAGAACTTCGAGGGTGATCTTTCCTAGGACAAGGGTCTCAATTGAGGTGCACTGAGGACCGATTTGGCGGAGGATCGCATTGTTATCGTGACATATTAGGGTCTGAATATTGGGGGCGTACCGTTGCAGAGCCGAAATCATGGGCCGCAACGCGCGTTTGCTGCCGTTGAGTATCTGCCGCTTGTGAAGCGTAACACGCTGAAAGAGAAACGGGGTGAGACAGCTATTCCAGGTCCTGCAGACGAGTACGCAGTTCAGCGCAGCTGCTTGGCTCAGGTAGGGACCGATTTGTAACAGGAGTTCAGGAAGGAGTAAAGGGTGGAGTATGTCCGATGCCTCGACTACATTTTCGCTATTAGACATAATGAACAAGGGAATGATGAAGAGGTCGAGGGTTGTTCGAATGACTCGTTGATGCTGGTGCTGCGGGGGAGGGAGCACAAGGTTGCCACCAAAAAAAAAAACTAACATCACGTGCGATGTTCAGAGGGAGGCTCCGATCGGAAAGTCACTGTTGTTTACACTGGCACTTGCACTCTTTAGTCCCTGGCCCCCTCTCTCGCTTTGACCTCTTCCTACACGCTCAACCATGCTATCCTTTACACGGCCCTTGGCCCGCATGGCGGGTCTGGTTCAGCTACGATCCGCCTCCACAGCTGCCAATGGTACGAACTGCGACTTTCAACTTGGAGGATTTCTGTAGCCCCAGAAAGGCGATCAACCTAAACCCGGATAATGGACTCGTTTACTTATCAAGTCTTCATATCATCATGCTTCTTTACTAGCCGCCAAACCCACATATACAGCTCCTGCGTCCGTAATTGTCCCCACACAGTTCAAGCCTAACACCAAGGGCCAAGGATTGATGCAGCTGATTTCTAAGGAGGAGACCAAGCGCCTGGGTGCTGACGGCCGCTCGAAACTCTTCAACAAGTCTCATCAAGACTGTCTCCGCCCTGGCGATGTTGTTCTGGTCGAGACCCTGAACTCGATGTCGACGGACAAGACTAGTACCTTTATCGGAGTTCTCATTGCCATGGACCGTCGCGGACTTCATAGCAACTTCACTGTTAGGAACGTGGTTCTGAAGGTTGGCGTCGAGATGAAGTACATGTTGTACTCACCACTGATCAAGGCTGTCAGAGTCATGAAAAAAGGCGAAGGATTCAGGAGGGCGAAGCTTTTCTACTTGCGAGACAACCCTGGACGTGCGTTCCGTCTGGAAGGACTTGTGAGGCAGGATAAGGCGGAGCAAGCAAAGAAGGCTGTCAAGGCATAGGTTAGGACGGATCAAGAGCGTTTTACGTGACATGACATAGATAATAAACCCGTGTATTTTTTTTTCCTCCCCACATCTCAAAGGCATTACCATCGACCAATTGGCATATTCAGGTTCAATGTGAATGCATGGTCATTAGATCTATGTTTATTATTGCGAGAAGAGTCGATGCCTGATAGATCAGTCGATCCTTCGACGCTTTGCTCCCAAGATCTTCGTCTTCTCCTTGGCCGAATTCCTCTTTCTCCTCTTCTCCATAGCTCGAGCCAGTGCCTTGGGGTTCTCCTTGAGGTGCTGGAACTTGTCGATCAGCTCCAGCTTCTTTTGGTCCGACTTCTTCAAGAAGAAAGGGTTCTTGCCCTTGGCGATCAGCTCCTTCTCCTTGCGCTTGTGTTCCCGCTTGATCTCCTGTCTCCTCTTCTGTGCATCCTCGGTTGCTTGACGATCGACCATGCGGCTCAATTGCTTCTGTAGCTTTTCCTTCATGTCGAGATCCCGTTCCTTCTTGATCAGCTCACGCAATTTTTTCATTTCATCCGCCTGATAGTCCTTCAAGAATGAATATGACTTTTCGAACAGATCCGTGTCCAGTTTTCCGCTCAAACTATCGAATCTTGGATCGCGGCGTTTCTACGGAAGAAAAAAAGAAAAGAAAAAAAAAAAGAAAAAAAAAGAAAAGAGAATGGTTAGGTCTCGTCCGAAGAAGATTGCATTACAAACGCAATGTGGTGCGGAGGATAAGAGCTTACGGCGCTAGGCACTTCCACAACTTGACGGAAACGTCCCACTGGTTTTTTTGATCCGACCTCCATCGGTCTATATTGGAGAAACGAGAACATATTAGATGCTGACGTATCCGCTCGGGTTGAAACCATGACAGGTGCAGCTCGCATTGAGGAAACAGTACCTATTCTTATCGTTTCGCTTCTGAACAATCTTTCGTTGCTTCTTTTCCTTATTCATGGCGTCTCGTAACTTGTCCATCTTGCTCTTTGGTTTGCGGTCCTCTTCTTCGCTGTCCTCCTCCTCACTGTCTCCCTCATTCTCGTCATCGTCTTCACTGTCGTCGTCATACTCTTGGGATTTACGCCGCAGTCCTTTGGTGGCGGCCTTTTTCTTTTCTGATCCCCGAAGTGTCTGATGGAAGACCTTCATGCCGACCTTTTGTTGAATCTCTGCCAGTTTGTCGAATGGGATTTGTGACAGATCTAATTTTGAAAAAGCATAGGGGTGTGAGCTCAATGGGTCGATCCTTCAAAGGCGCAACACCAGATGTCCTTTAAAAAGGATCTTTGAGGCGCGCTTACTCTTCTGAAGCTCCTTCAGTTGCTTATCATCGGCATCGTCATCAGAATCGCCCGAATCGTCCGAATCGTCCGAGTCATCCGAGTCGTCATCGCTATCGCCAGAATCCTCATCCTCGTCCTCTTCCTCCTCTTCCTCCTGATCTTCGACTTCGTCCTCCTGTTCACTCTCCTCCTGACTTTCGTCGTCCTCGTCGTCTTCGGATACTCCTTGATCACTATTGTCCTGTTCCAGTTCGCTGTCGCTCTGATCAAAGGCCTGCATACGCCTCTATAAAAGCAGGATAGGATAAGAAGCCATTGCCATGTCAGTTGCTGAGACAAAGTCCTTGTCCCTGACTTTGTATGAGAGTGAAAAAACAAAGCGGCTGCTGTTTCCTCGTACCAATGCTCGTGCCTCCGCATCCTCATCCTGTGCTCTTTTCCCCTTTAATGCCATTCTGAGAGTGTCTGTGTGGTGAATCAACGATGGAAGGAGTGTCCCTTGCTTGCTGTTGCATGCACAAAAAGAAAAAAGAAAAAAAAAGAAAAATGCCTTGAGCCAAAAGCCACTTGGATCCTAAACATCAGCATTCCGCTGTCACACGGCGGCCGTAACCAGCTGTTGGGCGCGAAAGCATGAAAGTGTGAAAGACGGCGATGTGCAGCACGCATAAGAAGAGGTGAAGAGGAGCCTGTGTCTGGCAGCTGGAGTCCAGTCCTGATCGTTGTAGCAACAGGCAATTGCGCCCTTTCAGACGCGGTTGATACTCGAAGAAGGACATAGAGGGCGTGGTAAAAGGAAGATGCGACCATACGTGCCATTGGGACGGGACACTCCAAGGGTATCGGCAGTACCCCTCCTTGAGTTGGATGTGTATGAGGCCAAGCAGCTCAAGAAGGCCGTTGTTCAATGGAGGTTTGTTCTGCAAAAGTGGTATATATGGACATCCTCAAATATGCGTACTCGTGCTGTGAACCTTGCTGGTTGCACGTCCTCCTGTGCGCCCAGGAGGGATAGAGGGGGGGGGGACGAACGAGCAAACATTTTCCTGTCAACCCTTTTGCTCCTTCCCCGTTCCTTCATCTCGTCGCCTCCCCCATCGCACTCGCACTCACACTACACCTCTCCTTCCCCAAATACATACACGCACAATCATAGACCATGGATGACTTCTACTTCATGAGTCCGCTCGAGGGAGCAACCAACAACGCCAACGACCGACCCAGCACTCGCCCCGCCTCTCAGCAGTCCACCACTACCGCAGGAGAGTCCTCGACCACTCCTTCCTCAAGGACCTCTTGGTCCTCGTGGGGCGTATCTTTCAACAAACTGATAGAGCGCGGCAAGAAGGACATGAACGAGTTTGTCGATGTCACCCGCAAGGACTTAACCGAGCTCGTCCACACCGTTCAACAGGAGCACTCCACAGCTATTGAATCTCTTACCAAAAAAGTCGGCGACCTAAAGACGACTTTGCCGCCTCTGCCGGCCTCAGTCAACACGACTTCGGCGGATATCCTCGGCAGGGTTTCGAATGTCGTTGGAGGGATCAGGCAGGAGATCACAGAAGCTGCTACTGGTGTCTCTTCAAACGCCCATGCAACACCAACAGTAGGGGCGGAGGACTCCACAAAGGAGAGCTCGACTGAGGCAAAGGAAGGCAAGGCGGAGGGCGATAGCAAAGATACAACGGATATCGCGACAGCACAGATATCTTCCGTAAAGGGCATCACTGATCCTGCTGCCACAGCCGCCTCGGCTAACACGCCCTCTGACTCTACAACTGCAGCGGACGCCACTTCAACACTCACAGATACCACTCAAGCATCACCAACAACAACAACGGGGTCAACAACAGCACGCGGCGAAAAGACCGCGTCGCTCAGTTTCGCCAGCACAGCCAACCTCTTCTCTGCAGGCGCGACTTCTTTGACCCAGACCCTGACTTCAAGCACGAAGGAGATCAGTTCGACCGCCAACGAGTTGTTCAAGAAGAAGCTCCCAGCGGTCGCAGAGAAGCATCTGGGCGAAGCCGACCTATTCCTGAAGAGCACGACAGAGACCCTGAAGACGAATGGATTGCTTGCGGAGCAGTACGTCAATAAGTTCGGAGCGGGCATGGTCAACTTTCTGAACAGCGCTGTTGTTATTTCTGCACCAGAGGAGAAGGAAGTAGCAGCCCGCAGCAAGAAGATGTTGTAAGTTGGCGCATATTGAGCCGATTATTTCTTGTAATATCTGCACTTATCTTTCATTGCTTTCATTAATATTGTTGGCGCTGGCCACGTCTTTCTATTGCGGACTGAATGTTATATAGCTTTGACCGAAAGGCGGCGATGCTGGAGAAACTGCGAATGGACCCTGCCACATATACGGTTGATCCTATGACCACCATCGCCGACAACGACATTGTTGGTCTGGAGCGATACAAGTACTTTTTACAGACCTTCAACATGGCAGAGTATCAGCAGCGGATTTCGCGTCTGATGAACGAATACCCTGAGGTTAAAGCCTTGATGAACAAACTAGGCAAGAAACATAGATAGGAAATAACACCTTATGCCATGGTCGACATATTGTAAGGACTCAGCTCATCCTTTTGTAATATTTTTATTCTTTAGTTCCCGCTGAGGTCGCGGACGAAGAGCTCTTTTGGCAAAGATATCACTTCCGCCTCTACGAGATTGAGGAAGAAGAAAAGAGGCGCCAGAAACTTGTCCAAGGTACCGGCCTCTTCAGCACATCAATTGGATATGCTGGAAGGCGAACATGTTGGCATATTACTTATATTGCCCGGTCTTCATTTTTGTCGTTGCTATTCATATCCTTTAGAAGCTGGAGCTGACCTTGCAGACGAAGACTTTACATGGGACGACAACGACGAGGACGAAGACGAACAGAAAGCAGAGTCATCTGGCGGACAGGGCAGCATCACTCCCAAAGCCGACAAGAAGAACACCGACGCCATGACACCCCGAGCCAGCCAGATCCTCTCTGGTGTGGACTCGCTAGAAGTCAAGCGGGAACCCCTGACTGCCGAGGCCTTGGCGTCCTCATTGTCTGCACTTGCCATCCCTGACGAAACGACAGCCGGATCCGATGATGGCGCCAAAGCAGGACCAGGTTCAGGATCTGACTATGAGGAATGGGGATCTGAGTCCATGAAATCATCGTCCTCGCCATCTGTAAAGTCATTCTCAGCAAAGTCATCGACGGGCGCACACTCCAAGAGCCCGACCACGAACCTGAGCTCGACCAGGACGAGCGAGGATGCGTATGAGGTTGTCGATGGCGTTGAAACACCCGTCAGGGCTCCGATGGCTAGCGTTACCTCTGTTTCTTCCGCGGCTTCGTCTCCAGCACTGGGGCAGTCTGCACAGCAGCCGAGCAGCAAACAAAAGTCTTCTGAGACGAGGGTAAACATCATATTCTATGAAACGTTTTCAATGAGTTGTCGTGGTCCTTGTCAGCATGTCCCTATTACTAATGCGCGCTGCACCTTATCCTTGTTTGCGAAAATAGGAGGAAGATGACTGGAGCGACTGGGAGTAAGCTCAATCGATCTCGATGATATGTTACATATATGCAAATAGTTTCTAAAGAGTCAACTGTAATAAAGCTGCTGATAGTAAAAATGTCAGATTTATTATAGAATGGGGCAGCAGATTAGAGCATCATACAGGGATATGAGTGCGAGGAGTCGGGATAGCCATGAATTGCCTGAAAAGAGTTCCTTGATGCCGGGTTGGTCTCTTGAGCGCAATCGAATCAAAGGCACCTGTCCGGTCAATGCTCAAAAGTTTCGGTTCCTGATCTGATCCCTCGTCGCCATAGTCCTCATCGTTATGATCGTCTGGACTGCAGCTGCCTGTACCAATCCGTGCGCGTCGCTCCTGCTGCTCCAGTTCTGCAAGGTCTAATAGATGTCTCATAGTCGGTCGTCCGTGAGGACAATTCCATGGCTGATCAATCTCGCCCATGTGCCGCACGATCTTCTTCATCTGACTATGGTTCAGGACATGTCCTATCATGACCGACCGTCGACAGGCACGGGAAGCAAACAGGGCCCGTACTTTTGAACACCGGACCATTTTTTCGGGACCTGGTCCTTTACTGCACTGGCTGTCATTATGGCGGTGGCGATGATCGTGGCCATGGCGGTCCTGACTCTCTTCACTACCCTGACCTGGTGCATTATCGTGGTCACTACTGGGCAAAGCTGTTTGCTGGGAGAGAAGGAACACCAGCTCTTCAAAATCTTGCAGGTCAAAAACCACCCTCTCGCTCACAGGCAGTGTCACCAGCTTCAGTCGATGGCTCACGGGTGCATCAGGATCATAGTCGAGATAGAATCCATTCTTGTTCAACATCTTCATGTGCTCCACCACTGTAATCTCCTCCTGAGCAGTCAAGTACAACTTCTTGGGTTGAAACAGACGCTGAGTCGAAAAGACTGTTTTGGCCTGCAGCGTCTCAAAATTGTACTTTTCGTCTGACGCATGCTGGTCAATCACAAATATGTCGGAGCTGATTAGCGCGCCTCGTCGTTGCCCCTTCGTGCTCTTGCAAGAGTCCGATGCGTCCTGGGACTGGTCCGCCTCTGCGTAATTGTCGAGACGAGCAACAATAAATGCCTTATTGAACTGTCCAAGAATCTTCATCCTCGAGAAATCGCCCTTGGAGATGACACGGCTTAATGACTTTTGAGCCTTAACGTCGTCCATATTCGCAAAGCTGGCGTCCGACAGCATCTTGTTTTTCCGTCGAAGACTCCTTCGAGGCCCCCTCTCTGTGTTATCATCAGACTCAACAGATTCGCTTTCCTTGACTTCGCTCTCGTCGCCCTCAGCGCAAGCAGTATCCTGTTGCCGCGTAGCCAGCCTCTGTTGTGCCCGTTCCTTGCGCAGGGCGACCCGTTCTTGTTCCAAACGCCGTGTTTCTCGAATGTTCTTTATGCGGATAGCCCTCCTTCTTTGCTGTTCCTCCATACTGAATCCTACTTCGACCCACTCACGGTCACCTTCATGATGTACCTCAGAGTCCAAAACCACAACGCGCTGCAGTTTCGAAGGCCGCTGCTGCATTGCGTGCTCCTGTTCTTCTTCACTATCGCTAGCTGGGTCGTCCTCCTCCCGAGTCCTGTCGTCCAATGGATCATACCCCTCCATCACATCCAGTATTGGATCAGAGTGGCCTGTACTTGCAGGGCTAACCAAATGTGAACCATTCTCCTGTGCTGCGACTGCAATTTCTTCAACAGCTGTGTCAGCGCCATATTGCTCGAATAGACGCCCTCCGTCCTGTATCGTTCCGTCTCTCGGCTCCGAAATTGCGTCTTCGGCTTTGCGTTTCAAATTCTTGAGTTGTTCAATGGGTCGGAGTCGGTCCGTCAGTGTCGTCTGCTCCAATCTGGCCACACTTACATGTACGGATCCAGTTGTAGCCTTTGCAGTCGATCGCGCAAATGAAGACATCGTAATCGGTTCAATCGCCGAAACTTCCAGGTGTCGACCAACTTTAGTATCACGCTCTTTATTCCTGTCCTCGTCGGCTTCATCCATGTTCTGCCGCTGCTCATTCGATAGGCTGCTCTTGTGCTCGATGGACCCAGATTTCAGACGGGTGGCAAGATCGGGTGTCTTTATGAGCTGCCTCGCCTCACTGACTGCAAATGTCGACCGACTCGGTTCGAACAGCTCTGTGAGTTTGTTACGAAGCTCCTCGACAAGCATGCGCTCGTTGTGCAAAAAAATAGTCCGCTTGTCGGGACTGACATTGACATCGTAATAGGATGTGGGCAGAATCAAGTTAGCGACCAGAAACGGAGTCTGATTCGTGTTGAAGGAGTGGTACACCTCATTGATAACTCGTGCAATCTTTGGGAGAACACAGGGTCGTCCGTTGATATAGAGGTACTGTCGATCTGCTGAGGAGCGTCCTTTGCCGAAGGCTGGTGAAGAGATGTATCCCTTCAATATGATATCACCTTTCTGATTCTGCTCGTCACCATCCTCATCGTCTGCGCCTTCATCAATGTTCTGAATCTCATCGCCTTTGCTCGATTGTCCCTTGACAAGCAGCAGATCAAACTCAACAATATCCGCCATTGCCTTGGGTCCAAAAACATTGATGATGTTCTGTCTGATAGAGGCGTTCCCGCTAGTAGCGATTTGAGTAATTGCAGGCCTAAACGGTATTACAACAGAAGCAATTCATATTAGAATATAGGTCTTCGACAATCCAGCCCACGCCCTGTATCGACTTTCTTTTCTTGCTTACTTTTTGTCCATCTGCGAAACACAACTGATTCTGACGTTAGGAACAATCAGAGCATATGCTTGGATCAAGCCGACGCACTTTGAATACTCTCGCTTGATATTCTTAACAAATTCGCTCCTGCGGACAGGCAAGCCTTCAAAAAGATTGCTGATCTTGACAATTGTGCCCTTGGTCATTGGTGTGGGCGTCCTTGATTTGATGACTCCATCCGACGTATATTCGACCAAAACTCCTGTGGGTGAGGCTCCGGTGGATGTGGTCACGGTCAAGTTGGCGAGGGCACAAAGAGATGACAGGGCTTCACCACGGAAACCAAACGAGCGAACCAGTGCCAAATCATTGAAAGACCGCAGCTTTGAAGTATAGTGTTTCAATGCTATATTCATGGTAGTTGTAATATGTTAAAGTAGACGCGTTGAAATAGCGAGCTATAAACATTTACACGCGAGAAAAAATTGGTGGCAAAATATGACAAAACACACTTACCCAGGGTTTCGAGGTTGGCATCGGTGATTCCGCAGCCGTTGTCAGTGACAGTAATGTGATCCAATCCACTTTGCTTGAATTTGATGACTATTGGCAGCAGATCCAGAGTGAGAAGGGGTCAAAGAATGTCAAAGGGTTAGCTTTCGTTGAATCAGATTCTCTGCGTTGAATCAGGAGTCTCGAACATACCGATCGATGTAGATCCTGCATCCAAACTGTTCTCGAGCAACTCCTTGACTGCAGTGGCCATGTCGAGGACTACTTGCCCAGAGCATATCCTGTGGACCGACTCCTTGTCGATGGCCCGAATGCTGTTGTTGCTGCTGGCTGTCATGCTGTTGATGGTGGAGGGTCAAACCGTGTTCTTGCACACGGGCCTTGGCCTGATTTCAATACAGTCACCACTCCAGGCGACGCCACATAGAATCAGACTAACGCGCTTCGCCGAATCATACAGGAGCATTTCTCAAGCACAGCAAAAGCATGTGTTATTATTTTTTTTTAGTGAGTGGTAATATGCCATAGAGATGCAACGAGTGATTTTTGGGGAAAGGTATCCGCCTAGCTTATTGCGGGGATGTTCCCACTGGTATATTCAGCGTTTACATCCCCAACTAAGGCAGCGATCAGGGTTCCATAATTGCAAGTGTGGAGGACCAAGAATAGTACCCCTTGACGACCTCTGCCAAGACAGAGTTCCTTTGGTCTAGCGAATCCCTAAGCTGAGCGTGTTGCCGCCTCTCTAAATTCTTTGTAGATACTACTCGCTGAGTGTTTCGTCCCTGCGAAAGAACAAGGCACCTTTTGAGACTTAGTTCCCAAGAGATCTCATCGTAAGTGTTCTTTGCACCTGAATTCCTTTATTGTTTCCATTATTGTTCTTTGGATTGTCTCTATCCGCATTGCTTCTATAGCTCGAGCTCAGACTCTAGTTCCTGACTTGAGTTGTCCCTCCTTCGTCACTGTTAATTTACATATGACTTGTTACAAAAAGTCAATCTCATTTACTCTTGCCATGAAGTTTGTAAGTTCTTTTTTTTTTTTTTTTTTTTTTTTTCGCTCTTCAATAGGTTTCTCTCACTCGGGCGACCATTTACAGGTTCGTCACTTCGACCGCAACTATCCGCAAACTTATGCCATGTAGGTGTTCTTTCTTTAAGAAAGACCATGCTGAGTGGTTCCAGTCAGACAACTTGGCAACATATTTTGAGCAGCGTTCTTTCATTTATGCTCGTTTAATAAAAGGTTTTCTTTATGTCGGTTCCGGAGCTGATTCGCCGTTTAGCTGTATGTACTATACCATCTGAAAGCCTTTAATGCTGAGTCTGGATGTGCCTGGGGACACTGCTGGCTGCATGGATATAGTCCATGTTCGTACAGGTCTACCGCGCGCCTTTGCCATGCCCTGATTAGGAAAGTTGCCGTTTATAAGAAGAGGAAACGCGTGAGCAGTGGTCGCTATGCAACTAGATCCTGAATAACAGCGTGCACTCTCATAACGGCAGCCATAGCAAGCCATTTTTTTTCTCCCTCACTCCGATTCATAGCCCTCTTCATGCCTCAGCTTCACAAGAAATAATAATTTAAGTTACCCCTTCTGCCTTGCCTCAGTTCTACCTCAAAACTTCCTGTGTTAACAATTTCCTTCCTCGTCCTTATTTTTTTCGCGTTTTTGTATCACTTGCACCATTTCTTTCTTTGCTCCCTGCATCCATTGATCTCAAAAGCTTATTAAAAAAAAAAAGGCGCTTCCTACCCACATTTCGTTTGTTGTCTTTTCGTTGCACCTGTCGAAAGCTACAAATGAAATCGAAGGTATCTTTCCTCGTTTGGATGGGCAAGAGCTGGAGGTAGCGTCCGCGGATATGGTCCTGGTTCGGGACGTGGATGTCAACGTCTTTAACATATATTTTTCCTACATCCTCACATCTCATCGGCAGATCACGTTTAAAGTGTTCCAGTGTGCCTCCTAGTCCACATTTTCTTCATCGCCATCCGGCTCATTCATGACGCGACTCGTCCGCACGATCTACAAGGAGGGTCTTCACACATTAATCCAAGACCCAGCAACAATCTAATACTTTGATAGTCCACCAGCGACTAAGAAGGCGGGAAAAGAAGGATCAGGAATTCCAAGGCTGTGGACACCATGGATGAATAGGCTGCAAAGATTCAAGAGACTATGGACTCGAGCGATAGCAACCCATTTTCAAGGCCTTGCAATGCAATCTTGTTCGGCCGACTCCAAAAGTAAGGCAGAGTTGGGGCCGCCACAAGAGCAATCGACTCCGATGGGTTGAAAGAGCCAGGTTAGAACGTGTGCCCCTACCATGACGAAACGGATGGACTATTAGCGACCAAGCAATTTTATGGAACAAGAATGAAGTGAAGTCATGCCTCCATGAGGAATTATATGTATCTTGAAGTCTGGCCAGTTGTTTTATTATTTTAGACGCTCACATTCTATGGTTGAGGCCCCCCTAAGATCCACCATTGGACACTAGAATATGTTCACGCGGGCTAGTTGCTGGACAATATGCACTAAGATCCCCCTGCTCGCTGAACAGAAAGCGTAGCACGAGAAGATGCCTGTTACTATCGCATCTCTTGATCGCAGTTCTGGGCGCGGCTATGTGCTTATCATGTTCCTGTCGAGGTCTTGCCGCGGTTCATATCGGTCTTACCCATAGGTTGTGCTTTGTCCTATTTCCGATTTTATAATCGGCCTTGTCTTCGTTCTTGTGGTATCTTGTCTTCGTCCTTGCGGTATCTTGTCTTCGTTCTTAATACAGGTCTCGGTCTTTGTCGCTGTCTTACCGTCCTCATCGCTGTCTTGTCGCCCCTGCCGTCGCCGTCGTTGTTTTTCCTTGCTCTTGCTGATTGTGTAGTCTTTGTGCTTTCAGCGTAGTAGCTTTTTTTTTGTTTTTTTTTTTCTTTTCTTTGTTTCTTTTTTCGGTCTTGCTTTTTTGGAGTCCGTGTGGTGTTAATGCGCTGGATTGATTGTGTCAAGACTCCTGCCGCTTTGAGTCATCGCAGCTGTTGTTCGAGGCGACGCTGTTTAGGTGATTGCCATCGTCACAGTTGTTGCACCCATTGTCGTGCAATGGCGCTGGTGCTGGTGCCGATGCTCATGTGGCGACGGCGGGCGGACGGGCAACGACAGCATGTGCTTGCTTGCTTGAGGTTTGGGGGCGACTATCCAGTATCAGACACAAGATCACAGTCAGTTCGCATAAAGATAGACCCATAGCCACCTTGCCATCAAAGAAGACACAGCAAACACCAAATGTATGCATACCTTGGCAAGGACGGTGACAGAACCCGAGACCATTCCGTCCCAGACCCTTTTGACCCACCCGAACCCTCCTTATACTCCCCTGAGCCCCTCTTACCTATCCCATTGATGTTAGACCCTTCACCCTGCTCCCCTTTCTGCCCAGTCCCAGATACCCTCCCGACTAGCCCATGGCAGGTGCACCCATGCTTTCCAAGCATGCAACCGACAAGCCGACCGCCGCTCCTCCCGACATTCAAGCAGCCTAAGGGCTACCTGCACGGCCATATTTCGGTACCACCACCAACCGACACTCCCGGCAATGGTCCTCAGCCGTAGGTTGGTCCACGAATGCCATAGTCATTTTGGGCCGCCTCTACACCCACACCAATGCCCACTTACCCTAGTACCAGGACTTAGCACGACGTAGGACTCTACTTTCGCGGATACACAGAGCAGCTTGCTTTACCATGCGGACCGATGATCCTCAAGGAAAATGAGAAGAGAAGACGGTGTTGCACTAGTTAGTATACAGTTTTGAATACGCTGCACAAAAAAGACATGCACGTTAACGGAAACAGACGGACAGTTTACCTTTGTGATTTTGGAGTTGACGCTTTTCATCGGACGGTCTGGGTCTCAAGGAAGAAAGAGAGGGGGAAACGGACGAAAGAAAAGGCGAACAGAAAAGAGAAAAGAGGATGCTGGCTTCCTGCTTCTCGCCAACCCAGGTCAACAGGTCATTAGCGAAAAGAGATAACAGAAAAGAAAAAAGAGAAAAGAAAAAAGGATAGGAGAAAGAACCAACGGTGGAAGACCCAGACCCACCTCCGGAAGTGCACAGCGCATTCGAGCCGGCGACTGCAAGCCAGTGAAAGCTTCTACCATCAGAATGTGCAAGGAAAAGAGAAACAGACGATGGCCGATAATCGCCCAGGATCCTGAACTGCACAGGGCAGTCCAGTCTAGGACTATGATCCGGACAGGACCACCGATTTTTCCATCCCTTGCAACCCCAACGGCTGCTGCTCCAAGCCCTGAGCACGCTAGCCCCCTAGATCCTTACCTTGCTTTGCTGTGTCTGTTTCTGTTCTACCTGCTGCTTCCTTTGGCTAGCGCCGCGGAGGACCACGTTGATCCGCACAACCTCGCGCGCCACGATGTGTATACGGGAGAGTAGAGTCATTCGCCGGCCACAAGATCCCTAAGATGTAGGCGAGAGCAGGTGCATCAGACAGCTAAAAGACCAGAGGGCTCGCCTCATCCTTAACGCACGGCGCATCATCCCATTGCCTCGAGAGGCCAGTGATATGGTCCCGTTGGCGAACCGAACAGGCGCCCTTGACTACTTGATGCCGGGACGACGGGGGTGAGATATGCCGATCACATACAAGAAAAGCAGAGGTGCACTTACCATGAGATAGCCGTTAGGGGCTGGTCCTGAGCATCTGGTGGGGAGTGTATTTTGAAGGGTAAAGGGCGGAATAGGTAGGGGCGAGTAAGGGGGTGGGAGGAGGGGAGGAGAGGAATGGGAAAAAAAAAAGGAAAACCCCTCCCACCGCAGCCTGAGACAGCATGGCTGCGATGGGCGGGCAGATCCGTAAAGATCGACCCACTGCAACGGGCGCTGGGGCTGAAGTTAGACCCCCTTGCAGTAGATCATCTGTACCTACCCAAACCCCTTCAGCTTCTATGATTTGTGGGGGTTAGAGGCTCCGGGAGGTACAGCTGGGGCCTATTAGACGGAAAGAAATGATGACGAAAATACCAGCAAGGTCAGTGTGCAGGAAGAGCTGAAGCATCTTCTTTTCAAAGCTGATCCCGCAACCCACAGCAAGAATTGCAGTTGTTGCCTTACCATATCTGATACCTCTAAAAAGCTCGTTGAAGCTCTTGGTGTAGATATTGTCGTAATGATCCATGAGGGTCTTAAGCTTAAGGACGTTGGCACCAAATCAAGAAAGATCAAGCGAGTCAATAAAGGTCTCATGTCACTTGGCGAAGGCTCTTCTTTCGAAGAAACGACATCGACATCCAGTTGTACCTGTTCGATGCTTGCTCTATTGCACCGCGGCTCGTCCTTTCTGTCACTCTTCGTGTCTCCTGCCGCTCGGGCGGTTTCACCCGCAGCTTCAACCTCCTCCGCTTGAACCTCCTCTGCTTCAACCTCCTCTGCTTCGGTACTTGAATAACATGGTGTGAATGCTTAGACTTGAGCCTGAACAGGCATTTGGACAGATGTGTGCGTATACATTGGTCCATGGCGAGGACATGGGCACCTAGGTTCTCTCTCGTGTCAGTATCGGCTCCGAATTCTTGATCTGAGTAGCCATCTCCTTAAGCGGTCATTGTCCAGGCCCTTGAACACGTTGCTGAGAATAAATGAATGCCTCTGCTGCAGTCCTGCAGTGGGCCAATTGTACTAAAACTAATCATCAAGTGCAAGGCAAATGTTAGGGCACTCTGCAGAACAATTTATCCTCGACGATTTCCCACAATCCACGTACCATATGAGCAATATCTTTTTTTTGGATTCCTTGATTTTACGGTTTTTTTGTGATTTTTGCTTGGGTTTTCTTGAATCTAACAACGGGTAAGAGAGCAGAAGATGCGATTGTGAGTATTGTGCTTCAGTATCGAGTGTAAAGCAAAATAAACCCAGCCAAAGTACTTACATTGATTTCGTCGACGCTTATTAACCGCTCCACGGCCTTGGTGCTGGTCTGTGCTGTACAATAGGAGCCCTGCTCTATTGATTTAGCGCTGGATTGTGTGACTCCACTCGCGGATCCATTTCCAGTGTCTCTTCCGAAGGTTGATCGTGCGTGTGTGCAGGATGCTGAAGATGGTCTTGGCCATTTTGCGCTGGAATCACTCATATCTTGGGAGATGAAGGCGGCGAGGACTCTGATTTGGTCTCTCTCGTATGATCTGCTGTCGGCGGTGCAGACGATGCTTCGGAGACGGTGCTCTCCTCTGTCGAAACCGGCTTCATCTCTACGTCTTCGTCCAGAATGGGACTATGTGTGGTTCGCTGTAAAACAGGAATCATTGCAGTCGACGCCAGAAGCGTGCCAGCTGCTGGAATGTCTGTGATCGCGCTTGTGGGAGCGCTAGAGATAGCGCTCGATGGTCTTTCTCTGAGCCGGGCTGAGCTGCGCCTGGTGCCTGCTTTTGGATTCGGCTCGAAGATCACTGTCGAGGTCTGGGTGACGATATTCACAAGGTGTACCATTCTGTATGCCGGCTCGGTTTCCAGCATTTTGTTGATGGCTGCCATTCTGCGCCTCTTTCTCCGGGCTTCCTGTGCCTCTTCGCTTGACTCCCGCTGTCTCTTTGATAAGCGGCGATATTCGCTGCTGTCAGCAGGCTCGAAGGTGTCAGGGGAGAACCTGACTTTCTTGAAGGGCCGCGGCGACGATGAGGATGAAGTAGCGCTCGCGGAGAGCTCGGTGCTTTGAGGAATGGTAGTCGTAGTGGATTCTCTGCACTCGGATGACATCGACGACGAGATGCCTACATGTTCCTGTGCAACCAAGGACCATGCACGCTTGTTGTTCAAAGGTTCCTGAATCTGTGGGCCAATCCGGAGGGCCGTCGGGATCGCGCCGGTGTTTTCTTCCTCGAGCATGGTTTCGAGCTCATTGAGGTGTGCAGAGAACTCGCTATAGTCCTGTGGAGGAGCAGCTGTAGGCCGACGTGGGAGACTGGAGGCTGGGGCAGTGTTCGCTTGGGATGAGCTCTCAGTATCAGCGGGGGCAGTGGCCGCTTGGGGTGGAATGTCGGCATCTGCGGCGGCACAAGGGGTAGACGCTGCGGGGACACAGGGGGCAGGCGTTTTGGAAGTAGAATTGGGGGCTGTGTTCACAGCAGTGATTCTGTTCACTTTTGTCGCGTTATGTTTGATCGTACGTCGCTCTGTCAGGCGTGGAGGGTGCTCTGGGCCGTTCTCGAAGAAGGCAGGGGAGAGGACGATGGACAGAATGCATAGGAACATGCAGAAGTAGAGATCAGAGAATCTGAACGTGTTGTCACTCATGATGATGGTCAGGGCTGGTTAGCGATGTGTGAGTGAAGGGTAAAGAGAACACCTCTAGCAGTTGGCATCCCTTTATTGACGCGTTCTTTCTGGGATGTGGTGGCGGTGGCGTAACGTTATTTCCCACGTGGCGTGGCCCGTGCTGAAATTTACATCCTGAAAGCGGTCACAGGACACTC